AGTATATGTTGTATGATTTATTTTATAAGATCATATACTGTACAGTATGTTAAGTTGTTTATTTTATAAGAGAAATGATTTTTTTAATAATAAAATATATCCAAAAAAGTAAAGTTAAATTTATTTATTAAAAATATATAACTTAATGTTTGCTAGAATAAGAAAATAAATGCTATAAATTAAAACAACTTTAAAACATTCAAATGATGTTATTTCAAATTTTATCTTTTAATTGCATTTTAAAAAATTTAAAGTATTTTTGTATATTACAACCTCAATCATAATATTAATGTATTTACTAATTATATATTGATTATTATTTATTAGTAAAAATTATAATTAAAAAAAATTGATAAACATTATCAATAGTGTGAAGGACTTATTGTGAAAAATTAAGTTTATTGTAAAGTTGTGTTAAACACGTATTGATCAAACAATTGAATTAGATTTTTACTAAACGTCGACAAAACATTATTGATACTGATTTTAAATACTATTTTATTGTTTATTATAACAAACAATATTAAAATTAGAAATAATTACCTATATAAATATTTATACTGTAATTTTAAAAATAATTACTTAATAGATAAAATATAATATAATTAAGTAAAATTTGTATGAATTGAAAGTGAGAAACAATATTATAATTATTTTGTTTCAATTGAATATCGGGTGGAGTTGTAAATGAATTTATGATAAGTTAGAAATTATTAATAACAAAATTGTTTGTATTGTACTCTGTTGTGGGTACCGGTGCTCAGGTGATAGCACAAGTTGTGTTGTTGTAGTACAATGAGGCTAATGGTTGTATTTTATAGTCCGGTACAACACTTACATGAATAAGGCGTTTGCATTGAATGTCTCAATTTGTTTTGCTCTACAATGCAATCGACTGACTCAGTCATACAACGCCCGACACAAATCACTTTTGGCCACAAAATGAATCCCAAAATATTTTTACTATTATTTTGTTTAACATATATGTCTGTTAGATATGTTTGAGCCCACAAATGGACAAATAATACATAATCCTTATTTGTATATATACTGTAAATAATTTGTACCAAAGTATGTGGTTTACAACACAAACCCCACTCAACTATTTGATAATATTTTTGTATCTTTTAAAGTTAAAACTCAATGCATCGTTACTTATCTATTGTGTACTAAAAGAAAATAATGAAAAAATATCAAAATTGATTTTTAAATTTTTTATTGATTTTTTGACCACATTTTTTGAAAAAATATCACTAATAATTGAATTGAAAGTCGTGTCTAACTTTCATTAGTATTTCAAAAATAACTTTTTGTATCACTAATTCCATAGCATTAGTAAATTTCAACCAATATATAGCAAATATCGACATTTTTTGTAATTTCTTAAAGCTCATCCCGAGTATCATTTATATAACATATAATACTTAATGTTATAAAAATTGATATAAATTATATATATTTATTAGAAATATAGAAAAATAAACATTTTGTAGGAATTTTATATTTAGTAATTTGTTATCTGTTTTTTATGCCATTAAATCAATTGCTCATTCTTACGGTTGAAACAAGTTTTTACTTTAAAATATTCAATGATATATTTCATAGCATTTTATATTTTATTTAATGACTTTTGTGTCATTAATTTAGTCTACTCTCACACTGTGAGTAATATTATTAGCACTAATTTTATTGCTTTTAAAATCTCTCTCTCTCTCTCTCTCTCTCTCTCTCTCTCTCTCTCTCTCTCTCTCTCTCTCTCTGATTTTCTTCTCTTTTTTAAAACATTAAGCATTAAATCAAATAAATTCTCTTTTAATTTATTTTTTATTTTTCTCAATTTTTGTGTGAATACAATATTTTTAGGGATTATTTAAATCTCAATCTCTATATCATTATAAAATGTGATGTAAATTTACTATACTTCACCTCCCAGTGCTGACATCAACTTATATACTCTTTTTTATATTTCATTTACTTTTTTATTATTACTTGTGAATACATATTAGAGATTTTTAGTACAATATTCACTATAAACTATTTGTTGAACTCAATTGAAGTATAAATCTCCTGACACACGCTCTTTAATATTTGCTTTCAATTTTATATTCAACACAATATTTTTGTCAATTCAAGTCAATGCGTGAGTGAATAAGTGTATGAGTAAGTCATTGCATAATTATATTGTCATTGCTGAAGATGAGGTGTGTGTCTATAAAAGCAAACTTTTTACAGTTTATTTTAATGGTTAACTTAACAATATAACAGTATTGCAAAAATTTGAGCATCAATTGTAAGCAAATGTAATCTTAACTAAACTGTATATCTCAGAGACCTGAGAGTTGCACTCAATGTGTTTGACTCTTAATATTGTTCTCTCTCTCTCTCTCTCTCTCTCTCTCTCTCTCTCTCTCTCTCTCTCTATCTCTCTCTCTCTATCTATCTATCTCTCTCTCTCTCTCTCTCTCTCTCTCTCTTATTTTTTATTCCCAAAGGTTTGAACACAATATTCCTCTGCGGACACTAAGATTGTCTCGCAAAGACCAGAGCCCAATATAATGGTTAACTAATAATAGTAACATAACTTATAATAAGTTAAACAACTCACATGTCTATCGATATAATGTATAGATAAAGAAATAACTCTTATATTAACTATTGTTTATTTATTAATCAGTAATAGGTTTCTATTTTTATACATTTTCGAGAAATTGTTACTAAAATTTTTATAATAATAAAGATCTAATTGATATAAACGTTTCATAATTTGTATATAAATAGTTATTAATAATTAAAATTTAATTAAAATAAAATTAAAATTATTTTAGTATATAATAAATAGACAAAATTAATTATTGTCATAAAGTGAGGTAAAACTTGACGTTTTGTTGCTTTTGAGGTATTTATCTGAGAATATTGTCAAATAAATAATAAATATTTTATGGTTAAGAGTATTGATAAGAGAGCACCGGTAACACAACACACCAGTCTATTGAATATAAGCTGAATAGTGATCTCATGACTGGTTGGCCAATAGACGCCACTCTTGAACTGAAAGCAGGTTCAACACAAATACTGGTTCCCTGACTGTGAGTGCATTACTCCATACCATTGATACGACTGCCAACTCCAGTGTGTGTTGTGTTCAACACCAGACTTACCAGTTGTTTGTCTAAAAGTTTTATACAATATATACAGTAAATGACTGGTTTGTGAATGTTTGCTGTGAGCTGTGCTATACAACTATTGGTACCATTGCTTATATCAATTGTATTTCAATCTAAACTTTTTTGTTTATAAATACTTATAATCATCGGACACTTATATTTGTAGTGTTTAGACAAGAGATTCACATTTTATAATACTTTTATTATTTTGTTGCCAATTATATGTGTTTTATGAAAATAAATGACAAAACGGAGTATTGTGTTAACAGTGATTAAAGTTATAATAGGAGTACAGTGTATATATATTACGGATAACATGTTATCATTTAATAGTAATTCAATTGATTATTAATTTTATAATTGAAAACATTGCTTTTTATCTCAGATATTAAATGGTATGTAATAAATGTTAAATTATCATATTTTTCTTATATGCAGGTAATACTATATGTCATTTGGTGTCCATATTTGTCTTTTATCTATAATTTTTAATCTAATTTAATATTAGGCAATTGTATGCGATATGATATATTCAAAAATTAACCCAATCTAACTTAGCTATAAATTAACTAATTTATATATAAGTAAATATATATATACTATATATAATAAGGCATTACAGTGTATGGCAACCATTATAGCAAAGCACTGGTATGTGTTGTGTTTCGGTCATTACAGTGATTAGAAAGGAAGTCAGTGTTTAAAAAGCAATTCTCGTTTCAAAAGTTGCAGATGTTTTGCAAACACTTTAAACTAGACTTTTATTATGTTATTTAGTATATAATACTATATATGCCATCAATTAGTCTCAACTAGTTTTTCTTATCTATTAATTCACTATTTTGTTTTATGTCTTTTGTATCAATAAATTTTATAGACAAAGCATTTTATTTTTCAAATATACACTTAAATTAAAATAATTTTCTTGAAAGACAAAAGTAATCATATATTTAATAAATATGATATTAACCATCATTTAGACTAACTTTGATATTTTATAGAAATACATGATATAAGTTTCAGTTGATTCAATTGACCACTTCCTTTGCTATTTTTTAAAAAAATTAGACTTTATATTGTTATTGTTAGCAATGTATTTGTGCGGTTATGTTGAAAATTTGTAGCGTTTGAGTCCCATAATAATATCTCCCTCGAGGCCCAGTCCTTGTATTCACCCCTCACCGACTTTATGGTGACTGTGGCTATTGATTTGAATACAATGTAAGAAATGACATGAATAGCTTATGTGAGAATATAGTATAAGGTAGTGAGGGGACAGGTAGTGCAGTGCACAGTAGTGTTGGTATAAACTGTATTATACTGTGTGTATTAGCCGAACATACAGGCCTTTGTAAAGATTTCAATGAATACAATCTAAAGAAAGGTTAGACAAGGATATCATATGTCATGGATCACATCAACTGAATGAATAACATATGCTCTATGTATATGAGGTATAGTTAACACATATACCATACATTTGCATACCTTACAATATTATGGTGTTCCCCAAAATACATTAATTCATTTACTTTTTTTGTATACTTTACAAATTCATGAATCAAACATGAATACACATAAAAGAAATTTTGAAATATTTGTTATAACAATTCTCTGATATATTGATACTATGCATAGCAGACACACTAACAAACATTATCTGATATATCGATATATCTGATACAGGTATATCTGATTACTATATCTAAAAGTAATTATTGAATTAATACAGCATTTTGTGGAATTAAATTCTAGAGATTATATAAATATAACCAATTATAATATATAATATAGTGAATATACAATATATATTTATTTATTTTATTATATTTACAGGAATTGTAACATTGATAACAAAATTACAATGAAAGTAAAGTAACTTTTATTTGATGTTATAATTGTTGGTTAAAAACAAAAATGGTTGCAAAGATGCCGATGAAGATTATTATTTATTTATTTTATATTCATTTTATAATCTCATCTGTGGTGGCATTGGTATCATCTAAAAGAGGAGGTAAGTGTTATCAATGATTTTTATTAAGAAGTTTTAACATAAATTAAATCAATATAACATTAACAACATATAATATTATATTGCATTATAAATTATATAAACTACTTGAATTATCACTATTTTAATTTATATTTTTATATTGTATATTAATTTAAAATAAAAAACAAATGTTTACTTCAGTATAAATATCCGATATTCATATTGTTTAAGTGATAAAGACTTATTATCTGGATTAGATTATTTTCTTCTTCTTATTTTTAAATGATAAAACATTTTTGTAATTTTGATTTAAAAATTATAAAAAAGTTCTTACGCTTTGAAATTTTATTTATTTTTGTTTATTTTGGTATAACTTGGTATAACAATATTGAATACAGTATACACTGTTTATTATACAGCAAGGGTAGTGTATCTTAGATGTGTAATGTTTAATATTTAATTAAGAATCTGTTATATCACATAATAATTTTATTACTTATTTTGATGACCATATCTATCTACAGTATCTATCTTTCATGTATATCATATATTAGTATTAGATCATTATATAAAATGCTTTAAACGGGAAAATAATTTTGTGTATTATAAAGATGGATTACAATTAATGGGACAAATAGTAATAATAAATAATAATAATTTTATTATAATGTAAAATAGTTTTAAATTGGTTTGTTTTTCTCAAATATATTATGGAATAATTAGCATATATTGTATTAATTTCTAATGTAAATGCATTTAATGTATTGAATATAATATATGGAGTCATTAGCACTGATGGCCAACATTTACGATAGTAATAGTAATACAATTGAATTGACAAAACAGACTTAATAATCAAATGGATTATTTGTGAATGACATGCAATAAGAGTTATTGGGATGTCTTTTGATACACAAATACAATCATTTTTGATGAGAAATGTTTCTAATTTTTTTCTTTAGTCTAATAAATAATGTTTACTTTCATATACAGTGTATATATCAAGTTTGTGTGCAATATTTGCTAATAATGAGTTTGAGAGGCAAACCCAACACTATATTCAATTGAATACATAGTAGTATTGCCATTAAGTGATGTACTGTCGAAATACACCGATTGATGATATAAGAGCTACTCATCAATCACCTAATGAACAATAAGACAACTTTACGTTACTATTTATACCATATATGTTGTGAACTAACTTTTTTCAATAAAAGTCAATACAATGGCATATGTATTGAATCAAATGTAAAAATGCATCCAAGCTTTAAGCTATTGATAGTTATTCAATGCTTGATAACTGTTTAATAATATAGATTTTGAACAATAATATATTAATATAAATTATTTATGTTTTTATAATAAATTTTTGATATTGATATAACTTAGGTCTAAACTTATAACTAAACTTTTATAATATAAATAACGTTTACAGTATAAAAGTTTTAAGAAATATTTGTTAATTAAAAAATCTGAAAATACTTATTTATTAAATATTTAATAGATAACTATTTTTTATAAAATATCAATAGTTATACTAGTAAATAGTAATCATTGAAATACAGCACAATTTGTCAAAACTTATAAAAAAATGTGTAGACATTCAGTAGTCATTCAACAAATCATTTAAATTTAAAAACAAAAATAATTATAATTTAAATTATTTAGTTATTAAAAATTAATATTTAATTATAGCATTTTAAAAACGTTATTGTAAAACTAAACATGCATAAATTTAGTTAGACAACAATTTTTATTTTTAAATCACATTTTCAATGTTAATCAATATGTAAAAAATATATTAATTTTTTAATTATCGTATAATTATTATTATTTTGCGTAAACAACACTTAACAATGTTTTCAAACTAAATGATTTAATTAACGTTTATCAATATTAGTAGATATTTGCATAAATACAAAATATTAAAGATTATTCATAAATAATTGTTTATAATTTGATTTTAATGCTTAAGTAATGAAAATATAAAATCAATTTAAATTTTTTTTCAGAAATAAATTACAATAAAAATAACATTAAGTTCAGGAAAAGTTTACGCAATATGTCATAAATGCTTTGTATTGTATGAATATTACATAATATACAATAATTTTATTCCTTATAAGTAACAATTGCTATCAAATTTTGTATTTAAATGAATATTTTAACAATAGATTCACAAACTTATATTTAAAAAAAATAATCATTAATTTCTAGATTTTATTTATTATTTTAAATTTCAATACAAATTATTGTATTGCAAACTAAGACATATAATAAAAATAATAAATTAGGAAATAAATATTTTATAAAATAGCTATTTAAAAAAATAAAAATAACACTTTTTCAAGTAAATGTATTTTTAATACAATTTTAATTGAAAGTATATTTTAAGTTAAATATTTTCTTCACTATTATTTACCAATATTATTAATCTCATTTCAATCAAATTTAATCTCACTTTAAGCCTATTATGTAACTAATGTTAAGATCCATTATGTCATTGTATACTTAGATCGTCATTAAAATGTTGATCATAATAGTTATAATATAGTACATCACATATTTGTTATATTAATAGTTAAAAATTTTGTGTAAATTTGTGTAACTTTTGTGTTAACTAATGACTGTATATATAGAGATAAAAAAAGTTTAACAAAATCATTTTATTAATTACATAACAATTAGTTTGATTCAAAAATAGACAATATTTGCTGAATTGTTATACTCAAAGTTATATAATAGTAGTCTTATGAAAGAATAAAATACATTTTACAATTAAATGAAAGCCCATGTGATTTGAGACTAGTTTCAGTTAGCATACAAAATATATACAATTAAATGAACTGAGAGAGAGAGAGAAAGAGAGAGTGACTACTATTAATACTGTATATGTTTTATTATAACAATTCATTTACATAAATCAATATTGATGTTATATACACAACTCTATTATGCATTTACATTTGCTATAAAATAAATATATTGGTATATATTATAGTCAATTAAATTGAAAACTTATCTAAAAATAGATAAACCACATAAGTAAAATGCCAGTGTATAAAATAATTGACATATAAACTTGGATCAATATTATTGTATTTTCAATTGGATTAATCAATTTTTATGATTATTATTAAAAAGCAAAAATAAGATGTAATTTAAAATATTAATAAAAATCTAAGGATTATTTGAAGCATTAATATGAAAGGTCTTGAATATACCCATAATTTAAAGCCCACCCAACCCTTACCCCTGTTTAAAGTCGTGCGAAATTCCTTTAGGCCTAAAAAATAATTATTTCATATAATTTATAGCATTATATTAGAGATGACAATAACTGTGGTTTTGCGAGTCGGCTATGATTTTATGCATCAAATGCAATGAAGTCATGATTTGTGATTTCATGCATAAACTTAAACTTGAATTACAATCATAATATAAAATACTAAATGTAAGTTTTATACCAACAGTGTAGCAGAAAAATATATATTTATTATTGCTATATCCATTCAGATCCTTATAAATATATCTTTAGAGTTACTATATATATATATTAGAATTAGATTTTGATAGTAAGGCTATAATATATATAATATTGAAATCTAAATAATACGAAAATAGCTCTGAAAACGTGAATATCTGAATGCAGTCAAATAAAGATACATTTATAATGTAAGAAATATATATATATATGAATAAAAATATAGCTTATTTGATATGAGTATTGAATACAACAAAGTTAATATCGATTTTGGTTTGGACCCAAATATAACATTTGTCTGCCCTATGTTTTTATGGATGAATGCCTTTTACATGAGATTCACAATCAAATGTGTTTTGCTATTAAAGATATTTTTATGTTCAATACAAGCAATGACTCAAATGTAAGAGAAGTTTTTAGTTAAGAGGCAATTATTAACACTTGCTTTTGGCTAAATGTCATAACACAGGCATAAAAACAAATAGCAAATCACATATAATGGTTATGGCTGTAAGTCCTTATAGCTCACACCTAATACCTAAATGTCTAATATCCCGGTGCACTCTTCAGATTTGTAAAATTTTTCAAAGCAATCATTTACAATAACCACAACAAAGTAACACTAAATGTTAAGTTTGATAGAAAGCCATTCAATGATCACAAGCCATAGACATCACAATGACTGCAATCATGAAATCTCTCAATAGTTAAAAAGTTAGTCTACTTATAGATAGACATTACTATCAAATGAAATGCACTTCACTTCGCTCAACAACTTATCGCAACTCTAAAACATAATTTCGGCAAAACATATAACAATATAACAACAAATTGGACACAAAAAGCACAATAAGTGCAATCCATGTGAACACTCGTTATTACAACAATTTAGTTATCCCTTCATTTCATTTCTTATATTAAACTTATTATTAAAATTGTTATTAATTTTAGCAATATATAAGACTAGCAATAATGTTCATGACTCTAATAATTAAAGTGGTATATATATTAGTATTATATAAATTTAAAAATTATTTAACAGTTAATGAACTTGTCATAGCATATTACTTATTACCATTATATTGTTTTATGACAATATTTCTAATTATAATTTATTTTTATAATTTTACATCCATTAGTTATTATTAAAATTAATATTATTTTTAATTTTCTATTTGCTATAATGTTATAATAAATAATTTATTTTCTCTGATCGACCGGATACTGATTGCTTTCCTACAGGTATTTTGATAACACACTCTACTCATCAGATATTTTATATACATATGATATAATATACACATTTATTACATACTAAATAACTGCTATTTTCTAAAGTACTATATATTGTATTATATAAAGTAGTACTGTATATACTGTAGTTTTAGTTAGGTTTCAAATATATTGCTCTTTCATTTTGTTTTAAGTGATGGAAACAATTTTTAGTAAAACATTTCCGTTTATTTGTCATTAAGGGATTCACTAAACAATGTCATTAACATTATCATTAAGTTTACAAACTGCATGTAATATTGTAAATACAGGTACTTTTTATATTAATATTTCGTTTCTATTATTTGAGTTCTCTCTTTCTTTCTTTCACTTACTCACATACAAACACATAATTTGCATTTTGAAATATTTAAAACAATTTTGTATACAAAATATATGTAATAATAATATAAATCATGAGTTTGTAATTTATTTGTAAAGTGAACAATGAATTCAAACTTAGAATATACTGTATTTGAAAATTATTAAACAATAAGTTAAAAATATGAAGGGTATGTGAAATGCGGGTCTAATTCATATAATAGGACTAAAATTTAGTAAAAAGTGTTTAAAAATACAAGACTTATTTTTACTAATGTTTGTCCCAATGTATGCATAGCTCTCAACCGTAAATATTGTAGAAATTCACTTAAAAATTCATTTTTTTATTATATCATTGGGAAAATAGGACTAAAATAACAGATGTTTGCAACTAATATACAAACATAGTTTCTAATGCATTACAAACACACAAACATGCCTTTTGTATTCAATATTACATAATATATTGCAAACCAAGTGTTATATATATGATGTTTTTGATAATATAAAAATTCAAAATAATTTATTCTCAAGTTTATTATTATTATTATTTTAAAACAATTCATACAATTATAATAGTATTATTTAAATAACTACACATATAAGTCAAAATGTAATATAAGATCTCTTCGCTAATATAAAATTTCAATGATCTTTGACAACAAAAGTCTTTTATAAACCAAAAGAATATTTTTAAACAAATTGTGTTATTTTATTGAGAAATCTATTTTTAATATTTTGTTTATATATAGAAGTTTTTGTTAGATATTGACGTTTATTTTTTTCTCAGTAATTGTCACTATAACTAGTTATAACATAAAAATTAATTTAAAACAAAATTTGACTCAAATGCCGGTTAAACATACATTAGTCCCAATTTATCATTACTAAGTCATTAGCAAAGTGTCGTTTTGTCGATCTGAGTATTTGTGAGTTCGATACCTGAAGGATAACTTTGATGATTTGTGCCTTTGTTTATATATATATAGTGAGAGAGAGAGCACAAAAAATATTTTAAATATAGTAATAGATATAATTTAAAACTTATTTTGATTTAGTTTTTTACTATTTTTTATTTTTATATACTTTTATTGTAGAATAAGTAAAATATTAAAGTAATTATTAAAATTCAAGGATTGTATTTTTCATAGAATGAATAAAATATTATAAATATTATAAAATGTCATATTTCAAGCTTATATCAAAATTATAGATACAAATAGGTATTAATTTAATGATATATATTTATATATTGATGTCATTATATTCAATACAAATTTATATAAAATGTAATACTGTATACTATAGTCTAATTTATAGGTATGAGTTATTATATATATATTACATTTTCGACTCAATTTTGAAATTGATTTTTCATTCATCATATCTCATAAGTCTTGAATTTAATATTTTAGTTATTTTGAAGCAAATAATAGTAATCTATATATTGAATCAAATTTACATTTTCAGTTTAATCAGTTTTTATTATGATTTACAATCAGTGAAGTTTACAATAAAACATAGATATTACAATTCTTTGATTAATATAAATTTAACTATAGATTAGACATTTATTTTTTTCAAATTTTAATGACCGACCCGTTATTTGTCATATATATATATATATATATATATATCCCTTTTAACTCATTTATGAAATACCACTTGATTTTGTATTTTCATTGTTAAAATTATTTTATTTAAACATAATTACACAAATTTTTTAATTCAAATTATTCTTACACTTTACAGTATAATTTATAAATGATTGTTATTTAATCTAAATTAACATAACTTAAGTTCACATTATTAGTTTGTTACTGGAATTGACATAACAATTGTGATAAATCATAATTACAATCTTTAATATGTAGTTATAAACAGGAAATTTCAGTAAAAAGTATAACTGTTTCCGATTTTCAAATGCCGATTCTTTTTTCAAATTATTTATGTATTTTATTTTATTTACTGTATTATATATTTGCTAAAAGTAAGACTTTAGTTAAATTAATATTTGTTTTTTATTTATTTGGTAATATTGCAAACAATATATTATATATTTATTAAAATTTATTTTTAAAAATAATTGAAAAGACTACAAGATTTTAATTTTACTTCCCATTTGAAATCAATATTTTTTAATTATTTTTTTATCATTTTTATTTAGTTTTATATACCTGTATATACCTACAATTAAATATTTATAAAAACTATTATTATAAATTGCATTAAATTTATTATATGAATATTATATATATCTAATGTAGAAATTTTTAGTCAAAATACATTAAATTTAAAATCACAAACCCTATTGTTAGCATTTCTACGTTTTTCAACTTTTTTTGACATTTCAAAAGTGCTTTTTTATGTTTTTTTTGTGTTCACACTATTTTAGACTTCCCTTATGTTTACTACTCAATAATTAAGTTATGCTTGAAGTTCAATAATTTTTAATACACAAAATAATACTGTATTTCTATATAAATACTATATATATAAAAAATTCTATACTATATACTGTTTATATGTTGAACGTAATAATGCAATAAATGTAATATAATACTGTACTCTATTATAAAGTATAAATAAAATCTATATGTTGACTATTATTTAGTTTGCTTGAAAATACAATTTAATTTAAATTGATTATGTGTTATATACCAAATATAATATTTAATTAAAATTCTTAATAATAATAATAATAATAAATAAATAGTTAGATAACATGTACTTTAATATTGATACAGAGTTTATATAAAGATAGAAAAGTTATATTTTGTATTAAAATAACGCTGAAAATGAATATATTTTAACATTTCTATTAACATATTATTCATGTTTATCGTTAGCATACATTCATAATTCATTAACTAAATTTTGTTTAATTTAAACTACAAATTAAACTAATTGTGAATAATATTAAAACTATCTACAATGTGATGATAGTGTTAGATAAATAGGCATAAATAGACAATAAAGTGAATGTCATTATTTTGATAATTTCTTTCAGATTATTACAATAACTAGTAATTCACAATTTTACTTTTATATTATATTTAAAAAATTATTTTACTGTATTATACTTATAAAACTCAATTAACTTACATTTTTAGTTATTTAAAATACAGTATACATATAAAAATACTGTATATAAAAATTATTTATTAATTGAATTCTCAGCTCAAGTAATACAAAACTTGTTTTTATTATTTTATTATATACAAATATTTTAAGTTAACTTTAAATTAATATTAAAATTAATTTGAATTACAAATGATTATTGCATAATACATGTATCTATTGTTTCGCAATAATATGTTATATGAATTGCAACCAATGGGTCGCAGACAACACCTTAAATTTTACAACAAAAAAATGATTGTAAACACAATGTATTGTTTTAGTTAGTATGGCATACATTACTTTCAATGGTTAACAGGTATATAATCGGATTATTTATTCCATAAACTATAATCAAATAAAATATTTTTTATAATAGCTTATATAAGCTTTATATCATAAAAACACATCAAATAATATAGTCTTCCCACAAATTTCACATAAAATTATATTAAATTAAATGTTTTTATGATAAAAGACATAAATTCAGATAAATGTGTTATTATTTGGTTTGACGTTTAAAATATTTTATTAAAATTTATACATATATTTTGCTAATATGTTTTCATTTAAAGTTTTTATTTTGGAAGCAAACAAATTTGGTTTGAAAATAACAATAAATATAATTCTCCAAAATATATATATTATTTTTATGGGACAATGAGATTAACAACAATAATAATAATATAGATAATAAACATTTTATTATTATTATCGAAGAGTTAAGAGCTGTTTGTTATTACTGCTAAGTATTAATATTTTTATGACCTATACATTCAATTATTAAAACAATTTTGTGTTACATAAAAACAAAAAAAAAAGAGTATAAAAGTTTATGGCATTCATTAATTTTGATATTCATGCGATCCAATTAAATGTTACATTAATTTCAGATCTAATGTTCGCCAATGAAAGCAATACTTGAAAATGTGTGTTATTTTTGCTTAAAAATATTTGGCATTTTTAAAAATAATCATTTGGTATTTCTAAGCAATTAGTTTTAATACATATTTTTTATCTTATTTTATTTTAAATGTTAGATGGTTTATATAAATTATAAGCGATATTATTTCAATTATTATTAGTATTAATATTTTATTTGTAATTTTATACCAGCAATTAATTGTATGAGTTTTGTTAGCATAAAACTTACATTTAGAGCAAAAATTAATTAGAAAAAGCATTTTGCTGTAAAAAACAATTTAATTGCATTTATTTTAATTGCATGAAAATATGCATTACTTTAGACAATTAAAGCATTTCATTGCAACCAATTATTGCATGTTTTCTTATTTTAAATTTATTTTTGTTTTAATATGTTTTTTAAGTTTTGTTTATTTTTATTTTTGCATCATTAGTATCGGTTCCCAATTTTTCTATAAGGCCTCCAATGTTAGATAGAGGTAACAATTGTATTAAATGTTTGGTTAATTTTTGCAATATAAAAAATTAAATTTCATCAAAATTAAATGCGATATAAATTTTTAATTGATTTGAAGGTCGCATTCACTATAAGACAACTTATGCCTGTGAGGGCAACCCATTGCATCTGACCTGTGAAGAGGGAAGTACCATACACTTGGTTCGGGCTAATTATGGCAGATTCAGTATCAGTATCTGCAATGATGGCGGACGACTAGATCTCAATGTCATCTGTATGTCCTACCGTTCCTTTCTTATAATGTCTGACAGGTTTGTGAGCATTAATGAGATTTATGGCTAATTAAGTCTCGAAAAGATTTACAAACTAAAAACAATATATAATTTTGTACTCAATTTGCAGATGTAGTCAAAAATCCAATTGTAGTGTAGTTGTTTCGAGTAAGATATTTGGTGACCCCTGTCCCGGAACTTTGAAGTACCTGGAAGTCCAGTATCACTGTGTTCACGGTATGTTCATTACATTATCTATTAAATTGTTTACGTGTGGTCTCAATCTTATCTAATTATAAAATGTAAAGTTATTTCAAAGTTATATTAAATGAAATGAAATGTAAAAGTATTAGTATTGGTATTAATACTAATTAAGAGTACTTTCTCTTTCATATAGGAGGAGATTCATCCCTTACCACAACTAAAAGACCACCCATACAGATGAATATACCATTACCTGCATCTAGCAATTCATCCCTTATAATGACTCCAGTGTTGGCTACCACTCCATCCCCATCTGATGGAGATATGAATTCATTGATTACAGACTCTGATATGATAGCCAAGACTGAGTCAGGATTTTCATCCAACAGTCAGATAACGACTCCATTTTCAAGTACTAGTGATAGTCGTCTAAATCATATCAATCACATAGAGATCGTACACTCAGCTGACTCTCAATCGCCTCAACTCTCACTGAATGCTCCAGAAAATAGAGAGATAAGCCCAACATTACCACCGAATACTAGAATTAATACACCGATTAAAGTTGACATCTCATCGCCACCATTTCCACCACAACTACCTCCCCCTCCTGTGCCTCCCTTTTCTATAGAAAAGGCATTTCCCATAACAGATATAAAAGCAGATTATTGTCCGCCAATATTTGTAAGAAGTCTTTTCTGGAATTGGACGCGAAGGGGTGAAGTGGCTGACCAGAAATGTCCCGGCGGTGCCACTGGTCTCGTCAAATGGGAGTGTAGTTATAATCCTATTACTAAAACAACTGATTGGATGCCAGATAGACCTGATTTCAGTCAATGCCGTTCCTTATGGTTAGATAACTTAGAGGATAGACTTAATAATGATGAACCAGTCATCCGTATAGCCAATGAATTAGCGCTAATGACTCTCACAAAAGCACTGTTTTGTGAAGATTTACAAAGAATAGCATCAATAGTTCAAAAGACATTATCTCATGCCATGACTAGTATGCAAAACTTACAGACATTTGAAGTATGGCACAGACATCAAGTTCTTAAGGAATTACTGATGTTTATTGTGGAAGCGGTCAGCAATTTGTTGGATAACGCACAGGACGATGCTTGGCTCGACCTGAATATCTCCGAAAGAAAAAAGGTGGCCTCAAAACTACTTAAAGGTCTAGAATTAAGTGCTCTGTTATTAGCCGATAACACCAATCAGGACGGATCCTTTGCTGTGGCTAAACCTAATGTCTGTAAGTGTCGTCAACACTCTATTCTTAAATACTTTAAAGTTATAATAATATTATTGTTTGTGTAGTGGTGTCAGTGCATGTTCTCGACACACGAATGCCAATTAGTCTTCAGTTTCCGACCGTAGAGGACACTCGGGGAACAATTGAATGGATTCGTATGGAAGACTCTCTTTTCTTGCCGGCGCAGGCTTTGCTTGAATACTCTAAAGAAGGTAATAATAATAATAATAATAATAATAATAGCATCAAATGTATGTAAATGATTGTAATTTAATATTTGTTTTTATTAATGTATGGATAGGTCTGGCAAAGGTAGCATTTTTGGCTTATTATCGCATCGAAGACTTACTCAAACCCGACTTCTATGTAATTAATGAGAGAAAGTCTACTTCATATTCAATGTTCAGTAAATTACAAAACATGACATCAACTTCTTTGGCAATTAATTCACGTGTAATCGGAGCGGCACTCAGTAATGACCATAAAAATGATCAGAAAAAGATGCAATTATCTCAACCAATAACAGTCATATTAAGACATATACAAGAAGAAAATGTTTCTAATCCTAAGTGTGTCTATTGGGATGTCGAACGAAAAGATTGGTTAAGTGATGGCTGTTGGATGCAATCAACTAATGCCACGCATACAGTCTGTATGTGCAGCCATTTAACACATTTTGCTTTGTTGATGGATATCCGTCCCATAGATTTATTAGTGACAGATAGTAATTGGCAGAAATTGGTTGCCATAATTGGTTGCGCGATTGCAATGTTAATATTGGTTTTTATAACAACCATAGTATATATAGTGAGCGCCGGTAATACAGAAGCCGTTTCCATTCACCGCAATGTTTGCTCCACACTATTGATCGCTGAAATGATTTATTTGATTGGAATTTACAGAACAGACATTCCATTATTATGTGGATTAACTGCCGGATCCTTACAATTCTTCCTTTTGTCAACACTTTTGTGGACATTTCTCGAGTCATTTGATCTTTACTTAAATCTCATAGATATGTATGAAAGTGTCAAATCCGTCAAAAGACTGCTTTGGTATTATATGATAGCATACGGCGGACCAACACTTATCATAATAATTGCTTTATTTATTGATCCATCGAGTTATGGCACACCAACTCATTGCTGGTTACGAACTGATAACTACTTTTGCCTCAGTTTTGTTGGACCAGCCATTGCCATCATTTTTGGTGGTCTTGTCTTTGTTTTGATCTCTTGTTTTGTTGTACTTAACAATTCAAATAATAGTACAACAATTAAATATATTGAAGAGACTAAACTTGATTTAACCAGAAGTGGTATCAAATGGATTGTAATATTATTGTTACTTCAATGCCTGACCTGGATATTTGGTTTCATTCATGTCAGCGCCCAAACATCACCGATAATAGCTATTAGTTTTGCCGTTTCAAACATATGTTTAGCAATTTTTGTGACTTTATTTTGTGTTATAAAGACTGATAATATACAACACCATAAACTGATAAGAAGTTTGCATTTTCTCAGCGTTTGTTTTGATGAAATAAACTGTTCCACAACAAAGACTAATGTAGCTGTTAGTGACTCGTATGTTAACCGACCGGTTGTGACACAAGTGTCTGCCACACAAGTGGCTGGCATTACACAGCACCAGCAACAACAACAACAACAGGTGCTGCCTGTACTACAAGTTGAACAACAGGTGAATATAGTATCTCCACATTCATGTGCCACTGCATCCCTGCATCAAATCCCTATACGTTATTGTCCTATTAATAGCACAGGTATTGCATCCCATTGCACGTCTACCTATTGTATGTAATGCATGAACTTCAATACAGTATTCAATTTAGTTGCTTTAATAATACCGTAAACAAATTAAATATAAATTGTATTCAATCATGAAATTAAAACTAAACAAATGTTATTTTATGTCAAAGGGGTCCCCCCTTCAAGCCACGAACTCGCTGCCCGAGAACGAAATCTCTACCATACGACCCGATCGCCCATATATTTCAGCACAACTACGACCCACTAATACTCTTTATAATTCAAAGGGAGGGACCACTGGACCTATTTTGGTGAATCCAATCAATACAGTTCCTAATGTTAATGTATCAGTCGGTGACATCAATGCATTGGTCAGTCAGAATTTAGCCGATTATGAGTGCAAACTGCAACAGATTAGACATAACAGTCTCAATAGACCACCAAAGAATAGACGTAAGATTCGTGTCCATCACAACCAATTGGATGACATCACCAGATATGGCATACATTGCAATCTACAGACACAACAAATGCCACCCAATCTGTACAATCAATTCATTGAACATATATATGAATCAATAGATAGCGATTCCTTAAGCTCTGGTATTTACGACCGACACAACCGTTTCACTCGACGACCTCCAGCTGTTATGTCTCAGATTAATGACTTTTACAGTGGAACTCATATCAATATAAACCCTACCTGTGCTGCTAATGACGACAATTGGAGCCAAAATTCATCTTTAAGTTATGGACCGCCATATGATGACCGACCACTTCTCATAGGCAGTCAATATATTAATAATAGTCCTAATGTTAATAAACCTTTGATATCACAAAATATTTGTTCACCAGTTAATCAAAATTGCAATTTTAATATTTATGACAAATCTAGAGAAGAGTTAAATTTACGTAATAACAATCGTCTCAAGAATATAGACATCACCGGACACATGACTATGCCATCGATGCCCTCAAGTATGACAAACATTACCACTTGGAATATCGACCCGTCCTGTGGTGCCACCGGAGCCAACTCGGACTTACCTGACTTAATACAAGAGCCCAACGATGTCTCCAATAATATGACCTCAGTTTTTGCCGATACAAACAACAGCTCATCTCAAAGATTTCAATCAAACACTGCCAACCAAAGAGTTAATGAAAAGTCACAAAACTCTGTTAAGTTTAAGGCTTATTGTTAGTCATTGACATCATTTGTTTAAACTCTTTGTTAATAAATGGCACCTAATTTGATCCAATATAAGACCCTATTTGCTAAACATTACTAACTAGTCGTGTAATCGATAAATCGCTAGTCTTTCAAATGTTAATTAACATCAAATCAAATAATACTTGTTTTGAGACTAATTTTGATTAGTCTAACAATTGGTTGGTTTTGTGCCAAACATGACATTCACTTAATCATTGAAACAATCAAATGATTGAATCAAACAAACAAATAGTTGTCACTTAATTGCAATTTTTATGTCAAAAGTATAGATTTAACCAATTAGTGTACAATATATATATATATAATAAGTTTTATTACACAACTCTAGTATAAATCAAACAAAATTATTGACCAAACAGTTAACACCTTTTCTTTTTATTTGTGATTAAGTGATAATCTCTGTCACTATTTGTTTGTTTGTTTCAGTCACTCAATTGTTTGCTTTTCATTAAACAATAGCTATTTAATAGCTATACTTAAACTTTGTTAGTTTGAAAAGTTATACTCATTTTTCTAATATTAAAATAATTCATTGCATCAAATGTCTGATACAATAATTATATATACAAATTTGTAAAATATAATGTAAATTAAAATTAAATTAATTAATTAATAAATAAAATAATTTTATTTGATAAACTCTGTCTTTTTCATTAAATCAAATCAACCAAACAGTATCTACTAATTACAAACTAATAGTAAATAAGTTAAAAACTTTTTTTTTGTATTTACGGTACAATTAATAAAATAAATTATGAATACGTGATATACTATTGTTATATACATATTAGTACATAGTATTACATATTGTTATCTAACAATTATTGTGCAAACAATCAAATATTAATATTTAAATTAAATATAATACATTATAGTATAATATAGTAAGTGGACAAATATAATTAACAAATTAGCCAGTTCACTTTGTTTTAAAATTTATATTAATCATATTCTGTATAATAATATTTTATTTATTATCATTCAGTCAACATTCAGATTAATAAATATATTTAACCACTAACTGTACAAATATCCAGAGCTTCTCTCTCTCTCTCTCTCTCTCTCTCTCTCTCTCTCTCTCTCTCTCACTCACTCACTCACTCACTCACTCACTCACTCACTCACTCACTCTCTTTGATGAGTTGACTAAATTTTTATATTAATATTTTAGTTGACTAAACAATGTTTTGAAGCGTAACATTACTTACACTATATAATTATAATTTATTTTTATACTGTATTTAATTGAATGAAATATCAATTTTTATTCATAATTTCATTGCATATTGAATAGCATTTGTCAAACAAATTTTATATACAAACTGAACTAACTGTTCAAATAAAAAGTGTATTAATATCTGGAAAAGTATTTAATAAATTTTAATGAAATTTATTCAAACATTAAGTCTGGCGATTGTTGTTAGGATTATAATTATTATTGAATTATTTAATTTAAAAAAACAAAATTTAAACAATTCATACATTGGAAACATTTATTATACAAGTATTTAAATGTTATGCTATAGAGTGCTATCTATAGATCAATATATTAGTTGTTGGAAGAAATAGCACTAAATTAGTTGCACTGACTGTCACTCATGTATTGTAAAGACTATTATTAATAGTCAGTAATTGATTGATTCGGTTATTAATAATATAATAATAAATATTATTATTATTATCTAAAATGTCATCCAATTTGTTGAACCAAAACTCAGACCCGCGAAGAGCCGACAAAATTCAAAGGTTTGTAAATGGTTTGTATGATTTAACTAATTGGACGTAATGTGAGATATGATTCATCAGATATAAGTCACCACCGATTGGCACATCCAGTGGTGACGACCCGTTGCCCGACTATATGAACGTATTGTCAATGTTGTTGTCGATGTGCGGACTAATGATGAAACTGAAATGGTCTGCTTGGATGGCACTGTACTGTTCAGCCATCTCTTTCACCAATTGTCGTATCAATGATGACACCAAACAGATCCTGTCGTCATTCATGCTGTCCATCTCAGCTGTCGTCATGTCTTATCTTCAAAACCCACAACCAATGAGTCTTCCTTTTTCTAATTAAGTCTTCATTTGAAATGTTATCAAATATGTTAACAATTAAACACATTTTATTTAATATATTAAAATTTATTTCTTAATAATATCTAACTTATAGTCTAAAAATTTATGACATTTGAAAAACAATAATTTAAGTATAATAATGATATCAATTCATTATCAAAAAATTAATATCTATTTTAAAATAACAAATAATTCAATTGAAGTAAATTTTACAATACTTTACAAATATATTGTTATATGAAATATAATTTTAATTTATTTGATTCTTCTGTGAATTTTAGACAAAAATCCATAGAATATATTCTTCGGTAGTTTTGATGAGACAGTTAACTCATCTATTAATTGACAGATTTCATCGAAAGTCATATCTTCATACTTTCGATAGAGTTCCTCAATATTGAGGTCCTTATAAATAGCTTTAACTTTGGCCACAGCTTCGGAAGTGTTGATTCCATAATTATCTTCAATTATCTGTCTTTGTTCTGGAATAGCATTTTGAAGTGCAGTGATGACAGGCCAACAGCACTTGCCATCCTGTATGTCAGTACCGACTTTACCGATTACTTGTGGATCACCAAAACAGTCGAGATAGTCATCCTGTACTTGAAAGAAGTGACCCATTTTCAACAGAATCTTCTCTGCTTCAGTATGTACTGCGGGATCACTCAAGTTAGACATAAACATAGATAAGCGCACCGGTAGACAAAAGGAGTAAAATGCAGTTTTATATTTAACAATAGCTGCATATCTTTCAATAGTAAACGATCTCAAGTCAGCTTTATATCCTTTTGATGGAGGGTTTGACAATAGGTCTAAACATTGACCATATGATGTATAACGAGTCGTTTCAAGCATAAGATCCAAAATATCGATATAATATGATTTATCTTTGAAATGATGTTTTATTATATAATAAATACACGACTCTAATAATATTGCATCGTTACAAGCGATTAGTCCGACCCCATCCTAACCAATGATAATCACACAATCAAAATGTCAAATATTTCTATAAACACAATATACCTGTCGATACCAACAGAGTTGTCCTCTTCTTGTGATAGACTGATCCACCAAATCATCGACAATCAAGAAGTAAGCCTGAAGTAGTTCAACAGCCCATCCAAGAATTCGTGCCAATTCTAGATTCTCAGAGGTTTGCTCTTCAATTGGAGCCAACATTCTATAAGACATAACAAGAGCTAATCCACGATTTCTTTTGCCGTTCGGAACATTGTAGTCAACCACCTGTTCAACCATTTAAAGCAAAATTTAGTTTTAAAATTATAACTAAATCTATTGAAAACCTTTTCAATCCATCGAAACGATTCATTTAATTCCAATTCATTAGTGTTGGGAATCATATCTTTAAATACTCGCCGATAGGTCTCATCAAAAGCTATCAATTCTTGTCGTTCAACATTAAAGGTGTCAACTTCGAGGTCATTGTGATTAAGAGATGTGTCGGATGAGTAAAGTGATAATCTTTGATAGATAATTGAAAAATGAAGATCAAAAATATCAAATGACTAATTCGTCACTAACTTTGAATTTTGTGTCCAAAATAATCGCAAATTCGACGATTGTCTGTCAATTGGTCTCATAAGAGATTTTGGCACCAATTGTCTCATCACAGATCTGATGCCAATTCTTGAAGCAAAAGCAAACATTTCTAAAATCTTTTATTTCAGTAATTTTTAAATAAAATAATTTTATTATTATTAACATTAATTTAATTTGGGAACTATTGTTGATAACATCTGAAGACACAAACAATACTATTAATGGTAAAGCAATTATCAATGACTTGTCAGTGACGTTGACTTTAGTTGACTTTAATTCATCGAAAATCCTGTTTTCAATCAAGAAATGGATCAAATATTTTCTGGTTTTTAAAACAAATATCAATTACTAAAACTAAATGATAAACACTTTAGTAAACAATTTCATCCAATAATTAATTTAATTATATTATTGTCAATACTTTGTCTTAATTATTCAATCGTTATATTTATTAACTAATTCATTGATTTAAAGACGTTTTCAATGAGATCTGACTAAACATTTGACACATAATCATCAAAAGAGGTCATCAATTGATTATATTATTTAGTAATATATTAATATAATATGAAATCTTCTTTTTAGTGGTAAATCAAGTCTTAAGAGATCACTTAATGGATCACTTGATAGACCACTGGATTGACTAGATTTGCAACAATTGTACACAAAATTCATAACCGCAAGCATTATATGCATTCATATTATTCATATGATTCATGTCATTCACAAACCAATCAAAACAACACAATGTTTATCATACATAGTATCACCACTTTATAAACATTTCAATTCAAAATTATATACAATATTATATTTATAACATTCAGTATAATAACATATTTATTATTACATTAAATTATATATTTTATAATATTATATAATATTAAATTTATAATTAAAGGTTATAATTAAGTACAGTATTATATAAAACATTATTAAAATCCCCATTTCTATGAAAACCTGTGCATTCTATACAATACAATGTATACAATGTTTTGTTTTTCATTACTAAATTTACTAATACATAATAGTATGTATAATACTAGTACTGTATTAATAAAAGTATAAAATAGTAACAAATATAGATTAATATTAAACTGTTATATATCTTATGTTATAACAGTTATTCTATAACTTATTTAAAAGAAACTAATAGTAAAATAAATTATTTTTTACTAATACTGTATTAATATAAACTAATATTCTGTATATTATACTATATTGCTAACAATAATTCAATAATTTTCATTTAAATTTTAATAAATAAATTTTACTAAATTTACATATATATCAAGGTTAAGCAAGGGGTAGGGGGTAAGGCCAAAATACCCCCTAAGATCGAGATTTAGGAATTTTACCCCCAGACTTTTTGACCAAATGGGGGAAAATTGTGGCTTAAAAACGAGGAGAAACGACACACCTTTATTTTAGTTGATACTATTTTAGTATGTTTTTATATTTTTAAAATTTATATGAATTTAATTATTGATTAAAAATAAGTAAAATAGTTAAAATAACGTTAAAACTCATCTAAAAATAACATTAATTTAATTAAAATATTAAACTAAAAAATTAAAAATTAATTATTTGTTGAAAAGAGTAATCATATTACAATTTAAATAAAAGTTTAAGATAGTTTAAGAAGTTAGTAAAACAATAAATACAATAAATTGAGTTAAATAATTAGCATTCAGTCAATAATTGTATAAAAATAACATTTAAAAAAATATACCTATAAACAATAAACATTAATTATTATTTAAAAAATTAATTGTGCTAAAAGTTAAAAATTATTTAAAAAAATTAAAAATAACTTATAGTGTATCATTAATGCTTTTATCAACTATTTTAAATACATTAATATTTTTTTGTTAAAATTTAAGATTTTATTAATTTTTATTTTTTATATATTGTGAATATTTACTTATTTTCCTGGGAATTTATACGGGAACTTTATGGAATTTACATGGGAATATTCGAGAATTTAAGGAATTTTCTCTTGACCCCCCTTGATTTTAGATTTTTGAAAAATTGCCGTTTAAAAATGCAATAAAAGTCTATACCCCACCCTAGACCCCCAAGATTTTTTGAAAATTTTGTAAATTTCACCCAGCCTACCCCACCCCTAAAATCCAAAACCTTGCTTAACCCTGATATATATGTAGTGACCGACAATATAGTAATGAGAGATCATATTTGACGTAAAATTATTAAATATTTTAACTAAAAATATATTCATTTTAGTCTAAATTTATGATAAATATATCTTTTAATATTTTTTATATTAATATTATCTATAAAAATATTAGCAATTTGCAGTATTTTATGATATTATTACATTATTTATAGATATTTAATTGATTTTATATCATAAAATAATATAATTTAAATAAAAAATTTTATAACAACTTACTTGATATTCTTTTATTATTTAATATATAAATTATAGTTAATAAATATTGTACATGTTAATTTTGATAATTTATTTTAAAGTACAGGAATATTCTAAATAACTTTTGGTTATTCTATAGTATATATATATATATATATATATATTCCCTTAATGAGCTTAAAATACAATTAAAAAATTATTATCTGTATTTTCATCAAACATACAATAATTATTGTGAAACTTTTTTTGCATTATTAAAATCTATACAAAATTCATATTATAATATATCATTATCTAATTTTAGTAATTAAATGAGAGTTGATACTAATAAATATCTAGTACCAAATTATTGATTATATAATTTCCAAAAAAAATATATCGTAAATCAACTAAAAATATATAAAATATTATTTTATTATATTCTTTTTTTTAATTAAATATGTTGTGGTATTTTAGTATTATAAAACTTTTATTAATAAATTACGGGCTATTTTTAAAAAATTAAGATTTTATGCTCAACTTAAGGGAATATGTGGTTCTATAGTGAAAACAAATACTGTAAAGTACTGTAAATTAATTAGAAATAAATAATGTATTTAAAAATACTGTAAATATGTAATATATAATAGATTTGTATGGAAACCAAATGTATATTTAGTACAGTACTGTAAACTATGTGAAACAAGTGTACAGTTTATGTACAGTATATTACACTTAGAGTTAGATTGAGATTCCCAGGGAGGGATGTTTCCAAATAAAATCCCTCCAATTTTCCCGGAAAATATGGAAAATATATTATATTCCCTCCATTGATCGTTAGAAATGGATAATATAATTTGTCATACATAAAAAGGACCTACTCTCAATGACTTTTAAAAAATTGTACTGTAATATGTGAGTGTCAATAATGTGAACATAACGTAAAAGCCATATTAAACTGTGTCATTATCACAAAAATTGTATGGCATTATCACACAGTGTTCAACATTTATAATTATGTGAAAAATGAGGAATGAGATCGATAATTGTGAAGAAGACATTAATGAGATTATTGAATTGAGTCAACCATATAATCAAATTGAAATTCATTAATATAATTATACACAATAAATTCAGTGACAATGCCTGTTGAGTGATAATGCATGATATTATTTAAAAAATGTAATAATAATAAAAAATAATAAAAAATCAAATAAAAAACATTATAAATTATTTTAAAGGAATGTCATCAAAATTATATTTAAATTGTGTTTCATATAAACGTTTTGTTTTGCCAAATTTAGGATTATTAACGTATTTTCGAAAACATTTGTTGTCAGCTACGGCGAGTAGTATCCACAGACAGACAGAGACATACAGATTATGTTGTTGTCGGCGACGGCGAGTAGTGGCCACATACAAACAGATAGGCATATAGATAGACATATAGATAGATATATAGATAGATATATAGATAGATATATAGATAGACATATAGATAGACATATAGATAGACATATAGATAGACATATAGATAGACATATAGATAGACATATAGATAGACATATAGATAGACATATAGATAGACATATAGATAGACATATAGATAGACATATAGATAGACATATAGATAGACATATAGATAGACATATAGATAGACATATAGATAGACATATAGATAGACATATATATAGACATATAGATAGACATACAGATTATGTTGGCTGCGACGGAAAATAGTGGCCACTGACATACATACAGATAGACAAACAAACAATAAAAACGTGGCAAATAAATACATTTATTGTACAAAACCTGTTTTTAATAAAACGATGTAATATGGGTTAGGGTTCGATGGGTGGTACCACAATGAAAAGTCTTCCCAGGGAACAGGGAATATAAGGAACTTATGGAAAATAAGACGAGGGAAGGAATCTGATCTAACCCTAATTACAATTACAATTTCATTGAATGTATTTAAGATATAATACTCTATATTACTAATAGATGTCTCTAATTGTTAAATATTATTAATACTGTATTAATACTACTATTATTGTAATACTTGTATTGTTTGCAAATGGAGATCAAAATTATTGTTGAAATCATTTGATTTATAATTAATTATAATTAATGTAAAAACATATTAAATACTTTTATTTGTCACTCAAGTTATTGTCTTAATATACTTGAAGTGATTGTGAGAACTGCCATCAGTGGTGATAGTGATTGAGTGGTAAATCAAGTGATGACAACTGCTTTGTTGAGTAACGAAATGGATGAAAGAGTTGTACCAAATGAAGACAACAGTAGTTGTGTTCAAACAAACCAAACATCAGACGTCTGTTTCATCTGTAAAGTAGTTTTTGACAGAAATCTTAAGAAAAGTCGCCGAAGAATTTTAAGAGATAGGGATGACTTGGTTTCACCACTTTTGTTGCTTCTTTGGACAGCACAGCGCACCGGCATCTGGTTCTCCACTCATGACATGCATCTAAATGTCGGCCCTTTGGATCAATCGGTGACACAACACTTACAGCAACAGTTTGCCTGTCGGAAGTGCTTTGAGAGAGTCATCAAATTGCAAAGGGATGTCCACAACTTGGAGAATGAAATGAACATTATTTTGGATCAAAGTTTTGATACACTTCTTGATTTAGATATTATAAAAGGCGATGAATGCAAAGTTCAACAATTGAAGAATGAATTACAACAACAAAAGACTTGTAACGATAATATCAAGACTAAGAAAGAGAAAAATATTAAGAAAAAAGTGAAAGTCTTGAGTAAAAAGAAAAAGAAAAAGACATCAAATCAAGCGATTTCTCAAATACCACAACAACAGCACATCCAGAAAACTAAACAAATTTTGTAAATATTTTTAGTCTTTATAGAGTTAATGCAATTAAAAAATAATTTTATTATTATTACTACTACTAAAAGACTATTAGCGAAATCACAAGAAGGCGATGGACAGCAACTTCTTGTTCTTCAGGTGCCAGCAAATGATAACGAAGGCGAAGACAGCCAACTGACATCTGAAAGTCAAGTGATTGAATATAATCCCAATGTTGACCATCATTACCATAACGATGAAAATGGAGCAGTTTTTCTCAGTTCTAATGCAATTCCTGTAACCACTTGTGTTACCGTAACGTCTGATGACCAGCTTTTAGAGGTTCAGTTGGAACCAAATGGAGAATTGCTTTCTAAACAAAGAGTTATTATTACTGAAGATGGAGAATATGAAGAAGAAGATGGAACTAATGACAATGAAGATAATGATATAACAAATAAAGATGAAACCAATGAGGCTGTAAACCGAATACCAGCTGAAGAAAGAGATTGGAACGACTATGCAAACGAAGTTTCTGCAAATAATCAATCAATTAAAAGAAAAGCAGACGATTCTAATAATGTTGTGATTTTTAAATTTGCTGAAGAGTTAGTAAAAAAAAAATCGATTTCAGTTATTAAAATTTATTAATTAAATATTTAATTATTAATTTTTAGTGATAACGAAGATATGTCATCAAAGAAAAAGAAAAGAGAGATTCTACATAAAAGAGCATATATTCCCCGATCGTCTTCACCACTTCCACCAGCGGGTGAATCAAAAGTAGTGGTACAGCTATTGTATGGAAGTAAACAATGGAAGCGAACAATGGATGGCGATATTAAATCAATTATAAGAGATATGGCTTTGAGACGACCAGAACCTGCGGGTCGTAAGATTGCCGCGTCTGACAACTTGTGTTCGGCTGTAATGAAGAATTACTCTAAACGATTGGTGTCTGAATGTAAAGATGCCGCCAGAACTATAAGAGTTGCCGATTATCAAGATATCACACAATTAGATATGAAAACGTTTACATCAGAAGTATTTCTTAAGTGTCCAAAAACAGCTAATTTGATCAAATCATTGATTCCGGTCGAACCAAGAGATACTCTCGATGAACATTCGGCCACTGCTTTAATAATGGGAGTCATTTTATATATGCATTCAATGCAATCAAATACATTACAACATATATTAAGTTATGTGTTGAGACGCGCCGGTTGTAATCGTGAAGGCTTTAAATTTCTACATTCATTGGGTCTGACTTTAAGTTATACCAGTATTTTGAAAATAATGAATGATATCGACACTAAACCTGATATTGAAAAGTCTTCAATTGATACCATAGAGAAATCTATCGATTCAGTAGTTATTAGATCTAAAAACGAATCTAAAAAAAGAAATTCACATTTGATTACTCAAGACTCAGCACAAGATCCAGTACTCGTTCAGTTAACTATTCCTTATTTTCCTTCCACTACTATAACTACATCCCGTTCCTCATCGCTCACATATACGGGAAGTCAATTGTCGAGTTCTAATCAAACCACATATACAGCAGTTCCATATGAAATGACTACTGACTCATCTAATGTATATACAACTCAATAAATCATTGTATTATTAAATAAATAGATATTGTTTTTATATGCAAATTAAAACTATTTAAATAATATTCTACTGTATATTAATCATATAAATTTTAAATAAGCAAATTGAAAGTCTATAAATTTATTCTATTAATAATAACAAAATTGTTTTAGCAAATCACTCATTTAATTATATAATTTTTTCTAATGCTAATCAAACTATTAACGGTATATTAATGTTAAAAACAAATTGTTTAGACTGTATGTCCATTAGAAATCAAAAATTCAATACCAATTAAACCATTTGAAAAAAAAGAAGATTTTAAATATATTTTTTATTGTTTATTGATAACATCACAATAATTATTAGCATATAATGTTTTGGAAAAATCTTTATATAAGTAAATTATTATAAAAACAATAGTAACTTAATTAATAACCACTTGAGATGACTTAACATTTGTATAAAATTCTTTGTACTCTTTAACTATTGTAGCTCTAAATATGGAAAAACAAATGCAAATAATTTTAAAGAATTTAAGGAACTTTACTATGAATTTGAATGCAAACAAACCTGAATTCAACCTTTCCTTTGTATTTTTTGGGTGCCGACCAACTAAATGATATGCTTTCCTTATCTTCGTTATCCTTATGTGTTATAGCATTCTAGTGTATATTATAATAGATATTAAGATACAAATGTTTTATTAGTTTATAATATTAAAAATTTATAATTATAATTACTTTTATAGTAATCATAATAGAGTATAATTAATATATATATAAGATATGTAAAGACATACCGACGATGGATTGCACTGTAAGATCTTTGCGTTGTCTGATGGCGTGAATTTGCCAATAGTGGCACTAGAGTTGGGCACTCTTGCAGTCATATGAAATCCTTTAAATGTTTTGCTACCGATTCCACTGATCGTAACGGTGACAGTCTTTTCGCCATTAGTTTGTGTTTTAGGTGTTGTGACCACTATATTATACGGCGCTTTACCCGACTTTGCTTTTGTCTTTTCATGTGAGGGCACATTAAGCTTACAACTGGGCGCACCTTCAGGATAACAATAGCACAACACTATAACGCTTAACAAAACTAGGATTAATAACTTCATCGTTACAATCACTAGAAGTGAATGAATGGTCTGTGAATGGATAGGAAATGTTATTTTAAAAGGAAAGTAAGTTATTGTCAAATTAAGGCCAAGTTATTCAACAAATGAATTAAATGCATGAATTGACGCATAAAAACACAATTTCTTATATCAGGCTTACCTTCAGCTTTCAGGTACTAAATAGACGTTTAGATTAAAAATATTTTTGTTTTTAAATACCTCCTAAATCAAGGTCTAACTGAGAGCTATGTAATCATAAAGTTTTAATTTTAAAATTAATATTTTTTTGAATGTTGAATATAATGTGAAATGAAATATACGTTAATTTGAGGCACTTTAGTGTATAACCTCATTGATAACCAATGATTGTTTCAAAGGAAACGTTCAAAGTTTGTCCTAATTCTTGATGTCTTTAATATCCAAAACAATTGTGTCTATCCTTTCACTTATAATTCTTTCTATAGTTTATATTATTTTCAAAACAGAAGTCAAAACTTGTTTTTAACTAAGTCTTCAGTTTCAAAGTGAAGATTAACTTAACTGTTCTCTCAATTTACCCCTTATTTTGTTGTTTGAAAGTAACTGTTGTTTATATATACTTTACTTGTGTTATATCATATAATTTAATAATATTTTATAAATTATTAAATATTATAATAATTATAAAAACATTTAATAACAGGTTATTTTGTTTTATTAAATAATTAAACGCACACTAGGAGTAGCAATTTTATGCATAAATTATAGGTTTTTTCAATCTATAAAGTTTTAAACAACAAATATAAAATTGCATGCCAGTTAATTTTTTATATAAAATAAATTACTTATACTGTTTAAACTATTGTTTTTATTTTAAATAAATGTAATAATGCTAAAAAAATAGTTTAGTATTAAAATATTTGTGATTCAAAAATAGTTATTATATTACTAGTTATAATACGTTAGTACTGTATTTGTATTATTACATTATGTATATTAATGTATAGAAATTATTATTATTATAAGAAAGAACATTTTACAAATACTGTATATTCTAATTCAATCAAAAGATAAACAATTTAAACTTTTAATTAATTTCATTAACAAATTTAATACTAAATTATTATTCTATAGTTAATTATATATTTTACATAATATTTACTGATAAAAAAACATTTTTATTACAATTTAATTTAAAATTATAGGCTAACTGGTAAAATAATTGGTAAGATTTTAATCACTTTTACTATAAATGTTTATTAAATTTTTAAAAACATCAAGAATAATTATTTAACATAACTAATTTTTTGATTTACTTATTTTACAGAATTTATAACATTATTACAATTTTATTTTCTCAATTTTATATTTATTTTATTAATTCTAATTCAATTTATTTTTAACAATATTTTAATATAAGTTACATCTAAGAATAAATATATAATTATTGTGTATATGTGTATATATTCCTAGTTATATATATATATATATATATATATATATCTAATAAAATATATGTATATAAATTTATATAAATACTATTATATATTCTATAATTAAGACAATATAGAAATCAGTAGCAATATATCATATTATTATTACATTTTCTGTAAAATTACTAATATATTATATAGATTTAATTAAATTATTATTGAAATTTATGTTTAATTAATTTATGTTTATATTATAAAAAATATAATTTATTCTATTTTTAAAAATAATAATTATATCAATTTTTTTTATAATAATATTATAAATGTAGTTTTTTGGTAAAAATCACAAGATATAATTTTTATTTTTAGTATACTAAATATAGAAATTTATCTAACAACCTTCATTAAAATATTAACGTTAATTTATATTTCAATTTTGTATTTGATTTAAAATAAGATATAAACTAAATTATTTAAAAGATTAATTAAAAATCAAGCCTTAAAAAATTTATATGTTAAAAAACGATGCATAATAAATACAGAATTAATTAATATATAATTTATATTGTATTGAATGAATTTAATTAATTATTGACATTAATAATATTATTATATATTTATTATTTACTCTCAATATTTTATTGTTTAATTTCTTTAAGTTTTTGTGTATTAATTTTTTCAGTAGTTTCAGATTTTTTTAGGTTTAGGTAAATATTATACTATTGTACTTACAATAAAAAGTTTAACATAAAGTTATACAATTGAAAATCCGGACTTAACTATAAGTCTAAAAATGAGAAGCTTTTACTTATATTGTATGAATAAAATTATTTAATTTATTTAAAAACTAAAACCATTATTTAATTGCAAATTAATATCTATTTAGTAAACTAATGTAAAATACTATATTTTATATATCAAAAAGTTTAAGCTTTATATGAGTTAACTGAAAACAATGAATACGTAATCGTTTGGAAATTTTAAATTAAAAACATGTATTAAGACAAATGACTATTGAAAACAATGTATTCAAAGAATTCAATGCAATCAACGTTTGCTAAAACCTATTCAAAAATTATTATGTTATAGAAAGACATACATATATCATATAAAAACCTGTTGAGAATGCTATAAAACTCCTTATCCAAAGTAAACTTTACTCATGTGGGGTATTAAATGATTCAGTATGACAAAATAAACTCAAATATAGTCATGTGAGGTATCAAATGATTCAGTATGACAAAATAAACTCAAATATAGTCATGTGAGGTATCAAATGATTCAGTATAACAAAATAAACTCAAATATAGTCATGTGGGGTATCAAATGATTCAGTATGACAAAATAAACTCAAATATAGTCATGTGGGGTATCAAATGATTCAGTATGACAAAATAAACAACTACTCATATGAAGTATTAAATGATTCTGTGTTAAAATTTATAAATACATTTATAAAAAATACTGAATTACTTCTATATTAATAATATAAATCTTAGGAAATTATACATTACCATACATTTAATTTTTTATACTTTTTTTCTATTTTCCCGGTGATAACAAAATTTAAATGCTAATTCCTTATCCCTGTTTTGATGCTTTATTTAAATCTATACTCAAAAATTTTTACCTAAATTTTGTTTACTTTGGTCGCCATTTTCTTTATGATCCCTAAGAGATATGAAAATTTTAATGCTGATGCCCTATATATATATATTTGATGCTTAATCCAAATCTGAAGTCAAAATTTAAAAATTCAATCAAATTTGATGGACAGACGGAAGAACATATAGAATTCAGAGATGTACTCCTTTCAGGAGTTAGTGATTAAATAAATTTTAAATATTTTATGAGTTCATCAAATTTTTAATTCTAATGTCCAGAAAAGTACAAATAATTTATATTTAAATAATCTATATTTAATATACAGTATTTTGCATTTATTTTAATAATAAAATTAATTATAATTTAAATATATTTAATAAATTGTAATTTTATCTTTGATATTACTTTTATAAGATTATGATTATTAAATTTTATTAATAGTTGTAATTAGATTCAAATTCTAACTATAAATACTTACAAACAGTTATTTATGTTTTTATTAAAAAATTGAAATACAATGAGAAGTATAGTCTATTTTATTTATTAATGAATCGATTTATGAATTAAAACATTTGGTACTTTAATATTAAAATATATTGTATAAGTAATAATATATAATTCATTATAAAATACTGTATATACTGTATATACTGTATATAATTATATATATATATATATCATACTTTTTATATGCTAAACTGTTAAGTTATTAAATATTAGTTAACATTTATTATATTATAAAATTGTGCATGTTAGCTTAAAATTACAACAACAAAAATATTTAAAACGGACTAATGTTGAACATTAAAAAATTATTGACTTTACAAATGGTTAATATATTTATAATCGATATTAAATTTGAAATCATAACTTAGTGAGTTTCACTATTTTATTAAAAATATTTTATTTAATACTACTGTATTTAAATTCATTGCATATTAATTTTAATCTGAACTTAATTATATTTAACAAAATAGATTTGCAATTAAAATAGATTTGAATTTATACAATAAAAAGTTTTTAAAAATTGTTTATTACATAAAATTCATTTTTCATTTTTGATAATTTAAACAATTTGATTAAAAAGTTTATTTATAATTGATTTTTAAAAATTGATTTTCATTTTTTATATAATAACTAAACTATACAAATAAAATTAATTAAATTATTTTCAAGAATTTATTCTCATATTTTGTAACTTAAATGTTGAATAACTGAGTATTTTTATAATTGTTTTGTTAAATTATTATTTATTATAAAGTAAAGTAGTTTCAAAATAATCAAATTTGAAGACTTATTATATTTTAAATTTAGTTACAAAGTCGATAAAAATAGTTTTATTTCGCATAATTAAAGTTAATATAATTTAATTAAATTGTCGTAAAAGCATTTGATTGTATTTATTTGTTTATATAATTAAAATTTAGTTTAATTATTAAAGTTTTTAAAATTTAGTGTTAAATGACATAACTTTGAACAAACATTATTATTGTTTAAATCAGACACCACTTTATAATACATTTTATTTTTGCTTATTTTGGTGAATAAAATAATTTTCTATACAATATCTGCATAATATTGCTAATAATTATTAGAAATAGACTATTGTCTAAATTACTTTGAGTTGATTAATCATTTAAGTAATAATTTATATTTATTAACAATTAATATAACATAATTCAATAAATTATAAAAATTAATAATTAAGTTCTTATGAATTAAAATTTGCGGGAAATTCCCGGGAAAATGACTAATTATATTCGAGACCTTAAAGAGTGATAAAATATAAACGTATATACAGTAGTGCTTTACAGTACTCTATAGTACAATACAGTACAGTATTCTATGATATTATATGTAATGACTTGTATTGCATAACACTATAAACACTATTAATGAAGTAATGAGTCATAAATTGATTGCAATTAAAGTAATGATTGGATTAAACAATCGTTTGATTTGTTATTAAATAAAACATTTGTTTGACATTTAAATGAAGATATTTGTGGTTCATATATGACAATAGATTTAGACATATATGTTATGTTTTGCTAAGATATCAACAAACAGTTGACATCACGAGTCAAGTGATAGCAACTAATGATATATTAATCAAAATGGATGAGACTGTCGGCAAAAGTGATGAATTGGTGGCCAATAAATGTCTTCTCGATATGACTAATGAAGAATTATCACAAAGTCTGGTCAATGATAGCAATGACACAAATGATGATCAATTGGACACTATTGATGATCAACAAACACCACCCGATGTGGTTAATGATAGCCAGGAAAGGGTGACAAATGATGACCAAAAAACAGAAATTAATAAAGAATTTTCTGAAGCGGTGTATAGTTGTGGCCAAACAGCCGCACATCAACTCTGTTATCACTTGAAATACATTGAATGGAATGGAGTGAAGACACCGATAATAACACAGAATCTGAACGGTCCGTGTCCTTTGTTGGCCATTATTAATGTTCTTATTCTTAAACGAAGAATACAATTACCATCAATGATGGATATGATAACAGATGAACAGTTGATGGAATATTTGGGCGATTGTATAATCAGTAGCGTTCCTAAGGTTCATATTTAATGTCATTTTCAATGGTTATTAAATCATCTTTATTTTTGATAGAATATTCCCGAAGGAGTTCAACTCAATTACGAACAGAATTTTATGGATGCGATGCAGATATTACCGAAATTACCGAAAGGTTTAGACGTTAACGTCAGGTTTACCGGGTATTTGAAATTCAATAGCATTTGATATATTTGTATGAATTAATGAAAACATAATTTACTAATGTATAGAGTTTTCGATTTTGAATACACACCCGAATGTATTGTCTTTGATTTACTTCACATTCCTCTATATCACGGATGGCTCGTTGATCCAAATGATAAAGAAGTGAAGACAGCTGTTGGCAATATTAGTTATAATCAATTAGTTGATAAAATAATTAATAACAAAACCTCTATAAACCCTGAATTGATTACAGAAGGTTTGCTTTTAGTATTGGTTTCTTTATATTACCGGAAATTATATTTTTTAAATGTTATTATATTAAGCCTTAATAGCTGAAGAGTTTTTAGAGAAGACAGCCTCACAGCTAACAAATTATGGCCTTCAAGAGCTAATTAATCGACTTAAAGAACAAGAGTTGTGTGTTTTATTTAGAAATAATCATTTTATAGTCTTATATAAACATAAGGTAATAAATAAAACAATTAACAAATTGAAAATATTAAGTATAATAATAAAATTTTCATTAAATTATTTTAGAATCATTTGTATCAATTGGTGACCGATCAGGGATTTCTGAGTGAGAATAATGTTGTTTGGGAGACATTAAACAACATTGAAGGCGACACTGAGTTCGTCGACGGAAACTTTGTTGTAGTTCCTCCTAAACTAATGCTAATCACTACAGGATTATCTCAGCAACAGATCGATCAAGAGTTGGTTCATATTTATAAAAAATAATTATTTTTATATTTTAATTATTTAATTCTTTTAATTAGCTATTTAGTGGCTCTTAGCCTACAAGAAGAGCAAAAGCGACAAATGGAGAGTTGTAAAGAATGGGAACAATTTAAGCAAGACTCTGGTATGGAAGGACTTACTGATGAAGAATTAGCCAAACGTTTACAAGAAGAAGAAGACAAAAGATTTGCATTACAAAGACAACAAAGCGAAGACCAGTTGGTGCAACCGCAACAACAACAGCAACAACAACAACATTCGGCACCAACACATCATAGGGGTGGACAACAGGTTCATCCAAACGCCGGTCTTCAACAAAGAAGAAATACAAACGGCAGCTCTGAAGAGAGTGAAAACGGAGGATCAAATAAAACTAAAAATAAAAATGTTTGTATTTTTAAAATATTTACAACAATTAATTCATTGTTAATAATTAAATTATTTTTTAAATAGTGTATTATTATGTAACGAAATGACATTCCGGTCACTTTAATGAAGAGCTTTTTAAATATAGATGAAGACTAGGAATCACTGCCTGAAGTGTATGAAACCCATACATACACTAATTATTAAGTCAATAAATCAATTACAATGTATATTAGGGAAACAGTAGTTATAAATGAATGTAAATATTTGTATCGTAAATGATATGAAATTGGAGAAGATGTGCCTTTTTGGGGGAAGTATAGCGTTTATGTGCCTAAAATCAGGTCTTAATTTATAATTTTCAATTACCGCTGAATTTATTATAAAAAATCATGTATTAAATTACGTGAAAAATTTAAAACGATTTTATCAATACTGTAGTAATTTAAGTTTATTAATCTTCATAATAATATTATTATTTATAGACTGTATATTTATTATTATCGATAATATAAAGTTATGATGTAAATTAAAATATCATACATTATATTTAATTGTTTTTAATACATAAATAATTTTTGGTAATTTATGTAATTTATTAATTGATTGAATATTTAAATAATATTGCGATCATTGCTCACGAAGTGACTTCTCGTTAACATTCAAACTGTCTGATTGTGTATTTTGATTGACGGCAGCCTGAGGTGGACGGGCTGTGTAACCATTTTAACAGTTTATGAAAATTATTGTATAATTAAATTGAAGTTAATATTAATAAATTGAAAGTGAAATGTTTATACTTAGACACGAGCCGTCATAATAATTGATGTCATCCAAAGCAAACCCACCATCAGATGCCTCGCCTTCAAACTGAACCTTTTGTAAAATGCAATTAAAATTAAATAATAATGTAATTAAATTAATAAATATTAAGATGAAATTTGATGACAAACTCGAAATGGTATTTCAGAGTTGATAGCCATCTGACCGTATATCCATTCGGGTCGACTCGTATCAAGTCTTCGGGTAGACATTCTCCACAATAATGTTTTTGTTTCGATGGTCAGTCCGTTTCCTCGTTTATCAGACTCTTCTTGAGGAGCACCTGACTCTGCACTGTCCTGAGTGACTATCGATACACTCAACAAAGTTGTTTCACCACTAAAATTATATAAATAAATATTTCAGAAATTATTTTTAATTTTTAATTAAAGAGCTTATAAACCGTCCGAAAGGAGTAAACCAAAAACTCAGACATTTAGGAGTATTTCCTTCTCCTCCGGGAAATTCAGGAGATCTTAGAACTGGGTATTGCATTGCATTTTGATTGAATACATCAAAAAATAGATATCCGACTATTAAATGATAATATTGATAGCTTTAATAATATTTAAAATAATAATCTATTACTATAACATACTGGGAGCCCTATATGTATGGTCCTGTAAGTTAGCCGGTCTGCTTGTAGGTGTAGCCAACTTCCAAGTTAATGAATCTTTAGATGAAACCGATAATCTATTTAATGATTGTCTTTTATTTGAGATGAGTGCAGCTTTTTGAGGTGATGGTGAAAATTGTGAAACTTCAGGTCCGGGACCCGATCCCGATTGGTTTCTATAACCACACAAATCTCTTTCAAAAGAGCACTCGCCTATAACTGCGGCAGCTTTTGTTGGCAACGCTATATTTATTGATTAAATTATATATCATTTACAGTATATTAATTATATCATCAAATACTGTATATATTTTTATTTATAAATACTAATGAAAAGTATTTGATGAGCACTTACTCGCACAGTTACCATCAAAAAAGCTAACATCATCTATAGCAATAGTTCCTACCTATTTGTATAATTAATAAAATATTAATTTGTTAGTTAAAAATAGATATACCCGTCCAACATACCCGTCCATCTCCCCAAATGCCTTCAATAAGAATTTGATAGGTTTGTAGAGGAGGTTTCTTTTCCAATCCAAGAACCAGAGGAAGACGTGCTGGTCTCCAACCCTTTTAATTTATTAATATTATAATTGAATGGTAATTAAGACACTTGTAGTATACATACCAGTGCTTGATGATTATTTAGACGCCAAATTAAATTTAATTGTTCTCCGCTATCACTTAATGTTTTAATATAAACCCTAAGACTTCCGAGACTGGGTCCGCCCGGATCTATAGTGCGCTCATACATGAAATAATAGAAAGACATGCATTTTGGAGTTGTTGTTTGCGGTGTAAACTCTGGACTCAAAAGCCAAGCTCTCGTTCCCCCTCTTTGAGGTTGTAATTGATCTCCACTTAAATTTATAAAATAACCTAGTTCATTAAATTTTATTATTTACTAGATATGTCTATACATACAATTTGCAATAATCATACAAACCATCTGCTGATTTTTTTGTGTGATCATATTTAGGACCCGTTCCTCCAAAACTATATTGTCTTAGCCAATCAAAGTCATCAACACGACTATGTGGTAAAGGATTGTGCCAAAGACACATATTCTCCTCAAAAGTACAGTCACCACTACCTCTCGATGCCGTTTGTGGTGAAACTGCAATATGTTTTATAAATTTATTATAATATTTATTAATATTTTATATATAAGAAAATTAACATTTAAATAAAAGCATACTGGGACAGGTGCCGTTTTGAAATGATATACTATCCATTGCTATATTTCCCAATGAATTTTGACCGATAGTTGCTTCAAATACAACCTAAATTTTTAATATAAAAATTATTTTAAACAAATTTAAACAAATTTAATAATTACATGAAATTGTTGGACAGGAGATGAGACGGGCACCTGACCCAAGTACCAGTTATTGCCGGCTTCTCCTTTCATTTCCCATAATATTTTTTCAGGTCGTTCCTCGTCTCCAACATATCTTAATTTTACTCTTAAAGTTCCGATTCCATTGCCATACATATGAGTAGCAAATTTCATACAAAGAGGAAAACTATCCTCTAATATAAGTAACATTTTAACAATACGTGACAATAAAAAAATATGTTATATTTTTTAAATACCGGTTCGTTCCATAAGAGGACTGATAAGCATTGCTCTATCACCCGGTCTGCGCGGAAACGAGGCGTCTATGTATACAAAGCCTCCCGACTGTTCATTTTGACCAAAACTACTGAAATCACGGGACGGACCGGTAAATATATTTTGTGACCCTTTAAATGAAATAACAATTTATTAATTATATGAATATTACAAATTTGTTTAATACCTCTTCCAAGAGTCCATTCAAACTCATCATTTTCTTCCTGATTAGTCCATCCGCAGAGTCCGCCTTCAAAAGTACAGTGACCTAACACAACACAACACAACACAACACAACACAACACAACACAATACAACACAAAATCAAATAATTTTTCAAATATTAAACACTTATTATACTATGAGTTAAACCTTTGCATTGTTCTTCTGCTTCATCGACGGGTTGAAACTGGACGTCATCTACAGCTATATATCCTCTGTAAGCCCTATCGGAATCGTCCAGTTTTTTTGCCGTTGCTTTTAAAACAATCTATAATATCATATATATATCATATATTTATAATATTATAATATATTGTATAATAATTTATATACAGGAATATTATAGATAATTTTTAAAAATTAAAAAAATAAAGTATTTTTAATGAGAACATATGAAATGATAAAACCATATAATATAAATAATAAATTATAATTAAGATATTTAAATTACAATACCTTATGAAGTGATCCATATGTATAAGCAGTTTCACCCCTAACCCAAATGCCTTCCATACCTTCACTACTTTTCCAAATCATACGATCCATTCCCGTCTCAACATCTCTTAAATGAATTTCAAGATTATCAGCGCTTAAACCATCGATTGCATAGAAAAAACTCAAACTAAAAACCAATTAATAAATTAGTTTATGCATTAAAGTGTGTCCATAACACTACTAACCATAAACCATTGGGACCGGTGTCTGAAATATTTGGTCCCTGAAAATATGCAGAAGTTGGCACTTGGAGTTCACCACTTGGTTCTGATGACATCGGATGAAATACTGGAAATTTGTTGAGAAGTGGTCGTAATAATGTATTTTTATTTGTGTTAATGACATCACTTAAAGATGTTGTATTGCTTGAGCTTAAAGAGTCACTTAATAATGGTGTGACTGTACTGGGAATGGGCTGATGTGATGTCTCGAAATATACATAACCGCCTTTTTTACAAAAATTAAAATTTTAGATAAATTTTCTTTAAAAATTATCATAAATACCACTTGTATCGGCCAAAGTATGATCATTTCGAGGACCTCCCATCCAATATGCTTGAGCTCCCTGTCCTGTTCGCCATCTAATCTTTGGATGACTATCTGGCAGAACAATCCAACCACATGTTTGCAATAGAGATCCCGAACCAAAATCGCAAATCAAGGCTCGGGCTACCTCTTGACCTGATATTTAAAATTAATTAACTTTATTAAGTCAATGGAAATTTAAATTTTAAAAAACTCTTCCAAACCTTCTTCGTCTTGACGTTTATAACGATTTAATAAATCATTTTCAGTCGGAAATGCTTTTGACAACAAATATTTACTCGAATTTAAGCTTTCGATATAAGCATTGCATAAGTTATCCGTTATTTGTAACAAATAATATAATATTAAATATAACTTTGCCATTGAATTGAGTTATTAACTTATCATTATTTATGTAATTTAACAATAATCTAAATTTTATATAAGTTATAAAAGTTATGAAAATTATTATTATTATATTAAGATAGATAAATTGTTTTAGTTATGCAAAAAATGAGACTTAAATATTATTTTCAAGTTATTTTGCTTTATATATTGTATAAATATATAAGTATTTAATGTCAAATAATATGTTAAAAACTTTTTTTAGTTGAAATATTTAAAACATGAATTCAATTAAATTGCATAGAATTGTCTGAAATATTGAAAGAATAGTTTGGATTTCCAATAGAAAAGTGTGTCATCGATGCTATGTATCCAATGGTTACTTAAATTATGTTACTTTTTCAGTATATGACATAAATATGATGTTTAATAATACAGTAGATAACTATTATGTAATATAATTAATTAACCTCTATTTATTTTATCCAATATTTTGAATATTCTATAGTATTTTAAATGTTTTGATAGTATTTTTTTAAATGTTAAGATATATACAGTATTTATATATATATATATATATATATATACTTAGTACTGTATTTACTATAATTAACTTTTTAAATTATAAAATTTGTTTTATTTATACATAATAGTAGAATAATTTTGTAATTAATAATATACTCTTTTTTCATAATACTGTATCTTATACTGCATTGTATTAGAATTGTTATTAGAATAAACATATATAAAGTAGTTTATATATATTTTTACTATTTTTTGTAATTTTGTTTAATACACAAAATATTTATTATAATTTACAGTATAATAAATAATACATGTGTAATATAAAAAGTGATATTATTTTAGTTAATTTATATCATAATAAAGCTTTTCGTGTAATTGAAACGATGCATAAAAAAGTGACATTAATTGACTGACTTTAGGCATAAATTTGGTGATCTCTTAGGAGATGACCTAACTATAGATCATTGGGAACACAACAAACTTTTTCAACTTTTCATTTATAAATTATTGTTTTATTAAAACAATTTTTTCTGTTAATAAATTAAATTATACAAAATTTAAAAATTTTATTGTTCTATAGATAATTTTTAAAATTTATCTAACGTTAGCCTAATAATACAATATATAAAATTTAGCACTAATTAATGATTTATGAAAATTATTATAAACAAATATTTTAGTAAATATCCCAAATTCTAATTTATATAATCTAGTTAAATAAAATTAATAAATTATATGTTATATAGATATTTAAAATATTTAATGAGTGAGTGAGTGAGTGAGTGAGTGAGTGAGTGAGTGAGTGAGTGAGTGAGTGAGTCTATGAATAGTTAAGTGTATGATCTTGAATATTGATGAGTAGATTAAAATTAAAGTGTATATAAAGTAAGAAACTATTACAATAAATCAAATAATTAAATATAATTTTTTTTAAATCTGGTAATGTTATCTAGCATTTTCAACTGTTTTTATATTATTTTTATACAGTATAAATTCATTATAATATTATTTTAATAATTTCAAACAATTATTTGAAAATGTGTTTATTTTAAATTATTTAAACAAAAGTTATATTCGTAAATACAGTAAATAGTTGTTATAAATTAATTTTATTGCAATAATTACTACCAATTGAAAAACAAACAATTAATAACATCAAAATAACTTTTATAAAAATACTATAGTATAGTATAGATTAGTATACTGTACTATAATTTATAAATATATAATTTAAAAATAAAGTAAATTATATTTATTAAATACTATTAATTTAATTAAAATATCAAATGCTATTAATTTTTTTTATGTTTACGGTTATACAGTATTTTGTTATAAATATTAATAATAATTTTTGTTAAAATTCAATAAATTCAATGTAAAACTTATCAAACTTATAGTGCCTTTACTACAGTCATAGCATTACAATAACATTAGAGTCAATCACAACAACAAACAGCTGTCATATGTTTGGTCTAACAGTCAAACAGTAAGTGATTGACACAATTGGTCAGTGATTGACACAATTGGTCAGTGATTGACACAATTGGTCAGTGATTGCAATGGATATGAAACCGGAAAATATGTTATCATTAAAAGGTTGATTCAAACAAATAAACCAATAAATCAATTAATTGTTTGTTTGATTCAAATGCTATCCTATCTTACAGTTGGTCGGGTTGTATCAAAACTAATACCAATTAACCACTTTATCACAACTGAAGAATATAACTCGTTTATCGGTAGTGACGAACCATTGGACACATTAAGATTGAGTCCAACTCTTGCCGATGAATGGCGTCTTTTGCCACAAAATTTCGGAAATGTTTATTTAGGCGAAACATTTTCATTTGTCGTTAACTGTACTAATGATTCGGTCAGAGAAGTGGTCACCGATGTTGTTGTTCGAGTTGACCTCCAGGTCGGCAATCGGGTCGTTAATTTGGGCGAAATTAAAACATCGCTTTTGGACGCAAAACAATGTATTAATGATATTATGAAACACGAGGTCAAAGAATTGGGATCTCATGTGTGAGTTATCACTAGTTATAGTATGAATTATTTGACTATAATTACCGCAATTGATATTTTTCAGACTTATTTGTACCATTGGTTTTACAATGAGTTCAAATGAAAGACAAAATTATAGAAAATTTTTTAAGTTTCAAGTTTTAAAGCCTTTGGACGTAAAGACCAAGTTTTATAACGCAGAGGTAATTATCAAATGATTTCATTTTTGTTATAATTTAATAATTATTTTTTTGCGTTTAAATAACTTTAATAATACACTACTCTAATGCTCTAATTCTATCACTTATTGGATACACAATCAATATTATGGCAACAAATTTTGCAATAATTACTAACATTTATTTTGATACTATGCATGATATATAGGATTATAGTGTAAGGAATATTGTTTTAAAAATTAATTGTAATAATAAACTGAATTATTATTTGATAGAGTGATGAAGTATATTTGGAAGCACTTCTTCAAAACTTAACCACAATTCCCATATGTCTCGATAGGGTTATGTTAGAGCCGTCTCCTTATTTTGACGTTAAACCCATGAATACTATTATAAATGAAGACAATGTGGAGCATTGGGTTTTCGGTAAAGTAAACCGATTTAATAGTCAAGAATGTCGTCAATATTTATTTAGTTTGACCCCAAAACCTAATATAAAATATAATGCAAGCATTTTAAAAAATTTGACTGAAATCGGAAAATTGGATATCGTTTGGGTCACCGGTATTGGTGAACGCGGACACCTCCAGACATCACAATTAGAGAGAATGGTATATCATTGTTGTCTAAATAAATTATTAATACAATATCGTTAATTAAATTATTTATTTGTATTATTAGACACCAGTTTACGGTGATTTGAAATTAATTATAGAAAGCATTGAAAGTAAAGTAAAGCTAAAGACTAAATTTGATATCATCTTTCGTCTTATTAATTGCTGGTAAATTGATTGTTATTATGTAATATTATTATTATTTCTAATACTTGTTTTTTCTAGCAATCGATCAATTGAACCAATTCTTAGTTTCGACAATTTAGGTACAAATCAAGCGCTTTTATGGTTAGGTATATCCGGTCAATCTCTGGGACCTCTTAAGCCGTCTAGTTTTGTAGATTTTGAATTAAGTGTTTATCCCATTGAATGTAATCTACATTGTTTACCAACTCTTAAGATAACTGACTCTTATTTAAAAATTGATTATAAATTCGATGAAATCGCCTCTGTTTTTGTCGAATAAATTGAAATTTTATTGTAAGACATAAAAATTTTTTTATATAATAATAAACTTATAAATATATCTATTATTTAAAAATTTAGTTATCTTTCTTCTCATTGCTTCCATCGGGATTTGTATTGTTTTGGTTATCATTAGGATTAGAATTATTAGCTCCCATAGCATTCCTTAATTGATTAACTAAATCGGGATTTGCGGCTTGCATTTGTGCAGCAATTTGTTGGCCACTAAATCATAAATAAATAAATTTAGTATAATATGGATTAAACTACATTATTGATACATACGCCTGTAAAAGCGCTTCGAGTCCGCCTCCAGAACCAGCAGCGCCTGCAGAACCAGTAGCACCTCCAGAAGAAGCACCTCCAGAAGAAGCACTTCCAGGAGCAGCACCTCCAGAAGAAGCAGTTCCTTCAGGAGCAGTACCTCCAGCAACTCCAACGCCACTATCACCTTCAGCCTCATTGTTGTTGGGCGGCATCGCTCCAGACATTAAATTGCCCATTCTATGTCATAATACAATCACTATTAACACTATTTATTATAAATCATATTATAAAATATACAAGTTTTGCATATTTGGATCGCTCATCAATTGTGTGGCCATATTCATAAGCGCCGGGTTTGACCAAAGAGAACTTAAATCAAATGGGTTTCCTCCCATTCCTGGCATTCCAGACATACCTGGCATTCCTGGCATACCTGGCATTCCAGGCATTCCCGGAAATATGTTTTGTTGCTAAACATAAGTTTGTAATTAATATATTTCTTGATGTCTAGTCATTAATACATACACTTTGAGATAGTTTCTCTTCAGCTAACTTAAGATTGTTTCTATAACTTTCATTGTTTGGATCCAATTCTATAGCCTTTCGATAGCAATCCCGAGACCTTAAGTGTTCATTAAGGTTGCCGTACGCCAAACCCATTCTTCCGTATGCTTTACTATAATTGGGATCATTACTGATGGCTCGCTTGCAGTCTTCCAAAGCCAACTCGTGATTGTTTATCTTGGAATAAGCGGCGGCCCTATAATTGGTTCATAATTATCACACATCATGTATGAGATTAAATGTTTTTCATTCAATAATACCGATTACAATAGTAGACAGCATTAGACGGGTCTAACTCAATGGCCCGACTGTAGAGACCGAGTGCTTCATTAAATTTTTCGGTTTTCATCAGTTCGTTGCCGTCATTCTTAAGTCTTTCAGCTTCCTTACGGTCCGCTTCGTTGATCTCAACTTTGGTCGCAACACCCGTCGCCTATTATATACAATAATTAAACAAAATATAATCACAATTATTGTAATCAATCGTTAAATTAATACATTTTTATTGACTTCCAAATAGTCATTAAATATTGTCTCCAACTTTGCTTTTGTCAAAAGTGAGGCATCCATTGGATTCACTTCAAAGGCCGACTCAAGACATTGCATGGCAACTGATTTAATACAAACAATACAATTGTTAGTAATAATTGGTAACAAATTGGTAACAAATTGGTAACAAATTGGTAACAATCAGATCATCACACCTTCAATAGACTCCTTTGAATCGGCGGATAAGTCTTGACATTTGAGTTCATCGTTTAAGAACTGTATGATAGACGACACCAAACGCTTCTTGTTTGACATTGTCTTCAAAATATAAAAACGATTCAAACAATAAAATCAATTAATTGATAAAATTTACAAATAATTAATTGTATTAATTGCTAATAAATCAAACGTTAAGTGATTTGCAAATTCATTCAACAAATACAATGCATTATATTATATGGTATTATATATACAGTAAGTCATCAATAATGTCAACAATACGACAATAATTGGTCACTCATTTGACCACTTTTTTGGTCACAATTTTGTCTAATATTCTAAACAAATATCAAAAATCTTAATAACATTTAAGACATAAAAATTAATTTAAAATTATTATAATTAATTAAATAATATTAAAATTATAATATTCCTAATTTATGCGATTAGATTTAAAAATAAATAAATGTTATTGTATTACAATAATATATAATTTGGAAATATTTTATTAAAGATATTACTTTTATGTAAAATTAAGCATTTAATGAAAATCTAAAATTTTAATTTATATAATATTAATAGTTTTTTAGAAATTTAATTTAAAATCAAAAGTCGAAATTTATTTTTGACGTAATTTATGAATAATATTAAATTAAATTTATATTTTTATACAACTGTTAATATTAAAAATTAAAATTTTCTTATATTAAAATTAATTAGTTTTTAAGATATTTTAATTAAACAAAATTTACATTTGATATTATAATTGAAAACTGATTAACAATTTTGTTCAATACTGAGATTTATTAATACTTATATAGTTTTACTTTAATATTAATAAAACTATTGTACATTAAAATAGTAAATATATAAATAACGTTAAATAATAATTTAGAAAATATTCGACTTTAAACTCGAATATCTCGAAAACTATTAGAGTTATAATCAAATAGATTTGATATTTGGATTCATCGCTAAATTTTACATAAAAACAATTATTTAGTTAAAAATAAAATATAAAAAATAGTGATTTAAAAGTTGATATTTATTTATAACTTAAATATTAATTTAAATCCAAAGAGAGTTTTAATAATAAAACGATTGAAGTATTGTTTGATTGGTTTGTCATAAATAAGTGAATCTTTGATTTGATCCCAACTGTGGTCACAATCACTGAATTGTTGGCCACAATGACGGACACGAATGTCATTCAAGTGACAAACATTGCTCCGAGTGTTGCAAACGATCAGTTGAAGACATTGTTTGGATTTTTGGGAACAATTAAAGAGATTGTCGTTTATCCAAATGAGTCAGTCATTGATTGTCTAAAATTTGTGAATAATTGACTAATTGTTGACATTTTCAGAGACTCAGCCCTATCGCCGACCTCTCGGGTCTGTTATATACGATATGCCGACTCCTGGAGTGTAGGCGTTGCCCAACACTTGACAAACACAGTGTTTGTCGATCGGGCGCTCATTGTTCAGGCATCAGATGATGGTATATATTATTATTGATTTCATTATATCTTATAATCTAAATGTTTGTATTTATTATAAGATATTATCCCCGACGCGGCCACTGCCATGAGTTTAATGAATGGGGGAAACATTACCGGCGGAAGCAATTGCGGTGTTATCAGTCAAGTGGTCAGTATTGTTAAAATGAATATATAATTGTATATATAATTAATTGATTGATTATAACAGGTGACAGGCGTTGCTGGCACTCAAGTAATTACAACAATTGATCCCCGATTAACAGCATTAGGTTTACCACAATACCCACCTCTACCGGCAAATATGGATCCAACAAAAATTGAAGAAATTCGACGAACAGTTTATGTCGGAAATCTTTGTTCAACTGTAAGACATTTAACTAAATGTTTTGATTGATCTAAAGTTTAATTAAATTAGTTATCAGCCGAACAATTGCTTACTTTTTTTAATCAAATCGGAGAAGTGAAGTACATTCGTATGGCCGGCGATGAGACACAACCGACACGATTTGCATTCGTTGAGTTCACTGATCAGTCATCGGTGGCAAATGCTCTTCAATATAATGGTGTTATATTTGGTGGACGACCACTAAAGTTAGTCAATACTTTAGTTATTTATTTCAAACAAAAATAATTACCGGTAACTAAAATTATTTTTATTGCAGAATAAATCATTCAAACAATTCAATAGTAAAACCTCAAGCAAAGAACTCAGAAGCGGCACAAAAAGAAATTGAAGAAGCAATGAAAAGGGTTCGGGAGGCGCAGTCACTTATATCAGCTGCTATTGAACCCGGATTTCAGGTGAAAATCGATAAAATATTAGATTTTTCAGGAAAAGAAAAGAGTAAATCGAGATCAAGATCCAGATCACGAAGAAAGTCACGAAGTCGATCACGTGATCGAAGAAGACGATCGCGTGATCGAGGAAGAAGATCACGATCTAGAGATCGATCTCGAAGATCAAGGTCTCGATCAAGAGAAAGAAGACGTCGTTCTCGAGAACGAAGACGAAGAAGAAGTAGGAGTAGAGATGACAAACATAGAAGAAGTCGTAGTAGAGATAGAGAAAGGGATCGAGAGAGAGAACGGGAGAGGGATAGGGAACGGGAGAGAGATAGGGAACGGGAGAGGGAGAGAGAACGAGAGAGAGATAGGGAGAGAGACAAAGATAGGAATAGACGCTCTAGAAGTAGATCCAAAAAGAGAGACGAGAAACGAAAAGAAATTGAAAAAATTGAAGAGAAGGTTGTATTACATTCTCCTGAAATTGAGACTAAACCCGAAGGACCTGAACTTCCACCCAAAGTAGACTATGTTGTTAGAGAAATGCCAGACACAGACGATAAGAGATCGAATTCAAGAGAGTTATCCAAATCTAAATCTCTATCTCCGACTTCACCCCAAAAACATAGCAGACGTTCAAGAAGTCCGAAAAGGCGTTCTCGAAGTAGAGAAATAATACATTCAAAGAGTCCACCGAGAAGTCATCACAAGAAAAAAAAGGATAGGGATCGGGATAGAGACAGAGAGAAAGATAGAGAGAAAGAGAGAGAAAGAGGTAAAGACAGAGAAAGAGATGATAGACACAGAATAAGTCGTAGCAGAGATAGAGATCGGGATAGAGATAGAAGAGAGAGAAGTCGTGAAAGAAAAGAAAAAAAGAAACGAAGAAGAGATGACAGTTTGGAACTGAATGAAAGATCACCAAAAGATATGAAAATACATAGAGATTATGATAAAGAAATTGAAGAAGAAGAAGAAAAAGGTTACGACTCTTCATATGAAGACAAATCATCGCATCGATCGAGTCGTGAACACTCTCGACGTAAATCTCTGACTCCAGACCACTGAGAAAGTCATTCAAATAAAAATCATTTTTTTACTAAATTTTAATTTACAAATATTTAATTCATTTTATTTAAATAAATAAAATTTCAAAACATAATGAGTAGTATTTGCGTTATTTGATAAATTAAATTAATGTATATTTCTTTATTTTTTATTTAAAATTTTATATAAATTTATTATAAAAGATTTAAATTATACCAAATGTAAGATAAATTTATTACCGCTTATTATAATTAGTATAAACACTGTATTAAACAATATATACAGTATTTATATTAATTTATACATTATTATCCAAATACACTAACAAGAGTACATTACATTACATTACCGGTACTGTAAACATATTATTATTCAATACTGTATTATATGTATATTATATGTATATTCAGGGTTAAGCAAGGTTTTGGATTTTAGGGGGGTAGACCGGGGTAAAATTTACAAAATTCTCAAAAAATCTTGGGGGGGGGGTATTGGGTGGGGTAAGATTTTTATTGCATTTTTAAACGGCAATTTTTTCAAAAATCCAAAATCAAGGGGGGGGGGGGGGGGGTCTAGAGAAAATTCCCTAAAAATTCCTTAAGTTCCCGAATATTCCCATGTAAATTCAATAAAATTCCCACAAGTTCCCGTATAAATTCCCGGGAAAATAGGTAAAATTTCCAAAAATATAAAAAAAACTTAAAAATTAACAAAAATTTAAATTTTAACAAAAAATAAATATTTTTTAAAAAAATTTTTTAAAATTAATAAAAACTTAAATTTTAACAAAAAAAAAAATAATGTATTTAAGATTTAAAAATAGTTGATAAAAGCATTAATGATACACTATGAGTTATTTTTAGTATTTTAATAATTTTTAACTTTTAACATAATTAATTTTTTAAACAATACTTAATGTTTATAGTTTGTTATATATTTTTATTTTTATACAAATACTGACTGAATACTACTTATTTAACTCAAATTTCGTTAAAGTTTAATTATATTAAGTACAAAATTGAAAATATTTTTAAATTTTTTATTTAAAATTTAAAAATTATTAATAAAAACATAAGTATTTATTGTTTTATTAACTTCTTAAACTTATATTTAAATTGTAATATGATTACTCTTTTCAACAAATAGGTAATTTTTAATTTTTTAGTTTATTTTAATTAAAATAATGTTATTTTTTGATGACTTTTAACGTTATTTTAACTATTTTTAATCAATAATTAGATTTTTATAAATATTAAAAACATAAAAACACTTACTAAAATAGTATCAACTAAAATTAAAATTTTTATAAATTTCAAAAAAATTTTCGGCGCCTTCGGCGCCGAAATTTTAGGGGGGGGGGGGGGTCATTTCTCCTCGTTTTTAAGCGACAATTTTTTCAATTTGGTCAAAAAGTCTGGAGGGGGTAAAATCCCAATTTCTCGATCTTAGGGGGGGGTATTTTGGCCTTACCCCCCCCTACCCCCCCCTTACTTAACCCTGATGTATATTATAATGTTGTTTGTGATCCTTGATTGATGTGTTTAAAAATATTTAACATTAAATAATAATAACTAAAACATATGTAATAATAATGTTTTGAATGCAATTTTGATGACAAATAGTCAAAACATTTATTTTATAATCAATTGATTTGTTTTCTCAACAATAATTGCATTATCATTGAAATTATGGATAAAATATCGGATCTAATGGTTTACCATAAGATTGTTGGTCTCATCAAAGACCTTAAACTCGGGTTTGATTGGACTTAGACTTGGATTCAATTTATGTTTTTAAAATATGATATATTTTTCATATCAATTATTGTCTAAACAGATCCACTAATGGTTCGTATGAATTGGCGACCAATACTGTGATGATTATACAAGAACTCATTGATCAATATATGTGGTCTAATGTCAGGTATTATGACATTAAGGATTTAAAGATTTTAATTTCATTAATTGAATCTATCAAACAAACAGTGAACTAATAATTGTGATTAAAGAGATCGCCGATGAGGTGATCACCGCTGAACCGACAGAAACAGTGACCGGAAATATGTTTAAAAGAGTTTTAAAGATAATTAGAGACGAATTCGCAAACGCCAGAGGACTTCATAATGAAGGAGAGATTGAAGAATCGCTTCAGAAAATGATAACCACTGATGAAGAGCCGAAAGTTAATTATGAGATTAATTCTGAGTTTTTGAAGGAATCTATCAACGACTCCATCAGTGAATTGTTGTCTGAATTAGAGATGAGTGTAGAAAATATAGCGAAACAATCACTCGAACACATCTACTTTGAAGAAGTCATTATGACTTGTGGTAAATCCAAGACTGTGGAGGCCTTCTTGAAATATGCGGCGAAGAAAAAGAGGAGATTTCAAGTCGTAATCGCTGAATGCGCGCCATTTTATAACGTATTTCACTTTAATATTACATCTTTCAATACATTACTATCAAATTTAATTCATTTTAGTTAAATTACTTTATTAGTTGTTTGCCAATGATATAGTTATATAGGTATTACTATTGATTGTAATAGTAATAGATTCAATCAATTTCATCTTATAGTATATTATTACCGGTAATTTAATTTCTAATTAAATAATAAATGTGAATATATTTTACGTTAAGTTAACATTCATATTACGGTACTTATCGATAATTAATATCAATTAAGACAATGTATCATTACAGGCAAATTAAGATAAACAATACAGATATTTATTAGTTATTATAATTAATGTAAGCAAATGAGTAAAAATGTATTTATTGTTACAAAAAGGGTCACGAATTAGCTGTCAGTCTTTCTAACGAAAAGATCAATACAACAATAATTCCCGATTCGGCTATATTTGCTATTATGTCGAGAGTTAATAAAGTTATAATAGGAAGTCATTCAGTAATGGCTAACGGAGGGTAAGTTAGTTTAATATTGGATATCGTAATTGTATTAAAGATGTTTAATAAAAATATTGTCATTTTATAGTTTGAAAGCCGTGAGCGGCGCCTATACTCTAGCACTGGCAGCCAAACATTATTCTGTTCCGGTATTTTTAATAAATTAATATTTTTTTTATAAATATACAAATTTATTATTGATTTATATTAATAGTTATGAATTAATATTTAGTTGATAGTCTGTACGGCAATGTTTAAGCTAACGCCACAATATCTCGTAAGTCACGATCAGTTGGCTTTCAACAAGTTTTCGTCTCCACAACAAGTGATGCCATACGAAGAGCCAGAAATGGCAACCGATTGTCAGGTTGTGAATCCTGTCTTTGATTACGTACCGCCAGAATTGGTCACTGTTTTTGTTTCAAATATGTAAGTAATTATCTATAGATTATAAAATTGTATTGAAATTATTTTTAATTATTTTTACTATTTTTTATTATAAAAGTGGTGGTAATTCTCCCTCATATGTATACCGGTTATTGAATGAATTATATCACACCGAAGATTATTAAATTTTTATTATAATCCTATAATAAATATTTACAATAAAATTTAAAAATTATCTTATTTTTAATTACCGTAATTTAATTGACCCCTCTTTAATATTTACATTTGATAATATCTTTTGATAATTTTGATTAATTTTGATAATTGTCAAAACCATTAATAAATTAGAATTTTATACGATTTTAAGCAAACATTTTATCTAATTTAATAAATGATAATTTTGTTAATATATCAAATTAATTGAATAAATAACTAATTTTATGATAACTTTGATATATTAATACATATAAAGTATTGTATATTCAATGAAATACTGTATTTTATAATTTATTTGTGCAAAAACTTATTGATTATATTTTCCCTCAATTTATGCAAATTATACTCATTTGACAACAAAAATGAATTAATATAACAATATATGACTTGTTTTTGAGTGAAAGTCATTTAAAACTGATTGACATTTGATTGAGTGTTCAAAACAAATGTTAAATCAATTGAATGCTTATATCATATGATTGTTTGCATTGAAATCAATTCAATTAACTGACAATCAATGCAATGAATAGCAGAAAGATATCAAACAATGAGTTCAAACAAAGACTGAGTTTAAGTTCATTAACAAACAGATCAACCGATTCATTGCCGTCGAGAGTTTTACCGCAATATTATGGCCATCCTATCGGTGACCACCACAACAGTCAACACTCGGTGGCCAATCATATGGATGAAGACGACGATGACATCGGGGGTCAAAGTCCTGACAAAATGAAGACAATGTTTAAGTCGATCTGGAATAACGTCAAGTTCGGTAATGTGACCACTTTGTGACCATTTGACTCTTATTTGCAAATCTAATGATAGGGTTTACAACACGACTAAAGACACGTTTCAGTTATGAATCACCGATTTGTCTTTTGGGACAATTTTATCACAAAAAACTTACAGACAGTCACTCGACTCGTGACGACAATCAATCTAAGAGTTCAGCCATTGATTTGTTTAGACATGACTTTTATTCGCGCATTTGGTTTACATATCGACGACAATTTCCCAAATTAGATAACTCTAGTCTGACTACAGACACGGGATGGGGTTGTATGTTGAGGTCGGCACAGATGCTATTAGCACAGGCTTTGCTCATACATTATCTCGGAAGACATTGGAGATGGAAAGGGTCTCAGTCTGACAAAGAAGATATGATACATCGCATGATTATTAAGTGGTTTGCTGACGATCCTAATGCCAGTTGCAGTCCATTTTCTGTCCACCAATTGGTCAGATTTGGTGAACAAATGGGCAAAAAACCAGGCGATTGGTACGGACCCGCATCTGTCGCACATTTACTTAAGTAAATATTTTATAATTAGTTTATTTCAATAGTTTAATAATTGAAAACTTTTTTAAACATAACTCAGAAATACATTGAGTACAGCAGCAGAAAGTAATCCTATTTTGAATAATATTTGTTGTTATGTGGCTCAAGATTGCACGGGTATTGTATTACTTTGCTTTTTAACTATAATTTGGTTAATATTTTGTTTAATTTAATTATAAATAGTATATATCGAAGATGTGATAACTTTATGTACATCTAATTCAACCTTAAATCGCGAAACATTACATTTAGACAAAAAACGATTCAGTAAACCAAACGATGAAATTAAACGTAAATTTAGTCTTTCGTCACAAAACTCTTCTGATATAGAGATTGGTCTGATTGCTCACGAAGACATGTCTTACGACAGTTTATTGGAGTCATCATCAAAGAGTCGAACGCCTTCATTGTTAAGTTGCGGTAAAATGAACTCAACTTTTAACTTAACCGATACCTCATACTCCTCGTCTGGTCCCCGCTCTCTACCATTCATTGTCAACAAAAGTGCAAACAATTCGCTTAAGACTGATTCTTCTCAAAATAAATGGCGTGGAGTTGTTATTATAGTTCCCGTAAGATTAGGATCAGATCGTCTCAATCCCATATATATCTCGTGTGTGAAACAAATTTTGTCTCACAGTAGTTGTTTGGGAATAATTGGAGGAAAACCGAAACATTCACTATATTTCATGGGATTTCAAGACGAAAAACTCATTTACTTAGATCCACACTATTGTCAGTCGACAGTAGATGTCCGACAAATCAATTTCCCATTGGATTCATTTCATTGCGATAATCCTTTGAAAACACCGATCACATGTATGGATCCAAGTTGTGCTTTGGCTTTCTATTGTCGCACTCAACCAGAATTCTTTGATTTTGTCAAAACCATGAAAGAGTATCTGATTCCTCCCAATCAATCAGCTGATTATCCTATGTTTGTTTTCAACGATGGCAGCAATACTTCAGATACAAACTATTTATCAAAAGATGACATTAAACCCGACAGACTTCTTAAAGTGAGACACCGTTTCCTTAATTCTGAGGGAAGGGTTGAAAGAGAATTTCATACCGAAGAGTTTGTTATGTTATGAATGGTTATATTTTTACAAATTTTTATAAAATAATTATATATCGTAATCATATTTATTTAGCATTTATTCTCATTAATTTATTAAATAATATTGTTCAGTGTTTACTGTTTTGTTAAATATCAAACATTAAACTTATAAACAATGAGAAGTTCGTATAAAAAAAAGGGTAACAGTGTATCTCAAGCTATATTAGAATCATATAATTTTATATTTAATAATAATTATATATTTTAGTTTAGATTTTAAATAAAACCAATTATAATTACAGTTTTGTTATTTTTATGATAATATAGCGCGCGACACATTTGTTGACTCTTTTTATTCATACAATTTTTAATCAATGATTTTACTGAATATCATGAAACTTGATGTCTAACAATTGATTTTATTTCTTAATGAAAGATCATTTATACACGTATGATATGATTTGTATTTTTCTCATTAAAATTGCATTTAGTCCTTAATTTTTCTCTAATTAAGTAACAAAACAGTAATACTAACTGTATTACAATAGTAATAAAAAAAACATTTTTATATATAAAATAATTACCTGTACTAAAAATTAACATTTATTAATAAACATGAAAACAATTTTATTTGTTTTTATTGTACTTTACTCTATAAAATTAGTTTTAATAAAAATATGAAAATATAAAAAATTAATTAAATTGAATAATCGGTGAACAGCCGTTATATTACGGTTTTGTTTTTTGGTGTAAATGAAAGGCACGTTTTGTTATATTAATAGTGTTTTAGCTTTGATTGACCTTAAATTATATGACTAGTTATTATGGATGCGTTATAAATGGACTTAACTTTTGAAAATTATTTATATATTAATTTTATATAAAATATCATTTGAATCGTTCAATACTTTGGTATAAATCAATAACCTTTGAAAAACTTTTTGATAACACTTTTGGTTTCAAATAAACTCCTAATCATATAAATCTGAATGAGTCCGACACCAATCATCACCATAATTGAGACCATTGAGAATCGGTTGACGTAATCATAGTTTGATTCGGCAATATTGCGATCTCTGGTCTCTATTGCTCTTCTAATTTCTTGTTCGTGCGAAACACGAATTAAGTCATCTCTCACTTTGTTTATTGAAGTCTATGATGTGTTTCACTTAATTAGTTAATTAATTATATAAAATATCATTACTTACTCTAATTGTTTCCACAGAATCTGAATACTGAACTTCTGGAGGAAATGTAAAGTCAGAGTCAAGACCCCAGCGGTCATTGTCGTCGTCAGTCGAGTAAACATAAACTTCAAGATTAACTAATTTTGTAGACATTGTACTAAAACTATTGTCCAAACAAATGGCATAAATTCCCGCTTCTGACTAATCAATCAAATATATGAATATAATAACCATTAATATAGTCAATGAATGCAATGATTGGTCGTTTAGTTCACTTACCGCCCGATAGACAAACTGTCCGTCTTTTCTTCGCATTTCACGAAATATTTCCACACCATTGGGTGCTTTGATAACAAAATCAATGGTCAAATCGGAAGAATGAGTGTATAACCAATTAAATCGCGACGAGATCTCAATTACTTGATATGAAATATCGAGATTATGGTTATGTTTGACGTCCTGATAGAAACAGTCATGTCTTCCGGGTTCGACTGCAACCCGAAGTTCAATGTCCGCCGAATCGCCCAACACTTCGTTATATGAGGCCATCGGTAACGGTTGTGAACCCATTGACCACTTTATTAATACCAATAAAATTATTATTTTTATCACTGAATTTGAATGTATGGCAAGTTTTGCGGCTTTTGTCAAACTTTGCATTGATTTCATGTCTTTTATCTTTAATATTATTTATTTCAAAATCAAACTAAAGATGGATTGAGGAAAATATATCAACAAATCAATTGAAGGACAATAAGTGACTAATTGTTGATTTGTTTGATATATAAATACATTTAATGAATACTAACTAACGGTATATAATATTATTATACAGTAATAGCTCTCAACTGTATTTCACTTACAAATACACGTGATTTCAATGATAGACACATTACTAGTGCTCACTATTAGTACATTTGTATTGCAATTAGTGATGTACCGATTGCAAAATGCGCAATTGCATTGCTCGGAAATTGCGTGAAATTGCCGCAATTGCAAAAAGCTCGATTGCGAAAATCGCAATTGTAACATAGAAAAATTTATAATTTTTAAAAAATTAACAAAATTTAAATGGCAAAGCAATATGAATAAAAACATAAATTAATTATATAAAATTTAATTATTTTATTATAAAATGTTGCCATCTAAAAACCATGTAAAAATAATAATAAATTAGTAAATTCTCTTAATCTATTGTAAACAAAATTTTTAACGTTGTCAAAGTTAATTTTTATACATTCCCTCATGCGCGCAATTTCAAGCAATTTCACGCAATTTTCCGCAATTGCGGCAATCGAAAATTGGATTGCGTAAAATTACCAACACTAATTGCAATAGTCAGTGATTCTCATATAAATTGATTCAATAGACTCTACTATTGTACACATGTTTTACAGTAGTGTTCAATATTTACTGATTATTATATTAAACGCATTGAATATTAATAGCATTGCATTGCATTACAAACAGAATTAGAAGCAAAAAAAATATAGAATATAATCATACTTTGCATACAATACATGAATGTATAGAATATTACAGTATTTGTTAAATATATACTAATTTAATATTAAATGACTTAATATATTGTCAAATGACTTGTATTAACTTCTCTATAAAAATCAAAATTAAAGTTATTATAATTATTATAGTTTATTATAATTATTATAGTTTATTATTATTATTATAGTTGGCAAATTGTATTATTAAACTGTAAATGATGATTGCAAATTATTATATCACATAAATATAATTTATTTAAATTTTTAATCGTCACAAATAAGTTTATTATATAAATAAATAATTATTACTTTATTATAATTTTTAGTGTATTATCAAAAAGAAGAATATTTTAATATATTACATAATTAATATACAATTACTATATATTATTATTTTTTGTATACCATTTATTATATAAAAAATTAATGTACTCTAAAATAACTTTATAAAATATATTTAATGTTACAAAGTGTAAGAATGGGTCTTTTAATTTTAATTAATTAAATTTTAATTTGTATTTTACAAACAAGTTAATCAATGTTTTTTATAATACTTTTATCAATATTATAAGTACGATGACGAGTAACTCATATATGATTTCTAATTTATTGTTGCCATAAATTGTATGTATAGTATGTAATGAAGTGTATCGTACAGTAGTGCTGACAAACATTACTTATAAAGACTACAGAATACAGAATATTGTATTATATGTAATGAATGCACACAACAGTGTATTACACACTATGAGTACATATATAGTAAATATACGGCAAATACAGAAAAATTACACCAAAAGAGGGCTAATAATTGGATTGACTCTCAAGGCATGGACTGCATGGTTGCCAAGTCGTGTATCTTTGATGTACCGATCGATGACTCGCCTGTTATAAGCCTCAGATAACAGAGCTATCGCTCTCTCATATAGTGATCACTGAATATTCTGTGCAATGCTTTAGTTGTGAAAATGGCTGCAAATATGTTTTTCATCCACCTCTTCATCAAATGGTTAATCAAAATTATTATCTTTAAAATATTCTTCATCGGTGTAATCACAACTACCTTTCAAGAGGAACATATCTTTGAAGCAGCCTTTCAAGGTATTCAATAAATTATAATTTTAATATTATTTATTTCTAAATATTTCATTTTGTTTTGCATTCAACTCCCTTATCTAAACGCTTAAATAATACTATTTAAATGCAATTTGTTTATAATAGCATTTTAGGTTTAAATGCTATTAGAAATTATGCATATTCTATATTGTTGTATATATTGCAAACGTTTAGTATATTTTAATAATATTTGTTATAATATGAAATAAAAGTTGATTGAGTTTTAGTTAAAATGTTTTGTTAATCTATTTCTTAATGGTTTCTTAGTGTTATTTATAATGTTTATTTTACTTTAATATATTTTTAATGAATGAATTTTATACATCTAAAACTAATTATAAAACCATTAATTTGAATTTGTATCTCATAAAGAAGTTTAAAATATATTCTACAATCACTATTAGTTTTATAAAATTTTAACAACAAATAGACAAAAGTATACTTAATCATCAATAATAAACTACTGACATATAATTTAAGCAACATTTTTGTTATTGTTTTATAATTTTCTGATTTAGAATATACTATACAGTATTTATATTATCGATTGTTTTAAATTATTGTATTAATTAACTCAATCTATTAAATAAGTTCATTAAATATTACACTATATATAGAAATTATTTGCAAATTAAGTAAAATTTATTAATTTATAGGCGAATGTCGGACAAGTGGACCGTGTGATCAGTTATGCTATGATCTACACGACGGTACGTTTGAATGCTCGTGTAATATGGGATTTACTCTCGACAATAACGGCTACAGTTGTACCGGTTTGTATCCATTTATTTATTATATGACACTTTTTGTTGTTTATTACACAATCAATCATCACTTATGTTGTAACAAATAGTGATCACAAAAAAATATACGTTTAGCAACTGAAACGTTGAACTAAATATTTTAATTTTACAATTTTATCAATGTTTCAATATTAAATAATAGTTACAAACCTACTGTATATATAATAACATTGTCTTTCATAAATACTTATTAGTTACTAAAGTTTGTGCATTATTTGATGATATTATGGTAAAATTAACATATTAAATATTATGAAATTGCTAATATTTTATATATTTGTAGTTTAATTTTAATTTAACTTAGTTAACATATCTAGTTTTGATAATAGTGACTAAAATTTAGATTAATACTGCCTACAATAAATTATTATTTAAACATATATTAATTTTTATTAAGAAAATATTATTATTATAAATAATAAATTGTTTAAGTAATATATAAAAATGTATTATTTTTAAAAATAAGTTCAGATATTTAACAACTTTTGAGAATTGGATTTATTTATAATTTCTGATACTTTAACTATATTTTAATATAATTAGATACATCCAAATGTATTAAATCTAACATCTACACATTAACTTTAAATTTAAATATATTAAACTAAAAAATACAAATTTAAACCGGGCAGTATTTAAAAAAATTATTTTGTTTATTATATAGAAAAATGGTTTATTTTATGTACACATTATTTAAAGTAAATTATAGAATTTATAATATATTGTTACTGTAATGTAATAATATAACTATTTTAAGATATAAATTTAAATGTTTTATACAAAAATAAAAAAAATCATGTTATGTTTGAAAATCAGAATAATAGATAATTTATTTAAGCATTTAATTATTAATATTTAATTTTTAGAATAATTAATTATAAATCGTTTACTATACTATTAAAAATATTTTTTCAATATTATCTATTAAAATAATTAAATTTTTTCATTGATAATTTATTCTGAAATTTAAGATAACAATTTATATTAATTAATTAATAATTCATTTTATAATAATATATTGAATTTTAATTTACTGTCTATTAAAATTAAATTATAGTACAACAAATACAAAGTATAATTTAAATTTTAAAATAATTGTCATTTTGAAAACTTTTATATAAAATATTATATATATATATATGAATTACAATATAAAAAATTTAAAGGTATGGCCAGTGATGGCACTAAAAACTCCTCCCAAAACAGATCTTTGTAGTGAATTATATGAACATTAATAACATACTGTTTGCCAAATAGCTTATTGACTAAAGCATAGTATAATTTAACGATTATAGCGACCCGATTGGTGAACATAATTGACAAATGCTTTTATTAGATTTGTTCACAAAAAACAGTTAAACAATGTGTTTAAGCGTTTTATGCCATTTATAGAGTCATGTTTTGTGATAAACAAATATCAAAATAAACGATTCTTTAGAGATTATATTATTTGTTTGAACAGTTGGGTCCATAAGTTGTTGTTTGCGTGAATATTAGACGAAGCCTTAAATGAGTGACAATAAGGGAACCAATGTGTCGACTGATGATACCTATTCCCAACGGCACTCATAAATGGTTACATTATATTATTGTTTAGCTCATCATAAAAATCATTGCTATGATACCAGTTCTCATATTTAGTTAATTCCCATTATTTATATTCTTATGAAATTTTATAATTAGACATCAAATAAATAAATGATATTATATACAAAAAAATATGTTTTAAGATTAATGAATATTATTTAGTATTTAAAATCAAGTGTACAACCAAAGAATATTCTGGTAAAATTCTATAAAATATTTGATTATAACTAAATCAAAGAATATACATCAACTGACAAATCTAAATTAAAAAGTTTAGGAACTTATATATATTGTAAACCAATTTTACAATATTTAATCTTATTAAAACAATCTTAAAGCTTATATACTTAATATACTGTATATATCATAAAATTTTCAATTAATTATTTCAAGTAATTTTTAACTTATATGAAATTAAACAAAAAAATACATTATAATTGTTACATTGTAATGGTTTACATTATACAAGATTCCAAACTTTTAAATTTAGATCTGCCAGTAGCTGTATATTTAAAATAAACTGTATTGATATATAATTTTAGTTGTATATACCGGTATATAAACTCACATAAATCTTAAATACATTTTATTTGCTGATAATATATGTAATACAAATTTATTGAAATTAAAAAATTATTTTATTTTATACTAGAAATATTATATTAAGAAAAAAAATTCTAACATTTCAGACAATTTGTTATTTAAGTTGTGATCAATGTTAGATCAATATGTGACAACAACAATAACAACAACACAATCAAATCAATGAAAACTATTTATTATTATTATTATTATCAAAAATTACAATTTAATTAAAAAATTAAATTATGATAAGACTGTGTGTGTGTGTATGTGTGTGTGTGTCTACATAAGTACTAAAGGATAAGGAAACAGGTAGTGATAATTATAGGTTATGTCTGTGTCTGTATGTATTTGAGTGACGTCTATCGTCACATTCCCTTCCCGCTAGACTGGCCGTCGGTACCAAATTATGACATCTCTGCGAAAATGTATTAAACTTGACGGGCAATCCATCCAAAGGGGTTTTCATTTTTGTTGTCGGTCGACTCAATACATTATTAGCACCAATTGTCAGACCATCCATTGATATAGATCTCGTCGCTATAGACCATCGATGACTACTTGATGACGTAATGTTGTCAACACTGTTATTATTATTTACAGTACTGCATATACTGTAACGATTCGGTAATGAGTAACGTCGCGCGTGATTTGTTACATTCGCTGAATAACAACAGTTATTATTATTATTATTACAGTACGAGTTCACGGCGCGTGCATCATTATCGATCGATTTGACACCAGGTGTCATCATATTCTTGACTTTTGCGTTAATATTTTTGTTTTTAATAGATTTTTTGCTAGTTTTCGTATAGTTATCGATTTTGTTGACATTTTTGACAATATTTGTACTACTGCTGTCTACCGTACGACAATAGTATGGCATTAGTGATGCACTGTTAGAAACAAATGTTTTTATTTTATTGTTTGTCTTGACATCGACCTGATCGACATTTTCAAATATTTCACAGACATTGCATGGTTTTATGAATGTCGGTAACCACTTGTTTTTTGACCGGTGAGTATCAAGTAATCGCTTAGTTGGCTGACAGGTATAACAGCTTTTGACGTAATCGCTAATTGTTTTATCTTTGTTTGGCCACCAAAACTGTGCACTTATTAATCGTTTTGTTTTGTCAACACCGATATGATTCATATTGTCGTGAAACTGTTTCAGTACTTCGATAGTGAGTGACTTCGGTACGATGACGTGATCAACACCTTTGTATCTAACCATAGCCACCCCATTCTTATACATAAGTTTACGGACATTGTAATCATTGATTTCGTGTTGACGAGAAGCTATTTCATTAATTATCGGTTCATTTGATATCAATTTGAGGTCTTGTTTGTGACCGACATATTTGCCGTCTTTGCATACAACGTTAAAAATATTTAATATTTTGTCAATTGTTTTACTAATAGTTTCGTCGTCCTGTTTATCTGTTTGTTTAACCAAATGACAGAAATGATTGCGGGGAATGAAATCGTCGGTAATCGTAGCGTTGACTTCATTTATATGCGTTTCATTATCGATAGCCAACTCATTGTTATCATTGAATTCATCATTGCTTTGAAATCGTGGACTAGTCCTGTGCTGAGTCCTTGAGTGACACTCATCGTCCCAATGATACTCAATTCTGTGGTCTTTAGCGCAATAACGACAGGGATATTTCGGAATATCTGGCCTTTTGTTTTGCCAATTGTTATCATTGTCCTGTCGTGTAATTGCAATACCAGCTAGAGTTTCATAATTGTTTTGTGGATGGCCGTAACTCTTGTCTTTTGCGCCTTCAATACTCGATGCGATGGCACGCCATTGTTCCGTATTTCCAGGCATGAAGCCAGCGATCTGTACACGCATGTTATACGGTATACCGTCGTTCAACATCGAGATCTGGACGTGTTCGGGAATTGCGGCCAATTCCATTAATCGTTTCTTTTCTAAGTAATATGACTGTATGTCTTCTTTGGATGACAGTCTTCGCTCATTAGCTTCTTTGTAAGGATCTGTGATGTGACGTCCGAATCGTCTGGTCATTCGGAGTCGACACTCACTCCAAGTCATTGTTAATCGTAATGGGAATACTTCCCTATATAACCAGTTGGTTACCTGACCAGTACAGTGTCTGCCGAGCGCTATTATGCGTTCGCTGTCTGAATAGCCTTCGGTAACCATTTCAAAATATTCGAGCCATGCGTTGACTTCTGTTTTTGAGTCAGTGCCGTTGTATATCTCGCAAAGTAATGGATTTGCTCGACGGACTTCAGTATGCGCCGGCAAAGCGTATGCGGGCATCTGAAAGTCTGGAGTATAGACATACCGTTGTGTAGACATTTGCTGCTGAACAGGTATCGGTTGCATCACCGGTACGTTCATTACAGGCAACTGTTGTTGCGCCGCCGATGTAGACATTGTCGTTGCTGTCGTAGTAGTAGTGGTTGTGATGTGTGGCACCGTTGTGCTCAATCTTAGTAGACTCTCGGCTATCTCCCGTATGTCCTTATTTGCTATTTGGTCCACTTGATCCGCACTTTGACTACGCGATGAACGCATTGCTAATGGCTGTGACGACTGTACACGTGGCAGTTGAGCATTACTTTGTGAGTTAATAGACATTTTATTAATTATTAATCCTACCGACTGCGCCAATTGTGATCAATGTTAGATCAATATGTGACAACAACAATAACAACAACACAATCAAATCAATGAAAACTATTTATTATTATTATTATTATCATAATTTAATTTTTTAATTAAATTGTAATTTTTGATAATAATAATAATAATAAATAGTTTTCATTGATTTGATTGTGTTGTTGTTATTGTTGTTGTCACATATTGATCTAACATTGATCACAAAGTGTTAAATAAATATAAAATAAAATAACCACATATTTTAGGATCTTTTCAAATGTTTTATTTTGTATATTATTATAATTTATATTAATAGCATCCTAAATATCAAAATTTATATTCAACATTTAATTATTTGTGTTATAAATTTAAATTTACATTAAATATTAATAATTTACAAAAATCATGTTTTATCTAAATTTATTTATTTGTATTATCTATTATTTTTTTGTTGTTGAGGTATTGCATCGATTATATGAGTTATTATATTTAATATTTAAGAGTATTTTGTTATTTGCGAAGAAAACTTTATTTTCTAGAGATTAAACAAATCATTATTTTTTGAATTTCTGTAATGAAATGTTTTTTATGATATATACTATTTATAAATTCATATTTTGAGATAATTTTATTGATAAATACGCTAAATATAGTAAAACAAAAGATTTAGTATAATCTTAACATTATTATTGATTTGTATTTTTAAAAATAAAATCCTTAACAAATGTAGTGCAATGTGTATATTATTATATTTGAATATAAAATTATTAAAGATAAAAATATATAATAGTTAATTTATGATTATAATAAAATGTTTCTTGATAATAAATCATTGTATTTATTTATTAATTATATTATGGGATCCATTGTACTAACATATTTGTATATCTAATAAAAAGGTCTTTTATATCTCTTAAAAGCATTATTTTACTAAAACTTAAAATTTATGTATTGATATAAATTATAAGTTTATCTCAATCTCATTGTAACTCATGAGTCGTCGATAAGTCTAATAAAAGACCAAAGAGTAATCAAATTGCAATAAATTGTTGATTTGTTAGCATTAAAAATATATGAGTTATTAATATTGATTCCAAATTAATATATTTCAAACATTTTATATTTATTTTTCTAAAAGTTTAATATTACCATAAATTCAAAAATACGTATTCATCATAACTGTATATAATTTTGGTAATATATTGACAAAATTTAAATGTTTTATAGTTTGTGAAATATCATATCACACTTCCCAATGTTAAAATACCGGTGCCCTTATACTGTAAAATACATGTCTATCATAGATAATCTATCTATAGTTACAATTTGTAACTTACAAATAAAGTATTTATATCTAATTCAATTCTTGAGAATAGTTAATAATTTAGAAAAAAACATTTCTATTTTGCAATTGATTTATTTAATAGTTATGTTAGTAATAATTTAAAAGTATTTATTGAATTTATATATAGTATTATATATTGTTTAGGGTTTGATATGTGATAGTATCATTAATTTTAAAAATTATGTTAACGGTATTAGACGCCCAAAATAAGTATAATTTATATAAGGATTTTGTCATAATTATCAAACATTATCGTTAATTTTACTGTAAAACAAAATTGCTAATTAATTACACGGTTCATTTATATAAAAAATTATAATTATATTCATATATATATATATATATATATATATATATATAAATGTAGATTTATTTACTTTTATATTAATATGATTAATGCCACAAAATCTTATAATAAATTTAGTTATTTAAATATCTCAATGGTTATTGTGTTGTTTTAATTAAATTTATAAACAATGGATTTACTAATCATGAATATCTTATGTAAATATTTGATAATTATAAAACGCGATTACTGTTAATATAAATATATAATATTTAAATTTTAAATATTACTAACTTAATATATGTTTTAATAATAATATTAAAAATCATAAAAATATTATCTTTTATAATTTATTTTTTATAGTCTAACATAAACCATTTGAAAATGCAATATATTTGAGGTTTAAAAAAATTCATTGTATACTTTTTAACAAATTCATAAAAGTACTATTATTATTATTATTATTAGTATTATTAATTATTATTATTAGTATTATTAATTATTATTATTAGTATTATTAATTATTATTATTAGTATTATTAATTATTATTATAATATAAATGCAGATGTATTATCAAATAATATTATTATAATAATATATATTTTTATTTATTACAATAGAGGATAAACTCGTTACAGAAAAATCGATTAATATTATAACAAAACCCGAATTATCACCTGAAGTGGAAAATAAAGAAAAAAATGAAATACAAGTATTCAGAGACAACACTCCTAAGAGACCACTAAATCAATTGGTTTCTAATACACTGTCAATATCTGGTCGACAATGGTTTATAACGTCTCCGCACAAATCTATTGGCCATCCATGGAGTCAAAAGAGACGGACGCGAAGTAAAAATGAACGAAAACACTGGAAAAGTGCGACAAAAAGTCATCACAAAAGAAAACTTAAAGTTAGAGATGAAGACAATGACAGACATCGACTCAGTTATAGGACTCATAAAAGAAAACATAGAAAGAAGAAAAAGAAAAATACTGTTGACTTTGAGGAATACCAGCCATACATACAATCAAATGCAATATTATTATAATTCACAGAACAGTCTTAATAATCAAATGTATTATAAAAACACATAACATTCAAGTGTACAACAATTTGTTTACACATTTATAGTTTACGTGTTGTTTGTATATAATAAATAGATTTTTGCGCAATAAATATCCTATATATGCTTATCATATAAACAAATATATAGAATATTCTCTTACAATAATTGTTCAAATATTAAGACATTTATTATATAAATTATCAAATATTGAATAACAATTAACTTATTGACACTCATATTAATGTATGACAATGTAGTTGATTGTACTCATTATTGTAATGAGGTTTTGAACAATTTGCGCAATTTTTCTATAATATGACTAAAGTGCCCAAGTAGATTTATATAAATAATTAAAAATCCTATATAATCTATGCTATACCTATATGATTATTTATATTCCTCGACAATAAATATTGGACCTTAACAATTGAAATATTATTTTAAAATGTATAAAACATGATTGATGTGCAAAATAAAATGTAAATTTGTGCTAGGTTAATTTTGATAATCTTACATATATCTAGCAAAAACCTGTATCATGTAATAATAGGGTCCGATAGTGATGATCAATAGATATTGAAAATTCATTGAAATAGTCATTTTTACACATAATTATAAATATATTCTGTTTTTAAATTGAGTTTAATAAGTGTGTCTCCATTAAGACATACGATTATCACTTAAAATTATTGTGATAATATATACTATAATTAATATAAAAAATGACTTAACAATAATAAATATTGTGTTCAAAGTGTAACAAACAACACAAACACATTGATATAATAGTGAATGTTTTATATATTATGTTTAAATACAATTTTAATTATGTCTAATTGCAATTTATTTAATATATTTTTATCGATATATTTATATTCTTTTATATTACAACTTAAATAATTGGTAAAATGTTTTATATAAAAGTTATATATACTATCAAATAGTTAACAATCATTCACATATTGATAGTTATATCAGTAATAATGTATTATACAGTATATTAATATACATTATATTATATAATATTGTATTATAATATATAGGTGATAAATTATAAAGTTTCCCAATAATGACCCCACACTGTGATTTGTACCCAAAATTAATACAATCTATTGTCAGTATATCAAGACATATAGTTGTTTAACTGAAATCACATAATTTGATTTAATAAGCAATAGTATTGTTTTTATTACATTTCATTACATTTTATCTAATCATAAATTGTATATACAGTATAAAACATAAAGTTTGTAATTAGATTTTTGTTTCATTAAACTAATATTGATTACTATTGAATAAAAAACAAATGTAAATGAATGCAAACAAAAGCATATGACAAGTGGTCAGTTTATTCAGTGGTCAGTCTATTCAGTGGTCAGTCTATTCAGTGGTCAGTCTGTTCAGTGGTCAGTCTGTTCAGTGGTCAGTCTGTTCAGTGGTCAGTCTGTTCAGTGGTCAGTCTGTTCAGTGGTCAGTCTGTTCAGTGGTCAGTCTGTTCAGTGGTCAGTCTGTTCAGTGGTCAGTCTGTTCAGTGGTCAGTCTGTTCAGTGGTCAGTCTGATTACTGGCTGTACTCTATATTTATATAACTAGCATATGATGTGGGCTTCACTCCAAAAGTTTGGACATTTATTTTGTCCGTCCCTTCGCTTTAATCTATTTCTTGTAAGTACTTTACAAACATTTGAAATTTCATGTAATTATTATAATATTTTACATAATATTTAATAAATTATTATTTATTAGACAAAAACTATTTTTTATTAAATATAAATTATAATTAAATATTTTCATCAAAACTATACAGTAGTAGAAAGACATCAATTATTGTGTAAATGAACACATTATAAGCACAGAGTAACCTAAATATTGTGTCAATTGTTATACAGGCAAGTGATAGAGTTAGGCGAAACTATTACTATACTGTAGACACACACATATTATAGTATCAACATTTGTATGTATTAAGTATACAATGTATAGTATATGTGTGCGATGTATGCATTGAATGCCAAATACAACAATACATGTGCTTTAATATCACGCGTCAACAACTTTTGCTTGACTGACATATCTCTTATATTTTCAATTATATTAATAATAGTTATTATTAGTTAAATAATTTGATTTACTTATACTATTGAAGACATTTAGTTGAATACAATGTTAGCGGAACCCAAAAGAAAGACCGTTTGGTCACTAAACCCAAGAGGAAAATATTGGTCCGAAGGTAAGCACATATGATATGATATATTAGAGACGATATGTTGAGATCTGATATTTGATTGATAAAAGATAAGACCAAATTTGGACAAAAGATGTTGGAATCGATGGGTTGGAAACAAGGATTGGGTTTAGGCAAACATAATGATGGCATCAAAGAGCACATCCGACTGGATTGTTCATCTGATAATAAAGGTTTACATTAATTAACTTATTAAATGCAATTCACATATTATATATGATATCACTATCTTATTGTTTGCTATCATTTGGTCAGGTCTTGGATATAAGCCATCAGCTGATGACGTTTGGATCGATAAGAACAATGATTACGAACAACTGTTAGAAGGTTTGGCAAAGCATTACAATAATGGAGACAAACTAAATGATCGTAAAGTTTCTAATCTCGAGGAAGTATCCAAACGAATGAAGAATAGAGTCCAGTAAGTGATTAAAACTATTATTCGTTATTTTAATAAAAGTTATTTTTTAGTTATCAAAGACTAATAAAAAGCAAGAATTTGAGTCAATGTTCTCAAAAAGACTTGATCTCAATCTTCCCAAAAAAGAGCAGTAATAGTGTTACCAATGAGAAGAATAGCATATATGAAGAATGCAAAAGTGATAATACTTTAGTAGGTATTAAAAGTAGTATTGATATGAATGAATACTTCAAGAATAAAATGGATAAATTGAAATTAAAAACATGTTTTAATAACATCAATGACTCGAATAATTGTGACGATAATAGTTATAATGATATGATTAATGATAATAATAATAATAATGAAGAGAAAAAAGTGAATAATGTGTTTAATAGTAGTTTTAATTCAATGGACAATCAAAGCAGTGATTCTCAGAATAGTGATACTAATATTGAATCATTAGATAATAAACGAAAATATGATGATATTATTGATAATAAATTAGATGAAGAAGTTTTACCGATTAAGAAATCTAAGAAAAAGAAGAAATCAAAGAAAATTAAGAAAGATTTCGAATTAGAATCGACTAATATTTCGGTATCAGAAGACACTGTTGAGGACACAACAGAAACAGATAAAGTATTAGATGAACTAATCAAAGAAAAAATACAATCACCTAATAGTACTGTTAAGACATATGTAAAGAAAGCACTTAAGAATATCGACAGATATAATATAAAGTTTCCTTTTGGTTACGACAATCACACGGCTTCTGTGAATGAGTCGCTTAAGAATTACCATAAGATATATGATTGTATCGCTAATCATCAAGTATTGAGTGCAACCAATTTGTTAACTATTAAGGGATACGGCTATGCAATCAAAACATGTCAATGATTACCATATTTAGATAATTTAATAATAAAAATAAATTTATGACAATTGTATTTTAAACTTAATTTATTTTACATTTAAATATATATCATTATACACTTGTTGTGTCTACATTTTTACAAGACAATCATCTAATATGATAATACCTGTATATATTACCGGTTATATTGCATAATATAAACAGTATATATATATATACATAAATTTAAATTTAGCTAGAATTTGAAAATTTGTGAACTTATACAGTATACTATTAAATTTCTAAACTTAATTATTATAATAATCAATATTTATTAAAAACAAAAATTATTTTCACTGCCACTGTTGAAGATTGTAGTAAATTAAGAAAAAAAAGAAGACATCATTTGAATCATTGAACAATACAACTAAATCACTCAATATTTGATTATAATGTAAAATCAGTTTAAATTACTGAATTAAGTTTATGAATGAATAAGTTTAAGATATATTACAATTATAATTTTATACAGTTTTATATAGTAATTGAAGAACACTGTATATAATGTGATCATAAAATAGTTAGAGAAAAAACATTTGTCAACCAAATACTTCTTGAGAAGCGTAGACCACATACAAGAAGCCGTCCTCATCCTTAATATTGACATATAATTAGTTATAGTATTAAATATAACAAACAATATACCCGTTCTCTTTCATAGATCTCTCCCATAGTTGTGGATACGGCTGCTATTGATCTCTGATTTATCAATAGAAAGAAAGCCTGATTTGGATGTAATTGAAGTCGACGTCTAAATAATGTCCAATTTTGGTCATTAAATATAATATATTATTTAAAAAATAAACAAATGATTGATAGATATAAAACCTAATAATTTTGATCAGTTCACCGATGGACACGTGATCCGGAACTAAGAATTTAGTTCTGTCCAGAAGTGGTAACTGTTTTTCTCCGTGAAAGCGCTCGATCACCACTGGGATCTGTTATGAGGTAATGACAAGTATATTATAAATGTTAAGACTAGTGCTATATATCAAGTGATCAAATACTTTGTTTGGGTGAAGATTTCTGATTTCTTCGACGTCTTGTTTGCGTTGAGCTACAGATAATGACATTGAAGACAATTGAATGATAATCCCTGATATTTAAGACACTAATACCTACCAAAAGAACGTCTTTGTTTGAATGATTTAGTTTGTTGTGCCATTTGTTGACAATTATTTCATCTATGAAGACAATAGTGGATCAATTTGAAGACAAGTGCGTATTGTTTGCAATTTAGACAATGAATACAATGAACGCAATAATCAACACAAACAACAACAACACTCACAGCTGTCGTACATTCAATGTATGTATCATATGATCGCTCACTCAATATATACACTATTGAGTCATTTATCATACATACTGTACATTGAATTACTCAATGATGAGTAATAGTGTACACAATGAATGACATTTGACTAATGCTATGATTGTAATGTATGTGAGAGTGAATGCCATCTAATGTAAGCCAAAGTGAGTATATGTTAAGTCAATGAATGGCTGTTAACGTATTGAATGTGTTTTACAAACAAAAGCAGACATTTTGGTCGTCAAACCATAAGAGTCTATAAATATATGTTTGAATGCATTGAATGAATGCTTCAATCTATTGATGTATTGATTTGATTATAAGTGATATCAATGATGGACTGCAATCAACAATAATATGTTGGACAAGAAGGGCATTAGTCCTCAACAGTGCCAAATGAGCACAAGTGGTGCTACAAGTGGACAGTCATCAGGTGCGGCAAATGCGGGCCCACCATCTGCAGGTCACACCACTCCCAGCTCACAATCATCTTTGCCCGATAGCGGCAATGCCTTAAACAATGTCACAATGACCACCAACACAACAACCAATACTTCCATTACTGGATCCAACAGTGAATCAAATGCACCAAATGATAAAATGATGGCTTCATTGGCAGCACAAGACTTTGTATCGATTAAGACCGAGGATCACATCTCAGTCAATGTGGCCACAAGTCTTTGCGAGTCTAATACTAAGACAACTACCGATAATATAACTAATAATTGTAATAATAATAATATAATGAAAGACGTGAAGCCAACTATTAATACAAATATGAATTTGTGTGGCAATAGAAATATCATGTCTTCAGACAATTTTGCAAATAATAATATGAAAGGCATGTCTTGTGCACCCAATGGTGTCCTCAATGGTGCCATCAATGGTATGAATGGCATGTGTGTCAACACGAGTTCACCATTAAATATGCTTAACGACGGTAAATGTTTTTAATTTTTCAATTAATCATTATATCATTGATTGAATGTCAGGTCATATGTGGTTCGTATGACACCTGTCTATTGGATCCAATACTTAGCTTAGTTAGCAAAAGATATGTTCTCCCTATGAGGCAACTCGTCATACCTTAGATTATATAATGATTGAATGCCTTAAGAGTATCTAAAAGTGGTTTATATATAATATCAAATATATTTATAGTTAGTTGAAAAGCTTATAAATAAATGTGTTTTAAGCTATAAATGTTTTTATATATAATATAGTATATCAATTGGTTATATTTGCATCAAATAATGCATACATTTTATTGTCTTATTATTGACTGCTTTTCACTCACTTTATTATTCATTTATTTTAAAGTTTAGTCAACTTTTTAAATAATTGTGTAATTATTTATATACTATATATAATATGTAAAACTAGTTTAACTCGCATCTCATTGCATAAGAAAGTTATATTGAAGTGTTAAAGCCATTATATTTTGTATTTTTAGTTATTTGATGTATATTTTTGCCATTAAAATAAGCTCTAATTTGTTAAGTTATATATATAATGATATTATATCATTTGCTCTTTTATTTGTAAAATAAATATTGTACTTAACTCTCAATTTATTGTAAGCTATATTAAAGAATCACATGAAATACAATTGCGATAAGATTTTAGTAATTTTTATATCTTTAGTCTATTTATTATTCAAGTGTTTTGAAATAAGCGATCACATCCTGTATTTGCAATCATTGGTGTCTATAATACACTCTTTAATCATTATATTTTAAATTATATTAACTAATTTTTGTTTCAATTGATATAATTTCCATATTAAATAAATAACTTATAATATATATATATAATTTTCAAATCATTCTTTTATTCAATAAAATATGAAAATATATGAAACTAATAGTAAGTTATTCAAGTGATTGTAATAATCATAAATATGAATTACATGGTTTATCCCAATATAGGGTAATAATTATATTATAGAGCAATTAAAACAACAACAATAGACATAGCATATGTAATGATTACTTTATTACAAACAAAACTGCAATAATATCATAATTAAAAGTAATAGATAATAGAGGGCTTTAAAAATTGGTTATTTGCACTAATTTTAAAAATATACATATTGTACAAAATTGAGTTTATATTTTATATTAATAGTGATTACCTATAAATAAGTGTATTTTCTATTATAATTTATGATGAAAAGTAAACGTAACATAAAATGTACTATACTATGCTATTTAGATTTAGCAACTTTACAATTGTTGGATACTTATGTATTACAAATAGATGTTTAATATAGTATTACGTGATTAAAGTGCTCTCTGTCTCACAATATATATACTGTATATATATATATAGACCTGTCTTCAATGTGAATATGCATATACAGTATATATATATATATATATATATGAGTAATGACCTTGCTCAACTGGCTCAACATGCTATACATGCTAAACATGGATATACTATATTATATATGCTATATAAATGTATACTAAAATACTTATATGTAATAATGTAAGGTTGGCTTTGGCAGTGCCTGTTGTGCGTGAACTGCACTGACAGTGTGTGAGTGCACAACAATTTGAGAGGTGACCCCTCTTAACGATATAGCAATAGTGAAAATAGTTTAGAGACTATAGAGAACTGGATATTGTTGAGGCATTTGAATGGTATAGCAATTGGTTGGTCTGCCTCTCCCTAAGCCAGTGCTCTCCTCTCACTGTTCTCAATGATGATGGACTCGTTGAACGCATTGCTCCCTTTCGGCATTTGTGCGCTATTATCAACCATACATACTGTATATGCAATACAACTATAGTATAACTACTGGATATTGTCTGACAAATGCACACAAAACAAGTTTTTATCAATTTTTTAGAAGAAGTCAAATAAATTTTGTGAACACTAGAGAAACATTTATTTTTTATTCATTCAAATTTAGATATCATTGATATTAGTTATCATAACTTTATTTGAGAATATTCTAAATGCATTCAAATATTTAATTTCTATCAAATAATGAATAATACCTAATAAATGACATTAACCTAAGTTATCATCAATTTTCTTGTAGTTTTTAATTGTTTTTATAAATATATTTATGATATAATTGATATGAAAATGTGTTAATATATTAAATATATGTTTAAATAGATAAATTGAATTTCGCTAATAATGACTTTGGAATGCCAGTGCCAACCGGTAATCTCCCTGTGCCAGGTATTACATTATATTATGTATGAATCAATACTAAATGATTGTTTATCTAACTATCAGGTGAATTACCACCCTTTCCTCAAATGTCACAACAAATGATGAGACCTCGTGGTCCGGGCCCATGTGGTCCCGGGTTAGCATCAGCACCACGAATGGGTGTCAATGCAGGCATGCATTCACAACAAGCGCACAATAATAACATACAGCTAATGATGAATAATATAAATACTAATACAAGTAAATCTTCGATGACTATGGATTCACAATATATGCAACAACAGAGTCAGATATTTGTGTTTAACACTAAAAAGGCCAACAGTGCTGCTGAGGCTGTCGACGCAGGGATGTTCTCATCCATCATTGATTTTCACTGTTCTCATCCCGAAACTAAAGCCATATTAAGTAAATATCCATTAAAGTCACCAATTAATCGACCCAACTGTCCTACTGCTTGGCTAAATAATATGTCACAAATGAAACCTGGTGGTAGGGGTATGAAACCTAATATGTCCAATACTTTACCTATTATGAACCCAACTATGATGAAGAATAACATAGGCCATCCAAGAGAAGCACATCCTGGACCCTGTCCTGGTTCTTGTAATATGCACAACCCATCAGGTCCTGGCCCTGGACCCGGTGGTGGACCAAATAATAATTGGTCAAATATTTCACCCATGTGTTCTAATGTTAATACTAACTGGTCGACACCACAACAACAACAACAAATGTTTGCTCAAAATTCAGATATGTTTTCAACTTCACCGATGGGTCCAAATGGTCCCAACACCCGAATGTGTGCCCCCTATGCTTCCAATAATTTTCAACCCACTTCTCAACTATCAATGGGAATTCCCACACAAATGTCTGGTTAGTGATTAAATTACATAAATCTCAGTATCTGTTTTTTATATAAATTTTATTTAATTGATTTATTATTATTATATAAATAGAAATATCAGATGAAAACCTAACACCTCAACAAAGACAAAATCGAGAGAAGAAGTTGGCAATACTTAACACAATTAAACAACAATTTTGTCCTGAAATGGTAGACTCAGGACCAATGGGTCAAATGATGCGAATGCCAACTCCTAATCAGTCTATGAATGCACCAGATTTTATGAATGACCAAAACATTTGTCCACTGCCAGAGTCTGATCCATTGGCCAATACTGATACTCATATGAATAATATGACTCCGTCCAGAATGATGGCCACTCCTAACAATAATACTCAGACACCGATTCCTCCTAATACTGGTTTGGCATCACTTGAATGGCAGAAATCAAACTTTATGGATGAAAGACGACGTAAATCGCAAAATAATGGACAGGGAGTTAATATTAATAACAATTCAGTGCCAATTTCACATCAGTCGCCATTATCACAGCCATCATCTGCTCTCAACAGTCCGAGTCCTTGCATATCTCAAAGTCCGGGCAGTCGTATTCCTCCTCCACCTTATAATCAGAACATACGTTCTCATCCGAACTCGAGTCCTCATCCATCATCACCGGCTACCGGTTCATTACCTATGCCGTCACCATGTATGCAATCACCAGCTGATGGTTCCACACAACAATTTGCATCTGCTGGACAATCGCGATTGTCACATACCAGTCCTGGTCCTACCACTCCTTCAACAGATAGTAATTCAGGAACAGGAGTGCATAATTGGAATAAAATGAATGTGTCGTCAGCGCCCAATACCATACCGTCCACAACATCAACAACTGTACAAAACAATTGTCGAACGCAAGCAAACGTAACAAATATTAGGGCAAACACTCCGTCCAATTCTGCTTCCAGTCCCAGCCCTTCAACTGTTAAAAAGCTGCCAAATCTTAAAGGTGTGAATCAGGACTGTAATGATTTGCTCGGAAATTCTGGTGTTGAGGTCAATAGAGCTCAATCACATCACCCAAACGATGTGCCATTATTAGGACCACCAGTTGGTTCTAATTGTTCGTCACCTTTCATTTGCAATAAATCAGAACCGGCTCTAATGCCAGTGCCATCACCGCATCAATATTTAAATACATTTGAAGGACAAGAGCTTACTATTCAGAAACAACCCAACACTAGCTTAAGAGATGCTGACCTCATGTCAAATACAGCACCTGATCTCGATATGGGCTTTGGAAATGAATTTCCAAATAATTGTCAATCATTTCCATCAAATGAACGATTACCCAATTTTCCAATGAATCCATTGGAAGCTATGAATCAAAGGTTCCCATTAAATCACCAAAATCCTAATATGAGTGGAAATCATTTTGATATGAATGCAAGATTTATGACTCCAAATGATAGTAACCAAAGATTTGTAGGTCCCGGAGCTATGTTTGATGGACCGATACCTCGTATGCTACTCAACTCGCATGAAAGTCAATATAGACCACAAAATATGATTAATATGCCTTATGGACAAATGGACAGCAATATGATGCGATTTAATACTCCCTGTGATAATATTATGCCCACAAGAGTTAGAGGTCCATCAAATTTGGTCACAAATAGATTTAATAATCCTATGAACGACATGCAGCCAACACAACATTATAACACACCTCCGATGTCTAATATGTCACAAATGCCTCCTATGAATAACGAACAAATGATACAATTTGGTGCCAATCAGTCACCCGGATGTATGACACCTATAAATACATTCAATTCACAAATGGAAAGTGGCTTTAGTTCTTCACCATTGCAGAACTTACAGAAAATGACGCCTCCCTATGATATTGGACCTCCTAGTAAAGTGGATCGCATGTTATCTAATGGGGCTCTCGGACACAACCATAACACGAATGGTTCAATATCTTCGATGTCGCAAAATCAAAGAGCAAATAATTTTGATCCTATTTCATCTATGGCAGCGATGGGTGATTCAAGTGGTGCTCCCAATCCTATGATGTCCGGCCCTTCGATGAATATGCCAGCTATTTCTATGGCACCTAATGGTCAGCCACCAAATATGGTTAACTTTCATACATCAATGTCTGCAATGCAGGGAATGCAACAAAATATAAATGCAGAGACAATGAATGGTGGAATAGCCGCACAATTCCCTAATATGAATGGTGGGCCACAAACTGTAAATAATACATATGTTAACGCAACGATGTCTATACAACAACTTAATATTCAAAACATGCCAAACCATGGCTTTAATCCTAATATTGACCAAAATATTAATTCAATGAATAATATGAATATGTCCTCTCAATCCAACCTACCAGTGACCAGTGGCGGACATATCAATCCTAATGGTGCATCCGGTGCCATGCATATGATGCCAAACAATAACTCGAAATTGGGTCCTAACATTAGTTCTCGAATGTCTGGTCCGACTGGTGGACCCAACTTTGTTGGTCAACCCATGCCTAACATGAGAGGAATGAATCCAATAATGTATCAGCAGAACCAACAACAGATGCGATTCAATTCAGCTAATATTCAGATCAAACCCGACGCACCAAATACTATACAATATCTGCCATCGCGACAGCAGAATCCAAATATGCTTCCCCGGGGGTCAATCACATATTTGGAGCGCTATGAACCCCCCCTAACAAATTTAGGCAACAAACTGCCCACTCATAACTTGCAGTACTTCCCTAATAATGCAAATCCAAATGTCAACTTTAATCGGACACAAAATATGTATAATTAATTTATATACAGTATATGATATATATATATATACATATGTTATATAACTTTGTCTCATATTTTAAACATTAGGTTACAAAATGAATAGAGATTGTAAATTATATAATAATTTGTTTTCTCATTTTATTCAATGAAAAATCAATTGAGTTTACAGTTATATTCAAAGTTAACTCAAATCAATATATTCATAGCAATCATACATTAATATACATACATCTCATTAAGTCATCTCTTCAATGGTTTCAATAAAATCAACGCTATATTCATAATTAACTAATTATTTGTTAAAATAAAAGTTTTTAAAAATTATTATAAATGCTTTTTAAAAGAGATGACAAATTGTAATAATAATTATAAATTAATTAATAATTATAAACTTATAAACAGTAATGTATTAAATATTTGTAAAACAATTATTGCTTTTAATTGGACGTCATTTGTGTTGATATTAAATAAATACAAAACGAGTAAAATATGTAATAAAATGTCAGCTGTTTTGCCATTATTTTCATTATTAGCTTATCTTTGGATCAATTAAGTGATACTTTATATATCATTGACATACCATGAAAGGTAAGGCAAAGAAAGATAAAGAGTCAACGGATCCGTCCGAAGACACGACATGTCCGCTGCAATTGATTCAATTCAAAGCCATCGACAAACAAAAAGTGTGTCCACGACTGACATCAGGTCTGTATAAGTGATATATATTTAAGACATCGACTGATAGATTGTTTTGATATATTAGTTGTTGAACGCAATGAAGATGAAGGCATTGGATCTGAAGATTTGGATGCATTACAGTCTGAGTTGGAAACACTTCTGGTGTCTGTTGTTCAAAGACAACGACTTCTGGAGACAGAAATGGAATCACTGGTCAATTGGAGTGACTCGAAGAATAAGGACAAACGGTCGCCAACTAAACCGGTAATTGATTTTTATCCACATTTGTGTCCATCTCTTGCATTTCAATCGTTGTATTGATTAGTAATTTATATAACAACTAATGATTAAAATATTTGATAATTTGTTTGAAATATTATTATGATTACAGACAGAAGTATTTGGAAAAAGAAGTAAATTTTCGGAGGAAAAGCCAAATAAAAGATTTAAAGACAACCAATTGAATAGCAATAACAGTAGCGGCAAATCGAGATCACAAAAAGCCAAAAATTTACTCGTAATTGAATTTTTTATTATATTATTTTTACAATCAATATATATATATATAATATATTGTATATCTATATACTGTATATTTATGTTAATATATAAATAGACAAAAAACACAGAATCGGAATATTCAGAGCCTCAGAAAGCAGTGTCCAAAGCAATTGTCTTCAAGAATGATATTCCCAACCAATTTTGGCAATTTGTTGAACCCTACTATTGTGAGATCACTTCAGATAATATCAAAGTTTGTTTATTATTAAGTTATTAAAATATTTGATGGTTTAATAAGACATCTATCTATAGTTATTCAAGAAAAATCAATTGAATTTCATTATATAGTAAATGACTTCGTGATTGCTTTTTAGCAAATGAGTGTTTCTTTTTTTGCAAAACAATGTCAATATTTATCGTATTAATGTTTTCCTTAACAATAATACAATAACAATGCTTTTGCTAAACATATATCATTTGCTATATATCGACATTCAATTTATTTTTTACTGATTTTGGATACATCTTAATAAATCATAATTTCTGATATAATTGTCAAAATTATTTTACCGATAATATTATTTATAATTTAGTTTCTAAGCGAAGAAATAAAATGCTACGAAAACGAATCGGAATTTTATAAAATACCAAATTTGGGAAAACATTATTCGCTTAAATGGGACGACACTAACATAATTGGACAAAAAGACAAAAAGAAAGGCTTAAGTGCTTCCAATTGTTCCGGAAGTCGGTCTTCACTCATACAGTCTACTAATAAATCCAAAAAGGGATCCAAAAATCAGTGAGTTTTTATTATTTGATTTGACTCATTGTATTAATACTAATATAAATAAAATATAAACTTATAAAAATATAATTTTGTTATGATATTATTTATTTGTAATTTTGAATGCTTTCCGTATATGTGACAAATACAGTATAAAACAAAGTGATAGAAATCAATACAATTGTAAATTCACTTCCAGTTGTTATTCGATATAATTATTATTTTTAAATGCTTTTGTAATGATTTCATTGATCTCATTGATAACATGAATATGATTTTTTGAACCTATTTTAGCTCAGAACCCGATAAGACATCTTTTGGTGCTTTAACACAACGACTCGTCTCGTGTTTAATAGAAGAGAACCTCTTAAATGGCGGTCTTATCGACTCAAAGTCTATAACAAATGATAGCAAACCATCCAATGGTAATCATAAGACTTTTAAATCATTAAATCTGGGAAATACTGCTCAACTCGAGAGACTTATTCGCAAAGAACTAGAAGAACATGGAATCATAAGTCTCGATGATATTCTTAACGGATCGGATGCTAGTGGTGGTGATGAAGATGAGATACTACAAGAACTAAAACGTTGTCAAAAAGAATTGAAAAGTTTAAGTGACAAAAATCAGAAACATTTAAAACGTTTGTTAAATGCATCTAAAAAAGAGATGACTAAACAAGAAATTAGCAAAAAACTAGATTTGGCTGATATGGAAGTCACAGAAGCCTACCGTCGGGTGGTTTCTGCCAAACAAAAGAAGAGACCGCTCACTAAAAAGGAAAAAGACGTGGCTTTCAAAGCCATTAAAGACAGGGAACAAGTTCTTAAACAATTACAAAGTCTCTCAAATTAATTCATTCATTATTTATCATTCATTTACAATAATTATTTTTTGTCTCATTTGTATCGCATATTTATTTACAAAATATCATTTATTTCTATTTATGACATTTTGTGTAAACCAGAGTTATTGTATACAACAATCTATATTTAAAAATATTTTTATAAAACGGAATAAATTGTTGGGAAAATCTAAATAAAAATAGTGATTATTATATTAATAAACATAACATTGTAGTGAATCCGAGATATAGTTAGAGGGAAATGACTGCAAGTTTGTCGTCAATGACTGCTATCTGTTATCAAAGCATTTATTATTACAAAATGCTGTGAAAATCGGAAACAAGTTTTACAGGTCTTGTAAACTGAAGGGGCGTTCAATCAGAACCAGGAGTCAGACCTTCATTACGATTGTATAAGAGATGCCAATTGAGAGCCGATTTCACAACACATTCACTATAACTATGAGTGATATGACTATTACAACAAAAGATAGACTTTTAGTTATATATATATATATACAGTATATAGAGTTATTGAATGTATGCGTCAACTATAGTATAGTTAGTAATATATAGAATATATTATATATTTATACACACAGTATATATTGATGTGGAGTTAGTGAACATTCATAGCATTGATATACACAACTAAACCACGATTTCCAACATATATTGACTGCAATTAACAATCACTTGAAAATTGTAGTTATATTTGAATTATCTCTTCACCAAAATTCAAGTGTTTTTAATCATTTAATGTCCACAACTGCTATCAAATGGCCAATCATTTAACAGACGGCTTACAACTGACCGCTGACCAGAAGGAAGAACTGTCCCGTCATTTTCAATCGGTTAGTATCCAGAGTTGTCTTCACTTATAATAATATAATAATTTATTAATTATGATAAAAATGAAAACTATAAGCCTATGAAAAATTGTCAAATAATTGTCAAAAGTTATGTAAAACAAACTTTTTTTGTGCTAAACTTTACTATTAAATGAATTATTTGTTTGTTTGCCACTTGTTTTGCAAATACTTTATTATAATAATAAACGTTTTAAAAAATACATTCATTTTATTTTTTACTTTCATTTTATATGATATTTTTTCCTAATGTTAATAAATGTTTTATAATATAGCAAATTGTCTACAAACTACTAATTAGTAATTAATCTCTAAATAACTACTTTAAGTATTAGCTAAATATTTAGGATATTATTGATAAAACAAAAAAATGATAACATTTATAAAGACAGTTATATATATGATATATAATAATAATAATTAATAATTTAATTAATAGTGTAATTAGTTTGTAAATATAAGCTAATATTGATTTTTTGGGTGCGGTATGTCTGGTATAAGACATGGGAAACGTTAGATCTTAAGCAATAATGACTCATATTTTGTGGTGTTTTTGTTATTTCATGTCATTTGGATTTACATTTAATTTACATTTAATTTATAGACATAAAAATGTTGACAATATTTGAAATTTGCATTTTTATTCACTTTAAGGTGTTTTCATAATTGAGTATTAAATTTATAATTTATTCAAACAAATTGATTGATCAATGGATATGTAAATTAATACATATTAATAAATATTTGATATTTTATTATTAAATATATATTAAGTAAACAAAATATTTGATGAGACTATGTATGAGTCATAGAGTATGTGTAATACAAATATGTTTATTAAAAATAAGTTAAAAGATAGCGATTAGAGTTAAACTTTTGATAATTTAATATATTGTGACAATTGATTTGACATTTTTGGTTATAGATTCATATCGGGGGTCATATTAGTTGATATAACAAACATAAATCATTACATTAAGTTATTTATAATAATATAAACTTATTTGAAATACTAATTTCATGTCAATTTATAAATGATATATATTTTAGTTGAATTGAATTTCATGAGTAAAACATTAATTTGAAATAAATTACTTTGAAATGTTTGACACTTTCATTGAGTGATTAAATATTATTATCGATAATAATTTTGAGTTCAAATCAAATAAATAACAATAAAATTAAACTAATTTTCCATATTTGGATCATTATTTTATTTGCTTATTTAAATTGAATGCAAAATTTAGTTAATATTTGCTCCAAAATTGTAAATTTGATTTTGTATGAAATAAAATATTTGTTATAATTGATAGTATTATTGTATGTATATTAACACCATATTATGTGATGAATGTCAAACTCATTGACTAATTATCGTAATTTAATATATCCTTGAAATTTAAGTAAAATCACATTTCAAAGCTATTAACACTTATAACAATAATCTAACGGTTAGTTTTTGTCATAATTTGATTAACATATCTAATAAAATCAATAGTACTTTATTAGCATTCAATTGTTAAAATAATCATATCTTATATTACTATTTATATTGTTATCAAAGTTTATATGGATTTAAATTTGCTTCTGAATATTAAATAATTTTTATATTATTCTTTAATATTACTAATTTTGAAATTAAATATCATAAACTTAACAAAAATAGTGGTTATCATAAACTAATAGTAATTATCATAATTAAAACTCAACTATCATATAATTCATATTTATATAAAAATTTTTGATATTTATACTAGCATAATTATACAGTATAATAATCTAATTAGTATATTATTATATTATATCTACTGATTGTATATTTAGAAATACTATATCTATTAAATTAAAAATTAAATTAATATATATATATATATTTAATTATTCTATAAATAAAATTACCAATTATAATTTTGTAAAAATATTTATGTAAATAGTCTACAATTAATATGTTTTTAATATTTAAATTATTGAAAATGTATTATAAAAAGTGCTAAAAATAAATAGTTAATGAATGTTACAGATCTTTCAATTCTTTTATTCGCTTAATTAATGTATATTTTTTTAATTATATCATTTTATTCATTTAATCAATTTTATAGTAATTAATTCTGCATTTGCAAACATTAAGTGTATAGACACTCATAATGGGTGGTATTATATAATTATTTAATGATATATCAAACAGACAGACAATGATTTTAAGGTTAATTTTCTGATAATTATAATTTTACATTATTTAAAATTAATTAAAACAATAACATTTATCTTTATTAATATTGTTACATATTATCATATATATAACCGATAGGATCGAGTAAAATAAATATCATTTATAAAATTAGTTTTAAAAAGATATAATTATAGTATCGATAATATTAGAGATATGATTGTCTGTTTTATAGTTATATACTATTATACACTAATACTATTAGTTATATTAATGAATAGATTGATGGAAATGGATATCTAGATGTGAGTGAATTAAAGTCAGCACTTGATATCGTTGGTCACAAACTCCCGCAATGGAAAGTTAGACAAATGATTGATGAGTTGGAAAGGAAAAGGTCTTCAGATAAAAGGGGACGACTTGACTATCAAGAGTTTGAAAAACTCTGCGCTGATCTTAAATCTCTAGATATTGCAAATTCATTTAAAACAATGGTTTCAAAACGTGAAAATTTAGAAACATTGGGCGGTATGTCATCAGCAAGTAGTGAGGGAACCACTCATTCAGTTCGACACGAAGAACAGGTGGCTTTCTCTCATTGGGTCAATTCGTATGTATTCAAAATAAACTATAATTTAATGGTTAACTATAGTAATAATGATATTATTTATTAAATAGTCATTTAACACATGACAAGGATTTGAAACATTTACTACCCATTGATGCCGACGGAAAGGAACTCTACGACAAAGTTAAAGATGGAATTCTTCTGTGGTATGATGTCTGACATTGTTATTGTATTGAAAGATATAAGTAATTAAGATTACAATTGATTTACAGTAAGATAATAAACCATTCGTGTCCGGATACCATCGATGAAAGGGCTATTAATAAGAAAAATTTAACAGTATATACAAAATACGAGAACCTGACGCTGGCATTGAACTCATCGCAAGCAATTGGATGTAATATTATTAATATCGACGCTCACGACCTGTCCCGAGGAAAACCTCATTTAGTGTTGGGTCTGTTGTGGCAAATCATCCGAATTGGACTCTTTAATCAAATAACATTAGAACACTGTCCAGGACTCGTGCAACTGATCGGCGATAATGAAGATCTCTCAGATTTATTACATTTATCACCAGAAAATATATTACTTCGTTGGGTTAACTATCACTTGGAAAAGAGTGGATCTAATCGACGAATTAATAACTTTACAAATGATATAAAAGATTCTGAAGTTTACACTATTCTGTTGAAACAAATTGCTCCCAAAGATTCTGGTGTCAATACATTAGCGATGCGGGAACAGGACTTATTGCAAAGGGCAGAGATTATGTTACAACAGGCCGACAAAATAGGCTGCAGAAGCTTTGTTACTCCACATGATGTAGTGGATGGTGTCTATAAATTAAATTTGGCGTATGTCGCCAATCTATTCAACAATCACCCGGGTTTAGATACACCAACCGAACCATTAGAATTAGAAAACATTGAAGAAACGCGCGAAGAAAAAACCTACAGAAATTGGATGAACAGTTTAGGTGTATCGCCATATGTTAACTGGTTATACACCGATTTAGCCGACGGTCTGGTCATATTTCAATTGTTTGATATCATTAAACCGGGAGTTGTTCACTGGCCACGAGTACACAAATCATTTAGCAAATTGAAAGCTTTTATGGAAAAATTGGAAAATTGTAATTATGCTATTGATTTGGGCAAACAATTGAAGTTCTCTTTGGTTGGAATCGCTGGTCAGGATATCTCTGATGGAAATCCTACTCTAACTTTAGCTCTGGTGTGGCAATTGATGCGCGCCTATACTCTCAGTATTTTAACACAATTGGCAAAAGAAGGCAGTGGTCAGGCTATTGTCGAATCAGAAATTGTTGATTGGGTTAATAGAAAAGTAAATCAAAATAATTATTTTTATTATATACCTCTAATAATAAATTTGTATAACATTTAGCTGAGAGAGGCAAACAAAACCTCAACAATTCGTAATTTTCAAGATTCAAGTATTTCTACAGCACTTCCAGTGGTTGATCTCATCGATGCTATAAAACCGGGTTCTATTAATTACGGACAGATACTGTCGGGAAATACACCACAAGTGAGTTATTATTGTATTTTATTTGGTTTTATTATGTATTATGTTATTAATGAATTGAATTACCGTAATAGGAAAAGTTAGCGAATGCAAAGTATGCCATATCAATGGCCCGTAAGATCGGCGCCCGAATATATGCTCTTCCAGAAGACATATCAGAAATGAAGCCTAAAATGGTTATGACTGTCTACGCGTGTCTTATGGCACTCGATTATGTCCCTAATATGGGATCTAACAATCAGGATAACAATCATGAGTCGAGCCAATGATTATTATTTCAAATACATTCAAATCATCGTTACATTAAATAACATTTATAACTATAAATTTATTTTTTATACAAATTGATGTGCCTTTAAATTTATTGTTATAAATTCAGGCTTTTATAGCAAATAGACTTAAACTTTAATTTATATACATATTCTGTTATTTAAAGTAAAACTATATAAAATTATTCATTCAACAAATTATTTAAACAAAATATTTAACAAATTGATTTTTAAATAACATTATAAATATATAATTTATTTTGTTAACTGTGTATATGTGTGTCCATGAAGTTTATCATAATATAATATTTTATTATTGAATAAATTTATAAAATTTTATTGAACTTTCTGTTAAAGCAGACATAAAATAACTGTTTGTATTAGAATTGTGAAGTAAAGACATGTCTAAAACAGTTGATTCGCATTTTAATTTTTGCAAACATTTGGTTGAACCTAAATCCCATATGAGTGCTCCCTGTGCTGACTCATCTCCAGCACAAATGAGAGCTGAGTTCTCATTGTATGGATGAGCAAAAATGCGAGATCGGGTCAGTTTGACCTGTTGTTTGCCGCCTTCAAAACGATTTATAATTTCGGGTTCTATTATATACTCGTTGTCCGCATCAATGGATGCTTTTAACTCCATAGCCTATCAATAATACCGTAATTGTCATTACCATATGATTTGAAATAATTGATTTTTTTTAACTTACAAAATGTGTAGTATTGATATGTCTTGAAGATGGACGACACGACAATAAGACTAAACCAGATTTGGACTCGACGTGTGATGAACCAAATCTACCCTCAATTGGTATTTTTATAGGAGTAAAATTAACGGCATTTAATGAACCATCGAATCTCTTATATAAACTAAAATTATTAAATTGTGTCGAAAGGATTCCATTAATAGGTCCATCAAGTGTTTGAAAATCCATGTGATTTAATGATACAACTGGTGATCTGTCGGGTGAAACCAGTTTATCCACATATGAAGACATCATTCTAGTGTCAAACAAAAGAATTTGTCCGTTGTTTAGTCCCGCATAGAACTCGTCCTTCTTTTTTGGGTTAAATGTGATACTCCATGCATCTGATTCAAGAGTGTACGATAAAATAGACATTTTGTTTAAAAGTGATGTCAATTTTACTGTTTTATCTAAAGAAGTGGTCAAAATGGTTCCGTCGTATGCATTTATCTCCAGGTCTTTGATTGGCTTTGAATGAATACAAATGTTATCACTTTTAAAATCATTGAGAAATATCTTTTTGATACCAAATCCAGGAAACAATTGATTGTTAGGATTGGGTTGAGAGACAGCAATGATCTCAAAAAGTGCTGAATATCCTAAATGTTTACATTCGCCACAAGTGTTTATCTCAATATTCTTCAAATATTGGAAACGATCGGCATTTTTATTGAAATCAACCATTGATTTACTTCTATTAATACTCTCTAAAATTCTAGACTTTGATCCCGAATTTGATCTCTTCTGATAATCCATAAACTCTTTCTTAAGTCTTTCATTTTCTTCGAGAACTGATTTCAATTTAACTGTACTTTCAATTGCTTCCGTCTCTAACTTTTGTCTAAGAAGTCTTTCCTTTCGCAACATTTCCAGAGCGTTATCCCTCTCACTCGTGTCCAACGGACGCAAATTTCTGGCGTAAAGAACACGAATGTCTTTCTTTTTTGCCTTTAGATTACATTGAGGACACCTCTGGTTTTGTTTATTTTTTGGATCCAACCACTGCTCTATACATTTACGACCAAACAGATGACCGCAACATAAAGACACCAATTGGTGTTCACCACAGTTTGTCCACAATTCAGTACAAATGATACAATTATTGTCACCGTTTTCTTGTGTGCAAAGTATTGATAAATTGATTGATGATTTGGTTTCTGATTTATCAATCATTTGGTCACTGTTTGGTTGCATCTCTTGTTCATTGTTGACATGATTTGATGCATAAGTGTGATCATCGATGTGTTGATCAGTCATCTGTCTGTTATCTTCACTGTCCATGTCTTCAATGATCTCAATCGACTCATTCACATCATTATCACTATTACTGTCACTATTGTCATACAATTGATACTCGTCTTGACTATCACTTGAGTCTTCATAATCATAGAAATCCATCGATTGTTATAAACATTAATATTATTTATAAAACAAATGTAAATAACATTTAATTATTAATTATTTACTCAAATCATTACAAATAGAGTCAAACATTGAGTTAAATGCAATTCAATTGGTTTACGAAACTGTCATTCATTAAGACTAAACCAATCATTGCTTTTGACGCAAAATTCATACAATTCAAAGACGAAGCAAATAATACATACAATAAATAAAGTCTTTTATATTTTTACTATAATTGTATAAATGAAAGACAAAAGTTGTCATTGAAATGTATTAATACATTATTTCGTCAAAAACGTCTCTTTTAGATAAAAACATAAATTTTTTATTTACGTTATACAGTAGTAATAATATAATGTAATACGGAATCAATAGTAATAATAAATTCATAATTAAAAATATTATTAAAATATATTATAATTAATAAACAATTTATACAATAATTATTATAAAATTATTTGTATAACTTTACAACTTATATTCAATAAACGGTGTTTTAGTCCTTTTTATGACATTCATAGTACGTTTAAAACGTTATATATAACCTGTAATAAGAAATACCAAAACTAATTGTGAAATGAGTGGAAAAAATATTGACACCTCTTATGCCACACATGTCTGTAGTTGTGATCAATAATTGATTCATTAATTAGTTGTCTTAGTTGGCCATCAAGTGTTGGATCAATTGCTTAACAATGACTTTCTATCATTTTATAAATTGTTTGTTACTTACATTTGCACCGCCGATAATGTTATACAAGTTTTCATCGCTGTAAGTGTCAAATGATAATCAATGTCTCAATTTTGTACATCACTTGATCTTACAGTGATTTCTTGATGTAATATATGATAGTTCAGAGTATGGGACGATATGGAGGACTGGTATGGGAGTGTTGGCATATGTGGTAACACAAGTATGCAAACTGTTGATCATTGCAGTGGTTATGACACCAAACGCAATGATGAGTCATCTGATTGATTGTCTGGGAATGTATTGGTTTCTTATAAACCAAAACAAGGCATCCGTGGCTTCCGTTAAAATATTAAGTCTGTTATTGTATTCATTTATCAAGTTTTGCAATAGTTTTTAATTATACTGTATATCATTGAAAGGCATAGCATTGGGTTGGAGTGTCGCTGAATCCATATTCACCCGTTTGGTTGACTTTTATTTGAACGCCCGATCTCTTGAGTTTGAATGGATTCATCTGATTAGTGCCGCCGAAGCCAACATTGTTCTCGTATGTATTAAACAATATTATTGTTTTTATTATTAAATGTTTACTTTGTCTTGAAAACAATTACCATTAATGTGACAAAATTGTCAGTCATATGACATGAGATTAATACAAATTGATTATAAAGACATGAAAATCAATTACTTTTGATAAGTTATAATAATTTATTAATTATACTGTAATTGTCTTTACAGTTGCAGAACATGTGTGTCAGTGCATTGTTATGGCAGTGGAACAGAAGTGGTAACAAACTATCGGTTGTATTAATGATGGTTTATTTCGTCAGTCTTTCTTTAATTAAAATGCATTTATTGAGTCAAATCGGAGCACTTATAGCACTATCAACAATGACTTTGTTCTTAACAAATTAGTTACAGATTTTATGAAATAAATTATAATTAAAATGATAATTAAATAAAAATACTTGTAGTATATAAATATATAATAAATTGTATAATTAGTTAATTAGATTTGCTTTCTATTCAAAAGATAGCTATCAAATCAATTCTTCCATTCAATTGTCACAAAAAATAGTTATGTCTGAAAATATAAAAACTGTTAATAAATATTATAAAACAAGTCTATAAATGGACGAATAGTTGTATAAATGAGATGATGTGATATTAAAACAGTTGTCTAAATGAATGGTTAAGTAGATGTGAGCCACGGATGCTCTCGAATAGCATTTTTATCTGTTTCTCCGTAATCATAGAGAATCTCTTCATTTTTCTTGATATCTTTCAAAGCAATAAACACAAGATGTGGTTTACCATTGGACTCAACTAACTTTGTTTTACAATTTGGTGACTTTCGGCTATGATTTATAAGTCGACCGAAACGTCCGGTAGGTTTGGTGGCATCGATACACCACGTCTTGTGATTCCAATTAAAGTAATACATATAACAACCGGCGCCTAACAGAGCATAAGACACTTCTTTGCACTGCATTTAACAATAATTGATTAGTTTATGATTCAAAGTATATAAATATCATAATACCTGTGCCTTCTCTATGTCCACCAAATCGCCACTATATTCACAAATGAATGAACCTTTCATTATATCTTTGAGGGCAACAACTCCTTTGCCTTTATTACCAAACTCTTCAACAGCTAATATATCTTTGGGATCAGACTTAGCGATCAAATAATATTTGATTAGTTTTTCTCTTTCCATTTCCAGCGCTCGAGTGGTAAGACGTTTACGAGTCGAGGACAGAGTCGGGTAATAATCAGTAATCAAATGGTTGTCCGACTGAGTCCTACTATTCCTTAAAGTAGTCTTCTTTGATGTTTGAAATGATTTGGTCACTGCTTTCTTATCGCTCATGTCTTTAGACTCGCAGTTATCGTCACCATTGATGACACCATTGATGACACCATTGATGACACCATTTGTGTGACATTTTTGCGATAATTTAATATTTTTCTTACATTTAGCCATACGTTTGGTTTTAGTCTTTGTTTTTGTTTTGGTTTGTTTTGGAGATCCACTTAATGAAGACATAATTAAAATGATGTCAACTAAACAAACAATTTATTAAAATCACAAAACATTTAAACTTTAAATCCATTTAAATATATCAACGGATTTATGCATACAATGCGCTCAAACACTAAACTCAACTCAATTCACATCAATTACGACTTAATATTAATTTTTATTTTATTATTTTCACTAATTATTCGACTAATAATTTACACTTTAATTATGATATTAATTATAAATAACTAAATTATATCTTAATATCAATTAATATTCAAAATTACTTAAATTAATTGAATTAAAATAAATACATTAAGTTTACAAAATGTTGTTATAATTGATTGTCAAATAATTTGAAAGCATTTGATTGGTTGACAAAAGTGTTTAAACATTTGCCAAACATATCATAGCATTGTTTATACCATTGAAAGGCATTCTCTGTTTATTTTGATTGTATTATTAGTAACTCTTTTGACATAATTTTATAAAATAAGGGAATTATGTGTTAAATAAATGTTTGAATTCTAAGTAATAGAGTATTAGTAGTAATACTCTATTGTTTCATATGATTACCAAAAAACATATACTTTTCTAATATATTAATAAACAATTAATTTCTACACATTTTTAACAAATATCAACAAATACTTTAAATTTATATCAAATTTAATTATCAAACAATAACTTATTTTATTAATTTAAAATAGATTTTAATAACTACAGTATTATACAGTAGTAGTAGTATTAATAATAATATTGTGACAATAAATCATTTTTACACAATATATTAATTATGATATCTTATATATTATATATTATTATATAACTATTCAATTAAATTATTTTGTTTAATAACTATTAAATAACTGAATAAATTTAATATATATATATATATATATATAATATTTATTATACAAAAATTATTTGGTATAGAATTGAATTGCTATTTATTATACAAATATGTATATAAATGTTATAAAACTATATCCTATTTATTACAATAAATAATAAATTTTGTAATAAAGATAAATGATATTTGAATTAAATATTTTTATTATAAATGATTTAAATAAATAAATAGTTATTTAATTAAAATATTGAAATGTTTGCAGACTTGACATCTTTGAACAAATTATTGTAATATTCATTGAGTTTGTATGCAATGTCTGACACATTATGTGTCGATCCATATATCCGTACTAACACTGCATTAGAAGTAGAATCGGATTCCAATCGAAACCAAAATATAGATCCGAAACGAAACCCATATTCAAAAAATGCAAATAAATATTATTTGTAATATTGTTTTATTCCTATAATTATAGAGTAAACATATGTTTTTTTAATATACACAATACATTAGAATCTAATCATTAGATTCTAATGTATTGTGTATATTAAAAAAATATATCTAATGATTAAATAAATATTATTGAGTTTTTTACATAATATGTAAATTATATTTACAGTAGTTTGTTTATATTATTTTAGTTGAAACATTAATTTTTTACATTTTTTACTAGAAATATATTAAATTTGATTTATTATATTTTCGGTTAATTATATTTTCGGTTAATTATATTTTCGGTTAATTATATTTTCGGTTAATTATATTTTCGGTTAATTATATTTTCGGTTAATTATATTTTCGGTTAATTATATTTTCGGTTAATTATATTTTCGGTTAATTATATTTTCGGTTAATTATATTTTCGGTTAATTATATTTTCGGTTAATTATATTTTCGGTTAATTATATTTTCGGTTAATTATATTTTCGGTTAATTATATTTTCGGTTAATTATATTTTCGGTTAATTATATTTTCGGTTAATTATATTTTCGGTTAATTATATTTTCGGTTAATCAAAAATCAAAACCCATATTTAATGGGCTGTTCTATAGTACAGCTTTCACTTGTTGTCACGTGATTATTATTTCCATATATTTATATGTATTTAAATTTATTTTAAGTTAGGTTATGTCACGTGAGATTCATAAATTTAACGTTAAAACTATATTAAATAATAATCACGTGACAACAAGTGGGCTGAACTATAGAATCCCTATTTAATGAACCGAAACTGTTTTCATCTCTAATTTGAAGTTTAGATTTGACTCAAACATTGCATATGTATTGTCAAGCATTGTATTGATATATAGTGTAGAAGTAGTGCTAAATGTTTACAATCATTAAAATCAAATCAAATGAAATGATGTTTTCATTGATTATATTAAATGATAATTAATTGTCACAAATATGTGTCATATATTATATGTGTGACTAATAGTCACCAAAATATCATTAATGGTGTTGTATTGCCATTGATTGTGACCAATGGTTTTGAGTAAATCCTTCCGCGTTTACCATAAGTTGGACACAAACGGTGTCTATAGTATACTATTGGATCAAAAGACATATAAATGTGAATCATTACTGTTTGAAGCCGAAGCCGTGGCCACTATAAGTATGTCAATTTTTTATGAATTATTGGATATCATTAAATGTCTTAATGTGGTCATCATTAGGTCCATCAGAGGCCGATTCCGTGCGTCACTTGTATTCAACAGTTTTGGACGCTTATGGATGTCTCGGTGTTCTTCAGCTATCAATTGGTTAGTAAACTATTTGTTGTTATCGTTAATAAACTCTTGAGATATAGACAACTGTGATGAAGTCAAGTATAGTCCTCTTAATCCAAAAATATTGATTGATTTTATATGTCTTCCTCTTTTCATTTCCTTTTAATGATTGCTTTTTAAACCAAACAATTATTACAATTTTCATAACTATTATATATAGTATTATCTAAACAAATCTAAGCAATCAAAACAAATTGATTTAACTTTGTTTTCATTGATTATTATTTTATAATGAGTTATATTTTTGTTTAATAGCATTTCATAACAACGAAACATTTAAAAAATTTAATTTCATAATAGGTTTTGTTTGTAAATTGTATTATATTGTGACGGTTGTTGCTTTTGTGTTTAAAAATAATATATATCATACTATATGTAAACTTTACCGGTATATTAAATAGGTATGATTTAATGGAAGTAGGGTTCGGGCAAATTCCTACTTTTGTTTTATGAGATAATTAGAGGGAATTTATTCGGAAAATTACCCAAACTTATTTTAAGTTATTTTTATTGTTTAATGATATTGACATTAAATATTCATTATTAATTTCGACTTGTATAAATAATTTTAAATTATAACAATAAGTTATTAAAATACATTTCAGTTTTAAAAAAACATTTTGAATCAGTATATTATACTAAAATGTTAGATAGCATTACCAGAAGAATTTCTAGAAAGTATATTTAATTATTGTGTCCGAAATGTTAATTTTAACATCAATAGCTTAAATATTAAAAACAATATAAAATCAGATAAAATAACATACATTTTTCAGAATCAAATAACTAATTTACACATCAATTCATTCATATAAATATAAAATGAATTTATGAACAAAACCGACAATTTTAAACCATTTTAATTAAATTCCTTAAGATATTTGACATTATTTATTCATATAATCCTATTATCTGATGCTTTATTCGAATCTTAATTTAAAATGTTTTTTAAAAAATGAGACAAACAGACGAACAGATTTCAGTAAAAAATTTTTATTCAAAATAAGATTAAATTACAAACTATTTTATAAAAGTAAATCTAAACATTTATGCAATTATTTAATATTTTAATTTGAGCTCAAATTATTAGTTAATTTAAATATTTTTCATAATATTTGTTACATTTTGAAAACAGGTGATACAAATATCTTATACTTGATTTTGGTGTCTGGATGTGTATCAGTCGGCAAATTACATACATCAGAGATATTTCGCATAACAGACACTATATTCATATCTCTTCGTAATAATGGCAGTGATTTGGAGCGAATTCAAGAAGTCCGTCGTATTCTGAATTCGGGAACATTTTATTTCTCAGTTACTTTGGCCGCCGATTCAGATGAACCTCCATATGATTTGACACTTTGTGCCCAAAGATCTAACCGCACACACGAAACGGACAATAGATTTTTCTGGAATCGGATGCTATATTTACATCCATTAAGATATGGTGTCAATACAAACAAATGGTTTATCAAAGCCATGTGCGGCGGACTCTGCATTAGTACCGTATATGTCGGGCACTTGCAGGCAAAGGCATGTCTTATATCGCGTCTGAGTTGTGAACGAGTTGGCACACGTTTTAATGTTAGAGGTACTAATGATAGCGGACATGTGGCCAACTTTGTTGAAACGGAACAGTTTATTGTATTGGATGATAAAATTACATCATATATAATGACCAGGGGATCAATTCCGTTATTTTGGGAACAAACAGGAATGCAGGTAAAGATAATAATGATTTTAACCAATTATTTAATAATATAATTAAAATGATTTAATTTAACAAACAGGTTGGCGCACATAAAGTGCGAATGTCGCGGGGAAGTGAAGTGTCTCAACCTGCTTATGACCGTCATTTAGCATCTATTAAGCACAGGTATGGCAACCAAGTGCTTATAAACTTGATTAGCAATAAAGAAGGCGAAGCACTCATTGGAAAGATGTTTAAAGCGCATCACAAAAGCTCTCGTTTTAGTAAAGATGTTCCGTATATTGCATTTGATTACCACCACTATTGCAGTCATGGAAAGACTGATAACATTAAAATACTTAGGGATCAGATAATTAAATATTTGAAAGATTTTAGTTTTTTTTATAAAGAAAAAGGAGTGGTTCAAAGTCAACAATCGGGAACTTTTAGAGTCAATTGTATTGATTGTCTCGACAGAACTAATCGCGTTCAGACTTGTATTGGACTCGAAGTTAGTTTTGATTGAATTTATTTGTTATAGTGTTTTGTTTTATTGATTTTTTATTAAACAGATATTAGGCCAACAATTGGAAGCATTGGGTTTGACTGAAAAGGCAAACATTGTTTCACGATTTGATGAAGTTTTTAAAAACATGTGGATTCAAAATGGTGATCAAGTAAGTAAAATATACGCCGGAACAGGTGCTCTGGAAGGCAAATCTAAGGTATGTTTAATTTGTAATATTACGGTAATTATAAATTTAGTAATTATATTATTTTAACTAAAATAATTAGCTAAAAGATGGAACTTTATCTGTTGCCCGAACCATTCAAAATAATTTGTTGGATAACAGCAAACAGGAAGCAATTGATATACTTTTAACAGGAAAACCGTTAAATAATGAATACTCTGACAGAGCCCGGTCTCTATTGGCCACTCATTATTTACATTTGCCATCAAATATATTGATAGCGATGTGTAACAAATATTTGGAGTTTACGGAACCGATATCTATTAAGGTGTCGGTCGGCACTTGGAATGTAAACGGAGGCAAACATTTTAATAGTATTATTTTTAGAAGATCTGATCCATTATCTGATTGGTTACTCGATAATAAAAAGAAGAATAATTATCAAAATGTTATGGATATGTCATTAAATTTGTCTTTTAATACAATAGAAGACAACGAATTTTCTGCTTCTGATATATTTGCTATTGGTTTTCAAGAAATTGTTGACTTGAATGCTAGTAATATAATGGCTGCCAGTACTACAAACCAAAGAGAATGGTTAGTTGAACTCCAGAAGACTATATCAAGAGATGAACCGTATGTTTTGATAACATCCGTTCAATTAGTCGGTGTTTGTCTTTTTCTTTTCGCTCGTCCTAAATATGCTTCTAATATAAGGTATTTATTTTTATAATTTTTATATTTATTTATTAATTTTTTTATTCTAATTTAATAGAGATGTAGCCATAGATCAAGTGAAGACAGGTTTAGGAGGCGCCGCTGGCAATAAGGGTGGAGTTGCTATACGTTTATTGTTTTACAATACTTCGCTTTGTTTTGTTTGTTCCCATTTTGCCGCCGGACAAAACCAATTTGTTGAAAGAAATGCTGATTATTCAGAGATCACCAGAAAGGCATCGTTTCCAATGGGAAGGTCTCTTAACTCACACGACTATGTTTTCTGGTGCGGAGACTTTAATTACAGAATTGATTTGTCCAATGAAGAAGTTAAACGTTTGGTTCAGGACCGGCAGTGGTCTAATCTTTTAGTCTCAGATCAACTCAAATGTCAACAAAATGATGGAAAAGTATTTAGAAATTATATCGAAGGAGAGATTGGTTTTGCTCCGACTTACAAATATGACATTAATAGTGATGATTATGACACGAGTGAGAAGTGTCGGGTTCCTGCCTATACCGACCGTATTTTGTTTAAGAAAAGATTCCCAACCGGTTCTGATGAAGACATCGGTTCATTAAATTACGGTAAGATTCTGCACTATGGAAGAGCTGAACTCAAAACATCAGATCATAGACCAGTTATCGCAGAATTTTTATCTGATATTCTTGTTGTTGACGAAAATAAAAGATCACAAGTATTTCGAAACGTATTGGAACAGTTGGGTCCATTGGATGCCACTGTAGTGGTCACTCCCAATGATTTTGAAGACGATGATTCAGCCAATTATTTTGATGATGTGTTTGTCACTAATATATTGAAGAGATTGGCCAATGAGGCCGGAGAAATCATTTTAGCCCGTTTTAGTGAAGATAACCTTAGAGTGACATTCCGTGAGGGACAGTGTGCTCTCAAAGCAGCTAAATTGGGATCTATTTCTATATTTAATAAAACCTTTGGTGTGGAACTGAAAACCAAGAATTGGATCGATGCTGTTGAGGAAGAACTTAAACTTGGAATTAATAATACCATTCCATTAATTGATAAGATGTCAGATATCAATGATTTCCAAGATAATGACCATTCATTAGGACCAACATTTGATGCGTCGAATTTCATTCTTGAAGACGATGGAGACATGGGCTCAGTTTCTTCTGGAAATAGTTCTCCAATTCCTCCAATTGAGTCCAATGAATTTAATGATAAACCCCCTCCACTACCTGGCCGATCAACACCCACTGCTCCACCTCCAGCTCGACCACCACCTCCTAAAAATGCATTGGCATCACCATCTAAGTCTACGTCATATAAACCAACCAAACCAATTGAATCTCAACAAATTGAGGTATTATATTCAATATATTTATTTAATATAATTTAATACTGATATATTAATTACACCAAAATAAAATAGGAAACACATACACACTCACACACGCAAAACATATTAATTTATACATACATTACACTTTTTTCAAACTATTGTATAAGTTATGATTATTATGTTTAATATATTTGAAATATTTGCAAACGTATGAATAATAAAGTACTTTATATTAATTCTTTAAATATTATTACAGTCGACAACTATTATCAATAATAAGCCTTTAAGACCAGTTCCCATAAGACCGGCACCACTACCACCACACAAAACAAGTGATAATGAAAGCGTAGACTTAACTCATAATCAAAGCTTTGATTTACCGCCGCCTTCAATGCCGGCACCATCTCTTCCAACAAATGATTCCGATTTTGACAACAATGTCATCAGTTGTCCACCAAAAGAGTATCCACCTCCACCGCCGCCACGTGTTGATTCATTTCAAGACAACGTAGAGGAACCGCCACTTTCACCAGTTCTTTTAGGACTACCTCTCGCTCCTCCAATTCCACAGACGATCGAAGAGCCGCCACCGATACCATTGAGACCTAATTCGGCAACTAATATGGAATCAGCCAATGAATCGGGTGTACAGACAAATCCGCCTCCAATACCGGCCCGAACTATAACCAAACCACCGATTATTCCTCCCCGACGTTTGGCGCAATGAATTACACATTACATATCTAGTCATTAAATTTGACTGACATTAAAGTTAATATTAATATTGTTTAAGATTTTAATGATATATCTCTATAATTGTTTGGTCACAACTTTTTCTGATAGCGATAGAAATTGTTTGAATAACATTTAATTACATCGAATATTGATTAATCCATTTATTAATTAATTGTTATATAAATATAATTGTGTTATCATTATTCAAAAGTTTAAACAATTGTTAAATTAATCATTTTCTAGTGTTTAGACATTTTATTTTTATTTACGAAAATGAATCATAATTATAGAAATGATATATTTAAAGGTGATATTGTCATCAATAAGTTAATCTAAATTACAACTTATAAACTTAGATTTAGCTAATTTAAAATAATTAATTATTTTGCGAATTTACTAGCTCATTTGAGAATTATAGTTTAATGAATTAATTTTTAAAACTAATTTTTATTTTAATGTTTTTAAAAAAATTAATTATTTCACAATATTTTCATAAATTATATATTAGTTGTTAATGTAATAAACAAATGAAGAGTAAAAGTGCTTTTGAGAGATAAATTAATACTAATTATTATTGAAAATATTATTTGTTATGAAAAATAGCGGTCAGTTACCAACTATTAACTAAATATAATTTATTTACCCTAATATAAGTTTGCGATTTGGTTTTGTATTATTATCTTATTTATTATTCAATCTTTAATTGATATTACATACAAATTTATCTCTATGAGAATTATTTACTAATTGATTATATTTGATTCAATTACCAATAATCGCATTATTTGTACATAAATACACCAAAAAAACTAATTTGTAATTTATTTATTTGTTAATTTAATTATATTGAGTTAATAATAAGTCATTATACTGTAAATAGTTTTTAAAACTAATTTTCTTTCTAAAGTACTTTTACTTATTAGACAATTATAATTTTATTTATTTGACATAACATATAAATTATTTTATAGTATATATTTTAATAATTTTTATTTATTTAATTTTTGAGATTTAATTTTAAATATTTTTATATTCTATTTAAAATTATTATTTTGATATATACTTCTAGTCGTAAATCATTAATATTTGTTTAATTATAAATCAACTAATTTTTAAAAAAAAATTATTTATTAATTTATAAATTATACAAATATGTATTATTGATATTGAGATATACTGTATGTTGTTATTATATACTCTTATATAACTAATTATCTTAACTCTTATATAGCTTTAAACTATAAAACAATCATAATTTCACAAAATTTAATAAAATTTTTGTTAATTATAAATATTATTTAAATTATACATTGATTAGACTTAATAGTAATCATTTAATTAAATTATTAAGATGACAAATTTTATTTTAGTAAAATGTAATTATTATTTTTTGTTAAATTTGTTATTATTTTTAAAAAAATAAATGTTATTAATTATGAATTATTGTCACTTTTATTAAAGAGTATATCATTTAGAAACGCCAATTGTCTTAAAAATCCTTCATTTGGTGCTATTTCTCTGTTCTGTCTTATTATGCGAATAGACTGCTGAGCTGTCATACCTTTTTTGATCATCAAATATGCGGACACAAGAGTTACCGATCGGGACACTCCTTCCTTGCAATGAACCAAAACGTTCCCTTAAATTGTCATTGAATTTGAAATTAAATTAAAATTATTTGATACATAAATTATTATTCGTTACCGTAATATATAGTATAATTTATATTATATATAACGTATATATATATATGAATAATTAAAGTAGTGCACAAATTTAATAATTATGCAGTTAATTAACAAAAATAATTATTTTACTAAACATAAAAATGAAAATGTTAGATTTTAAATTTGTTAACTAATAATAAACATTTAAAAAATACTTTAATCAATTTTTGCCAACTAGTATTATCATTTTTAAGCCATAAAATATATAAATTAGGGTAATGTATAAAACTGTATTAAATTTTATATCTATTAATATAATTACCCGAATCATTAATTGCTGACTCAATAAAATTAGCAGAAATGTCGAAATAATGATATAAATTGAAACTTAAGTGATCTATGGCTTCAATACCCATGAATTGAATGCCAGACTCTGAATAATATTGTTGTCCAGTGTTTACAAAATTAAATAAACCATTTGTAGTGATATTGTCTCCAAACGAAGCATTTAATACATGACTAATTGATAATGACTTTAGTAATGGTATATTCATTGCAATTATTCTTGAAATATAAAAAAATATATTTGATTAATAAAATTTATATAATAATAATAATTATTATTATTATTATTACTCGTCACCGATGTAAATGCCATCAAATACTTTATTATAAGAATCATTAGCCAAAAGACAGAGACCAACAGTCGGTGTGTCTATGATTTGTCTCAATTCTTGTGGTGTACATGTCTTAAGTGTTGATTTCCACCAACACATCTCATCACTACTTTCTTTGTCACTCATATTTGCCAATAATTATAGTCTTTACACGAGACGGGCATAAAAAACGAGATAAAATGAGAAATATAAGACTTTGTTTATAATTACCGATAAATTGTGAAAAAATACAATTTATTAAATATTATTAAATTTTTTTATTAATTTCTAAAAATGAGTAAAAAATACAAAATAGATATATAGTTACAATACATCTTTAAAAATGAGATTATTTATGACATATAAAATGGTTAAAATAATTGAGACATTTGTGCAATAAGTTGTTTGATGGGCATCACTGACAGCTCTCAATACTGTCACCTGATCTACGATATCGATGTATGGGTTGGATCCGTCATCAAAATACATGGGACAGTCGTCATCTGGTATTTACATTGAATAAAAAAAAATAATTATAAATAAAGTCTATAATTAGTAACCAATGATTTGAGTAATAATTGATACATACGTTCCCTTTCGTACTCAGACATAGTGAGAGCAATCTGTGCGCCCTCTCCTGAATGACCACTTCTTACATCTTGTTTGATATGGCAAAAGGCACCGACAGATAATGACATAAGAATGATGTTGAGGTCAGCCCTTTGATATACCCAACACCGGTATTTACTGTAGGCGTCCAACGGATCGTATGTTATTAAATAGGATTTGAGATTCTCTTTCCAAAAGCCAATGCATTGCATTTGATAATCCGGTTCACTGTATATATCAACGGGACGTCCGAAATGGTCAACAGATATACAATAATTGGCATCGATTTCAATAATTTTTTTGTCGGCGTCACAAACGGAAAAATCGGATATATTTTCTTTACAATAGACGTTAGGTCTCGGCATTTGAGTGACACCTCCTCTGATTCGGGTTTCAAACTGAATATCACCCGTTTGGTCGAATCGGAACTTTCCGGCAATCGGACATTTGATCGAAATTGGATTTTTGGCTACATTTTCATCAAAACATTAATTTGAAATATAAAATAAATTATTAAAAAATAAACAATTTTACTGATAAGTAGATCATATTTCCACTGTTCTTCGTCATCAAACATATTCCACGCGCAGACTGTGGCGAAAGTGTCGATAATCATTGGCTGTCCTTTTCGGTAACGTATGATATTGTGATGTCGCGGAACAAAATCAAAACATACAAAATCCTTTTGACTTAAATTTAATTTGTTTTAATTAATAAATTTATAATTAATTAATATTACATTAATAGTCTAATAACATACCATCCATTAATACCAAGTCTTGCCATTACAAACCTCGTGCCTCGTCTTTCTTGACAAACAAAGATTTCTTGTTTGATTCTTCCAGTGTCTGGTCTCCACTTCTCCACCATATAAGTTGAATTAATTGTGACCTCAGCATCAAAGTTGGCGGTATTAACCCAAACTCCCGTAAAGTTTTGCGGTAGAGTGCATTTGGCCGGAACTACTTCTGTCTTTACTGGAAACAATCTCAACCTTTCGGGTCCCTCTTGTGGTGACCGCAATGTATTGCATTCAGCGGTTATTGAAACCGATAAGAAAACATCATCATCTCTGTTAGCCAACTGTTATATTGAATACAATTTACTTAAATGTTTAATAAAACATTTTGAATAAAAATTTTCATACAAAACATCTATATTTTTCTTCAATTCGGGATTCTCTTGAGTTGACGACAGCAAAGTAATGATTTTTGCCGACATACCAGTCCCCTAAACACTTGAACTGAACTTCTGCGTCCTCCGTGTCCTGCATTCCCAAACATTTTCTGTAATTCATTATAAACTGTTGGTTTACATTGAAAAATTGTGTACCTATTTAATGTAAAAATTCAAACATATAATAAAATAGATAAAACTGTATATTAAAAAAAAAAATTCAATGTACCGGGTATTTGACAGGCAGTGATGTTAGCTTCGGGATGTGTACACTCTCCCGTAAATTTATATCTATTTTGATAACCAAATTTCCAGACACCTTCCAAACTGGATCGACAGTTCTTTCCCGACGGATTTGTCGCTATATTAATATAAATAAGATTTTAGTTTTTTAAATTAAAATATATAATTAAGTTATACATACAAAATAAGGTGATATATTCCTGATTGAAATCTAAAAGTTTACAAACAGATTGTATTGAAGGTGTCTCTCCGTAATTTAAGTTAACACAACCCGCTATTAATTATAATAATTATTATTATTATAAATGTGTTTAAATTAATCTGAAACTTACTTTCAATCTTTTCGAGAACATTAAGAGTTCTTATAATAATACGGACGCAATGATAACAATTCCTATATTTAATTCAATTAAAGACAATATTCAACAAAATAAATATTGATGTCATGTCATACCCTTGTCTGAGAACAAGTGTAAAGTTGTCGTAATTAGTACTTTGCATTTGAAGACATTGTCCTCTGTTTGACAACGAATCGGTGGTAATAGTGGTGAACACATTCTCTCCATATTCACGTGAAAACCACTCTCCCTGAAGAGTTTGAGGAATATCGCAAAGTGGTTGATGAATACTTATGCCTTCCCTATCATAATATTGTCCACTTGTTTGTCTTAAATTTACTGCATTTTTTAAATAAATAATTTTAGATCAATTGCAAGACAACGCCCAACAAAGTTTAGTTATTTAGTAAATCATTATAAAAATAATTTAATTTCAATAATCTTACACAATATGAATATAAACTTAAATGAAAATGTCTTCAAATACAACATCTTATCAATTGAAATAAATCCTACAATTGTTTCAAGAAATCATTTTACAGATTTAATTACTTTTAATCTGACAACAAAAGTATATATATTTCCATTCATTTATTTATTACAACTGCACTACACCTGTCTGGCTGTAGAGCTCAGGTAATCTAATATAACAACACCCCTCACATCTACTGTACCTAACATTACATTACATGCTTTATAACTAAAAGGAAAGGTATTGTATTTAAAGTTTACAGAAATATATAACTTATTATATTTGTTATTTATATTCTCTTTTTGAAGTAAAATCAATTATAATAGTGAATAATTAATTACTAAATTTTGTAACTAAAAATTAATAAGATATTATTAATTAAAAAGTTATTATATTATACTAAATTAACAGATTACTATATAATTTAACAACTTATTACTATAATTTAACTATCTATTAAATAATTTTTATAATAAATTTAATTGTCTATTTATATTACTAATTATGTAGTAAAAAACTATTAATTTACAACTGAACCCATTAACAATTAAACAGTTATTATAATATTTTTAATGATTTAAAGAATATTCTTAATAAATTATATTTAAATTAATGATGAATATTAAAAAATAAGTTGATATTTATGATTATATTTGTTAAAATTATAATAAAACAACTCATAATAAATTATTCAATATATAGTTAATCAAATTATTTCTAATCTAATATTTATTTTATTTATGAATTAATGCAAACATTTTTAGAATAAATTTTGTTTATAATAGTATTGACTTATTATAAGAATTTTCAAAATTTAGAAATTAAATTAATTGATTGATTTTAAGCGATAATCTCTTTAATGTCCAAAAACTCTTTAATCTTCTTAATCTTTCTAATATTAGTAATACCTGTATAATGACATTTGAATAACTAATTTATCGTTGACTTAAGCACTTAACTAATACCATTTAAGCCTAACTTATCCTAATCTTATCCCAAACTAATCTAACAATACAAATGAGATTTTTAATACATTAAATCATAATAGCATTAACTTAATATTGAATATTGAATATAAGACAAATATATTATAAATATATCAATTAAATCATTGAAAATATAAATCCAATTTATGGCTAATTTTCTGATAACGTTATTAATGTATTATTTGTTGTAATATTCAAAATGTAATCAAATTGTGAATGAATTGCAAAACATTTGTTGAAATAACAAACAAATGTTTGGTTTGAATGCATTGTCGATGACTTTTGTGACCAAATAATGGCAAATATAGCCAAAGGTTTCTTTGACGGCAACTTTCGTCGCACTCCTCAACAGTCACTCGGAGGACATATTCAAAATGTATGACCAATTGATTAACTATTTAATTGTTTTTATAATAATTGTCTCTTTCAGCCACAACGGGAACAACTGTTGCAGAGATTAGCCGAAGAGAGACATCAACGAGAGGTATGTCACGACAATTGACTCAATTATGTCTTACTTTGTTTTGTTAATTATAATTAGCAATTGAGACGACAGACCAACTCTGCTATTGTCATACAATCCTTTGTTAGGGCATGTCTTGAACGCAAACAATTGGTAAATGTCTTTGAGTTGATTATCATATGATTATTAAAATCAATTAATTATTAAATGATATATTTGTTTGTAGTTTTCGTTATTACGTAAAGAATTTGACCATAAGATCGATGTTATGATTAAAAGGAATTCGAGTCCAACAGTTGAAGACATGGATCAACTGATCTTAAAGTTCATTATTTTCTTTAATGAAACTAAAGATTCTCAAAGACTTGTAAGTCTTAATATTTTATGAATTATTGTTAAGTTATGATATATTTTATTATTTAAAGAATTGGTTGACTCAACAATTGGTTAGACTTAAAGACTTTATTACAATTAAAGTATTGACTGACGAGAATCAGTGGTTATATCGGATTAAATGTATTTTGGAGTTTAATATCCGATACTTGGAGTCCATTGCCGATAATCAGACATCAATAGCAATACCAATGCGTGTCTTTGAAGTATATACAAGTGTCGACTCTTATAACAGCGATAATAAGTCTAAAGTGATATCAACTTTGACATCTATATGGGATTATCTCATTTGTCATAATTTTTTTACACATATGAGACATTTAATTGATTCAAAGATTCCCGAACCATATGAAAGTACTTCCAAAGCACCCACACCTTTGGCAGCAACGCTTCTGGAGCTAACTCTACGGCCGTTAAAAACATTAAAAGAAAACAACGAAACAAAACTTAATTTTGTTATCAAAAGGTTTTTAACCGACATTCTTAAGGGTTCATTAACTCCACAGATTAAAGACTATGTGTTGACTTATTTGTCGCAATCAAATGACATTACAGCCGAAGATATAATCGACTGTCTTTTAGCTGATCCGTCTTGTGATAACATTGCTATTATTATAGAATCCAATATTTGGCTTTTCTTTTCTGTACTCAAATTAATTGGTGTTCAAAGCAAACGATTCAATACAAAATATGTCATAAAATATTTACATATTTTACGACCACTTTCAACGAGTTTAATACAAACAACATGTTTGAGAACTAATGCAAACTTAGATGAAGAAGATAATGAAGATATGGATACTACTGACTACATGTCCAGTGATGGCAATACTGATGACTCATCTCTAGTCGATTCAGTGATTACAATGATTAACGAACCGACACATGTAATGGTTATTACAGGCCTTACAGATTTGGATGTATTTATTAATGATTCACAAATATTAATATCATTGTCATATTTATGTCATTCACTATTGTCTTCACATACATTAGCAGTCAATCAGTATCGGTATTATTAAAGAGTTATTAAAAATATTTTATATAACTAAAAATATTAATTATTATATTTTGTTTTAATTAAGAATGTTATATACTCTGGCATTTAAGGGAAGATTTTTGAGAACACTTTGGAAATATATTACTTCAGTGTCGTCGTCATCAATGTTGGGAACTCCTACTTCTTTGTTATATACCATCTCTCAAGGTCTACCACTGGCGTCCATCCATTGGGAACATATTTTACCTGAACTGACACTATTCTGTACATTATTCAGTTATTTGTTCCCTACATTAGATGACGTAGAGTTTTATCGGGATATGGATTCACAATTTGAAGTAAACGACTCACAATCAACAATTCCATTCACTCTTCAAGAGTTGGCATCAATGGGATCAACATTACGTGATGTATGCGTTGGTTTAGTGAAGTTGGCTTACGATGACACGAGACATACAGTTCGTAATGATTATCAGGAATTACTTAAAAATGAAAACCAAACAAATGATAGCAATAAAGATGTGACTCGTTATTGGATGAAACTCTTTAAATCTTGTGTCAAACTTTTACGTCAACTTCATTCTAGAGATGCCAGAAGACAGTATTGTCCTCCACAGCATTGGATTAGTAAACAAGTGTCGATTCCTGTTGAAAGACCCGCTAATTTTAGAGTTGGAATTCAACAGAGAAGGACTATGTATCAAGAATTTATGGGATTAAGACATCTGTCCAGAGAAGAGCTCGAAACACATGGACCACCACTTTCAACGAGTGAAGTGAGAAACATAACTATTTTACAGGAAATACCATTTGTAGTACCATTTCTCGATCGATTCAAAATTCTGCAAACAATGATAAATATTGACAGAACTCAACACAGAGGAGACGCCAATACTTTCAATGTTATGGGACATTCAATTGATGTCAACATTAGAAGAAACTATATTTATGAAGACGCTTTTGAACAGTTATCACCTGAGAATAAGCCAAACTTAAAGCCTATTCTTAAAGTAAAACTCGTTTCAGCCATTGGTTTAGATGAAGTTGGTATCGATGGCGGAGGTATTTTTAGAGAATTCTTATCCGAAGTACTCAAGACTGCTTTTGATCCAAATCGCGGCTTTTTTCGTACCACAAGTGATGGTTTGTTATATCCCAATCCTTCAGTATCATTGATAGTCGACAACTATGTCAAACATTATTTTTTTATCGGTCGTTTACTCGGCAAAGCTATCTATGAGAACATGTTAGTTGAACTTCCATTTGCGGCCTTCTTTTTGGCCAAATTATTGGCCCGACAAACGTCATCGGATATTGAGATACATCATTTGGCGTCATTGGATCCGCTTATGTACAAAAATCTCATCTTCCTTAAGAACTATGACGGAGATGTTACTGAATTAGGACTCGACTTTACTGTTATCAATTCAGACTTGGGAACCACTCAAGTGATTGAATTGAAACCAAACGGTGCGAAGATCCCGGTGACAGCACAAAACCGTATTGAATATATACATTTGATGGCTGATTATCGATTGAATAAACAGGTAATATATATTATACTGTATATTAATAATACATACTTTTAATATGTTTTACATTTATTTATAAAAATACATTTTCAACATAATTTCAGATCCGATTGCATTGCGCGGCATTCAAGAAAGGTTTGGCTGATGTTCTTGACTTGGATTGGCTTCGAATGTTTGACGGCAGAGAACTCCAAATCTTGATATCAGGTGCGCCAACACCTGTTGATGTCGACGATCTCAAGAACCACACAAATTATGGCGGCGGCTATCATAAAGATCACGTCGTTGTCATAACTTTCTGGAACGTTGTCGAACAGTTTGATGAGAGCCAGAAAAGAAAATTACTTAAATTTGTCACCAGCTGTTCCAGGCCTCCACTCTTGGGCTTTAAGGATTTATTTCCTCCATTTTGTATACAAAATGCCGGTCGAGAGTCTAACCGACTGCCAACAGCGTCGACGTGTATGAATCTCTTGAAGTTACCAGAGATTGAAGACTTGGAAACAATGAAACAAAAGCTCAAGTATGCCGTCGATTCCGGTGCCGGCTTTGAACTCAGTTAATGATTACTCTGTTTTTCATTTGTAATGTTTGTTTAATATTTTAGTTATTAATAAATTTTTAATTATTAATTTCGTCATCATTTTGTATATTTTCATTGGTCCACAAATATATATGAGATTGAGATGCAGTTAATAGTTTGCTGCCATTTGGATGAGCACTAAGTGAATGAACTATCCTATGATTGTTGTGACCAATTTTGCCGATAATAGTTGACTAAATTGCAAATTAATTTAATGTTTAAATCATTGTCACTTAAAGTCTAATAAATATATATAATAAGCAATACCTCAATCAAATTCCAACAATAGACATACCCGTCCTCAGAACCCGACACTACAACTGAGTCATTGACAAGTAAACAGCTGTCAATCCTGTATTTACTATTTGAATGACCACTATATCTGAAATCAAGATAATAAGAAAAGTGAATAAATTAAATTAACTGTAAATTAAAGTCTGATCCATATATGTATACAAAGCAAGTATTTCACTGTTGCTTTTGTCCAATAATTTAACAGAACTGTTGAGACAACTAATTAGAAGGCACTGTCCGTCTCGTGTCAGATGAACACTCGTTACCGAAGCTGACATAAAAAGGATATTAATAATCGATAAAAATATAAACATTATAATCATTACCATAAGTTCTGTCGCAGTTCATAATGCCTTTCCTGATATCATAAGTACGAACACAACAATCAAGTGATGTCGAGACTATTTGCTGATCGGAAACAACAACACAAGTGACACTATCTTTGGCCTCATCTAACACTTGAATCGCTTCTTTAGATCGACTCTTAAAGTCCCATAATTTAACTGTTCCGTCAACAGATCCAGACATTATAACAGATGAGTCCTCGTTAAATGAGACGGTGTTAACAGTAGCCACATGTGCTCGATATCTCCTAATTGATTGACCGGTGGCCACATCCCAAACAATAATACATTTATCCATTGATGCCGACACTAAGTGACTGCTATCACAAGATCCGCGACAGTCCATCACTTCAGATCCGTGACCACTATAAGTCTTTAAAAGAAGTCCCTTCAATGGATTCCATAGTTTAATGCTCTTATCACTTCCACATGTCATACAATAGTCACCATCAGCTGATCCCAACAAATGATAAAATTCATAAATATATCATATTTTTCAGATCAACAAAATTATTAAATGTTTTCATTAAATTCATTATAAAGTTTCAAATGATTACCATTAAAGCTAACGGCTCTCACAGCTGACTGTTTGCAATCCATTTGCTTGATATTACTTAGAGTCTTATCGGTGGTCATATCGGTGGTCATATCGGTAGTCATATCGGTATTAAATTAATAGCAAAAGTTTAGTCAATGTTTGTATGTGTTGTGTATGTTATGCGCAAAATCGTAGCAATGATTGCATTGTATATGAGTTGACTCTGTATTGAATAACTATTGAATGCATTGTATTATACATTATATAATATAATATGATATGAGTCTCATATGTGAACTCTCGCCACAAATTGAGTGACTCTAAGCCATAGTACTATTGAAACCATAGGATCACTGAATCAATTGATTTGAATTGAATTTATTAATTATTTGACTTTTCATTTGACTTTCATTTGATTCATCAAAACAAATGTTGGACTCTTCGCGACAGAGAGTAAGTGATTATTATTATAATTGATAAGAATATGTGAGCTATTGATTAATTGATAAGTTATATGACATATATATATATATACTGTATATGTATATATGTATATATATCAATGTATATATATATATATATATCTTATACGACATAACATAACACAGTTTAACACAAACTCCATATCATTGAGGTTGAGGTCATTACTACTTAATAAAACAATTGATTACTTATTTGCTTATAATTATTACATTGATTTCATTGAATTACATTAAATTCAATATATTCTTCAATTATTCTTACATAAAACACAGAATATTCTTAACCCACTTATAAGTCATTTATTAATAGAGTAAATATATAGCTTTTAATTAGATATATATATATAATGAATGAATTTCATTGAATTTATTATTAATTTATATAATTAGTCACAAATAGTGCTATAAAATGGGATTAGCATTAAAACTAGCAGTAAATCAAATAAACTAATGCTTAGCACTACTGTACTGTATATCTGTGTTGACTTGGACTCTATCACAGGTGTATATATTATAGCCATTTAATGTATTGAATGCAATAAATAAATTGATTGTATCCTTAGCTAAGCCACAACTAAATCCATGTTTATATGACATACATATCATTTATAACTTATATAAGTTATATATCATTTAACTGGATGTTTGCATCAAACATCTACCATATCTATCACATCCTACTATAACCTACTGTACATTACTATAGTATTTCAACCATATTTAACATATATTCATGTTTTCTCTAATTATTATTTATAATTTTGTATTTAATATATTGTATTTGATTAAATATAATTTATTTAATATAATAATAATATTTAATTAGTAGTTATTATTTAATGTCTATTACTGTAAATAAATTTAAAAAAATAAAATAAAAATAATTTGTATTTACATAAATAAAATAATAAATAGATGGCCGGAGGACAGGACCAAAAGTGGCAGAAAGACGCGGCGGACCAGAACTTTGACTATATGTTCAAAATCTTGATAATAGGTAACAGTTCCGTAGGAAAGACATCATTCCTATTCCGTTACGCCGACGACTCATTTACCTCAGCATTTGTCAGTACTGTTGGTATAGATTTCAAAGTTAAAACAGTTTTCAGACAAGACAAGAGAGTTAAGCTTCAAATTTGGGTTTGTTTTGATTATTAATATATCAATATTTGTTTGATTACTGTTATATATTTGACATATTAGGATACGGCTGGTCAGGAACGGTACCGAACTATTACAACGGCCTACTATAGGGGTGCAATGGGTTTCATACTTATGTATGACGTAACTAATGAAGAATCATTTAATAGTGTTCAAGACTGGTATGTTTGATATGATAATTGATTTAAATTATTACATATTATTACAAATTATTATATTATAACATATTAATGTATTATTATAGGGTTACCCAGATTAAGACCTACTCATGGGATAACGCACAGGTGATTCTTGTGGGCAATAAGTGCGATATGGAAGATGAAAGAGTCGTATCCTTTGAAAGGGGTAAACAATTGGCTGATCAGTTAGGACTTGAATTTTTTGAAACTTCTGCCAAAGAAAACATTAATGTCAAATCAGTATTTGAACGCTTAGTCGATATCATATGCGATAAGATGTCCGAAAGCTTAGACTCGGATCCAAATTTGGTGAATGCGCCCAAAGGGACCCGTCTTACTGATAATCCACTTCCATCTAACACTGGATGTCAGTGTTAAGGTTATCCATTAGGTTAACCAGTATTTTATAATTTATATCATATATGTATCAATATAATCGGTACTATTATTGGTCATGTCATTAATATTTAAATTGCAGATGATATACAGTATACTATTATTATAAATGTTATTTGTGATGATAATGATTTTGTTAAAATATCAACAAAATTAAATTTATTTAGTCATTATTGTAAAGAAAAAGTTTGTCATTAAATTATAGCAAAAAAACTATACATAAATTTATGGTATGATTATGGTATGATTATGGTACTAGTCAATTTAATAGAATAAATTATTATATATAAGTTAATGACAATGTTATTAAACTTAATAAGCATTTAAACGTTTAGGAGTAATATATGATCAAAATTTATCATTTAATAATTATAATGATATTATGTTGAAATCTTTTTCTAAATTTTAATTTTTAAAGTTAAATATATATAGTAATGTTATTTTGAAACTTTACCAAAAATATACATTTTACCAAATATTAAATATTGAATATTCAAACACATTGAATGTTGGGTACCAAATATAACACATTCACATTTGTTAGAGTCTATATATTTATTTAAAAACAATTACACATTATTTTTTGTTTTAATTTAGACAAAAAATAATTTATCATATCATCAAAAGATGTTTTAGGCCTAAAATCACTAATAAGTGATCGAGAATTAAGATCTCATAAAATTGTTCAAAAGTTTGACAATTATGTAATGCATTCCCAATCATTGTTTAAATATATTAGAATTTATCAAACTTCACAATAGTATATAAATTATATATAAATATGTATAAGTATATATATATATATATATATATATATATATATATATATATATATATATATAATAAAGAATAATACAACGTATTGAAATGTTTGATAATTTTATTTTAATTATTGTATTAATTTGTTTAAATCTCTTAATATAGTTTTATGTAATATTTACAATTACAATTCATTTGTAAAAATTTAATGTAATTTTAAAATTGGGTACAACATTAAACATTGTTATGTATTAATTGCTTAAAAGCTAAATAAAGTTACTATTATAAATACATTACTGTATTATAAATATTGTTTTTATTCAAGTAAAAATTGATATATTTAAGTAATATTGAATCAATAATTTATATATTATTATATCATTTCATTTCAGCAAATTATCTACTTTTACGATAATCATTGTATCAATCATTATCATTATCGATCAAATTGTTAATATCTTGAAAACCATTTCATCAATTATAAAGTTTTTGTTTTATATTATAAATGAATCCCCTATTTATGAATTTATATAATATTTTATTTATTTGGAATTATTTTTAAAAATTAATTTTAATTAAAAATTATAATTTTTAACATTTAAAACTAAGATAAGAAATATTTATTAATATAATATGTAATCAAATGTAAATTCATAATTATTGAATTTTGTCTTGATTAATTGGTATAAACCAATTTATAAAGCTAGAAATTTAGCTTTAATAAGGAAATTAATATTTTTAAAACTAGAATAAAGAAGTCACTAAAGAAGTTATATTGTACTTGTTTTAAAATTATTTATCAATCAGTAATAAAAATTTATTGATATTAAAGTTATATTATTTTTTAAAAAAATAATTTTATATTATGTTTAAAATATTACGATTTATTCATCGATGGATTTGGTTATCAATGGGGTTGGGTTGGTTTGGTTTGGTTTGGTTGGGTTGGGTTAGGTTTGGTTTGGTTGGGTTGGGTTGGGTTGGGTTGGGTTGGGTTGGGTTGGGTTGGGTCGACAAATTAGAATAAACAGCATTTAATTTGGTCAAATAATTTTTTAGATATTCACAGTTTTATCTTGGTACCATAATTTAGAAATCAGTCATATGTTATAATCCTATAATAATTTTTATTATTTTATTAAAATTCAATTACCATAACTTTTTAAATGTAAAATAAAGGTTATGGAAAATACCGTTAAATGTATCAAAGTTTATATCTCTCAATAAGTTTATATGTTGATTGGCTCATCAATACAATAGTAGATAAATTTTAATGAGTAAAATTCATAGACATTATAGTTTAAGTTAATTATAAACAAATTAGGCAAATATGCTATTACCTAACATACATAAATAATGTCGTTATTATTATACATAAAGTAACGTTATTTTTGGATGGCACAAAGCATTGAAAAAAATTATTTTCATTTAAAAGTTTAAAAATAGATAGTTAAATTTTAATTATGTTGTTTTAAATTATTATTTTTCTTTATCAATAATAAATTATAAACAATTGTTTACGAGATATCTGATCAATATTTGAAAATGAAACTTTTTTATTCAATAAAATCATTGATATCGCCCGATGAAAATTGCAATGATGCTTATCATGAAGCTATTGTATAGTAAAATTTTTAAAAATTGATTAAAATTTTCAAAAGTGCTAATTATTACTTAGAATACAAGTTATATTCAAAGGTCTTAAAACAAAATTCAGACATATTTAGTTTTTAAAATCCAAAACTACTTAGTCAACCTAATATTGATAATTTTATGTTATTTTAATACACTAAAATAAATGTCATTCTATTTGCCGTTTAAAAATAATACTAGTTTTTGTACTTTTGAAACGACATTACTTATGTATGTTAGGTAATAATAAACATAAAAGTAAATTTGAAAAAACAAAAAATATTTAATATTCAAACAAACTTTGAAAATAAATATTAAAATGTAGAATATTATTGTCTAAAAAATATTGGCCTATTTGGTTATGAACATGATCAAAATGGTAGACAAATATTTTTTTAAAAATTTTTAACTGATTGATTTCAGAAATATACATAATTTTGTACATACTATGAATATTTTGGTTATAACATGCAGTACATTTTATTATACTCTATTATACAAAGCCAATTTTCAAAACTTTGTATTTTTCCAACCCTGGTCATTAGTACTATTGAATTGCTGATAATCATTACAGTTGTACATTATTAGTCATACCGAGTAATTTACACCATTAAAGTTTTTTCTGTCAATGCTTACTAGCATTCTCAACTGGTTTAATTTATATAATTTATTTTAAGAGATGTTATTAAAAGATATGATCCGTACCTAAAAAGATATATATATTTAAATAAATAAAATAACTTAAATCAAAGATTTTATTTATATATACTTTATATGATTTTCTGGTATTTCTCTCGATTTTCTAATACTTTTTATAAGATTTCAGAAAAAATACATCTTTTAATATATTTAATTGTATTATATCTTAGAGTTAAGTAATTTTATAATACATATAATATCTCATATAATTGGTTACGAAATGCATTCAGGAATAACACGAGGAAATCAGTGAGTATTATATAAAATATAACGAAATTTATGATAATATAAATACAGGAATTTTAATTTTCACTAATTAGTTAAAAAATAATTATTAAATGTACTGTAATAATAATATTCTAATTTTTAGTATTAATAATACAAATTTCTAACAATAAGTAAAAATTATTTTACAAAAGTAATACAATATTTAAACAAATACTGTAAATGAATGACATTATACTGTAATAATGATTACATGAATTTAATAGTAATACAAATGTTTAGAATAAACTGTAGATAAGGTTCTGTTAATTTAGTGGTGAATATAATTGACTATAGTTTTGACAAAATTGTATTTTTTGTAAAATTGTATTTAATTTTATTATTATTTTTTAATTATAACAATAGATGTCGTGTTTATAGTGAGTAAAGTAATGAAGAGTGAAGTGAAAGCACTGAAAGAGAGATAAACAGAGAGAGAGAGAGAGTGAGTGAGTGAGTGATGTGTTGTTTGTATAGACTTTTGAGTGTAAAACTGGTTTAATAGCAGTGAAGACATATTAAGTCAATGAAGACTCAAGACTTAAACTAAGACAACGACTAATAGCGAGTAAACTATAAAAGAGTGAAAAAATCACATTTGATTCATATTTAACACTATAGTTGCCATCATTTTAATTGATCCCCAATTGGCATCACTTGGTATTCATTTGTATTGATTGGACAATTGATTGTCATTCAACAGGTTGTGTGCAATGTCTGAAAAAGTGGGTGAAGAGTTGGGTCCGAGTCCACGATTGTGTCATTTGATTAAATGGCCCGACTTTGATGGATATGGCTTTAATTTACACGCAGAGAAAGCCAAGAGTGGCCAATATATTGGTAAAGTAGATCCCGATTCACCGGCTGAGTTGGCCGGACTACAAGAAGGCGACCGTATTATTGAAGTTAATTTGGTTAACATTGCAAATGAAAATCATCGACAAGTTGTTGAAAGGATTAAATCGATTCCTAACGAAACAAAGCTATTGGTGATCGACGACACGTCAGACAAGTGGTATAAAGAGCACAAAATTGTGGTCAAAAGTACGCAATCAAATGTCATGCACTACAAGACACCCGTTCCTCGACCTGTCAAACATGAACTCAACACTATTGATACCAACGGTTCTGACGATAATACAAATGGTGTGTCAAATGGAGATAATGACAACCACTCGACGACTGAGTCCATCGGCAGCAAACATAATGAAGTGGATGTCAACCATAAGACCAATGGATTAGCTAATATTGGAGACCAATCACCAGTAGTGGTATGTATTTTGATTAATTAAATATTTTTTAATGAAATGTCTATACATTAACTCATGTTATAATTATTAGATTATTAATTTTTGATTTAAATGAAATATTAAACCATCAATTGATATTAGTGTTAAATTAAGTATAAATATAATTGACTAAAATGTGTAAATGTTTTTTCAGATGAAGACATTGAAAACTAAGAGTTTTACGTTTTTAAATATAAATGCAATTAATTATGAAATGATAGTAAAACTGTAAATATGTTGAATACTGTAATATAACGTAAATTAAAGAGATTTACTGTAAATGTTTTCCTTAAAAAAATTCCCATCTATTGTGTTGTCCTTCACTTATATTCATTAAGTATAATCAATTCACGACATATTCACACGAATTTGAATTTTATATATATTTTATTACAACTTTATTGGTAATCATCACATTTAAAACTTAGCCAAATATTATTTTAATATTTCAAAAACAGTTTTACTTTCCTATTAATCTAAACAAGTATTATAAAATAAAATAAATTGATTTGTGCTTAGATTTAGATTTATTTTAGTAGTTTCACGCAAATATTATATTAGTTTATTTTAATTAATACACGAAATGCAATCAACTTTGACTTTTATAAATAATGAAATGATAAATTTAATAACAATAAATATAGATTTAATTAAGTAATATACAAGATATATGTTATCAATAATAGTTTATTTAATAGTTAATTTGAGATAAAAATTGATAATATTATACATTTATGACTTTAATTATGTTGACTACTTTAAATGGGTTTATAACTTTAAATGCAATAAAAATGATCACAATTTATAGGAGTATTTCAAATGTTTTGTTATACAATTATTTGTTGGTATACTCAGCGATGACACCAATTTAAGACCAACCAAATCAGTCGTTATTTAAGACAATGATTAATGTATTTATGTTATAATTTTTTGCATAAAATTAACGCTTCTTATGTCTTACAAAACACCATAAAAGGTGAATATTAGTTGATATCATTATTATGACACTGGCTTTTAATTATCTTTATTATACATTATTGTAGTTTAGTTTATACTAAACATGTTTTAAAATGTAATTTAGAAATATAACTAATAATATATTGTTTTTTTTTGGAAATGAGTTCAATCGCAAAATAGACTTAACATATATTAGTATTGATTTATAATTATTTTTAAAATATCTAAATTAGAATATTTATAGATTTTAAGTGTATTTACAATATTTGTAATTGTTTTATGCTTAATGTTTAATATATTGTAGGAGTATATTATTTACATATTTAAATTATAATGAATTTTATATAAAATTTGATTTATTATTCTACTATTTACACACATGTCTAATACTGTTATTAAATAAAATTGTTAAAATATTATTCGTTTAGTTAATATTTATCACAGAATATGACATACAATGAATTGATTAAACTATTTATTTTATAACAATTTTTTATGTGAAAGTTAGTCATTTGAAGGCGTTTTCATCGTTTTAGCACTAATTTGTTTTTTGCATTGTTTTGATTTTTAGTTTTTTTGCTAACAAATCATTTATTAAATATTTTTAACATTGATTGAAAACTGTTTTATTTTTATCTACAACTCATCAAAAGTTAAATGAATGTTATGTTTTTGTTTATTTAGCAATGAGTGTACTTTTATCAGATTATTATTATTATTATTACCAGAAATATTTTAATGATTTACTGGGTTTACTAAATATAATAGTAAATAAAACGATATTAAATTATTTTAATAATTATATAGTTTTCTAACTAAGGTATTAAAATTGTAAAATTAATATAATTTAAAATATAAATATAATTATAAAATATATTTAGATTATCTAACATAAACTAAAAAATTAATTTATCATACATTAAATGTATAAAATCTTGAACCCGTAACTCACAACATGATTCACTGAACCGTTAAATCTAAATAGTTTTTTAAATAACAATTATTAAATTAAAATATAGTTTTAAAATTCAATTTTTATATAATAATAGATGAAATTTTATACTGTAATAAAATCAGAAATAATATATTTATATGATTTCACATTTAAAAAATATTGTTATATATTGTTTTTATCTTTAAAATAAATGATACAAATGAAATTATGATTAATTTGATATATTTATATACCATTTTTATTTTTACGAAATACTTTTAGTAATGCTATAATTAATAGTTATATAATAATAATATATAGAAATTTATACAGTATACGTATAATACTGTATTTATATTCATATAAAATAGATTTCATTAATTGTTAAGTCATTTAATTATATTATCTAAGAATTTGTTTTACTAAATGTTAATTTATTTAAGTTATATTAATTATATATAAACTCGAGTTTATATTTATCTTTTTATAAAATAATTGGGTTTCGGTTACCTTTTGGGGGCTTCGCTTTTAACATTATTGTCGCGTCAATAAAGCATTGTATTAAATGCATTGATTTAACTATTAGCGCGTGAAATGTACTAAATTTATTAAATTATAAACAAATACTACTATAATATAAATACATTAAAACATAGCAATACACCCTAACTTTCACCACATCCTAACCCCACTCCATCCCATCACCACATCCTAACCTCACCAACCCCACCCACCTACCCCCAAACTAACCCAAATATAATGGTATAACATATAAAAACAATATTAAAAGCCAATAATTGTTATACAAATTGTTTTTATGATTAAATATTTAAAAAGTATTATTTAAGAATTTTGTTGTTTATATTTATAAAAATGATTTATTGATTAAATATATATTTGTGAGTATCATATCTATAGTATAAAACTATTAAAAATATATTTAAGATCATAATATATAACATAACATATATATAATTAATTATTAATAGGAAAACGGTGGTCAATCTTCAGCTTCGTCTACACCTAAAAGTACGAAAAGATCGCAAGAATCGCAGCAACAAAACCAACCGATTAGTCCCTCGAGCACTGGGAGTAACACAAATGTGTCGATTCCTGATTCTCCCATTTCAAGTAAAAGTGGTTCCAGTGGTCTGAGTGGTCCATCGCGACAGTTGAGTGAGTCATCAACACTCGATCTGAACCTAAATATGAGTGCATCTGAAATGAGACAATTGTTAGCTCAGCGAAAGAAATTGGACGCCAAGAAAGCACAGATGGATTTGAAACAAAAATATGAAATTATTCAACAAATGTAAACAATATTTTCTTAACGACCAACAAATAGTTAAACATTTGATTCTCAATCCAATTCCAATATAATTATTAAAATTTATATTTTTTTATCAAACATTTTGATAAAAATTAAAACTACTGTTATCATCTATGGACCATCAATAACATTAGAAAAAATGATATATAATATGTAGATAAATTATATTTAAAAACTTGATATAATATTTATACAATTTCCATTCTATTAATTTAGGTTATTACAAGTATTTTTTATTGTTAATATAATATACAGTACCATTATTTTTTTAATTAATTTATAAATAGTTGAATATTTGTAAACTTAAACATTCAAGTCTAAAATTTAAATTGCATTAACTATAGTATGCCTTTTAATCTATTATACTGTATATACAGTATATATTATTGTATTTTTATAAAAAAATATTCATTTAAATAATTATATAATTTTGGGAAATTATAACTGAATTATTTATTTTTTGGAAACAAAATTAACTAAATTTATGAGACCTGTAATAAGTATAAGTTGTTTAAAATTAATATTTTGTATGTAATGTATACAACTTTTGCTATATTTAATGAAATCATTATTACAAACAATGTAAACAAAACTGCTCATTATATTTATTGCCAATAATTTTGTTATTAACTAATTAGTTGATGTTTTCATTATTATTTTTAATATTTAGTAAAAAAAACAAATTTTAATTGAATGTTGGTTAATGTCATTACCAATTAGTGCCACAAATATCTACCTTTTATTACAAATAATAATAAATTTCCTAGATGATTCAATTAAATTGATGTAATTCAAAAAAATTTATTAATTTGCAATCACATGTGATATATTGTGCCTCATTTTCATTACAATACAGTTTTCTATAACTAACTAAAATTTATTATATTATTGTTTGTTTAAATAAGTTGTTTCTTTTACTAAATATTGTTCTAAATTTTAATTAATTAATTATTTGAATTCTAAATTTGTAATTTTTGTAAACATTTTTTAATCTAGGAAAAAATAAATTGATAAAAAATTAACTTTTTAATTAATTTATAAATTAACTTAATATAAAATAATTTCGTTATTATTAACTTATTATTATAAATAATTAAAGTATTCTATAAATTATAAGATATGAATAAACTTTGTATTTTGACTTTCATTAGAAACCCAATCAAAGGAAATACATCTTATAATAAAAGGATTACTTTTTCAGTTAAAATCGATTCATGTATTCATTCTTATCATATATTTATCTAATATTAATATAAAATCGGTTTCAAAAGTGATTGACACAGTTTTTTGTCAATAACTTTTAAAGTAAAACTGTTAAAGTAATATACATTTTTTGTACTATAAAATCATTGAACGGATTTTTAAATATTTAAGAAAAAGATTTTTCCCATTATATAATATCGCAATTTAAAATACAATAATCATATTTATAAGTATTTTTTATATTATCGGAAAAATGTTTTTCTTAAATATCTTAAAAACTAAACATAATAATTAAATGTTGTAAATAGAATAATTGTTACCTATAAAATATAGAATACAATTTAATTAATTTCATAACAATATACCAAGATACTTTTAATCTACGTCATATTGAAATATTACAATTTTGACATTTATCAATTTTTTATTCGAAATACAACACATTTTTGAGAAATTCCCAAAATACGTATCAAATGATTTTATATTTAGTTTGTTATGATTTTAATTAAATTTCAATATCTCTTATAGTTTTTGAGATATACAACATTTTTGTGTCCACATCCGGAACTGTAATATAAAAAATATGTTAATACTAGACATCCATTACAGCATTCTATAGTACAAAAAAATATATTGTTTTAACAATATAACTTTAAAAGCACTTTTTAAACCGATTTTATATATAGTAAGCCGGGTTAAAAAAAAGGTATTGGATTTTAAGGGGGTATATGGTTGGGCTATAGGGTTATGGAAAACACTTATTGCATTTTTGTTAAAATTTCAAAATCAAGAAGTTGTCAAATAGAAAATTAACATAATTACTAGACTCTCCATTTGAAGTTATTTAACTATTTTTACCGATATATCGGAGAATGAGCTCGTTTTAACTTTTCTCAACTTTTAGTTAACATTTTCTTTATTTTTGACTAAAATTCTTAATTTAACACAATTTTAGTGATAAAAATATTAATATATAAAATTAGTAAACAATTCTGTAAAAAATGAAGAGAAATAACTTATAGTTCAGAAAAATAGTGACTAAAAAACATTTAACGTTTATATAATTTATTATAAAACAAATATTTTTTTACAGTTGCTGACGATAAGTGTAGTTTTTTTCATATAATAAATAATTTTAAATTAAAACAAATTACAATTTGATAAAATATTAGATAAAAAATTAAAGTATGCATTATAATGCAGAAATTAAAAAAATATATTACTAAAAATTGATTGAAAATAAATAATTTTTAATTAACAATTTGCCAATATTTGACTAACTTTTATAGTGACTTAAAACTATTTTTTAGTATCTTTAAATGGATAATAAATAGATAATCTTAAAATTACTTTATTAAATATAAATTAATATATGACAAAAAGTCTTGGTCTTAGAGGGGGTAAAATTGCTAAACTATAATTTACCTCTTTCTTGTACTAATATATATAAAACCTATGATAAACTAAAATAAATATTTTTATGATTATTTGTATTTTAATATTATATGAAAATTTATGATTTACATAAATTAATATTAAATATTAATAAAATAGACTTTTACTGTACATAATGTTTAATGATTTAAATTTGAGAATACTTTTATGAATTTATAGGTTAATTAATATATTAATATTTAAAAATAATTAATTATTTTATTACTTGAATAAAAAATGTTTTCTGAATATTACTATAAAAAATATTCAAATTTCTAAAATTTATAATAATTACAATTATAATCTCATAAATTACATTTAAATGTTTAATTAATTACAAACAATATTTTTTTAACTTTATGAGTATTTACTCAATTATTTTATATTACTATTTTTCCAATTATGATAAACAATAAAATAAAATTTAAATTATAATTATGATAACATTATAAAATAAAATAAAATATCAATATTATTAATTTATTAAAATATATTAACAATTTTAAAATAAACTTAAATTTATGAAAACATTTATTCATTTGGTTTTCTACCAAAAATTAATTAAATGATAAACAAATCAATTATTAACTTTTTGTATCTTTTGTTCCCAAATGGCTATCAGTGCTGCCTTTCTTCGCGGTCCTCCAACTAAACAATGTTTCTATCATTTTAAAGATTAATAATATATATTGAGTTTTAAATTATTTAAGTTATATTATTAAATATCAATTTCATAAAATGAATTTTTTAAACATATTTTTAAATTTTAATATTATGATATATACGTTGCATATATTATGGTATATTGCATAAGTTAAAATAAGTTAAAATAAGTTAAAATAAGTTAAAATAAGTTAAAATAAGTTAAAATAAGTTAAAATAAGTTAAAATAAGTTAAAATAAGTTAAAATAAGTTAAAATAAGTTAAAATAAGTTAAAATAAGTTAAAATAAGTTAAAATAAGTTAAAATAAGTTAAAATAAGTTAAAATAAGTTAAAATAAGTTAAAATAAGTTAAAATAAGTTAAAATAAGTTAAAATAAGTTAAAATAAGTTGTTATATAAATTAATAACCTCTTCAACAGTGCAATTATTTTTATTGTTTTCCCTATCGATTAGATTTGGATTACTATTAGTTTTAATGAGAAACAACTCATCATTTGTTTGAGACATTTCTTCTTTAATACTTTCATCGGTTTCATCGCTATATGTATTTAAATTAGGCTCAGAGAGACCAACCAGTCGTATATTTCGCCACCTTTTTTGAATAATAATAAAAATTTATAATAGTTTTTATTTAAATAATATTAATAGTTAATAAACTAACATTAATTTTGATATACTATTATAATTGTAAACATTATTAACGGTAAATTTAAGGTTAAATAAGTACAGTATATAACATTATAACTATACTTTATTTAACTATACAGTATATAACTTATATAGCATTTATTTTTGAAGTAACTTTTAATATTTACACTTTTAAAATTTATATTATATAAATAATTATTGTTTAGTTATTTTTAATTATCATAATAAATGTTTGGTTACTCTAATTATAATTCAGAGTATTTTTAAATTTTTTTCTAAAAAAGTAATGCTTTATAATATTTTCATTGTAAAATTTTTTAATTAATATTATTTATTACTATTCTTAAGAGAAATGAAATTATTCATTACTCTAATCATCAATTTTATTAATTTCTATAATTTTGATTTCAATTTTTATTAAAAATTTTAACTAAACTAACAGAACTCAATGAAAACAGAATTAATAACTAAAATAAAAATATGTTATTTGCATTGAATTATGCATAGAAATGCATTTATGCATAGAAATGTACATAAAAATAATTATGCAATAAATTACATGTAATATAGATATAATTAATTAATAATAAAAGACAATCATAATTTCAATAGTAAATTGATAAAGAAGTTATCAATATTTGAAAATTACTAATAATTAACAAAAAGTAGCAATTATTTAAAAATGATATATGATTTTATATTATCAGAGTTGTATCAAAATTCATAATCAATACAATTAAAACACATAAAATGCATACTATATGTGATTTATTAATAAATATATAATTTTTTAATACCTGAGCTCTTCCTCTCTGGTTTTCATTGCTTTCATCTCTTCTTGAATCTTAGAAATAGCAGAAACACGTCTTTTTAATGATTTTAATTGTTGTTTAGCAAACATCGGTGGTTTCAATTCATAGTAGTCATCACAAGACGTATTAATCAATGAATTATTGTTAAGACCAGAGAATGGAGAATAAAGACTGTTATCTTTGGATGCGATCTTTCCCTTACTATTAATAAACGTTTGCATCGAAACAATGGGTTTATTGCTGTTAACAGATGTGATACTAGTTTTGCGACAATTGGTCGGAAAGTTGACCGAAGATGAAGCAGAACTCGAAGACGAAGAGATTTTGTTGAATGACGACAATGAAGACGAACTCATTTCACTCGATTCAATGGATCGGTCACTCAAGTTATGGTCACTCAAATGATTACTGTTTACTGTATATCTATTAATACAAATAAATATATATATATATATATAACTTAAAATTAATATAATAATCTATTAATAATATAATATAAGTGTTATTAAATTATTGGAAAAAACTAATAGTTATAACTATATATTTAATATTATTAGTAGACTATTTAGATATCGGGAATATTTATTATTATTAAAAAGTTAATATAAACAAAAATATAATATTTTTTAAAATTAGTATTTGTTTTTCCACTTTTGACGTTTCGTTAAAAACTGCTGAAAAATACCAAAATTTGAAGAGTTTATTGACGATTAAAGATTTGAATCATTAAAACTTCCGAAAATTTTATTCTATAGTTATAATTACAATCTAAATTTATTATTAAAATAGATTTTATTTGAATTACTATTATAATTATAATTATTATTTTTTCACTAGAATTCAGATTTGCACAGAGTTGCGAAAGGGGTAGGGGGTAAGGCCATCTTACCCCACCTAAGATTGAGATTTTTAGATTTTACCACCTGGCCTAGTCAAAAAGTTAGGGGGCCCTACCAATTTTCAGCGCAGAGGCGCCGAAGTTTTTTAAAATTAATGTAAAGTTTAATATTAAACAAAAATATAAATACTAATTGAGTTTTAATATAAATAAATAGCTTATGTTAACAAAATAAATAAATAAAAACTTCTTAAATACTGAAAAAAATATCTAGAGTTCGAGCATCTCAAGGGTGGACAGTTCCTTAATAAATTCCCTCCAATTTTCAGAAAAATAATGGTTATTTTAAAATTTTATAAAAATTGTTTATGCTTTTTAATATACAATTTGATTTGTATTTTTCAGATTTTAGAATTATTACTAATTAACCTAGCTAAATTACAATTTAATTTTTTAAGACGTAATAATAAATACATTATAATATCATTAATTATAACATAACAACATTGAAAATAATTAATTAAATAGTAAAAACAAGTAATTATAGTAATTGTTTTTACCTTATATAAAAATGTATATTTTATGTAAAACTTCATTTTTTAATATAGTAAAAATATTATTAGTTTGAGAATATATTTTATGAGTCTTACAAAATTAACTTGGGAATATTTTTCTTTATTATGAAATTAATGTGAGAATTTATGTAGAATTTATTGGTTGTTTATAGGGAATTTATTGGGAAGTTATTGGGAAGTTATTGGGAATTTACCAAAATTTTGCAAAAATTGTCGTTTAAAAATGCAATAAAAATTTTTAACCTCACCATATACCCAAGCTTTTTGCTATTTACCCCCTCCTATACCCCCATGAGATCGAAAACCTTTCGCAATCCTGGTATTAAACTACTCACTATTTTTTATTAATATATAATTTTAATATATATGATATACAAAATTTAATTATTTACTCTGTTATAATAATATACATTATGTATACTACAGTATAATACTAATAATACTAATAATACTGTACTAATAATCTAATCAATTTATAATTATAGATAATATAGTTTAACTTTGACGCATAAATGACTCATTGATTATATAAATTGTATTAAATAACTTATATATTTAATTTTGTATTATCACTATATATTATACAGTATAATATGTTGGATAGAATAACATATTATAATTATATTTATTGACAAATATTTCAGAAAATTTCAGTCTTAAACTTTAAAATAGTAAAATTTTAACATTTGATTATATGATCTAATTATATTAAAATTATTTTAGATTAATGAAAACATAGAAATAAAATATTAAATCAACAGCTTTTATGACAACAATTATCTGTTAAATTGTTTAGACTAGTACTTCGGTACCCAATTTGTACATCACATCCATCAACACAAACTGCACTATACTGTAGACACAATACACTGCTTAAAAGGTAGAGATACCAGTCATAGACATACCAGTGCTTTAAGTCATACAGAAAGTCAATGTTTGACTTAAACATGTAATATATGCAGTACTTTATACAGTAAATAAATATCCCTAAACACATAAATTTTAATTATTTTCTCTAAACTTATTTATGAAAGTTTTCGAGAAATAGTCAATAAATTATGAAAAATAATTGAAAAGTGATAATTTAATTAACTTAAATCTAATAATATCATATTATAAAAATATGATAACATTACAGTAAATAATTATTTTTAAATAATATATATATAATCAATTGATTAATTATATTAATAAAAATTACTAAGTATATAAATAATTTTGTATTTTAATTATTTTCAGCTTAAAATACAATTAAGTTAAAAATAGTTTTAATTATATATTACACATATTAACATAAATAGAAAAATAATTTAAGTAAAATAAAATAAAAAACAAACATTTTTTCATTTATAACAACAGATATGATTAAAATTATACTAAAATTACTTAATTTGTCGATTTAATAGTGATTTATAAGTTGTTAAATTACATAAAAGTTTAAATGTTGTTTTTCCAATTTTATGATAATGAAAATCTTATGCCTAAATAATTATTTGAAATACATTTATAAGAGTTAATATTAATGATACATTGAATAATAAAGTTTTATTGATAGGGCAATTAAGTTATTTTAGTAATAATAATTTCAAGAAATTTAGTACACAACATAATCAGTTATATAAAAGTTAATGTTTCGGACAGTTTTACGTAAATATTATTTGATATAAATATAAACTAAAATAAATACAATTTTATAAACTAATTATATGGTATTAAGTGTTGATTTTGATGAGAACAAAGAGACAATTGAAAACTAGTTTCCTTTTAATTATTATTTTGTTTTTTCCATTTCTATTATATTTATGTAAATTTATTCCAAATAATTAGTTCATATAAATAGTATAAACAACTATTTGATAATATTCGTGATTTCTATTTTAAATTATATAAACAATTTGTTTTAAAATATATATTAATAAAGTTGTTATTCTAAATAATATAAAAAATAATATTTATAGACTGTTTGTGTATAATAATAATATGTGAAATAGTATATTTTGAAATATTTTTATAATATATTCATAAATATTTGTAAATATCAAAACAATTATTATTATTATTATTACTAAACATTTGAATAGAGATAGTGTGTGATTGGAAATGGGGTCTTAGGTCTGACCGAAAGCCAATGTTAGCGCAAACAAAGGTTTGGGTCAAAGAACGGGATAATAGTGAACATACATTCAGTCAACACCTGTTCAACACTGCCTTCAGGTTTGGCGAGATTTATGAGACTTAAGTAACTCAATATTGATTACACATTAAAATACAACTAAATTAAAGCATTTTATACACATTTTTACTTTAATTATATTGTCACCCATTTCTAATAACTTTTGTAATTATTTAATGTAATAATACTTTTTCAAAATTTAAAAATACATATATAACGAATAATTTAGAAATTATACAATAAGTTAATAGTATTTGAACGAAAGTGTTATAACTTGAAAAACATTTAAAATATATTTGTTATAATATTTATTGAAATAATAACTATTTTGTATACATAGAAATTTGTAACAAAAATTATTTATTAAATATAAAAATAAATAAAAGTCTGTAAACATATGAGAATCAATAAATATTTATAATAAAAACGTATAATAATAACGAAAAGTCTACTTACATCCGCATTTTGGTTTGGCTCTGATTTAGTGCACTTAACACTGATCTCTATATATATATAATAAGAGTCCTATTGAAGTGTATTTTATTTAAGCTATAACTCAACATTTATTAATACTGTATTATATAACATTCAGGTGTATGTTATATACAATACATTATAAGCGTAAAGTTAGAGCTGCTGTCGATATACGAGTGCATCCCTCGAGCGACTGATGCCCTCAGAAAAGTAATACCAAAGCGTTTTGATTGAATAAACTGTTTTAAGACCAATGAAAAGTCAGGTAAAAGCGTATTATTTATAATTGTTGGCCAATAAGTGCTTCATTTGCTCTCCAACTCCAACTCCCATCGGAGTCATACTCAACACAACTGTAATCTACATAATGATCGTCAAAACACTTATCTATTTATATGGTTTCAACAAATTTCATTTAATACAATCAATCTTATGAAATATATGACATATATGTTTATCTTATTGTATGTCACATATAACAAACATAACAACAAAAAATTAAATATTTTTATAAATATAATTCAAATCAAAACCAATGTTTTCTCAAAGATACCCAAAAATATATTATTTATTTGCCATTTTTAATAATTAAGTTTAAAAATATACTTAATCTATATATTTATCTTTAATTAATTTTTTCGGTGTGTTTTAAAATTTTGTAAAATTATTTATTTTATAAAATGCTTATAAATATAATTGTCATAGTTGTTATACAAAAGTACTGTACATTAATTAATCTAACAATTGAAACTTGATAATTACATTTTTTAATATACTGAATAGCATTATTGTACATGTAATTTGTTTTATTCAAGTTAACTTATTGTGCAAAATATCAATAATTGTTTTAAAATATATAATATTAAAGCATATGTTTAATAGATTTATATTCATCTATAAAAATTTTAAAACATACATCTGTCAATTTGATGCCAATATGAATAAATTAATTGATTTTATAGAAAAATAATTTCATAGTTAAAAAATAAAAATAATTCAGTTTGGAAAATAAACTTTAAAAAATAATTGACACTAATTTAAATTGTAATTACTGTAGAAAAACATCACATTGTAATCATTTAAATACTAACTTTATGTACATTTATCCCACAAAACCATCATTAACTGTGAGATAGAATGAATAGAAACAATGTTCTCACATATTATTTTATTTATACTGTATATACATATATATTATAAGATCTTATATTTAATTTAAATCTTTTTGATCACACAATTTTCATAAATTAATTACTTCTATAAATAAAATTTAAAATTAGTGGCATTTAATATAAGCAGTAAATTGTAGTACTTTTATTATACAACTACTAAATTATCAAATATAAGTCGATTTAACTAATTTACTATAAATAATTCGAGATTAAAAAATATTTTAAGTATAGTTACTGAAGCTACTGATTTGCTATAATAAGTTACTATTGTATAATCAACATTTAAATATAAGTGATATAAATAATTGTTTTTATATATTAATTTAATTAAACTCTTATGTAACACAAATAATCATAAGTATATTAATATTTAAAGAAATAAATTATACAAAATATATAAATAAATTTTTTAAATACTGCATATTGTGAACACAAGTAATTATAATGAAATTTTGTTTTTTAACTAAAAGTAAATTTAAAAATTAAATAAGATTTTATTTTTCTTGATATTTGCTTTAATATCACATTAATTATTGTTAAATTAAGATAAATTTGATTTATTAAACTCCAATTATTTAAAAAATTAATTTTACACTTAAATCATTAGTGTGAAAATCATTTGATTTATTATTTGTTTAAAATATTAATTTAAGAGAAACTTTTCCCAATAATACAAAAACAATAAACTTGATTTAACTATTTTTAACCTAAATTTCTTATAAATTGTATTAATTAGTGTTCAAAATGTCATACAAATTTTGAAATTATAGTTAAGAATTTAATAAAATGTTAATTTAAAAAAAAATATTTTTATTATTGTAAAGGTTACTTAAAATATAAAATGCTATTATATGTATTAATGTTAAGAATATTATTTAAATAAAATTATCATCTTTATAAATATTTTTTGTGTTTTCATATAAAATAATTTAAATTTTTAGATCAACTTTATAATGAATAAATCGATTTCATATATTCTCTGTAGTTTAGAAATATCAATTTGTATATATAGCTAATTAAATTAGATATATTGATAGCAGGCAAAGAAACTGTCGGAAATAAAAATTTCAAAAGTAACGTTTTATCTGTGTGGCCCCATGCAATATTTACCTATCTATTTTTTGTTAAAATAATAAATTTATTATTAGTCTTTAAGTGTGAAATTGAATAATTAAAATATATATTGAAATGAGTCCGTTACACTACTTAACGTCACATGACATCTATTAAAGATAAGATAGAAAATTTAAATATTATTTTGTAATTAATGTAAGAATAGGGATTATAAACATTTAAAGATCCTATCTTAAAGTCTTAAATGTAATGACTTATCAGACATAAGAAAAAAAATTAAAAGTAAAAGGAGTTGATGTGAAAAACAAAAATAAGTTTAAAAAATCATCATAATTTAAAATCAAAAAATTAAAAAATATAGTAGAGATATATCGAAGGTTTTTATGTAAATAAATGAGAGAAATATTGGCCTTTGATTTTTTAACCATAAAATGAAATAAGGTTTTAATTGGCAGAAAATATGTATCATTAAATTAAATGTTTTATAATAAAACTCAATTATATATGGATTAACCTAATGAAAATATGACATGATTTTTTTATAATAAAATTTTGACAAATTTATAAGATATATTGAAGCCGTTGATGAATCATTATCTTTACCACATATTGCTCTAACAAATTAAAATTTATTTGATCAATGTGACAATTTCTTGAATGGCGAAAAAATTAAAAATGTGCGAAGGAGTCAAAATGGCAGTCAACAACTTTATCGATTTAAAACTTAAAAAGTAATTCACTGAATAATCTGAAAAGTTTCCTAATAAATAGCAATATATTATTGTACAAAATGGCTATTTTATCATTAATTAATTTTGAGTAACTTTTTAATAAAATAAGTTTAAAAAATTATTCTAAGAGCCGACACTTTCTATGCCTGCTATCAATACAATATATATATCAGAGTTAAATAAGGTTTTTATATTTTATTGGGGTATAGAATGGGATAAATTTTTTTAAATTTCGAAAAATCTTGTGGTTCTATCCTTTTATTGCATTTTTAAACAACAATTTTTTCAAAATTTTAAAATCAAGGTTAAATTCTTATTTTAATTATCTTAATATCATTTTGTAATTGTATAATTTTTTTTAGTTTATTTTATTTATTTATTTAGTTAATTTCATTAGTTTTTTTTCAAAAATAATTATTTTTTTATATTTTAGTTTAATATTTTTAATAAAATAATTAAATATTTTAATTAATTTTAACTTAGTTTAAATAAGTAGTTAAAACATAATAACAGTTAACTTACAGTTTATTAATTAAAATTAAATATTTTGTAATTAAAAAAAATTCGGAGCCTTTTGGACTATTTTTTCGTGACTTTTTTTTTGATTTGGTCAAAAAGTCTGGCAGCCCCCACTACCCCATTGCTTAACCCTGGTTATATTACAACAATATGTATGATATATAGAGATGGGCAAATAGAAAGTTTCTAATAAATTTCCCTGAGAAAGTTTCTAGAAAGTTTCTCAGGAATAAATTTCTATAGAAATTTAACTTTTTTGTTATACTATGGGATCCCCATATCTATAGATATTGTAAAACTATAAATATATTAATGAGACATATAATACTATACATATAATATTATACTATATAATGTAGATTACTGTATAATATTATATTATACAAATGGGATACCTATATAAATAATTATAATTTTATCAGTTTTGTAAAATTTTATTCACCATTTTATTATATCATAGTTTAATATAATTAAATAAATAAATTTTTTACTTTAATTAATAATTAAAATACTATTAATAATATTTAAATATTACTTATAAAAACAATGTTAAAGATAACAAATATCGAGAAAACAAAATTAACCATGGGGATCCCATAAATAGAAATTTCTTTTAGAAACTTTCTAGAAATTTCTCTATTATTTTATAAATTTCTCTTTTTTTGCCAACACTAATGATATAACTACTTATGATAAGATTAGTATTTATTTTGATTAATAGATTATTTATATTTACTTTAGGGATTAATTATCCAATTAATATTCTTTGTATATACTATAATAAATGTAAAGTAAATTCATTAAAAGATAATTAAATTAATAAATGTTCAAATGTTATCATTTTTTATTAATAATATATTATAAAATATAATTTATAGTTAAAGATTTATTTGTAAATCAGTAATAACTCAATACATACTATTACTTTTTAGACATTTATTTTATTTAGTATTTTTGGTTTAATTAGCTTATTAGTTACTAATAATGAAACTAAAATTTATAAAATATTATATTTGTAAATGCATTGTTTCAATCTTATGGCTATTGCTCGCCCCCGGGGGATCAATGAGATCTTTAATTTTTATTAGACATATCCGTAATATTATATATATAATAGTTCATACATGTAGTATATACTGTGCATTAAAAATTGTGAATTGCATTTAGTATTAAACTATATTTTCCAATTTTTATTTGTGTTAACTCAAATTGGTTTGATTAAAATTAAATTTTAAGATTATTGACTAAAACGTCTATGAAAATCACTTTATTACAATTTGTTTCAAAAAAAATTAATTTTATTAAAAAAATATACAATAATCATAATAGCTATAATAATTAAATAATAAATATATGCAATTATATATTATATATATAAGTGTCAACCAATTAACATTTTAGATAAAATAAAAATAAGTTAAAAATATAAGTATTAACTAATAAACACTACTTTTGCGCGTTTTTTATTATTATTACTTTCATCAAAACATTTCTCAAAAAATTGCATAAAATAAATGAAATTCAACTTACAGTACATTTAAATATTCAGATCTGACAAAATAAATACAAATTATTTATTTAATTTGTCCAATAAATTATGATAACAAAATAAGCTATCATCAGATCAGCATTTTACAAAATAAAAATAGTTAATTTAAATATATCATAAATTAGAAAATATCTCAAATATTTGTAGACAATTAATTTTCAACTTAAATAAAATAAAAACTAAATTTATACACTTTGGCTTAAATTTTAACCGAAATTAAGAGATTCAATGTATACATTCAAATAACAATGACTATCATAGCAGCAAACAAAAGTCATTTTAATAAATAGTTAAAGTTATCTAATTGTTATAATTACTGTATTTTTATATAATAAATCTAATTACTTAGTTTTTATGACATTATTTACTCATTTGTTTCCATAAATATTAATTGTCTCATATAATTATACAATAATTTACATAAATTATTTAAAGACTATTTTCTTTCAATTTTATAACTATAGACTAGATATATGTTATAATTTCACTCTATTTTATACAGCTATAATAGAGTATATTAATCATTATAATTTTTAAAACTGTTAATTTTACTTTTGTCAAAAATATATTGATAGTCATTGTTTATAATATTTAATAAAAATTTATAATTAGCTTATAATCATTAAATAACTCATTATCTTGAAAAATAAATAATAAAAAGATAATTTTACCATAATTTCAGTCAAAAATTTCATTTACAGTTACTGTTAGTAACTGTTATAAGAGTCAACAAATTATTTTTTTATAAATCTTAACAATATTTACAATTAAATTGTAAATGAAATTCAATATAAAATAACTCAAATTCTGTGATGTGTTCTAAATGTGCTGTTATTTATCGGTGAGTTATTTGAATTTCCGGTATTTTGTTGTGAGTTTGGTTGGCTTTCGTCGGCAAATAAGACGAGTTGTCTCTCAGTTTCTGCAAATTCATTCTGAAACTGAATGTATTGATCCTCTTTAGATAACAAACCACTATTGCTTTCACTAAGCAATTGCTGAAAACTGCGGCGTTTGCGGCGTGAGAACAGTCGCGCCAATTGAGCAAATTTACGTCGAGACACTTTCCCCATGTGTTTCAATCTGTCTTTAAAAACAGCATCAGAATCGGTATGAGATGTACCACCAGTTGCACCCATAGTGTTGTCCGGATTACTCCTGTAAATCATAAAATTTTTATAATTTATTGTAAAAACATTCTTTAGTTAACGCAAACCTTGTGTCCAAATCTAAAGTAGACATAAAATCAGGATTTTTCTGTAGTTCGCGAACAAACTCTTCATTTTGAAGAAAAATAGCTACTCTTTCATCTTCTAAGAATTGAGACAATTCAGGATCATCTGCGCTCACTGAAAGCTGTCGTTGTCTTTGATTTTCTTGCATTTTCTAATTTACAATTATAACAATAAATTTTAATTTTTGTAAATTAAAACGTATTCAATACCTGTTGAAGAAGTGCTGAATTAATAACAGTCACTTCACGCGATGATCGACTCAAAGCCGATAATTTTCTTTGGTTGAGATCGGGTTCTATTCTGAGAAAACTCTGCGGCAATTGTCCCAAAATCGGTGGATTCCACTGACGTTTATAACGCATTGAGTCTTTAGATGGTATCACTTGAGATGTACTACTTTTAGTTACATTCTTCTCGAGTAAATTCATTTGAGACAATAAATTATTATTATATTTTTCATTTGAGTCTTTGGGTTGTAAACTATTTGGACTCATATTTGAAGCGATTAATTGTGATTGTAATGAATGGTACGACGGCGGAGGTGTGGCCGGAGAATAAACCGGTGGAACCTATTATCAAATTATCATTTATTAAAAATTAATTAAAATCTACCGGTAATTAAATTACTTCATTATTATCTGTAGTGTCCAACTCGTGTCTAAGTCTTTCATTTTCAGAGTCCATATTCATGGCTAACAACTGATCTATAGTGGCGTCGACGGCGCCATTATTAGAGCGAAGTACAGCTTCAATGACATCCTCATCCATATTGGGAAACATTGTCTTAAAGTCATTCATCGCCTGATGAAACTCAAGTTGAGTGATACCCGTCCTCTGGCTTTGCAAAGTTGTCATTGTTTTGATAATCGATATCTTCGACAATCAATTAATTTTTAAAACAATTATTAATTTATTTGGTTTCAAAGCAATGTTTGTTTTTTATTTATGAATTAATTTATGAGACATTAAATTAATGATCCATTAGTTGTGTTGTTTGTGAAATGTCTTGTTTTGGTGATCTCTAATCAATTGCTGCACAAGTGGTGATCGCATAAGACTCTGATAAATGATATTAAAGTATATCATAATAATTGTTGATATTATAACAAATGGCAGTCATATCGTCAATAAATACCAGTTTCTTATCGTTGATAATCTCCTCCAAAAGTAAACCATTCCTCAGAGTTGTGTCAGTCGTTTGTTGATTAGTGTTGTTATTGTTGTTATTATTATTGTTTTGATTGTTATTATTATTATTATTATTTTGATTATTATTATTATTATTATTAGTATTTTGATTGTTATTATTAGTTAAATCATTGCATTTATGATCACAACAACAATCAGTACAATCACTGCATTCAGCCATTACTACATTCATTCATAACCACTGTTACATTAATACGTTGTTATATTATGTATAAGTAGAGTAACCAAATAATAATGTAAACCCAATGTAATTATAAGTTTATAAATATCATATTCATTTCAATCAGTAATCATTTATGATTACAATTAATTTTATTTATAAATTATCAAATGTTTATTATTATTGCGAATCTTTTAATTAATTATTAATTTCATAAACCATTAAATTTAAGATAAAGATAATATTTATTAGAAATAAGTGAATAATTTAAATAAAAAACAAAACTATTAATCGATCATTTGGTCAAAATAGCAAATTTAATATAAGTTATCAAAAATACATAAAAATTATGATATATGCACTAAATAATTGACCATGATCATTTTGAAATATATAAATAATCATCTATTGTATGATATACTGTAACCATACAATTATTGCGCAATACATCTCTACTGTATATAAACTACATAAATGTAATATAAATGTTGAATATTATAATAATTTGATACAATTGTGTTTAATTGATAAAATTTAAATAACATTTTTTAGCACATTGTATGCACCGACTAATGTTACAATAGATATAATATATGAATATAAAATTTAAAAAATAAAATTATTATTAATAATTATTGCACAATATATTGATATAAGAATCATATAAAACATGTTATATAATATTATATATATTATATGGAAATGTATTGTTTTTTATTAATAAATAAATAATTATTAAATATTTATTCAATTGTTTATCATTATATTAAGTGTGTGTCCAGTGGTTTACGTGATATCAGTGCTGTTAGTGATGTGATATAAGTGACGCATACATTGTGTGTCCTTTAAATACATTCATTAATAGCTATATATTAATAGTAATTATTACGGTATATACAGCTGTACTGTATTGTAGACTATAGTCTATACTATAGACTCTATACTCTATAGACTATAGTAATAGTAATGAATTGCATTAAATGTGTGGTAAACAAGTGATTGCAATACAATAATAACAAACAGTTTTATACAGTTTTCAATGTATGAGTGCGTCGATAGTCAAGAATGGCCACAATCTGGACAGTCATTGATATAATTGACATTTAAATACAAATGAATTTGATTTGATTGACACAAATCTAATACATAATCAAAGAAATCATTGAATTTCAAAAATATTAATAATTTACACACCATTTGATGACTTGTCTTAATTTGATTTAAATATGAGTGACAAGAATCAAACTATAAGTCAACCGCCCATTAAAATTGGTCACTACTTGTTGGCCGAGACACTGGGCATCGGGTCTTTTGGTAAAGTCAAAAGTAAGTGATTTTAGTGACCATTTAGTCGATGGATTCAATAAATGTTTATATTTAGCGGCCAGACATCAGTTAACTGGACATAAGGTCGCCGTCAAGATTCTGAACCGACAGAAGATTAAGAATTTAGATGTCGTCGGAAAAATTAGAAGAGAAATACAGAATCTAAAGCTCTTCAGACATCCGCATATCATTAAATTGTATTAAATTATTAACTATTTTATCATTTATTTTACCGGTAAATGAATTGTTATCTATGTTTGAAATATTTGATAACATTTATAGATATCAAGTGATTAGTACTCCAACCGATATATTCATGATTATGGAGTACGTGTCCGGAGGAGAGCTTTTTGATTATATTGTAAAACACGGAAAGGTTTGCATTTGATAGATATGTCGTGTCTTTTGATACCAATTGTAACACTTTTGTTGACAGCTTAAGGAATCAGAAGCGCGACGTTTTTTCCAACAAATTATCTCTGGTGTTGATTACTGTCACAGACATATGGTTTGTAATTATAAAGATATTTAAAATTCTTAGTTTTTATCCAACATTTTTAACAATATTCATGAAAAGGTGGTTCACAGAGATCTCAAACCAGAGAATTTATTATTGGATCAAAATCTGTGTGTAAAGATTGCTGACTTTGGTTTATCAAATATGATGATGGATGGAGAGTTCTTAAGGACCAGTTGTGGTTCTCCTAATTATGCCGCTCCTGAGGTATCTATTATTTTCACCATAATATTGATAGATATTCTATACATTTATTATAAACACAATATTTATGTTTATTGTAGGTTATCTCTGGAAAGTAAGACATTGATTTCAAAATATCATTTTCGGTTTTTTTTATTTCGTTTATTTAATAATACTTCACAACTTTCAATCAGACTATATGCCGGTCCTGAAGTGGACATCTGGTCGTGCGGTGTCATACTTTATGCACTGCTTTGTGGAACTGTAATGAAAAAATGTTAAATTATTAAACAAAAATTAATTTTTATATCCATAGTTACCTTTTGATGATGAACATGTGCCCACTTTATTCCGCAAAATTAAATGTTAGACAATTTTAGCAATAATTACATTTAGAAATTGTGATAAATAGATATTAATGTTAATTTGATATTTATTTATAAACAGCCGGAATATTCCCAATCCCTGAATATTTGAATAAATCAGTAGTCAGTCTATTAATTCATATGTTACAAGTGGATCCAATGAAAAGAGCTACTATGGAGGACATCAAGTTTGTGGCAATTCTTTAATTCAATTGATATATTATTAATAATTTTCATTAATATAATTAATATCTGCAGAAATCATGAGTGGTTTAAAAAGGATTTACCGGTATATCTGTTCCCATCACCCAATGATAGCGATGCCTCTATTATAGATATGGATGCGGTTGCCGAAGTCTGCGAGGTATTTATATTGGAGATATGATTATATTGTATAAGTATCGGTACTTATCGTAAATTTACAAAATGTTTATTAGAAATTTGGTGTCACTGACAAAGAAGTTCACAGTGCTCTTCTTAGTGGTGATCCTCACGATCAGTTGGGTATTGCATACCATCTAATTGTCGATAATAAGCGTATTGAAGACGAAACAGCAAAGCTTGATATAAAGGATTTTTATGTGGCCTCCAGTCCTCCGCCGTCTAATTTTATGGAAACTCCTATTAGACCTCAATCGGCGACTGGAAATCATAGTCATAGACAACGTATGTTAAGTGGAGGCAATGCTCCGATTGAAAGGCAACGAATGCTTAGCGGAGGAAACAGTTTAGATAAAAATAAAGGAACGCCTATGAAGAGAGCCAAATGGCATTTGGGTTAGTATTTCAAATAAATTGTCATCAATTTCAATGATTTGATTTAAATTTCAGGAATCCGTTCACAAAGCAAACCACAAGATATTATGAATGAAGTCTATAAAGCAATGAAGGCTTTGGATTTTGTGAGTTGTTATCTATATTACAATTACGGTTAACTAATAATTGTCTATTTTTAAGGAATGGAAAATCATAAATCCATTCCATGTGCGGACACGAAGAAAGAATGCTATAACTGGAAAGTACGGCAAAATGACTCTTCAATTATATCAAGTCGACTACAAAAGCTATTTACTTGACTTTAAATCATTGGCCTCTAATGAGGAAGAGACCAATGAGTTATGTCCCAGTGCTGGCAGCGGAAGTACTTCCACTGATCCATACAATCAGTCCCAATGCCATCACATAATGGAGTTCTTTGAAATGTGCGCTTCATTGATAACACAATTGGCTCGTTAGAGGACATCCACTACAAGTACTATAAATCTGTGGCAACTCTTCATTTGCTTCGTCTTCCTTTTGCTTGAATTACAATCTATACCTCAATAGACTGCCTTTCATTTCATCGATTTTTGTCAAACACTTTAAATCTTAAATTACTAAATATATTACTTCTTAAATGTAAAGATAGAAATAATAATCAATACATCAAATTAAACAAAAAACGTTTATTTTTAAAACTTCAATTTAATTATTTAGAAGCGGCAGCGGATCCCGAAGCGGGTGCGGCGGCTCTCTTCTTGAGTCCCGTAGTCGCCACACCATTAAAGCCATTCTTGAATTTGCGAAACACTTTCTTCAAGTGACGCATACGTCCCGTTCCTGTTGTCTTTCGGCGGATAGCTTTGACACTCCAGTTGTCTGATTGATAAAAATGTTATTAGATTTACATTTTATTTGATAATCAATATGACATACATTTCCTGATACGAGCGCTCGGATAACCACAAGAGGCACACGTCTTCTTCTGGATGTGATATGAAGACCGACCGCATCGACGGCAAAGAGTGTGAGTCTTATTCCGACGCTTTCCGAAACTTGACGTTCCCTTCGTCTAGAAATGACAACAAGATATTCAGTCATAACTTATAAATGATTAGTTAATCTCAAGACATACCATAATTTGATTATTTAATACCGAAAAAGACGATCAAAAGTTGTGTTTGTATTGAATGGATAATCAAAAGGAAAGGGAAATACTATTAATACTATTAATACAAATGCATTCAAATGTATGACAACATTAAACAACACTACTTTCATACATATATTACGTACTACTCATTGACACTCAAACACACACTTTATTATTGTTTAATATTAATGACAACTATTTATATATATTTGAATTAATTGTTGACAACAATTGACTTCAATTAAAGTCATAATACATTTGATAGCACTATAAAACAAACTTTTGTTTTTTGTCCATTGATTACAATTTCTAAATTATTGGCAAATATTTTGTTTAACTAATACATTAATATTAATTTAAACTATTATATAATTTATTTAATTAGTTATTTATAAATTTATATATAAATTAATTGTTAAGATTAACTCAAACTAATATCTTCTAAACATTTGTCAATGAGATTATCAATTGATAGCAATTATAACAATTACCTGTACTTAACGTAATATAATATTTATAAACTAATTTATCTCAGAATAGATAATTTGATTTGTTTTAAAATTTTATTAAAACTATTAAAAAGTAAATACAAAAATAGATTTTGACAATAATTGTGTTGTTTAACAAAATTAATATAAAACAAATATTTGTGACCAATATATAGGTCACAATTTAAATCACTTTTTGATTAGTCACTGATATAAAACCGAAATTAGGGTTAAAATCGATGCCTATATAAATTTAGTTGCATTATGACCAGCGTTCAGCACCGGGAGCTTTGTTGAATTTGCTACCCATCCCATAATCTAATTGAAATTTATCACCGTTTTTGTCAGTCAACAGTTCCAATGGATCCGATTCATTGGGTTTCCATATATTAGTGATAACTGCCATCAATTCACTAGTGATTGTCTCTTGTTCTTCGATCAGATGATGTCTCACTTGAAATAGTCTCAAAAAGTCTTTTTCTGCGACTTTGATCCAAACAGTCTTTGTGTTATGTTTTGGCTTTGGCTTCACTGATATACTGACATCATATTTGGTACTTAATGTCTCAATCATTTTAGTGTCCACTTCTTGGCCTTCTTTGAGATCAAATGATAGTGAAAGAGGAAGCCTTTCTTCAATCATATGAAAGGCTAATAAAAGTGATTCAATTTTTGATGACTTTATAATTATAGTTGTTTTACGATTTGCAACCGTTTGAGGACTTGAAAGTGATTGTCGAGAAAACAAGTGGTCAACAGTTTGATCAATTGGTTCGGGAAATATTATGTTTGCATCGGTTATACTCATTATTTCATTTATATTAGACTTATTATAACCCATTACAAAGTTATGGTGTTGTAGTGATATTTCTGTATTTATTTCATATAACACTTGACTTGTAATCAATGATTGTAGTGATTCTTGTAAGACATCGACAACAAGTTTAAGAAGAGCTAAACTGCCATAAACTCCGCGAACTAAAATCGTGACACTAATGGCATCATTAGTGGTCAGTCTATTGTCTCCATTATAACGAAAACCAATTTGAATACAACTCAGACTCTCTATCTCTTTGATAATTTGATTCATTTTTTCTTTAAATATTTCCCATCGGTTTTCAAAACCAATCAGAATATTAAATGTGATAATTATTGGCAATAAATCCCTAATAGCAATGCGAGCCATTTTAACGCCTTCAACAGTTCCAGCGATTGACACTTGATTTGATTTTTCATTAGTATTGGTGCGGTTGGCATCAGGAAAGTGGACGTGACAGCCACTTGATACCATAACCTGCTGAATAGAGGTACCACCCTTACCAATAATATGTGAATGAGCCGTCCAGTCTATGTCCATCTTAAGAGTTACTCGATCTCGAGATGGATCCAAAAAAGACAATATCTTAAGTCTGGCCGCTCTCACCATAAAAGGAATTCCCGAAATCTTTACGTGCGGATCCTTTTTAGACTTAGTGCCAGTTTTAAGCTTTGGTGGCCATGAAATGCTTACCGATGGAAATTCTTTCATAATATTTCCAAAAAATGTTTCAGCATTTCCAAGAAGTTGATCTAATAATTAAATAAATATTTTTTCACAAATTCTTTGCTTTAATAATAAGATAATACCTTTGTTTTCAAGAAGTGTCTCAAACTTCTTTCTGTCGACTTTAAGTTTTTTATCAATTAAAAGGCTACTATTGTTTAAACCGTTACAGAAATCGTTGTCAATAATTGATATGTCCATCATATGCTTGTATTAAATTAATTAATTAATTAAATCAATGGTCAATCTTAAAGCTCTCGTTTGTTGAACTAAACAACACTTCTTTATATACACACAATTTTATAGACAACTATTATAAATCATTTAATAAAAGGACATCTAATTTGTCAGTTGTTTTTGTAAGTCAATCTCATAACTCATAAACTAATGGTATCCCAAAACATAATTAATAATTTCACAAATAATATTTTTTTAAATTTCAACATTTACAATAAAATACTAAATTAAAAATAAGTCAATTTTATTTCAATTAATAAATTAAAGGCATTGAAAATAGATAAAAATATTAAGGATTAAGATACAGGTATAATAATGTCAATATATATATATATATATATATATATATATATATAATAATAATAATAAAAAGTCAAATACATTAAAAGTTTAGAATTTACTTTTTAAAATGTGTACTAAATATATAATTATTTTTAAATTATGCTTATAATCTGTTATCTAAGATAAATAATTTGTAATTTTCATTCTTAATGTTTATTTATACAATGCAATTGTAGGATATTTTTATAAATTTGAAAATGAATTATAAAGTTTTAGTGCAATCCTATGATATCAAAGTTATTATTTACAAAGTTTTGAAAATTTAAATGTTATGAATAATAATTTAAAATTTTATTAAAAACAATTTAACATATGATTAACTTATAGATAACATTACTCGATATTACAAATCAATAGATTGCTAATGTATTGATTATGATTAATAACATTTATTATTAGTAAATTTCTATCAAAATGTTTATTTAGTAAAATATAGATCTGATATGTTTTTGTAGTAATTGATATATACTGACAATTGATTATTCAAAGATAAAAATTACTGTTATTATACTGTATTATAATTTATTTTATACTTTTTATTTTTTATGTTAATAATAATTTTATGAATTATAATTAAATATTCTTTTATTTTTGCTATAAATGTACTTTAGTTTTACGAAAACTATCATTTTTAAAGAACTAACTATTGATATTTCAAAATATTAATATATAATTTTGACTATTTTTAATTTTGTTATGATATAAAACAAAATAATGTCATATTAAATTAATTGTATTGAATACAATATTGTAAATTTAAACCATAAAGGTTAAATTGAAAAAAACTTAAAATCATATTAATATTTATGCGTAATAATAATAATTGCAAATTAACAAAATATTAAAAACATTTTATAGATGTATATATAATATTACATATTATCATAAATCCAGATGTTTGTAGATATCATGATAATTGGTTATTTATTTTAACGATTAAAAATTTTTAAAAATGATTTTATCATTAAATTTGAATTCAAACATTATATTAATTCTAAATTTATTAAATTGTAAGTCCAATAAAATATTTTTTTATATTTAATATTTATTGTATAAACAGATAACTTATTAATAAATGGCAGTGAAATGTGCGAAATTGGTTGCGAAGAATCACTTTTAGATAAATATCTAAATGAATGTCGAAATGCATGTGAAGTGAATCCGACAAAAAATAGGACGAATCAGATGGAAGAGTATTTGCATTGTATGTATAAGGAGTGTCTGAACAATGGTTTGGGACCGAGTGATGACATTTATTTTGATGACACTTGGCTTCAATGCTCTGATCTATGCAATCGTGAAGATATGTTAACAGCACACGAGGCCACAGATAAACCCATAATTCATATCCAATATCTTTCAGAGAAACAATACCATAATTTAAAGCTTTTCCATAATCTAACTGATATACAGTACAGAAAAAAATTACCAAAAATAAGACTAAATTATTTAAAAAACAAATCAATTCATTTTAATTGAAACTTTATTATATTTGTATTGTAATCAATATTGATTTATCGGTAATTATTTACAATGCTTATCAAATTGTGTTATTGATTTATCAGTTTTCAAATTTATAAATTAAAGAAATAATATAATTCGATTAAAAAATAAATTATACTAATTTATAAGTCATTGATTATGAATACAAATCTGATAATTAAATTATAATAAAATTTAAAATAAATTTAATTGGTGTCAATTGTAAAACAATAATATTTAATAATTATAATAAAGCATATAAAGTGAAATCATTTTTTTAATAAAAATGATAAATTAAAAATAAAATCACAATTAAGAAGGTTTTAATGAGAAATAAAGTTTGTTTTTAATGGTTTGCTTTTCTGGATTCAAACGTTTTAAAATCTGTGCGATTGTATGAACTAAATCTCCTTTAAAACTAACTTTATTCTTAAACTTCTGGAGAAGATCAGCACAAGTCATTGGTTTACGCATAAGATAGCGACGAACAGCATCTTCAGTAATACCATCCGTGACATCACCAGAAAGTTTCGGTTTTTTAGTATTTGACAAATCATTAGTTGATGTCTTTCGTTTCAATTTGTTTGTCTCACTATTAGAAGAAGTGCCGCCAATATCTAAATTAGCGGTTGGAGTAGCAGATCGACTGCTGCCACGACTGCTTTTGTCGGATTCAACTTTAACAGGTGCTAAAAGTGCTGACTTCTTGTCGTCGACTGCATCGGGATCTTCAGAGTCAGAATCAGATGAAGACGGCGGCGGAGAATCAAAATTAGCTGTAATTCAATTTAAAATTATTAATTGCAGTCAACAATACATCAAAATATAATACCTGTGAGTTTGTCTTTAAACTTAGATTTCTTATCCGTTTCAGATCCGCCTCTTTCGACATTCTTTGAACTTTCGGTTTCTTTATTTTTATTTTTATCTTCATCTTTTTCAACTTCTTCGTCATCATCTGATATAACCAATTGTCTTAAGGCATCTTCGTCTTCAACACCTTTCAAGTCTTTATCGATTTTTTCATTTTCCGACTCTTCCGAACTCGAAGTGTCGGACATATAATCGACTTCTTTATCATCAAAGTCTCCCTCATCACTCTCTTCCATGGGTTCACTGTCATCGTCGTCGTCATCATCCGAACCCTTTTTCTTCTTTTTATTCGTTCGTTTTTTAGCTTTTGCTCCTTTTTTCTCTTTCTTTATTTTTGGTTTGACGTCTTCATCACTTCTATCCAAATCACTTCTTTCATTATCCGAGTCTAAGTCATGCCAGTCATCCATATCAGAAACTTTGAAAGATTTTTCGACTTTAACTTTAGTTTCACTACTATTTTCAGCCAATTCTTCATCTTTACGTCTCTTATTAATCATAATTAAATGAAAGTTCAATATCTTATCTCTTTCTACAAACTTTTCTTCTGCTTCTTCAGCTGTTAAAGCCTTGTATGTCTGAATCGGTGAAAAATTGTACCACTCTTTGACTGGAAATGCTTCAAAAGCACCGTCGGGCGCCTGAAAAAAGACATAATATGAAGCATTTTCAGAGACACCGCCCTCTCGTATGCCTTTAAATCTGATTTTAAATAAATAAAAATAAAAAATTGTTTGAAAACGACGACAAAATTACTTCTTTGAATTTTTGACTCCAGTCTTGAGAATCCATGGCTGGTGTCCGACATTCACTTTCTTTGTGTATTTTTTGCGTTTCATTTCTTCGCGTTTTTTGCGTCCAAACTCAGATCCGGCGCCGAATTCAGTTATTTCCGACTCTGTTGTTTCAGTCTTGACATCTTTGACATCATTTTGACGGTACATTTGACATGACTTCCACTTATGAGGCTCTACTTTAGGAGCTGATCCAAAACGCATGACATTGAACTTCTTGTTGATTTCCCTATTAATCAAATAATATATAAGTTTTATATGATATGAATGTCACCAATAGTGCAAACCTCGGGACCCGAACAATGAACTCTTGTGTCGCCGACATTGCAGTCAGTCTTGAGTTTTCAACTAATCGTTTGACAAATGATTTGATTATTGAGTCAAACGTTTAGACATTTATTGACTTCAAATGTGTTCACAAATAACGACAAAAAACATATGATTTTTAATTCAAAAATATTTAAAAATTTCATTTATTAGTCATTTTGAGACACAATTAGTTTAACAATGATTTTGAATGCTTTAAGACATAGGTTTAGACACTATATCTTCAGTGACATCACTGCTAAACATTTGAGTCAATTCAGTCAATTGAAGAGTCACTCAAAGATCCAATCAGTTGTTTCACTTCTTAATCAATATAACTTCAATGATCATCAAATCGATGCAATCATCCAATCAATTGGCAAATATATTGCTGAAGATAAACAACTAAACCATGTGGTGATTAAGGATACCATTGACTGTTGGCGATCAAAATTAAGACCACCGACTCTACGAACCAATCAATTAGACAAAGTTAATGCCGAAGACATTGATTTCGATATGTCGGTTGACTTTAATCACGTCGTCTCCAAAATAGAGCCCAAACTTCTTCTGATGAATGCAAATGCCATTGATTTCAGATATGATAATCTTCTTAATATAGGAATAATGGGCGGAAATAGAGATATGTGGAGAGTCTTTGTTTACGCACCAAATGGTTATTATCTTCAGGATTGGACTGAATTTCTTAAGAAATTTCATTATTTGAATCATCAGATTTTGGTGTGGCTTTTAGACAAAAAAGATGTAAACAATTTACATCCGCATCCTATCGTCAGAAACTCTAAAGTCATGGAACTATCCTTTGAAGAAATTAAAACCCGATATCTGTTTGCTTACAGAACGGGACTCAAGTCAGTGACAACCAATAAATTGTTGACTAATATTAAAGAGTCTAATAAAGTAGATTTGAGAGCACTTATGTTAACACCTATTGAAAAATTTCTTAAAATAATTGCTCCTAATTGTACTCCTGAAGAATATTTTGCTTTACAGACATTAATTAGTGAGAATCCCATTGAAGAAGACGAACAAATTATTGAAGACGTCGTTGAATTAACGTTACCTAAGATGAAACACATGAAGAAGAATTTAAATCCAAATGATTTACAACAAAATCTTGAAAACTTTCAGATAATCAGTAAAACAGAATAAATTTATATCAATTCAAAATGTGTGTCATTTTTATTAGTTATAGTAGTTTTAAATTATATAATTTATATTTTGTATTTTATAATCAATTTGTAATTTAATATATTAATACACTTAATTGAATATTTTAATTATTGTTACAAAATATATATACTTTTTAATAAATAAATAAATTTATGTGTAAATATGGCAAACAAGTGGTCAGTCTTGCATTTACAAAGAATTGGATAATATCAGGAATATTCTGTTGACTATTTGTGAGACTTTCTTCATAAATGTTTAAATAATTTTCTTGAGTATTAAAAGTCGGATAATATAAACTTTTTGAGACAATAACTACAAATTTTTCTTTAGTTTTGGTTAAGTCTATCACTTTTGCGGCCAGTAAGTGGTTTTCAGTCATCATTACTATACTTATACTGTTCTTACAATTGATTACAAATTAAAAAATATATAAATAAAATAAATATTTTATAAATTATATTAATTTATAAGTTTTTATTATTAATAATTTGATGTTAAAAAATACAAATTATGAAATCAATTGTTTGGACAAATAATTAGAGCACAATTGGCTTTGGACTGTTGGCCAATGGCTTTACCGACAATAATAGAGTGGAAATACATTTATTAATATTTGGTTAAAATCACAATTTAATTCTTTATATATCTTAACTCTTATAAGAAATTTTTTACTTTGTTTTTATAAATAAGTTTATGTAAATTTTTGTATACATATAAACAGTAATCTATATATATATTATTAAATTTAATTAAATAATTATAAATTGTCACAATTATTGACTTTACAAAATAATTTCATATAGTTTTTTGGTGACATTAATTTTTGATAAAATAAATGTCGATTTTTAAAAAATGTTGTCCCGATTGCGATCAAACTATATCATTAAAAATATCATTAATATAAATTCAGCTAGTTACATTATGTTCCTAAATATACACACATTGTCCCTAACTAACTTAATAAAAACATGTTTTATTTAATAACTTAATTTACAATAATAATTATATAATTTGATAATACAAATAAATATATATTAATTTTCAAATTTAAAATTACAATTTAATTTGTATATCAATAATTAAAGAACTCAAATGTTTGTTTTTGTAATCTATATTATACCAGTAATATTCATATTATTAATAACAATAGTAATATTACAGTATATATTTTCTATTTGTATTATTAAAAATTTATCAATTAAAATTTATATTATCATATTTTAAAGTTAAATATTGATAATATGCGTAACTAAAAATAAATAATAACTAAACTTATATTAATTATTTGTAATAATTTAAAAAAGTTTGTTCACAACGTAACAAGTTTTGTAAAGTATAGACATTTGCGTTGTAATACTAATACTTTGGTTTTTGTAATGTGATCTAAAATATTGATAATATGTTAATAATTGGTTTGCTTTAAGTAACTCTTCCTATTAGTAATAAAATTATTAACAAAAATATTAAAATGAATGTCATATATCTTTACTCTATTTTAATACAAGTGATTGAAAGTGATTTATTAAATGAATGGCACTATATTTGTATTAATATTGTATACCAATTTACAAATCATTGTTACCAATATTTTGTGCAAATTTAGCTTTAATTTAAAACATTAGTTTTAATTATACAGTATATTGAGCAGTTAAAATTTACAAAATTTAAATTAACATGGTTGATTTAATTTAGTTTATTTTTTGAGCTTAAAAGTCAGTTGTTATAGACTTATAGTTTAATACTGTATTTCAATAGCTTTATTGAAAGTGTATTTTGTTAAATAATTTAAGTATCAATTGACATAAATTTGGTCACATCTGCTCAATCGTTAAGTTAACCTAAACTTATAGACTAATCTTTTTTTACACAATAATGTATTTCAAATTTTGTAATGCTTTAAATTGGGAGTTATTTTAATCTAATAATTTAAAATAAATGATTAACATATTGAAAATGTGGTCAAAGGGTTTATAGAGATTAAAATGGTATGAATTATAACTCAAAAGTTTAAAATATAAAGTACAGTACTATTATAGTATAACAAATGCACACATTTATACATATGTTTATCTATGATATAATACCACAATCATCACAAATCCTGTGATCACATTAATTATAAAAGATAATTATATAGATATTTGTAAATAATTATAACTTAGACTTACTATAAAACGTAAATATATGTTTTTATTAGATATTAGCCACTTATTTATTGTATTTTTATCAACTAAATTTGCCAAAATAAAGATAATTTTAATATGTAATTTTGTACTTAATGTGTTTATTTTTAAATATAGTATCTAAATCATGCTATTTTACTTATTTTAAATTATCATATTTATTATCTATAGTTAGGTTTTATTATTTCAATTTATTAATAATTTGTAGCTAATTTGTATTATTGTACATTGTATTAACATTTATTAGTATACAAGCATAAAAACATTTGATTATTAAAATGATTGATTGCTTGTGTAAAAATTTTAATGATGACTGTTATTTTATTTAACTATAATTTAACGCATTTATTATAAAATGATAAAAAATTGATAGTGGTTTACATAAATATTATTATATAATATACCTTAAATATTATATGTGTATTAAAAAAAAATTAAAGAATAATAATCTAAATTAAATGTTATGTAAACAAAATAAAATATAGTTATATTGAGCTCAGAGTTAAATTCGTTGCAAATATATAATGTTATATGAATTAATAAATCAATGCATATTTACAAAATTCTTTAGTATGTATGTATGTATGTATGTATGTATGTATGTATGTATGTATGTATGTATGTATGTATGTATGTATGTATGTATGTATGTATGTATGTATGTATGTATGTATGTATGTATGTATGTATGTATGTATGTATGTATGTATGTATGTATGTATGTATGTATGTATGTATGTATGTATGTATGTATGTATGTATGTATGTATGTATGTATGTATGTATGTATGTATGTATGTATGTATGTATGTATGTATGTATGTATGTATGTATGTATGTGTGTGTGTGTGTGTGTGTGTGTGTGTGTGTATGTGTGTTAGTTCAGCAACTATTAGTGAGACTACAACTGGGTCCGGCACTGGGCACCGGCATGTGTTTTGATTCGTAGGATTCATTAACACTTTCGGTATCATTCTTACGGACGCATACATAGACGGGTCGGTAAAGAACTACAGTTTCCCCATTATCCATACCTAATGAACCATCATATACCTGTCCTAATTGAAATTCAGGTCCTATATATAGACCTCCCTCGACGTGATCACAACAAACATCTGCATATAATTATTCAAAATGTTAGAAAACAATTTAATATAATAACTACTGTAAAATGTTCATTAAATAAATAATACCGTAAATATTACTGCAAATATTAAATGCATATATAATATTTACTTAGTGGCTTAAATTACAATAAAACTATTCAAAATATAGTATATAATAATACAGTAAATATGAAATAAACTTTAAAAGTTACCATTAAGATATTGACATTTTAAACAATAAGTAAATGTTTTGCGGGTATTAGCAAATATTTAATTGAATTTTACTATTTTTATTAAATAGTTTTATGATATATTCATTAGTAAATTATGTAAATGTGTGCTACATTTGCTATATATTTTATATTATTAATTAATAAAGTCTATATTGATCATTTTCTCGACAATAATTGTTATAGTATTATATATTGTAATTTTAAGCACTCAAACGCTACAATTGTTTAATATTACACAAAAGTATGATTTATAAATATTGATGAATTCATTGGACAATAATTAAATTATTTAATACTACGTTATGAGGTTTTAAATAAAAATTATACTGACACATCATAAAATACATAATATACTTTATATTAATATAAATAATATTTATAACAACTTGTGCTTCAATATTAACATTTTCATGAAACAATTAAGTAATAATTAGTTTAATAATTTCACTGTATTTGACAGTGAAGTGTCTTTTAAGGTTATTTTTCATAAAATTTTATAATAAACTTAAATCAAGTTTTGATAAATCAAATGTTAACTAAAGTTATTTTTAATAATGAAATTATATTTATAATATGCAAATGATTAAATATTTTGCATATTTGTGAGACAAATAAAACAATTAATACCGTAATCAATGATTGGCTGTTGATTAGAGTTTGGTATTCTGAAAGGACAGGTAGCTATTGTTAGCGGAAAATTCATGTGCAGATCATCTCCAGATTTTTCCATTTCTACCCAAACCTATTTGATTTTAATAAATAACATTTACAATGTATTACTTAATTTATTTAAAACATATTATTATTAAATTATAATTTTATTTACTGCATAAATATATTTAGCTTATTTGTTATACATTATTATTATTTTTATATTGCTATTTTATTAATAAAATACGTTATTGCAAAAATAATAATTTGATTACTGTATCTTTTAAGGAAATGATTTATTTTTTGTCTATAATTAGGGTTTAAATTTCACAGTTATTTTAGATAATATATAAATCTTATTATTGTATTTTATATATTAATAAATATTTTAAACATTTTAAATATTTTCTACAGTATATTATTGTATGCTATTATTTAACGATTATGTTCTCATATTTCACATTTGTTATATCTTTATTTGTGTTATAAAGATATGTTAGCTAACAATTTACTAATCAAAATTTCACAAAATATAAATGAACTTATATAATAATAACATCTATAAATGAATTTTTTCATATAAAAAATTTCCATTTATGTTATATTAATATTACTGTACTGATAAATTGTGATATTGTACTAATGTCTATATGAGATATTTTAATACAGATATACAGTATTTAAAGATATAAACTGTACTGAATAAAAAACTTAAATATTTGTATTAAAATACAATCAAATGATTTAAAAATTTAATAGTTTTACAAAAGCAAAATTAATGCATTTAATACATTAAAAAACGTAAAGCAAAGCTAAATATTGACAAATAAAATACAAGAATATTTAATTTTTATGACATGTTTGATGACATAATTTGCAAACCTTGAGTACGTAATAAATCTGTAGTAATCTGCAAATGCCTACCAGTGTCGGTGGCATTACTGGTACTACAAAACTGTTTGAGCTCTCAAAACGCCACTTCTGGAAGGGTTGGATACAATCGCCTCTATATTCAAGAACCGTATGATTAACTTCTTTGTTTAGACCTAATACTCCACGTTCTATATAAAACTCCACATACTATGCATACAATTAATAGAAATAATTTAGAAAATGCAAAAAATAAATGTAATTTTCTTATAAATGTTGAATACCTGAACAAGTTTTAGCTTAAGTCTTACATTTTCCTCACTTTGATTATCAATATCTGCTTTAAGACGAATACTTTCACCGCAACAATAGGCTGTTCTTTCCACTAATGTTTTCAGACTAACGACACCTCTTTGACAGCACAGACAGCAAATAGATCTTCTGTCGGAACCTATTAGCGGTTTCTGTACAATGTTTGCCGTAAAATCATAATTACACTAAAAATACTCACTCCTATACTAAGATTGTATTAAATTTTTTATATAATTTCAAACTAAATTAGAATAATCAATATTTTTTAAAAATTATAGATATTTTCTTATGTTTTTATATATTTAATCTTAAATATCAATATACAGTATATAAGTATATAAAATGTAACACAAAAGCATTGATACAGAAACTAAAATACTTTAGTAAATAAAATAATGACTTACGAGGTATTGTTCATCCATACAATCAATATGTGGTCCAATTATAGTAAAATATTTCATGCCCTGAGGCGGTGATGCGTAAGGAATATCAATGGTTACCTTAACATAATATCTGTCAATTGGTTATACACTTTGATTAGTTAAGCAATAATACGTTGTGATGTCAAATAACAAATCAATACTGACCTAACAGTACAGGGTTTGGCTTCAAAACTACACGGCAGACAACTTTCCGGTAAATGAAATTTAAAGGGAAATGAGTGATGACCTCGAGGAAGGATTGATAGACCCTCTCCTTTGTCTTTTATATAATGTTACAAATTTAATCAAATATTAGATTTTAATTTATACTAAACATAATACTGTACTGTAAGTCATAATAAATTATATGATTTAATGTCACATTTTCACATAATATCTTATTTGTATCTCTCAGTTAACTTAGAAATTATATGTAATTCTTATATTCTTATATTTATATAAATATATGTATTTAAGTATTTTGTTGTTTATTTTATCATTTAATAAAATTTAAAGTTTTTTTCAGTTTCTGATTAAGAATATATTTTTAATGATTAAAATGTGATCTAAAATATTTCTTTATTTATTTTAATTGAATTCTATAATTTATAAACAATTTAATGATTGTTTGCTATTTATTTATTAAAATAATAATAAAACTAATAATTGCTAAAAAGCATGAATACCCCAAATGGTTGTGCGCTCATCAACGAAAACCTGGTCGTCCTTAACAGTCCTCCGCTCACCGCTGACCACAACTTTCCACTCGGAGTGTGCTTTACCTCTTAATAATACTCTAATTGCTGTTAAATAATTAATATATCAGTTTTGTTAAAATATTTAGATATTTTTATTTAAATAAAACTTTTATATAAATAAATGATTATAAGAAAATAGTGTACTTGAAAATTTACAATTAATTGTAATTTCAAGCAATTATAATGTTATAAATTTGTTTAGTAATTTATTTGATATAAATTACATTATATTGTGATATGAATAGAGAAAATATTTAAAATTTGAAGACATTGTCTAACTTTAGTTACTTTATTAAAGAATCGGTTATTGTTTCCATAGAAACAACATTTCTCCCATTCTTTGCTAATTTGATTCATTTTCTATAAAAACAATAAAATAAATATTTCATGTCTTTTAATATAAAGTCAGTTCACTTCACATCGATTTTAATGATCATTACATTAAAAATTCACATTTTTGTTATCATTTTTATACACAATTCTTTATAATATCTATAGAGTATAGAAAATGTGCTTTTATTATATAATTATATATACATATACTGTAGTGTATAGAAATATAATATAATATTTTATTCATTCGTTAGTTGATTGAAGGGTTGTCTTTGAAAAACATTAGGTATATTATATAATACAATGTATTATATTATTACTATATATATATATATTAAATCCGTAACTCGTTTTTGAATTCACAAAATTTATGGTATGTATAATCAGATGTATACCAGCACTGAATTAATCAATATCTTTATGATCAACAACTAAAGTAATATAAAGTTCAATTTTATTATTATAGTTTTTTTGTTTTAATTATCTTAAATAAATAATTTATTTTAGTGGTGTGAAATCAAATTATTTGAAAAACCAAAGCGAATTAATACATAAAATTGATTTCAATAATTAACAATAACTATTTCTCTTGCAAGCAAACAAGTCTCTACTATTAAAAGTAATTATATAATATTAGGTTAATTTAAAATAAAATAAGTAACATAAATTTAAAACCCAATTTGTTGTATTAAAATGACAAAAAGTAATTTTGTGTCATTTAAACTTTTGTTCTGTAATTTTTAGAATTATAAATACTTTACTAATACTATAGGGTATAGAAAAAAATGCTTTAGAATCGCTTGCAAATCAATTTTCGACAAAAATTTATTTTTGGCAATACTTTACAAATTACTGTAATTACTTTATTATAACGAAGAACACAACACCAAAATTGTTATTTCAATTACTATATATAAATAAATAAATATTTTGATAAATTGTATATTTCTGCTTATATTAAACAAATTTACAGATATTTTTCGAGTAGTCGTTCAATTATTCACTAAGCAATGGCTCAATTGTCATCTAATATCTAATATAAATGATAGCAAATGGTAGCATATAATAAAAAATATGATACAAACAGAAATCAGTCAATAATAAAAAATAACAAAATATACACATATTTTAGTGATATCGTGTTTATGTATATACTTAAGCATAAATTACAACATTTTCTATTTTACTTATTTCTACATTTAATATCAAAATCAAATAATATAATAAATAAATATCAAACAATACAAATAACTTAGTTTTAATTTAATAATTTGTTTGAATTACAATCTCATAAGAAGAAATAATTTATTAATTAAATAGTGTAAAATTTTTTTATTCAAGTATATCAATATAATTAAAAAATGCTATAAATTACAAAACAAAATTTTTTCTTTACAAAATCAAAATAAATTGATAAAATGTAAAATACCTTTAAGTTTAAAATTTTCGTTTGTGTCGAGTATGACGTGACCCGTAAGTGTTTCGCCCGCATAATACATCTCCCGCTCCAATCGGATATCAAATTGTTGGATGTAATCCATTACGATATCATTTAATACAATGATTTCATCTTTATATGTATAATAAATAGTTAATATTCACTGTAATTTAATGCCTTATTTAAACTATAATATAATGCCATTTAATCTATTTAATGTATAAATTATAAATTTGTGAAATAGTATATAAAAAATAAATGACAAATAAAATAGTCGATAGAATTTATGTTGACTTAAAACGAATAAAAAATACATAAACTAAATAAAACTTGTTTTTAGGCTAATAAACAACAATTTAATAATAACCTCAACTTTTTAAATATTTGTATATTAATTGTAATTTATAAAAAAATATTATTGGATTTTTATTATTGAAGTTGTTATAAAAATTATTGATTAAACATGTTCATCACATTTTATAATAATTTTAATTATGTTTATTTATCGCATAAATATAGTTCATATTAGTATAAACATACCGTTATATTGGAAATGCAATAAGTATTATATGTTTACATATTAAACAAGCAATAAAAGTGTCCACTTATTAATTATTATTTTCATATTCGTACTATTATTCTTAAGTTAATATTGGATTATCTGTTAGAACATTATATTAACAAATAAATAGAAAATTGCTATAAAGTACATGAATTTCTATTTAATAAAAACATTATTATTATTATTATTATTACAACTCTCGCATTAATGAATCTAATGTACAATACGTTCACTGCATTCAACACATTGTATACACAATTCTGGTATTCATATAATTGATTTAACAAATCAATAAATCAATCCATACATAAATTAAGTGAATGAGTTTTAATAATTAATATATTATAACATTATTTACAAAATAAATATTTGAATTAAATAGATAATGATATAAAAAGGTAATTATAGACTATAGACCATAGACTATAATTGAGAGCATCATTGAGACCCTATTTCAATGGTATTCCGACTGCGAAGTAGTACTACAGTGAGGACCGCACAGACTCGACATATCATACACACTGTACTACTCATTGACAACACTTTCCAACTAAACATAAGACTTAATGTAAATATATCTATAGATCTATACTTTCAATGGGAGAGAGAAAGAAAGAAAGAGGGAGAGAGAGAGAGAGAGAGAGAGAGAGAGAGAGAGAGAGAGAGAGAGAGAGAGAGAGAGAGAGAGAGAGAGAGAGAGAGTCAGAGTCAGCGCAAAACATTTACTAAAATATTTAAGTCAACACCAATAACTTGTTTTTATATTTTTATATTCTCTGCAAGTTTTTCTCTTGAAGTAAAGTATAAAATCGTTTTGATTAATAATACTTTTATTATTATTATGTATTAATCAATTAGATCTTGATATTTATATTGACATAAAATATTAATACAAAAATTGCAAATATTTTAATAAATACAATACAGTATATCTATAACGCATGTGCTTTACCTCATAATTTGCATAATAATTATGGTTTTTATTAAGTAATTGAAGTATACATTCTCTCATAGTTTTGTGTTTTTGCTAACTTTAAAAGTCAAGTATAAGTAGTGTTTTTATTAATAATTTTGCAAAAACTATGAGAGAATACTATAGGGTATAATTGAGCAAACATTTCATTACATCAAACGTGAATAACTATTGAATTTTGTCATTACTTTGAAATTATTAACATTGAAAAACTCTTCAATGAATTAAAATATATAAATGAATTTCGCTTAAGTCTAGATTAGAAGAGCCACTGAAATACATTGTTTTAATGCATTAAATTACATACTGTTTATTCGCATCAGACAATTGTTCACTAAAATAATAAATGTTTTATCATTTTATTTTTCTTTAGTTAAGTTAGTTTGGGGTGGGATGTGTGTGTGTGTGTGTGTGTGTGTGTGTGTGTGTGTGTGTGTGTGTGTGTGTGTGTGTGTGTGTAAGTGTTAGGTAGTGGTGTTTGATGGGGAGGTAAGTGTCTTAGTTAAGGTAACACTTGTCAGTACAATATTTATATAATTAAATTCATTTGTATCAATGTATTTCAGTGACTCATTATAAATATACAATTATTCCATGAATTTAATAAGAAATTCATAACATTTTTTATATTTGACTCTTTCTATATTCCTATACCCTCTAAAATCCAAAATCTTGCTTAACCCTGATATATACAGTATAGAGATTAGATTACTTTAGAATCTAAAGTTTAGATTGTATCTATTAATATAGATAATTATAGTAACTAATTATTAAAAATTTATTAATAAAAAAGATAATAAAAGTTATAAAATATTAAAAATTATATTAAAAAGTAATTTATTAATTATAATTTATGACATAATTAGTTTATTAAAATTAAATTAATTAAATAGTTTTTTAATTATAATTTGTGTTTTAATAATAACATCGTTGAATGAAAAACATTTCAAAACATATTCTGAGTCTTTCGGAGAGTTAGACATCATATTTGAGATGAAGAAAATTATATCCAGTATTGACAACAAATCTCTTAACAAACCCTACTTTCAGATAAGTGTGATATAAATAAAATTACAAAATAGACGGATAATTAATAAAATATTAATTTAATTAACTCGACTTTTAAATAAAATCTAATTTAATATTATTATTATTGAGTTTTTGTGTGCGCTTTGATGTCAAGTCGGATGATGTGAAAAGTGTTTTGGACGACATTCACAATACAATCGTTACATTCATAGCAATCAACAATAAAAACACAATAATTGTCTGTTGGATCACATCATACAACTCATACTATATATACATATAAATCAACTTTTATTCTTTAGAAATCTGATAAAATAAAAACTTAATAAATTATATAAAAATAATATCATATACTTTATTATACAGAAGTATAGTATTTATTTTAATTATACAATTAAATGTATTCAATATGTAAAATATCCGTGTATTTTAACAATTTATTTATTAATAAACAAAAAATAATTTTTATATATTAGTATTTTAAGAACACCTTAATAAAAGTGTGTTTTGTATTCGCAATAAATAAAATTACAGTAATACTGATAAACATAAATATAAAAAGGGTTGTATTTATCAATTTTGAGCCCTCTATGAAAATCGACTTGTTTTAACATTGGGTTAGTTAACACTAAATTGACCAATTGGTCAGCACCTGACAGACACTAATTTTTAAGCTTTTTTCTCACTTTATAAAAACAATAAATGCATTTATATTACAATCATTAGTTTTAGTCTTTAGGTTTTTAAACATAAATAACACTTTAAATGTAATCATTTAGTTTTTATTAATAATTTGAAACTTTATTAATATATTATTTTACAAATTGGAAATTATAAATTTTGCAAATATATTTGTTATGTCATAGTTTTCTTTTAAATAATATATTAATACTGTATATAATAATGTAATTTATAATTTAAAAATAAGATTCTGTGCAAGCAATCTAACGTTAAAATAAAAATTGATAAATTTAACGCTATCTATTAGAGTGATTTACTATTATAGATATATATAATAGTACGGTAATAAAAATGGTATAAAAATGTAAAGTACATTACAGTATAAATTTATATGAGTATTAAGTTATAACTTATAACTAGAGTTATTCATCTTCGGGAGTTTAAATGGCCAAATCGGTCGGGAAATCGTAAGTAAAAATTGACAAAATCGGGATATAAATCGGGAAATTAAATTTTGTTTTTTCTTATAGTACTAATAATAAATAGTTTATATGTCACAAAATCAGTTATATTTGCAAAAAAAAATATTTTCAGTTTTTAATTGATTATAAAAAAGCATTTAGTTTTAGTTTATAAAGTACACTCTGTCTTAACCATTGTTAACAAAAAATACATTAAGTATTACAGTACATATGTTTACAGTACATACTAAATCTATTAATAAAAAACAATTTTGTGTTCAATTTTAGTAATGTATTTCTATAAAAACTAAATAAATTAAGAAAAATCAATTGCATTTCGAGAGTATCTAAAAACTCGACTCATTTCGATTCACTTCATAATTCATAGACTGATACGAAAACAAATTTATTATTTTTGTTGTAGCAGTCGATGCTATTATCTATTAATACTTAGTTTTACAATTAATTAAAAAATGATAATTACAATAATATTGAGTGTAATTTTATCTATAATTATGCCCTTGGTCATTTTTACATCTTAAGTGTGGTTTACCATTTAATATATACAATCAATAGTCGAAATGAGTCGAGTTTTAAGATACACCCTTGCATTTCATTGTTATGACATAAATATGATTTAAAAACTAAATAGAAATAATTTGTAAATTTAAAAATATAAAATTCATTTATTTAAGAAAAAAATAATTTTAATTTTGAATCAAAATCATGTATAATTAATGAGAAATGATTAATTGATATTTTTAAGTTTATTATTTTTATAATGTAATTTAAATATTATATAATTATTTAAAAACTAGTTGCAAAAAAAGTTATAAAAAAATTTTTAAAAGTTAAAATTTTATATATTATCTCTGATAACTGCTGATGTGTCTATTCATTAAGATTATTCAAATTTGTAAGTTATAGTTATAGTTAGATAAATAAAAAATATTAATTGGATAATAAAGTTATCTGTAAAAACTGCCTTTTCTTATTATAATAATAACTTAATGTCAAAATTTGTTTATTAAAAATATATTATCGACAATAGCTTTTAATTTTAAACTATTAATAAATGATAAATATTCCTAAAATAATTTATTCATTATTTTAATGTACAGTATATTACATTTTTAAGTTTTTATTTGAGTTCTAACTCTATTATAAGTATGATTTATAAGGTTTCTGATTCATATAAATATATTTAATGATTTAAAATGAAAATTGAAAAATTTATTTATTTAATATTATTTAGGATTATAGCATAAAAAAGATTTAAACTTAAATTAAAATTTAATTAGTATTTACTAATTAAATTTATTAAGTTATTATTATGTTAAATACCATTTTAATGTACATATTATGAATCAATGTTTTTAATGAATTTTACAATAATTATTAAAATTAAATAAATTTTACTTACTTTTTGATGAGAAAATACTTGTTAATCAATTAAGTAATGGTCACCACATACGATATGTACTGTTTTTTATACCATTGCTATGCATGAGTTGAGTGGACATATAATGTGAACTTTTATTACTTAATTCAATTTAAATTTTTAAATTCTATAAATTATTAAATATCTAATGTTTTATATAATATAATGAATATATATTGTTATATTACAAACTTGCATTAAAAATTTTATCTATCATAAATCATTCTAAAGTATTATAATCATTTAAACAATTTATTTATACTTTTGAATATTATATATTTAATATTATTATTATATACTATTAATATTATTATTACTGTTTAATAATGTGTAGCAATAGTCTACAATTATTACAATTATCACTATCCTGTAGATATTAATTTTTTAATAAAAATTGATTTTATTAGATATAGCAATGCATTATAATGTTTAACATTAAATACAAGTATAAAATACAATTTATGCGCTGAAATAAATAGTATGAATGTTGGATAGAGTTTTGATTAATTTGAAATATGAATTAGGGTTAGCACACAATACTTTTTAAAAAATACAATTTGTTTTTTGACTAATTTTATTGTAATTAAATTTGTTTATAATACCTACAAATAATATATTTGAAATCATTGCAGAATAAATATTTTTTTGACGACAAATGATTTGATACAGAAAATGGCATCAATATATTGAATCTAAAATTTTTAATTAATTTAGTTTTAAATTTTATTAGTATAAATATGTAATTATTAAAATATATTTAATTTGTTAAAAATATATAATATCTTCAATGGGAAGTCTTATAGATAAACGTCAAACAAATAAGTTATATCATATGTAAAATACCTTTAAATGAAATCATACTATTAATACATTATTTAAAGTACTGTAGTTTAGTACTGTAAAAACTATAGTTAGTTAAAGTATTTAACAATAATTTACATATGTTACATATGTGCCCACTTATAATTGGATAATATAATAGTAAAAACTGCTTAATATAAACATCAAAATAGGCCCAACAGTGGGCGTATAATCAGTATTAAGTTATTTAATACTAAAAACATTTACTGACTTATGGTCTAAGTTTTTCAAGTTTTTCTCAATATAAACGATCGATACGACTAAATACAGTATAGAAGTCAAGTAACAGAAGTCAAGAAAATCTAAACCATTAAAAAGCATTTGTTAATTATAAACACTATCATTATATTTATTATTTTAAAATATTTAAATTTAAATTAATAATATAACTAAGAAATTACATATTTTAGTAAAGAATCTTTTAGGAAAAATTTACTAAATATACAAAATTTTTAGATAAAGTATTACTACTGTATTTAAATATGTTTTGATGATTTTTAACATTAATAGTATTAATAAATATGGGACAAAAATAATTTTATTAGTAATAGTTAATTTTTTCATAAGTAAAATGTATATTAAAACATGAGTATAATATAATAATCTTCGTAAAAAAGTTTTTATTTAATAATCTATTACTGATTTACTCATATAATATATTTGAATTTATAAAAATGCCAGTAATTATAAATACATAATTACAGTAAATTTATAACAATTTAATAATATATTTTTAGCTAACATTACAACCTTTTACACATTTAGACCATTAAATAATGTTTTGGTTATTTTATTTTTTCTTTATAAGATTGCATTCATATTTCTACTAATTTTTAAAAATGTTTATAAGAATAAAATATACTTTAATTATATAATTAATATATTAAGTATTTTTGATTAAATAATTGGTTTGAATGTATTGAATGAATCTACAGTATTGTTAACATTTTGGTTACAATAACATCCAATTATAGCAAATTACAGGCATTTCTAGTGTTAAATAGTGTCAATAGATGTCGTGTCAATATGTTTGTCAAAATTATAACCAAATTAGTGGTCAATTAAATTGATTACTGTTTTGTCTAATTGTTTGACTCGTAACGAGTGCTTTGTTAGCAAACTATAAAATACTTGATTTCAAATAAAATTTTAATTTCAATTACAATTAATAAATTAAAATGAATTAATTAATAGGATTTGCATATAATGTTAAGTTAGTTTGAATTTGATTTAGTTTTGTATTTTCTAAACAAACATATAAAATGTATTTATATTTATAAAATGTTAGTTGAATTGTATGTTATTATTACAGGTATTGTAGAGTACAAAGACCTTTGAATGAGAGAGAGTTTAATAAACTTGAAGTGAAACCTAAATTCAGTTTAACATAACTATGAGTTGATTGAAATGTTATTTTCAATGCTATTTTCACTCTCTGTCCCAAATTCAACGTTTTCCTAACTATTCATTACGTTAGGGAAGTGTATGTATTATATAATATGTGGTCTATATTTGTATGCATTGACTGTTGCATTGGTGGTAATGGTTATATTAAAGAGAGAGAGAGAGAGAGAGAGAGAGAGAGAGGGTGTGCTATGAATGGGGGTAAAGTGGGGGTCAGGTATGTGAATGTATGTCTTCCGCATTTGCTTTAGTGCTTCGTTTATACTGTTTTTGACTGTTTTGTAGACAAGTGTTAGTACAAGTCATTGCCCTCTCAAACCTCAAACTCAACATTCAATATATTGTTGTATGAGTTATACCATTGAATAGCATTGAATTACAGCATAACTATTATTATTATTATAATCAATGCCTGAACTACCCCTTTAGCACTTGAATTATCAACTCTATGGTCAACTTTAAAGACATTTTTTTGTTTATTATTTCCACCGATTCTAGTCTTTAACGTCAAACATATTCAACAAATATCTGACAAACAATTGATTGCCATTTATAGCCAAACAAGACTTTGATTGCTTTTGAGGACATATTTGGCTATTAATGGGAATATCGTGTAAACAAACATATAGTCAATGAAATATAGTCAGGTATGTCATAATAATAATACATATATTTGATTATTTCATTAATACAAACTAATTGATTAATCAATACAATTGTCGCATATTTTTATAACAATATATTAACACTTTTTGGATGTCTTAAGCAAACCGATTGTCTAACAAATGATAAATCAATTGCCGATATAGTCTATCATATTATATGTAATATAAAAATAAATGACAAAAACATTTAAGACATTTCCTCATTTGCAAACTATAACAATACCACTATTTTGTATTGTCTTCAATACAATAAGTCAAACAATTGTTGATTTAATTCACATAAATAGTGAATATAAACAATAGTTTATGATTACTATAAATAGATATTAAATGACTGAAGAATGAGAGCTTAGTTTTTATAAAATAACTTATTTATAGACTTATTATAAGAGTATTGCATTTGACTGGTATTTAAGTATTAAATAATGGATTAGTTTTATTAAAATATCTATTTTTAAAGATAAAGTCATGTGTTATGTTAGCCCATCCTTAGAGAGTCGATAGTCCGGCTCAGAGGCCAACTGTAAGTCCGCTGTAAGCGCACTGTAAGACATATAAGGGTCGGTATTACAGTATTTGATTTAACATAAGCTGTAATAGCGATGCAATAGTAGTGGTAATGAACTGAACTGTAAATCAAATGCAAATCATTGACTCAAATGAAAAGCAAAGCGAAAATTATTTTTGAATCACTTTTTAATGTTTAGTGTTTTTAGTTGTTGTTGTCGTTGTAATACTTGTTGTCTATCAGTCATATAAAACCTGCAAAACAGGTATCAAATAAAATAACTGTGAAATTAGGTCTCTGTGTTTGCCTTCACTTTATATAATGTGAGGGAGAGTTAGGTTGAGAGACAGTGAACTTGTTGTCAGTGAAGACTTGCACAACACGTCTAAAAGTGATAACAAATTTGTGTGCATTTGTGTCATCGCTATCTGTTTGAAAACAATTTCAATGATTGGTTTTCAGTGTTCAGCCACTATAAGCCAGCCCTGTATCGGCCGGACTCTGTTCCCGACAGCGCCAACACATCAGACCAACAATGGCTTTCATAGTAGACCTGCGATTCCCACATCTAATTTAGTCGACTATTTTCCCATCAATGGTGATGGACTTCGTCTAACTTGGTCTCATGCGGCCAATACTCGGTCCAAATTGAATGCTGCCATCAGAGGTAAGTTTCAAATATAATTGTTGACTATTTAAAAAATAATACTAAACTTGTATTTGATATTAAAAGGTGAAGAATTGATGATTGAAGCCGATGTAAGCCTAGCTGAGACAACCCGTTATCCGGTGCCCATTATGGCTCATCCACCCAATAATGTCAGTGATATGACTTTGGAGGACTGGTTGGTGGAAGTGGTTCGATCTAATTGTGGTAAAGGAATTAAATTGGATTTTAAAACTACTCGAGTGGTTGAACCAGCATTTCGAGTACTGGCCCGACATGTGGACTATATTAAAGGTCCTATTGTTCTAAATGCAGATATATTACCCGGTTTGTCAATAATAAATTCTATCTATATATCTATATATTATATATATTAAAAATCTAATTGTATTGTGTAATGAAAATAAGGTCCCAATAAGCCATCGACCAGTCCCGTCGATATCTGGACTTTTCTGATACTCTGCAAAACCCGTTTTCCTAAAGCAATTATATCAATCGGTTGGACCACAAATACTGATGATATGTCAGTGAAGAGTGGTTACACTCGAGATATGGTGGACCACATGGCCTCTCTCGTCAAGGAATATAATTTATCGCAACCCTTGACTTTTGCTGTCAATGCATCACATCTTAAATATTCAATTTGTGAAATCCAAAGATTACTGTTTCAAGTAAACAATTAATGATTTCTATTAAAAATCAAATATTAAATTATGTTTTTTATGATTAGGTACCTAACAGTACATTGACGGTGTGGGCGCACCCGCAAGAGTTTGAGTCCAACTTGACTTTACACGACTTGTTATTAATAAGAAAATCGTTTTCTGTCTGTTCTGTCTTCTATGACATGCCATCAGATATATTGAATCAGTTGAGAGTTGAGGTGTACTCTAATTGAATCGGTTGAAATTAACTAACATATCAATCGATTATATCCTAACCCAACGTTGAGTGTCCTCTCATTCACAGAGATATTGTAAATTATAATTATTGGTACATTTAAGTACATTTTGTGCAAAAATACATGCAATTCAAACATTTGGTTGCATTTATTGATGTTTTGGTTGTGTTCAATACAATTTACCATTTATTAACCAAATTAGACAATTAGTTTAACACTGATTTAACGAAAGAGAGAGAGAGAGAGAGAGAGTGAATATAGTGACAAACTATTAGCGGATATGACTATCAGTGAGATATGGCTGTAATAATGTATACCCGATAATGAATATGTGATATTAAGAGTTTAATTCAAATGCCATCCACTAATTGTTTGTCACATTTTTAAACACTTTATAAAAATTATATATTTATGATATATATTTTGATGAGACGTATTGATCACAAATATAATAATTAACTAGTCTTATAATTTTCACTATTTAGTCAATAATAGTGTTTAATCATATATACCGTAAGTGTTAGATATAACCCACAAATAGCGCCACTATTGCTTGTTTTATTAATATTGCGTTAATATTATATAATATATATTAATAATAGTTATAAAAATAGATAACCAAACTATTTCCTAAAGTGAATTCCCGGTGAGATATGACTAATAATAATGTAATTATTTTGCAAACATTTGTGTGCCTTTCTCTGAACTTTATATAAAAAAATGCTTAAATGTATTATTAGGTGTCGGGTGTCTGCCTTTGTTGAATCCCTAAAACCCTTATCCCCTTTATTTCACAGAATTTATACAAGTTTTTGATATTATTTTCTAATTTCATATTTTCATAGTATATTATGTTATAGTATTTTAAACTTACATTTAAAGCACATGTATTTGGATTTATATATATATATATATTATATAGACATTATATATAATTTTAACATATAATTTTTTGTTATATTAATGTTTACCAAAAAAAAAATATTTACGAAAATAATTTACGTTAATTTTATTTCAAATTAATTACAATTGTTTTATTGTTATTGACAAAACAAAAAAAATAAAATAGAAATTGCAATTATAAAGTTTTAAATGAATAAACTTATTTGATGTCCATTTACTGGACAACGTTGGGTCCGATACAATACCAGTACAAAAATCGACTCAACGATAGCGCCTATCTTTAAGAGGTTGGTTTGGTCTATATGTGCGACGAATGAAGTCATTAACGTTTCTTTCATACTATTATACAATAAATCGAAATCAGTTTCTATTGTAATAATAATAATAATAATAATAATTACTATTCTCTTATCTAAAGTCCGTTGTTTGGGAATCATATCAAGTCTTTGAAACGAAGGTTCAATGAATGGTCGCTAATATAAAAGAAAAATTAAAATTTGGAAAAAATTTCTATAAATACAATGACTGACCAAAGGGTAGGGTTGACTCAAAGTAGTTGTATTTCTAATAAAATTATTGAGATTTCCATTTGCTATGAAATCCCTTCGTCCTATCGGTCGCTGAATAAGACGATCATTGCGTCCTAAACAAGAAATCAAATAATTTGCTTTTAATATTCATAAATAATTGCATTTTTAGGTATTACCATCTCTAACATCCCTTCGGGGTATTGCAGCTGATGGTGGTAATGGTGGACCCAATCGTTTGCGTCTAAATAAGATTTAATTACAAATTTAATGTCATAAATTGAAATATACTTAAGTAACTGAATTAATGATGAAAAAGAGGAATACGTGTGATTTGGTGAAGGATTTGGTCTTTCTCTGTGTCGAAAGTCAAGTCTTGAGCTAATATTTGGTTTATTCCTTTCATCGAAGTCCATGAATGGTCCTCTTAGTCTAGGATTTCTCGGCCTATCAGATGTTTGTTTTTTCATTCTCTTCAACATTGGAATCAATTCAACCATTTCGTCAAATGGAAACAAACGGCATAATTCTTCGCCAACTCGCGGATCAATTTCCTATAATAAAAATGTTTACAAATTGCTGACAGCTTTGTTAATCAACAAATTAATACCTGTCCGTCTCTTGCAATTTTAACAGGTTTTCCATCGTTTAATGGATTGAAAAGATGTAAAGTTTTGGTGAAAGGAAGTTCTCTCCTACAGATCCAATCCAAATGGAAAACACCTCCCAGTGCTCGAGCACTCAAACCTTGAGGTAATACCCAATTTATAGGCTGTGAATCGTGTCGTGATTCAGATGCAAGTCTTGCAAAACCTAATGCAATAAAATAATAGTATTTAAGTGTCAATTAAATCTGTGTTCAAACCTTGAAATTTTCCACTTTCTTTGACCGAAAATATTAGTATAACATTTCTAAACTGATTGAAAGCCCGGTTCAACTTTGTTTCATTTTGTGGAGGTGTAGACCAAACACCTTTAGCTTTTGATAAGACTATGTTTTCGTGATTATTACTTTTCATAACAAAATAACAGCTGTCTTTGAAAAAATATTTTAGCAAATAATTGGGATCTTTTCGGAATCCGCTTTGTGTTTGTCGGCGACGCTTTGATTTTCCTATTTATAATTATTTTTATAATACAGTGATTTTTATTCATTTTGAGGTTTTAATATATTAATCACAATCTCTATGAAAAGTTAACATTAACTCTATGTATTAAAATAAAACAATTAAAAAATAATGTATAGTAGAAATAAAAATGTTTAGTAAAAAATTCAATAAATATTTTACATTCAGTTTGCGATATAATGTTAACATCAAATAGAGTATGCGTTATAAAACCTTAAAATTTTTAAAAACAAATTTACAATATTTTATAAAACTTGAAAATGAATAAAACACTGTTATTATTATTATTATTATTGTTTAATAAAAAAAAGTCTCACGTCTTTCATCTTCGTAATGATCGCGACGTCTTTTCTTTGACTGTCTGTCAGATGGACTGACAGATCTAACATTTCTATGTCTACTAGATTTACGAGTGGCTATCAAATGATTTAAATATCATAACTTATCTAAACATTTCATTATTTATCAAAAAAAAAATAATTTCTTACGAGTTGGTGATCGAGAAGGAGAACGTGAAGAACGGTTGCCATTTGAGACAATACTACTGTGATCTTCACACGAACACGAAGAGTCGTGTGAAGAGCTGTAGTCATCGTCTGAATTATTTGAATTGATTTTTACCACTTCATTGCTGGTGTTAACAGTTGTATTTGGAGGCAACTAATCATTTATTAAATTAAAGTCATTATTCATTTAATATTAATTAACGTAATATCAATAATTTTTTATAAATGTCTATTTTAAAAAACCCTAATTTAATTTTTATCAAATTTATCAATTACTTATCATACTTATTATTACAATTAATTATCAATTACCGATATCTAATTAAAATTATTATTACCGGTAATTACAAACTTATAGATTTGTCTGCAAATAATACTTTTCAAATACTATTACATAGAAATCTAAATATTGGTAATTATTTATACTGTATTACAAACAATTTTCCCGAAATGTATGTATAAAATGCATTACAATATCAGTATTATTCAGTATCTCATATAAATACAATCAATAACTTACAGTAAATTTTTTATAATTTTTTGAGTCTTTTGGCAATTCATTTGCAACTGATTTTAAATACTTCTTCGAGTCTGTCAAACATTTAATTAGATAATTATCAATATATAAAAATATATAATCTATTATAGAAACAAACTTTGAACAATGATTTCCCTTTTATCTTCATTTTGATATTTATTTTGTGAATCAAACTTTAAATTTGTTGATATTTTCAATTTCTTTTAGATAAAAATAAATTAATATTAAAAAATATATAATAACTGTTAGCATGAAGTCAAGTGCTGTACCTCTTGTTTTAAAGACACGGATGAGTTTAGTTTTAAGCTCTCTTTTGAAACGACAGCTTTGACTACACTTGAAGTTCGCTTATCTATTAAATTATGATTTCAATACAATGACAGCAATGAAATGATAAACTTTTGAACACAACACTTACTTTTGGATTTCTTTTCTGATCGACTAAACTCTTCATCTAATTCGTCGTCTTCAGGTGTGTCCAAAAGTTGATCCAAAACATTCCTTTCTTCATTTCTTCCACCTAAACCTATTAGCAGATTATTTGAGATAATTTTCATTTAAAAATATGAAAATATAAACACTTACACACCACACACTCAAGCATACATACACACAATAGCCACAACACAAATACATTTTTTGGTCAATTTTATAAAAAATAAACATTTATTACTCAAAAATATATTTAATGAAATTTCAATCAGTGATCAAATCATCAACACTTTAAAAATAATTTAATGTTTAAACTCATAATAAAAAATATAGAGAAAACAAGTTTAGAGTCAATAGTAAAGTGAGAGAAGTGTTTGAGTGGTAGAGTTGAAGACTAGAACTCAGACCAGACAATAGCCTTCTTATTGCGATCAGTGCTCATCAGTAGAGATCCGTTGGGATTCCAACAACAGGTGATTACAGTTGAGTTGTGTTGATCTTTGAGTATCTGTTCAACCTTTCCATTGCTGGCATTCCAGATATATATGGATCCGTCATTACTTCCGGCAACAATATATTGATTGTCGGGACTAAACTTACAACGAGTCCAATCACAGCCCACTTTGAATCCTTCGGCACAAAACGTGCGAATCACTTGATTTTGGCGCAAATCTAAACATTTAAGTGAATCGTCGCGAACACAACTTAATAAACAATAGCCATCGGGTGACACATCTAATGCCGTAACCTTTCCCTGAAGTAATATCTCATTAGCACTTGAATCAGATCTCGTGTCCCAAAACCTAATTCTTTTGTCAAAGTGAGCACTCGCTACCACTGATTCTTTGGATTCAACAGTCACTAAATCATTACAAGAAGAGCCGGCAAATAAAGTTCGTATACAGGCGTGTCTATTCAAATCCCAAATTTTCAAAGTCCGATCGTGACTACCGGACACCACTTTATTAGATCCCAAGAATTTCACGGCTAACACTTTATTTGAGTGACCCGTTAGTGTGCGTCTCAGTTTCATATCACTTAAAGTCCAAACACGACTCGCAAAATCATTAGACGAGGCCAACAGTAGGTCCTGATCCAAATCTATTGAAGTGACCGCAGCGTTATTACCCGTAAGAGAGCCCTTTAATATGGCAACACTTGAATTCTCATTGATTTCCCATAACTTTATTCTACGATCGCCTCCACCGGTGGCCACGACATCTCCATTAGGGCTCCATTTAATAGCATTGACTTCTCCGTCGTGAGCCTCAAATTGAAGCAAAACTCTATTAGGAATACGAGTACAAACAAGAAGTGGATCAGTATTGGTCTGTCGTGAGTCAACAAATGTGTCGTCAATTTTGACATTCATTTCTTTAGCCGCTTCTTCCAAATGTTTTCTAAGCTTTTCGTTCTGTATTTTTAAAGCCATTTCGTTTTCATCGTTCATTTTTTGTGCATCAGTTGCCTTAAGTGTCATCCATCTGGTGACCAATTCATTGTGATCTTTATCTAATGTTTTATACTTATTTTCGAGACCATTGAACGCCATTTGCAACGCCTGGTGTTCGTCTTTTAACAATTGATTACAAGAGTCTAACTCTTGTATTCTCAGTTCTAAAGCACTGCAAACAAGTCTCGAGTCTTTCAAAAGTTGTTGAGTTTCTTCTAACTTAAGCAACAATTGATCCTTTTCTCTGTCTTTGGATTCAATCGTATTCTTTAAGTCAATGATTGTCTGTGAACTATGTCCTCGAGTTCTGTGCAATTCAGTCAATTCAGACTGAAGTTCAAACAACTTCTTTTCGAGTACTTTGCCGTTAGTGTTGTTGCTGTCATTGTTGTCGCGGTTGACAAACAAACCATTTTTCAGTTCATTTGTCTCTAACAAGAGTTTCTCTTTTTCAATACAAAGCAAATGATTTTCGTTACGAATTGATTCCAATCTTTCATACAAATGATTGCAGAAAGTAATCACTGATTCAAATGGTTTTTGTTCAATAAGTTTGCGTTCATTTAATTGTCTTATTATAGACTCTTTCCAGTCGTGTTTCACATTACTTATTGTTACTGTTGTTGTTGATGATGATGGTAGTGGTGATGTTGATGCCATTGTTGACAATACAACCGCAAACCCCCTTAAGAGTTCATTATTTCAGAAAAATATCAAAAGTAAAGTTCAAAGAGAAATAAGAGTCTAAAACAAGACTTAATACCAAACAAAAGCAAATCAATTGATGGATCAAATGCTAAAAAGTAAAACAATAGTCAATTGATACTATAGTTATGTCACATCACATCACATCATGTGGTAAATCACTGATAGTTTATAACCTGTTCGTGACTTTTAATGTCTTGTCGTGTCCGACGATTGATCACCAATTGATTGAGTCATTCATGACATTATCACCACAACTGACGACACAAACAACTTAGACAACAGTCATATTCAGACAAACCTTTGCTCTCTGACTCCCTCTGATTCATCACTTGTGACCACTCTTTGACAATACAACACAACTATCACAACAATTGTCACTATTTTTATGATAAATAATGTTTCACTCAATTGTATTGTCGCTGCAATTCATTACAAACCAAACATTAATATGGCTTTCATTGCTATTATTATACGGTATTAAACATTATATTATACAGTAATACACTGTGAGTACTGTATATAATGTATAATACAGTAGTTTAATACAAATATTATTATATAGTCTATCAGTATATAAAGTGACGCTTTATTCATAAATACTGTCATATTATGAGAGAATCGTATTAATTACAATTTAAAAGTGACCAAGGTCAATTTGAAACTAAATAAAATTGTAATTGTAATTGTAATTGTAATTGTAATTGTAATTGTAATTGTAATTGTAATTGTAATTGTAATTGTAATTGTAATTGTAATTGTAATTGTAATTGTAATTGTAATTGTAATTGTAATTTGCCATTATTTGATTAATTGTATCATTTGTAAAATAATTTATAACAATTATAAAATTTCAATGTTTGACAATTTAATGTTTTGTATACTGTATTTCAATAACATTTGCAATTTATATGTAATGTGGTTATCGATAGTTATTATAAATATAATATAATATAAATACAATACAAATTATTTTACAAATGATACAATTAATCAAATAAAACCAAACCATTATGGCTATAGTTTTATCAAATCTATTTAATATAATAAACTACATTATATAACATTATAGAAAGATTTTATTTATTTCTTAAATATTATAACTTAATAATTAATGTTATAATACATATAATTTTAAATCATTTTAATAATTAATTGTATTAATGATGTTTATCTGATTTATTAATACGACAATATATAAAAATTCATTTTATTTGATTTGGTAAATCATCTATAGGTACATATTGTATGATAATTACATAAAAATTAATTAATCAATCAATTCAAATAAATATTAAATACTAATAATAATTTTCATTTTAATCATCATTTATTTTTATAAATATTTTCACAAAATAGTATGAAATGCTCACTAATTATGAATAAAATACAGTATAATTAAAACAGTTAAAAGCGCTACAATCACAATCACAATTGTAATCAATTAAAATGTATAAATCATAACATATTTATAATTATAATTTTGTTAAATATTTACATTATGAATGACACATTTGGCTTAAAATAAATATATGATTTTGCTATAAAGTAAATAGCAGTTTAAGTAAATGCAATACAGTTAAACATCAGTTAAAATTCTAGTTATGGTAACTACTATTAATGTCATATTTATTGTTAATATCATATATTTATTTTCAGTTACAAAAAATTGGTAAAATTATAATTACATTGTTATATATAAATTATATTTAATTAGTAAACATAGGTATAATATATGTAAAAGTAAAATTAAACTCATGTTTTGTAATAATAAAGTGAAAATAATAACTAAATAAAATTTGCAATAAAAAAGTATGTGAATATTTGTGCGAAATTTCAATAAATAGATAAACATTATATTACTTATAAATTATCAATTAATACTAAAAACAAAGTTTGTTAAATATCTGTCATATTTATATAAATAATAAAATTTTAAGTAATTAAGTAAAATATAAAACAAATATATGCAACAAAAAATTAATTGTTGAAATTTAGCTGTATGTTTGTAATGAATAAATTTTTAATAAACTATTTTATTTCATATTTGTTACTAAAGTTAACATTCTTATATACAATTTGTTAATATAAGTTATAATATAATATCTAATGTTAATATCTAATAATAAGATACACACTATTATAAATTAAATTATAATAGTGTATCTTCTTATTATAATTTATAATATATAATTAATATTATTAATAATATTATACGCATATTTATTATTATAATATGATATACTGTATCTAAATTGTATAAACTTAGTATATGTTATGTATATTATATATTGTGTAATCAGTATTCAATTATAAAATATGGATAAAAGTAGCAGTTTATATCTATGTCTATGACTTATTGGATTTCTATATTATAATAATTAAATTTAAAAGTATAAAAATTGTTCCTTAAGAATGTTATAATACTGTAAATTTATATAATGCACAGTATTTTAAATATATTATAATGTATTACTAATAATTAGTTTTAAAAATTATTAACTTATTATTATTATTATTATTATTATTATTATGGCTGACTTGTCGTGTTAGAAGTGATTGCATAAATTATTTTCAGATAAAAAAATACTATAAAAATCATAAATATAAAAAATAAGAATCGGTCTGAGTATTAGCTAAACATTTTTGTTATTCAACAATAGTGTGAATTAAATTATCATTAATAAAATTATATTAAAACTATAGTTAAAATTCAGTTTAATAATTTAGATTTTAGACTAATTTTAGGATAATTATAATAATAGATAAAAATTAAAAATATATATGTAAGAACGTAAGATAAATTATATTAATTAATAAAATCATTTTTTAATTTTTTTAGTCGATCCGCAAGAGATACACATATGAGACGTTTTTCTTTTATTATTAGTTTTTTTGCAAACCTTTTTACATTTTTTTGGACACAATTTTCGTGATTTTTTAATAAATGTATGTTTTGAAGGTATCGATGGTTTAGTGGTTGGGGTAGACTTATGGCGACTAAGCGGTTCATTATGAGCTCGAGTGGACCGTTTGATTGCTTTACACGACAAGTTGCCTGAATGTCATCGAACTACTGATTTGCCAACTGTTAGTTTGACGGATGATTTTGATGGAGTCCTGTAAATACAAATTATTACTTTTTGTTATCAATAATCTTAAATAATATTTGTTAACTTAGAAAAGTTAGCTCACTTATAGTCATTATTAGATATCATATTTAAATTTATATCGCAATTCTTAATAGTATTTGTATTAATTAAAGGAAAAGCTTTGGAAGAGTTTTTATTATTCGCATCATTTTTATTGATATTAAAATTAGCATTAAATGTCATTTTATTAATAATTTTATGTGAGAGCGGAGAGTTTGATCGCGACCGCAGTCGACATAAATATGGATTATATGATTGAGTTTGACTGCAAGTGTTAGTATCGAAAACAATTTCTTGAACGGGAACGACATGTACGGGTAAGACGTGACGCCAAACACCGCTTTTATCACATTTTATATATAAGTATTTAATTAGTCATTATTATAATATTAATGTAAAATCAAATAATGTAAAATCAGGACAGGTATGGGTAAGTTTCAAATAACAAATCATATTTTATATTATAATTTTAGTGTCATTAAAATAACAATAATACATACGTTTTAGTAATCGATGATATATTAGCGTTTGCATTGATATGTTGTAAACATTTAACATTAGAAATGTCATCCTTTGAATTGTTTGCAATTTTATGGATAATTTCTGGCATTTCATTGGCAGGCAATTTGCCTTTTTTTATAACAGATCTCGTGTTATAAATGGAAACAGTAGTGCTTTTAATCGGAGACTTTAATGATTTATGAGGTGATAAATAAATGTCTTCTTTTGGTTGAGAAGTAGATCGTCGATGAGATTTACAGTCATCTATAATAATAGGTATCAAAGTATTTGTTGTAGTGGTAGCAGATCTGACATTTCTGCGCTGAGCTTTAATCCTATTGAGTACATCTCCCTGAGTCTCTACTTCATTATTTAAAGATGTGTTTAAATTTGTGGCACTTTTACGTGGTTTACGACCTCTTTCATGATTTTTAGTATTAGTTGAATCATCATTAAGAATCAAACCCTTTACTTCTCCTGCTATTATGTTGAGTGCAATACTTGTATTGTTATCATTGTCTAATAGACGACATTTTACAAGTGATGAACCATCAGAATAATTTTTATTGATATCTTCACTATTATCAACGTTAAAATTATTATTATTATTATTATTATTAGATATCTTATTCAAATGAATATCTCCCTGAAGCCATAGATAAGTCTCTTTTCTAAATATAATTAAAATATAATTAAAATAATGTCAGTATTGATTAAACTAACTCTTGTAGCCAATGTTGTTGATATCCAATTATAGATCCGGGTCTACAAATCCTGATCCATGCAATGGCTTCTGCGGCTGTGAATCTGTAGTGTTTCATAATATAACAAGCAATCAAAGTTCCAGTTCGTCCTAAACCCGCTAAAAATATTATATATATTAAGGCTGTAATACTGATACAAATATGATAACCTAAACAAACCTTTACAATGAACAGCAAGGGCTCCATTAGTATTCTCAGATATTTCGAGAAACTCTCTCATAATAGCATCACTGGGAGTACTTCCATCAATGAAGAACAGATCCCTGTGATTAAAGCCATTATCAATGAACCGGTTGGCGTCGTATAGCTTTTTATTAAGTCTTATAATAGTCGTAACATTATGTTCGCGAAAGTATGAAAAGTATGATTCGGGTGAATGAAGTGCATAACCGTTCTCAACCACTGACTTAGAGTGTGGGCCACAAAATGCTATAAACTTTTTGGGAACAATCCAATTGAGATCCCCGTTCTCTACCTTCTATTCAATCAAATTATAATTTTTCATTAATCATATGTAAATATTTCAATATATTTCAGTAATTTACCTCAAAATATTGGTACTCTTCAATATTAAACTTATCAAAGTCAAGAAATTTATATCTTAAAGCCTACAATCAACCAATCAATATGTTATTATTATATTACAAAATTAATAGAAGCAATGATAAATTAAAATCAATCATTACGGTAATTATCTAATAATAATATTGTTTACTCTAAAAAACAATATTTATAGTCAATACTGTGATCATATATATAAAGATAGACAATATTATATTTTAATTATTTTCTATAATACAACTTATTATATTAAAACATTTAAAAAATATGCTTACAGTTTTTCAAATTATAAACCAAATAAATAATGTGTTAGATTATGTTTGATAACAAATCATATATTTAATTTATTTACTTACTTAACTTAAATATAATTATCATGAAATAAAAATTTCAGACATTTAAATTAAAGAAATAATTAACACCATTGTTGGCGATAACTACCGGTAATATAATAATTAATACCGTAATACTATTTTGAAAAAATATTGTATTTGAATTTTTAAAATTCAGTTATTATTACAATGCAACTTTTGTTCTAGATAAAATTACTAAAGTTTTGAATGATATTAATTTTGTTTAAATTTAGATATCATTGGATTCATTACACATCAACTAAATCGCTAATTAAGACATGGGTTATTGAAGTGACAATAAGCTTTAATAAAAAAAATTATCATTTATTTTATGATCCAGTTATCGATTAGTTTATGATATAGTGTTTGTTTAGAGTAAACATAAATATGTATTAAATTTTCAATTACTTTTTGAATTGCCTTAAAGCAGTCAATGAGATGCAAGTGATAACTACAGGGACCAAATGCCGCGTCTCTGAATGGCATGAAATTTGCAGAGTTATTGTCCAACAACTTGTCATTGACCTCTTCAGCACTTTGTTTGTCATATATTATCTAAAAAATACAAATCAACGTAAATGTCGTTTCGATAAAAACAATCATAACATACACAATACGACCCAATAAGGTATGCGGCGTTCACTCGCTTTTTGCATTCAGTGGTCGTGTAGTGAACTATTCGCTTCTTAGGTGACTATATTTCAAATTAAATAATTAAAAACTTTTATTGTAGTTAAAAAATTTACATTTTTCAGTTTTATTATATTTTAATTTACATATTGTCATATTATACTAACAAAATTGGGGACATTTTACAATATCAAACAATTTCCGGTTATTTGTTATACAAAACAATGAAAGTGTTATCAATTCACAGTTTTAATATTACTCTAGAATTAAATATTACTCTAAATAGAAATAATAATGATTTATAAATCTAATAATTACCGTAAATTTTTAACTGAATATCAATTTAATAATATTAGTTTTAATTTAATAACAATAATTGAAATCTAATTATTTATCCAATAATCTAATAGCAAATTACTTAGATTCACTAAATTAAATGTTAATTATAAATAAAATAAAATATAAAGTAAACAAAGTATAATATTGAGAGACACCTACACTACAGGTGCAACCAATCATAGACTCAATTGCATGGCATTCAAAATTTAATATCAAATAATGTTTTTCAATTCAATTTAATAATATTAGAAAAATATGTGGGATTTGTAGCATAAATATAATAAATTGTTTAATTACTTATGATATATATATATATATATATATATATAATATACATATTAATAATTTCTAATTATTTTCTATTAATCATGACTTTACAATTTTATAAAATAATTTATGAAAAAACAAAATTTAAAAAAATAACATTTAACAGGACATACTTTAAGAAGTTTATTGATTTTCTGAGAATACTTGTAAAGCATGGCCTCATTGAGTGGTCCGAAGTCTGCATCAAATCTAAGGACAGCAAACCATAAGTTCAATAAATATTAAGTCAATTAAATCACTTAAAGACTAACCCTTCGTAAAGAAGTTGGTCATCAATACATAAGTAGTTAACAACTGAACTGCTTTTGGTCTTCAATGTGTTGATAACATTAGGTCTAACAGTTGCCAAATACAGACGATCTTCAAGAGATTATAAGTTAATCCATTTGTTCATTCAATTAGCAAATCATACAAACCTTTAATCATTTCCACCAAATGAACAAAACCTGGTATTAAATCTTTCATATGTTTTAACACCATTTGTCTTAATTCTTCATCCATTTGTGACACCAATTGATTTAATCTTTAATTTTTAAATATTAATTAGTTTTCAAAACTGTGTTATAATTACAAGTAATACATATGTTGTATACAATTCACTCATTATTTAAACGGTTAATACATTTATCATTAATTAACATTCAATTGGTGTCATAAGTCATATTCAATGGACTAAAATGTAAAATCTATTTATCGATACATTTAATAATCAAATGGTTATCAAATAGTCATCAATTGGTCATCAATTTAATCATCAATTTAGTGATCAATTGATGCATCGATTAGTTGAGCGAATAAATAGTTGAAATGAAATACCGTTTGATTATTGGAGACAAACAATTGGTGCGTATTTTCAAACATTACAACAACAGAGACATCTATTATACAGTAATACACAACTCATACAACATATTGTGTAATAAATACATTAATATTTTAGTATCGTTTTAGTATATTATAGTAATTTCTAGTAAATATCTATTGTAATACAACATTGTATAATAATGAGACAATACATATATACTATACAAATGGGACCCTTATATACTGTATTAAACAATGATAATAATATTTAATTATTACTTGTAATCATAACAAAATTAACATAGAGATCCTATAGACAGAAATTTCTTTTAGAAACTTACTAGAAATTTCTCTTTTTTTGCCAACACTATTAAAATCACATAAATGTATGAATATATGTATTTAATTATAACTTAATAGCCCTGGGACTCAATTACAATAATAATAATTATTATTCTAAAATAACATATATTTTTAGTTTATTTTTTTGAAAATGGGTGTTCTTTACTTTAGGTCAAACATTGTTATCCCGCTCAACCTAACCTAACCTAACCTAACCTAACCTAACCTAACCTAACCTAACCTAACCTAACCTAACCTAACCTAAACTTAACTAATTTAACTAAAAATTATATACAAAAATAGTTATAGATTTAATAGCGAGACAATAATGTAGGACTTAAAGTAAAGAACACATACAAAAATAAATAAACTAAAAATATATATTATTTTTACATAAATGTATAAATTTGTTACAATATATTTTTAAAATATTAACAATTAAAATAATTTTTTTTCAATTATTGTGTTTATGTTTGTAAATGTTTCTATAAATTTGTAATCTTAAACAATAAAAAAATTATATATAATTATAATCAAAAATATTTTGTTGATAATGTACAGCAGTAATATAGTTTCTATTAATATTTATAATTGATTGTAATATAATTTGAAATTTTCTAATTATAGATTATATAAAAAACAAATTTTTATTTTATATTTAAAGACAATACTTTTAAAAAAAATAAATTACATACAAAACAAAATAACTTTATAAAATTTTATTTTATAAAACCACTTTATATAGACTATATTATTGTCACACATTTTATATAATAACAATACATATTGTATATTCAATATATGCATAAAATTAAAATATTATTAATGATTTAATATTATTAATATTTTATAAATTTAATAGTTATATTTATTATAGAATAATTCATATAACAATTTGAATAAAACAATAAGTAATAATCAAATATAATTTTGTCACGATTTTCTAATTCTATATTTTTTTTATTGATTACACTTTCTATAACTTTTATATTATATACGATTAAAATAATTATTGAACAAAAATGTATAATCAAGGTTATATGCCTTATAAAGTAAATGATACAAAGTGTTGGTTATTTTTATTACATATTTTAATAAAAACTTTGAAAGTGCTAATAAACAAACAAAAAATATCAATGATTTTTTAAAAGTAAAAAATATAATGCGTTATTAGATGATTTTATAGATATTTACTATAATACATATACAAATACAGTACTAATCTATTTTATCTTATAAAATGACAAATTTTGAATAAATAATATAATGAAATAAGTGCAAAATATATTATAAAAATAAAATAATTATAAAAAGATTACTAAATGATATTTAAGAAAATTATTGATTGCAACCTATGTTTGCAAAATTTGAAACTGTTGTCACACTTCTTAAACTTCGCGATCGTTCAAAAAGTGATGGATCAGTATATATGGGTTCACTCGGGTCTTCAAATTTATGATGAGATGCCATTGATTGTGTCGGTGGCAATGCATTTACATAAAAGTTGCCATTTGTTTGTTTTGGTTTTAGTATATCAACTGATTTTGTCTAAAAATGATAATTTTATTAATATTTTTGAAATATTACTAAAAATATCGAATTTACCTCAGATTTGCTTCTTTTAAAGTAAACAAGAGCTGCGGTTCCACTTATGATCATTAAAATAGAAGTCAATATAGTAAGGACAGTGACCAACATATAATAGCCCGTATGCGGGACACAAATTTTTGATGAAACAGTTAACGGATTAATTTGAGGTTTACTTTCAGGAGGTGGTACGTCCTCTCTTGAAAGATAAACTCTAAGCAATTCGTGCACTTCATCAGCTTCTTCGGTGAAATTGCTTTTAATTGTAGATTCCTTTGTAGAATTGACTGACCTCTTGCGTCTACCCCATGATGGGAAAGATCCCGACCCCCTTCCTCTATCATTGCAAATTACCTAAAAATATATTTACACTAAAAAAAGGCTTATAACCAAAATTATATAAATGCAAACCGGTTCACAGGGACCTCTACAGGTGCGTACAGTTGCTTGAAATACAAGAAAATTTGAATCTGGAATCTTAAAAGCATAGAATTCTGCTTCGAGGGCACCGTCTGGTGTCTTATGTAATTCTGGGAATACATACAAGTCGACTGGGCATCTATAATAATAATAATAATAATAATAATAATAATAATAATAATAATTGTTATTAAAATAATTGAATTATAAAATAAATAACAACTGATACCCTTTGGAGTCAACCAAATGCACCTGTCGACCGGTATAGGGATCTTTTGCTATGACATTTGCAGCAAATATATCATTGTTATATAAGTCATATCGATCTGATATGAAATTAAAATTCAATAGATTTTAGTATAATTATATGTTTTCATATACTGTACATACATTGCGATCGGGCTTCCAAACGGAAAGTAAGTAAGTCTCCCACAACTATAGTATTAGTAGGCGTTCCTCTATATAGAACTCTAAGCACAACATTAGAAGTGAGAATATTCTGTGCGGGCAAGTGTTCAATTTGGGTCGGATGTCGACTATAATTTCAATGATAATTAAAAACTGTATATAAAAAGATGATAATTAATGATTAAGATTACAAACCCATCCGTTTTAGTGTCCAAATAGTTAGAAGTGACCACTGCTTCTCCGGGTCCCGAGAAAAAACATGTTAGATTGTACTTCTTGTCTCTACTGGTCTGTACATAATCATTGAACTGAACGACCACAATGTTGGTCATGGCATCACCGTATTGTTGAGTACCACAACGTGGAAACCCATTAGCCCGACTTATTCTCAATAGACTAGTTGTACCTCCATTTCCGTCATAAAAACACGAATCATAGAACCCATAGGTATATATGCGGCCATAAAATGATTCAGAAGTTCGTAAACTGAATTCCATGCCTTCCGGAGTACAGGTTTGAGTTACTTCCATACAGTCAGCACTAGTTGTTGGTCCGCCCGGAGCTGTAGCTATGTCTGAACGCTCGTAATAATCATATTGAGAGTTATGTTCAAAATAGGTTGGGTTATCGTATTTGAATTCTTTTGAGTCGAAATGACTGAGTTCACAGTTGTCCGGAAAAAATGCCCGAAAATTAAATGATTTACAAACAAAATCTCTGGTCTCAGTACAGGCCCGCTCACAGTCTTCAAGTTTATCCGCCCGAACAACTTTGAACACATATTGACTTCGAAGACGAGAACTAAATCCAATTCGTGAAAAACGAGCCGTAACTGGAGGTCCGACACTCGAAACTGATGAATATTTACACAAATCTGTTCCTTTTTGTGGTGGATATGGAGCCTGAATTGAATTATAAGAACCACCAGATCCTACATTGTAAGGAATTCCATAGGTTGGTGGCATTTGAGATGATTGTCCAGAAATACTACCAGATCCCGATCCACTAGCACTACCACCAATTGTACTAATAGGATGGCTTGTATGTGTCATCATATTTTGACTGAATGAACCATAAGGTGGTACACCATATCCCGGGTATCGATTAGGTGACGCATAATTTGATGTAAATCCTCTTCTAGATGTATAACCTCCCGGTCCATACTCATCATAACTAAAGCCTCCTCTATGATGATCTCTTCCTTGATAACCATTATTCCACGGTTGATATGTTCCACCAGTTCCACCATATATTGCTTCAGGACTGGCAATACCGGGAGCACCGCTATGAAAGCCTGCTCTTTGTTCATATAAATGACTGGCATAACTGTGCGGATATATACCACTTCCGCTTCGATCTATATAATTATATTCATAATAGCATTAAATTATCAATTTTTAAAAAATATTATTATTAATAAAAAATTACAAATATTTTGGCATATTATTTGTAATAAAATGCATGCTTTATATAAAACTAATTTAATTACAAATTAGTATTTCATTGTTATGTAATTGCAAACCATTTAAATAAGTTCAATGACAGCAAACATTAATTAATTGATATTCAAAATTTTAAAACATTTATAAATAAATTGATTTTAAATATAATATATTCCAGTGATTAATAGTGTATTATTCTGTACAATACATAAAAACATTAAATAATTGTTAAATTCTTGTTCATATTCTTATTATATATAATATTCTAATTTTATAAAACAGAATATTATGTTTAACTGGTTTATACAGTAAGTACAGTATATTAAGTTAAATATAAAACTTATAAATAACATGCTATTATCACTTTTAAAGTAGATTAATGTATAATTAGCAAATTTTTAGCAAACAAAATATTTTTAAAAATTTCATTAAATAGTAATCATTAATTCAATACTATTAAATACATTCAATATTATGTTAATTATCTGTTAGTATTCCATACAATTAGTGATCAGTGCTGTTGTACCTGAAATGGACACTAATAAAACTTACACCAAATAAACTTATAAAAGTCAAAATTATTGTCGTCAACCAAATTTGATTCATTAGTTTCTATGCCATTAAAAGTACTGAATCGACACATCCTTTTGAGTGATGAATATTCCACTGAACGACAACTACTTCTGAATCTTTGCATACATTCGTGAAGACAATCAAAGAAACTGTAAACTCCTATCTCTACCTCATGTCGACCTTTAAGTCGTTTACTACGATAACACTTAAGAGTTGCATTTTGTAGGGACTCATCTGAATATACTAATTATGTTATAGTTTTTATCATATTTTTGATATTTTGTACAACGCTTTGACAAAACTTAATTTAATAAATAAAAAGATAATATAATATATAATATTAAATGCTTACCTTTTTCATCACTTGCGCACAAAAATCTGTACAAATTAGCAGCAGAAGGCTTTAATTGTCTGGTTTTATATTGATTTTGAGAGGAATCAGTTGATGTGATCTCTTCATAAGAAAGTGGGTCCTCATCGTAGAGAATACATGTCTGTCCCGTTTCATCAAAAGCAAAGGCTCGACAAAGAAATCCATTTTTATCCAAACTCTCGAAGCAAGCATTGGAGCACTCATTGAATTCATTGGCTGTGATAAGTGTCCGCTCATATATCGCATCCAATTGTTTGGCTGTTTCCAGAATAAATGCACTCCAAGAGCACATTTCAGATCCTTTAATCAATTTATTTATAAATTTTGTTATTTATTAAAAACAATTAAGTTATCATTTTTTGTCACATACTTTGAATGCACATATTTTCCAAATAATCAGAGTTAGGGTCGACTTTGAAATTTTGGGGATTTATATAACGTGTTTCAGTACTTAATCGACATTTACTTGTTTTTCTGTTATAAGAAGCACTTCTACAAACAAATGTCATTTCGTTAAGACATTTATCTTCACATTCGGTCCTATTTTTTGTGGTAAACTCTTTGTCGTCACTCATTTGCAATTTATATCCGGGTATTCTCTCAAATATATAGAGACGATTAGGACATTGAGTGCTAACTTTAGCTGCTGTTATATATAAGTATTTAAATTGATTAACTAATATAAACACTAAAATACTATTGAAATGAATATCAATTACATGTGAGACAAACTTCATTGTAATGCCAATAGTTTTCTTCTTTGACCAAAGTTTCTTCGCCATCAGGACTTCCCCTATCATTATATAGAGTACAACTGGAGGTTTCGTATTCAGCACTAATATTAGGGATAATGTCTTTTGATGGCAATATTGAATTCTGTTAATATTATAAGTGTTTCATTTGATTATTACAGTATAATATGTTAAACAAATACAATTCATACAGATTGAGGATTTTTGAAAGGACTGGACCGCCGCCGACCCGGAGAAAAGTCAAACGACAAGCAATTAGCTATTGTGGTCAGTCTATCCTCTTGACACCGACGTATACATTCTTCTAACACTTTAATTGGTTCATCATTTTTTGTTATCTAAATTAATTTCATACTTGATTTAAACAATATTTTCAATTATTATCAATTTATTTATTGATTACCACTTCTTTGGTTATTTGATTTGTTCCAAAGCCTACGTTACCATTGAGTTTGTAATCTACAACTTTCTCATAAACCAATTTTCCTAATCCATTGTTACAACTTTGGGCTATTTGTATAAATTTAATATTTTATAACTAATAATATATTATAATGCATATAATAGTAATTATATAGTATCATAGTTTTCAATAATAATATTTGTATTTCATAAAAGCTTTTACTAAACATTTAATGTAAATCTAAGAGCTGTAGATTTCTTTGTAAATAAAATAGTATTTTCTATTTATTTATTATAACTGTATTTTTTAAATTGTGATTAAATTTATATAATTTAAACATTTTGTTTTGTTTTGCAAAATTTGTTTAAATAAAATGAAAAGTTATTAATATTCTTTTATAAAAATTAAACAATTGAATAAATAAATAATTTATTTACCATTTATTATTTACCATAAAATAATTTATTTTAAATAAAATTATAATAATAAGAGCACTAAATAATAAATAAAACAAATTTATTGGCCTTCAGTTTCATTGAATTGTTTGTGTAAAATGAGGAACTTTTTATAAATCATAAATTTATGCAAAAAATTGTTTCTCTTTTATTATGATTTACAAAATATCAAACTATCCTTCAATTTAAAAATTTTTTTAGATCGTGATAAAAATTATATATTATAAAATTAATTATTTAATAAAATATAATAATAATTTATTAGGATACTGGTAAATTAAAAAATTAAAATAAATATAATTTGTCTACAATACAATACAATTTTATATGTTAAATTATTAAACAAATCAATATTTAAATATTTAAAAAATAGTAATGACTGGCAATTTATATACTTTAAATATTTACAATTTAGAAAACAAATTAATATTTAAATTTTGTGATTAGTTTAGACATACCTTCTGTAAGTATTCTTAAAGCTGCCAGAAATGAGACGAGTGGTACCATTGCTATAAATTTAAACATCGTCTCAATAAACACCTAATAATTTAAATATAGAAAATACTTTTTGAGAATTTGCATATATTTAGCACTAAAACATATTAATGTTTTATTTACATATTATCGATAAGTAATAATGATATTAAATAACATATTTACAAAAATATTTTAATAAACATAACAAAATTTAAAATAATTTTTTGAAATCCAAAAATAACTGAAACACTGGTTGATATGAAAATAAGAGAACAGTTAACTAAATACTGAACCAATTGTGATGATGTGACAAAACATATATGGATTTTAAAAACTACTAAATGAAACAAATTGTACTAAAAATGAAAAATTTATTCGTTTGGATGAGTTTTCATAAATAGTGGCTAAATATGAACGGCTATGCAATTCCGCAATTGATATAATAGACTTCCCTTTAGACCGGATGGACGGCCGATGCCCACAAGTCTTTGTCATAAAAGTCAATTTATTTTATGAGTTAAATTTTTTACATTATTCTTTAAATATTAATTAATAGTATTTTTAAATAATCTGTAATATATCTCTCAATATTATTGATTTGATTAACTTATAATTCTAAAGAATCTATATATTAAAGCAAGAATTTAAACACTAGAAGATATAAACGTTTAACTATTCAATAATTCCAAATAAATTTATTGATTATTAATAAAATAAATTACTTTTATCAATACTATCAAAATTTCATCTGTATATGAAAAATTTGGTTGCAATTAAATTGTGTTTTAATTATTTATCTAATTATATTGAGTCATTACAGTAGATCAATATGTAATATAATTATGTAATACTTGAGTTTGTTGTGTAAAGCATTATTTATCTTTAATTAATTTTGAAATTTTTGCAGTCCATAAGTTCATTATTTATTAAAAATGTTTATTATTTTGATATTAGTATTTGTGCCAATTCTATCATTATTATAATAATAGATATAATAAATTATTTATAAAAATTGCAATTTCAATGTTAAGTTTATATATTTAATACTATAATATAATGTATATATTTAGCAACAAAAAGTGCTCAATTGAATGCAAAATAGTGTATTTACACGTTTTTAACAGTATTTTACTTGTATATATTTTTTTAATGTACATTAAATTTATATATTATACCGGTATATTTTGTATAAAATTATAATAGTTATTGACATACATTGTATAATATTTATTGACAAATCTTTTGAATAGCAAACAATACAATAATGTTTGTCCGCATAGTTTTGTCAAATATTTCCTGTTTAGAGGTTATTAACATAAAACTGTATTAAGATTATTATTATTATAACTATTATTTATTAACTTTTAATAGTAAATTCATAGTAATACTGTATTTAATTTTAAATAAGTTACTTTATTTTTGTAATTACAATAGATATTGGATACTTTAGAACATTAATTTTAATATCTTAACAATTAATATCTTATTTATTTAAATTATATAATAGCAATAATGTACTGTAAATTTAAATATTTATATATACAGTATATAAAGTATAAATATACTATTTTCAGATTTTTTTATTAACATAAATATAACATATATATTAATATACTTTTTATTTATAAATAAATTTATATATATTTAACAAACAAAATTAATTAATATTAAACTAATTATAAATTAATTAATATTAAACTAATTATAAATATATATATATGTATATGTAAAAATTTAACAAAAAAAACAATTATGTAATATTCAATTGGCATTATTAGATTGGAGACTAGTATTGATATTATTTGACAATAAAATTTCTGGAAATAAATGTTTAAGAATAATATCAAAAATAATATATAATAATTGTTTGTTAAGCAGCGGGTATTGAAATATAGAGTAAAACAAATAAACCACTTCTTCGTGTTTGTCTTTACCCAATACATTAACAATAAGCCATTTTGGAACAAATTCTTTGGCATATTTTAAAGTCATTTGAGATCTTTGTTTCTTCTGTTGGCTCGTTCTCTGTGGTAAATGACTCTCAAAATATAATGAATTCCTTAATATGAAAATCAAATTAACAATACGTTGTGGTATAAGTAATGAGTTTTTTAGTTTCCACTTTAAATACCATTCACTAAATGATTGGATTGTTTTTCGTAAAACTGGTCTCAAAGTAAACAATATTTTTAAAATAAATTCATTAATGTTATAAAATCGCATTAATAAAAATAAAAGATAATCATAAACATAAAACAACTGAGAGTGAACTCTTTTGGGATCAATTTCTGAATTAAAATGTTGCTCAGATTCTTTCCATTGATCCATGAATTGGTAAAGAGGTCTATGAAGATTAGTCATTGCAAACTCATGAGGAGAATATTCCAATAACTCAGAGATGTCATTCTGTAATGGTTTTGGTTTGATTTGTTCAGTCGATGCTATAAATGATTGAAGAAATGGTTCTAAATGTTGTCCCCTTTCTTTAGCAAACTTTGCCGGAACCGTTCGAATCATTTTTCCAAATCTGATGTCAGAAAGAAATCCAGTGGTAAATTCTTCTTCAGATTTAAGAAAATTATAGACGAGTTCACTGCCTTTAAGGTGAGAACTGGACATAAGTTGTTGAATAAATTTTTCCATTTCAGGTCTTCGAGACTCCATAAATGGTTTGTTTAGTTTGATGAACGATCGCTTCGGTGGTAAACAAATCTCACTCAGATTCTCGCCGTGAAATTCCTTAAGTTTTGATTCGAGTACATAAAACTCATTATATCTGCGCTCAACAGTCCAACTCATGTCAATCTCTTTTTCACATAAATCAAGTCTTTGAATGTTAATTAAGAAGACATCATATTCCCGACCATTCGTGGAATCAATTCGAGAAATAACTTTAGGAACGGATACTCTCCAAGAACTTATGTCTTTAATTCTGTCGGCATTAGAGAACTCTGTCCAACCATTTATTTCAGCTCTTATTTGTGATGAACTATCATATTCTTGTGTTATTTGATTGAATACATCATCTAAAGAGTCTTGACTACCATCGAAACGGTTATACCATGAAATAGAGTCACTACTAACTGAATGTGAATCCAATGTTTTGGTTATATTCTTGACTTTATTAGGACTTAGACCTTCAAAGCTAGTCCATCGTTGACCACAAATTAATTTAAAATAAAGATCACTTTCAAGAAATAGTTGACAATAATGTGTTTCTAACAAATTATAGATATAATCGTATGCGTGATATAAGGGTTCAGTAGTTCGCAAGCGTTCAACATCTTCTGGTTTTCCATCGATTACAGACTTAAATCCATTATAGATATAATCACTAAATTTAATATAATCCATACTATTTGGAAGAAAATATAAATTAAATATATTTATGGCTTCAATGTGAAGACTTTTTAGCTGTTCTTCATTTAAGTCAGGATTAAGTATTCTTTGACTAAAAGAATTGATATGAAGTATAAATTGAACCAAATTTATGAATCCTTCCTCTTTAGAGAACTGTTGGAACAAAAACAATAACTGTTGGTCTGAAAGAATACGTTTCAAATCAATGCCCAAATTGTTTGACACAAGTTTGCCATCGTTTTCACCGACAAATGTATCCAATATTTCGACCATATTTTCACAATTATTTCTGTTATAATTGACTGCCGACTCGTTTTTGTCAAATAATATAATAAATAATTCATTGATTTTGTCGGGATCTCCACATATATCCATCATTGGTAACAATACGGAACAAGCAATTACTTCTTTAAAGAAACAGTCGACGACTTTACAGTTCATATACTTCGGTGGCAATAAATGCGGCAGAATTTTGTCGACAATTGACTGCAAATATTTTATTTCCTCTTCTCTGCTATTCATTGCCGGATGAATCATATGTCTGTATTCTCGAAGAACTGATTCTTCAATACATTGAGCATTTCTGGCACACCTTTTGCCGGCCATATATGTCTCTAAATGATGGCACAAAACTCTTGGCAACTCTTCTAATAAAATATCACTAATATTGACATTAAGTGAACGGCGAATAATTGCGGCCAACAATGTCCTCAATATATGTCTTAACTGGACATTCAATTGCTTAACATTGATAGAGATGTCATCTAAATAAAGGTTAACAAAGCGGTTGAGTGTCAGCTCTAATATCTCATCGATGGACTCATCGATCTTCTTGTCGATCATAAGTCCTTTAAATGGCTTTACATTTACTGAAAGTCTTGAGTCATGTCTCTCGCAACTGATATCACCACAAATAAGACAAATATGTGATGTCTTCGAGAGTTTTGCGATCAAATTCTTGCAAATATTTTCACTGATATTATCACAACTGTTGAGCCATACATTTGCCAAATCAGATGACTTCTTGACTAATGACTGAATGGATAGAAAACCAATTGAAAACATCACTATTAAGACAAATGATGTCCAAAATCCCATCAAAACTATGTTTAAGATAACAATCACTACTATTATCGACAATATTGTCAACAAAATTGTCTCAAATTTCGATCTCTTCATCGTTTGCTTTAAACAATGATTTATAAGTTAATAATTAATAAATAAATAAACTTTTAAAATATTAAATCATTTATATTATAATCATATGTTTTAACAATTTATTAGTAAATCAAATATTTAATTAATAAATAAGGCATCGAATCAATGCTATCAACATATAATGTACGTTATGTACAGTACATGTTATTTACAGTTACTATATTACAGTATCAAATGATTATATTCCTAAAAAGCAATTCCCTCTTTAATATTCCCTTTACTTTTCCCGCATTAGGCGTGGTTCACATATTACGTTCGCACTTTTTAAGAAATCTAGACCCCTCCCTCCCCTATGTTCGCAATTGTTCGCATGTAATCGTTAAAAAAAAATTACGTTCGCATGTCCCTAACCGCTACCCCCCACCCCCTCCACCACAAGAAATAAAATATCTAAATGCGAACGTTCTTAAAGTCTCTACCCCTCCCCTCCCATCGTTCGCAAAAGTTCGCTTTGGCTAACCCCCCCCCCCCCCATCCCCTCAAGTGCGAACGTAATATGTGAACAACGCCTTATAAAGAAAATAATAATATAATAACAAAATGTTATTATAATATAATCCTTTTATAAATGTCTTTCAAAAAAGTTGATGTTTAAAGCAATCTTTTGAATCAAAATTCATAAACAATACTTAAGATAATGTAAAATAAGTGGCAGATCTGCACTTTAACACCACCTAATAAAATGACTATTTTTCATAAAACCATTCAAAACAGTTTAAAATTCTATATTTTATCAATAATAAAAAATTGCGGAAATAATAATTTAAATTAAATTTGTTAACATTTTCAAGTTTTAATGTAAAAGTTCTATTATATATTAGAGGTTTTATTTATTTAATATCTGTTACATAAATAAGCAAATACTCTCTCTCTCTCTCAAACATCTATAATGATTATAATTAATATTATGTAAATTTTGTATAAAATAATTATTAGATATTAATTCTTCAATTATAATAATGAATTTTTTAATTACACAATTTAATTTATTAGCCATCAAATTTGAATTTAATTGATAAATAAACACAAATAATTAGATAGATAATATACATATGTAGTACATATGTATAATAACAGCGTTAAGTAAGGGTAGGAAGTAAGGCCAAAATACGCCCCTAAGATCGAGAAATTGGGATTTTACCCCCCCATATTTTTTGACCAAATTTGAAAAATTGTCGCTTAAAAACGACGAGATATGACCCCCCCCCAAATTTCGGCGCCAAGACGCCGAAAATGTTTTGAGATTTATAAAAATTTTAATTTTAGTGATACTATTTTAGTAAGTGTTTTTATGTTTTTTAAATTTATATGAATCTAATTATTGGTTAAAAATAAGTAAAAACGTTAAAATAACGTTAAAACTCATATAAAAATAACATAATTTTAATTAAAATATTAAACTAAAAAATTAAAAATTACCTATTTGTTGAAAAGAGTAATCATATTACAATTTAAATATAAGTTTAAGATAGTTTAAGAAGTTATTAAAACAATAAATACTTATATTTCAAGTTTTTTATTAATAATTTTTAAAATTTTAACTAAAATATTTTTAAAAATTTCAATTTTATAATTAGTTTTGTCAGTATTTATATAAAAATAACATTAAAAAATAAAAATATATATCTATAAACTATAAACATTAAACATTTAAAAAATTAAAAATTTTAAAAGTTAAAAATTTCTAAAATACTAAAAAACTCATAGTGTATCATTAATGCTTTTATCTATTTTTGAGTATTAAATACATTATTATTTTATTTTTTGTTAAAATTTAAGTTTTTATTAATTTTTAAGTTTTTTTTGTATTTTTGGAAATTTTACCTATTTTCCTGGGAATTTATACGGGAACTTATGGGAACTTTATCAAATTTACATGGGAATATTCGGGAATTTAAGGGAATATTAGGGAATTTTCTCTTGACCCCCCTTGATTTTGGATTTTTGAAAAAATTGTCGTTTAAAAATGCAATAAAAATCTTACCCCACCCAATACCCCCCCCCCCCCCCCCCCCCCCCCCCCCCGAGAATTTTGTAGAATTTACCCCGGTCTACCCCCCCTAAAATCCAAAACCTTGCTTAACCCTGATATAATAAATATACGGATTGGTAATATATTAATTGGAAAGATACTAATATTTGTATTAGTATTTAAAAAATTGTTGGACAGTAATAATAACAAACAGTAAAAATAATAACAATTCATAATATATTTCTATAAATTTAATTTAAAGTCCAATAACTGACAGTTTGTCAACAATTTATAAAAGTAATTACAAGTAACGGTAATTATTAATTGAAATTTAAGATTAACTACTGTATAGCATATTATACAATATAAACTTATTGTAATAATAATACACAGTATAGTAATTTAATGCAAAAGGTTAATATAATGTAGTCTACATATAGTATATATTATATAATATATAATATAGCATTAGAGTACATTAAATAGTTGTTAAATAATATATATTACCAATTGTTAAGTGTTAACTGTACTGTAAGTTATTTATTTGATATTATTTTTTCCAGAAATGCTTATTTTCATGTGATTTTACGCATAATATGCAAATAAATTTACAATTAATCAATCACTTAATGCTTTGACGATTACATTGTAGTAAATAAAAATATTGAGTTTTAGATGACAGATGAAAAAATAGTTATTAATTATCATTATATACTGTATTATAATCACAATTGACAATAATTGTTGAAACATTTGTACAGTATTAGGAAATTATTAATATTAATATATAATTACTGTTACCTTTAATGACAATTTGCAAAACACCATACAATAGATGGAATCAATAAAGTTATGATTTCAAGTATTAATTACTGTAAATATCAAACATTTGATAATAATTTCATTTCAATAAATAAATAAATAAAAACACCGTATTTGTAATGCTCTGATATATTTATAAATCAATAAAAATTATAAAATTATAATTTAAAAAATTAATTAAAATAAAATATAAACAAATAAATAAATTAATTTTAAAAATATAAAAACCAATATAAATCAATTGATTATAAATGAACTAAAAATTTTTATAACGATTTTTCAATTATTTAAAAAATTATATAATATATATTAAAAGTTATAATCATTATTAGCATAATTAAAAATCGGACAATTAAAAAACATAGCCATTTTATATTAACTGATATTGCAGTTACAGCACAACAATAATATATTTTAAATTTATATATATATATTATTTTTATATTTATATTATATAATAATAATAATAATATATTTATATTTACTTTTTTGTTCACAAAAATATAAGAATTAATAAAATTTAGAATTTACTGTAAAATCAAATATAACACGATTTATAATATTAATAATTATAATTATAGTAATATTTAGAATTTGATAAACAGGTAACCAATTAAAACAACTGTTAATTAGTTGTCGGATAGTAGTTGTTGTATAAGAACAGCAACAATGAGAGCAAAGAGAGTGAACAACAAAAGAAGAAGTATTGCACACCTCTGGTCTGAACTGATGGTCGGTTCGCTTTTCTCAGTGTTTGTCGAATTCGAGTTTTGTTGCAAATGCTGTTGTTGTTGAAGAAGAAGCTGCTGTTGATGAATCTGTTGCTGTTGTTGTTGGATCTGTTGTTGAAGTATCTCTCGGCGACTCTTTTTGTTGTATTTATTATTGATAGGTTGTTGTTCAGGTGTAGTAATGGTGAGTACATTACTGACAACCAGATGCTCTTCACAAGTTGTGCGCACTCTAAATGAATATTGTTGTTGAGATGTCAGATGTGAAATACGACAATTGTTTGAGTGGCCCTGATATACAACCCGAAAACTGGTTCCGTTTGGCTGACTTCCCGATACCGGTTCATTTTCTGCGGCCGTCCACTTATTGGGTAACATTTCCACAACAAAGTGTTTGGCGTAGAGATTGTCTCCTGAAGAATGTGGTTCAGTGTGTGTCCACTTTAACTTTACTGTATTGGCAGTTAATGAAGTATAGGTTAGATTTAGAAGTTCCAGTTGAGGCAGTAAATGCTTGGGAGACCTCTGCGGTGTTATCTGTGTTGGCACCACATTATCAGTTACTAATTTATTACTATTATCCAAATCTTCATTTTCGTCATCACTTAATTTACTAATACTTTCTTTAGTGTGGTTCTCATCGGACGACAATTCATGATTTTCATCGATTTCCATCACTTCTTTGTCAACTTCAGATTTGTTTAAATCATTTTCATTTTGATTAATACTATCATTTAATAAGTCTGTGAACAGATTAGTCTGTAATCTATTGAAAGACTGTTCATTTGACTCATTCTTGAGATTGACATCGTGTTGATTGTCTTGCATTACATTTGATATGCAAGAGTTGGTTTCAATTTCATTCAGAGTATTACTATTCCTAATGTTAATCAAGTTTTTATCGTTGGTTTGTTCACTAACTTCATTACAATCTTCTTCAGACTTGTTGTCATTTAATTCGTTACTAAGAGATTCTTCGTGTGATTCATGTGTTTGACACCTAAATTGTTCTTTCAATCGCAACGTTTCAATTTCATTATCATTTCTTTTGTTTAATAAATTATTATCAAAATCTAATTTGTTTTGATTGTTATATTTATTGGCTAAATCTTTTTGTTCGTTTATTCCATGGCTTTCAACTTCTTCTTCGTCTTCATCTTCTTCAACAATATCCTCATTAATATTGTTAGAAACTCTGGAATCATTGGAAGAGAGATTGATTTCCAAAAGAATTGGTTTGTCTGAAGATTCGAAATGCGAACAATTGTCGATTGAATGATTCAATTGATGATTTTGATGATTATGCTCATCCAGTCTTGTATAGGAGAATGGAGGGGCAGGTCGTGGAGCTGATAGAATCGGACCATTGCTTTCAATAAGTTCTTTATCATTAATACTGTGAGCAATCATTTGCTTGTTAACCGTATTAAACGTTTTGTTTATAGCATTTTTTGAGTCCGAAAAAGACAGACAATCGGTTTCATTTTGAGCCATTCTTCCGACAACAACTCGATTAGTATTGAATTCATACGGTTTACTATCAGGTGTCGTCAGTTTGTTATTAGAAAAGCTAACTTTCGTGACCCCATCCACAGAAGCACCGGGTGTTGCGTTCAATTTGTGCCGAATCGGAGACTTTCCAATTGAATTGTTGTTCAGATAGGTTTGCGCCGATCGTTTAACCGCCGGAGAATAAGTTCTGTTAGAAAACGAATGATTTCTACGAGTGGTTTGTGTCGGAAAAGTTAATATATTGTGTCGTAATGACTGAGGGGGTGGTGGCGGCGGTAATGGCTGTGGCATTGGTGCTGTCTGTGGAGTCCCCATACAACTATAACTACAACAACAACAATATGGAAACGGCTGGTTATTAGATGGTTGTTGTTGGTGTTGTTGAGGCATAATTGCATTGTTTGGTGTATTACTGTTGCCATTTGGATGCGCTGATAGGATTATTTGTCGAAGTTGTCCATTTTCATCAACTATTTGTTGTATCATATGTCCTGGGGGTACCTATAGTCAAAGTTAGAAAACTTGTTAATAATTGAATTGAATTTTTAATTAGTGTGTTATGATTATTTAATTTTAGTACTAAATATTAATAGTAATATATTAAAGTTAAATATTATGAAATATAGGACATAGTGTCGATGACTAGACATTGTAGCACACAGTATAAGCTTGTAATGTAAACTACATGTTATGCCTCAATGAGTGCATTGAAGTGGCATTTAATAAGTTATATGTAAACATCAAATCAGTATTATTTTTATGATATATTATATAATATAATATACGGTATTAATTAATAAGACAATAATATAGTAATACCTGAACTGGCATTGGGATGGGAGGGAATGTATGCTGAGATATCATTGTGATAGTAGCCGGTCCTCGAAGTACAGTCTCATTGCCATCAAAAAGTTGTATTGAAACGGATTCGCCTATTAATCGGTTGATTACATTAATAAAAATAATAATAATTGATAGATAAGTGAAATTGTCAATCGATATAACAAGTGTTGAAATGAGGCCAAACTTACCCGGATTTACGTGTAAATCGACGAAATAAGGCGGACCTGACAGAGATGACAGTCCCGTCAATGGAGTGGCCGTCGAGTTCAACATTTTTTTCATATATTTTGCTGATTATCGATACCATATGACCATCAATTGTGTCGATTGTCTTAATTGTCAATTTCACCAATTCATCTAAACATTTGTTAAGTTTGTATTTAATATCAACATATTATGTATTAATGGAAATATTATGAGAAACTAATAATAAAATTAGACACCAAATAACTCATATAATTTATATAATATAAAACAAGTAATCACTTGAAATATGTTAAAAGTTAACATTAGTTTCACACAAATCAAACATAACTATAGCTTAGCTTTTACTATAAAGCCCTCAAATGTTATCATTTATTTGATATATATTTTCTACATATTTATTATTATTATTACCATTTCCTCAATTAATTAAAAAACATTTGCATTGCTTTTGATTTGATCACAGATATAGCTAAAACATAACATGTTATATAAGTTAATAAATGCCAAACAAAAATATCATAAATAGTTATATAATTAAAACAAAAGCTTTTAATAATCAATGTTTTTATAGTGATTGGCATCTGATTAGTGATATATGAGTCTAATTAGTTGTTATATAAATAGTAATATTAATACAATTATTATTATTAAATGACAGGAAGTTATTATAACAGCTGTTGCGCTAATAATCATATGAATACATCAAAACACATATTACAGTGATTACCACTTTATGACAGTTATGGACAACACTTACTTGACTTATATGACCAATCAATCACATGATTGAAACCATCAACACAACAGACATCACCACAATTGGTCACTAAATGTTATAAATGTCACTCAAATCAGTACTCAACTGATCACTCAATCATTGAATACAACAAAACATATCATCAAATACTGTAGACTTCAAAATGTCAAACACTTAACACATACAACACTACACATACACTACATATACATTGACTGCATTGTAGTGCAGACGTGGCATACATTCACTACATCTACACTAATATATACTAATATATTATATATTTATATTACATATCATTTCCAACAAATACGTCTATATATCACATACTCTATAATATTATGTAATCATACGCCCAATAATTGCATGCTTTCATGCAATACATATACTGTACATATAGTCTAATACATACATACATTACATGTGGCTAAACATGACAACAGTCATGACAATTGTCACAATGTTTTCAATGTTTACATTTGATTCATTCAATAGTTTATGTGATAACTTGACATTTAACTAATTAATGTCATTTAAAATATATTTATCATATAATCATACTATACATACACACAGTGATGTCAATGTGTTGTTTAAATAATAGGTCCAAAAATTGATAGACTTTTTTAATAAGTGATCCGAGATTTAGTAAATTTGTATTTATAAATATATATATATGATATACCAAATAATTATAGACTTTATAAAATTTATAAGTTTATATGTAACTAAAATTTAAATGTTTAATTGTTATATTTTTCAATAATTAATTAAACATTTATTTTACAACTATCCAATGTATATAATTACTTTTAATTTAAGCGATATGTTATTTTTAGTTAATTTAAAATTGAAACTTTAAAATTGCATATTTATTTTGACAAATATTATATTGTTTTGAATAACTTTGCTATTAAAGTATATCTTATCATTTGTATTGTATATAAATAAATAATTTATAGTATAAATACTACTGTATTATAATTTTGTATTACCGGTACTAAAAATTATACTCTATTTGTGATTTGTTTTTTATATTATACTGTATAATGTACTTAATAAATGTTATGATAATTTTTTATTATTAAAAGATACATTTTTTATGCGACTGTCTTATCTATTTTGATCTCTATTATAAATTAACTAATTTTATAAATTGATACAATAAATTAGTTACACATTAGTATAATATATAATACATATATTTAATTTTTATGTTAATAAACATTACCGTAATGTTTAAATAAGTTTATGAATAATGATTTTCAATAATTGTAAGAAATTAACCATTTTATTATTCAACTTTAATTAACGGTTAAATGTTGATTAATTCCCCTGAAATGGAGATACATATGTAAGTAATGGTGAATAATGCGAGTTTTTACCATATGAAAAATATATTTTGTGACTAAATTTTAATTTCCCCCTATTTTTATAGAGTATTTGGACGTCTCTAATCGTTCCAAACCCTTTGAATATGCTATTTATTTACCGATTTATAATATGTAAAAATACTATAAACGTATACAAATGTCATTCATTGCTAAACGCTGTTATAACTAATTAACTATCGGTAAGTTATATAAATATACCGTTTTTAATAATTACCATTAAATATCGGTCATTACAATTCCCTATTCCCCATTTTTTGCTTTCCCCACACCCTCGTTTAATTTACGAGGGGTGGTAGTGTTTTTTACCATTAAGTAAGGAAATACGGTACGTGTAAATTTATGGTATCATATGTTTGATAAAGTTTTTACAAATCGTATAAAACCATTATTTTAAGATATAATTACACAAATAATATAATTTAATGAAATCAATTTAAATCAAAAAAGTTTATTTATTTCAATCAAATTTAGCAATAATTCAAAATTTTTGAAACGATTTCTTAGCGCTCGCAGATTTGGTCACTTTAAGGACATTGAAGCGAACTGTTTTACTCAGTGGTCTACACTCTCCAACTGTAACCCAATCGCCCAGAGCTACGTCTCTGTTATATTTTAAAAAAAATCAATTAATATTAATCGATAAAACATTTAATAAAATTAAAATAAAACATTAAAAAGCGTTATTAATATTATCTCTGAGTAAACAGTAGTCGACAAAATCAATTACATTACCTAAAACATGGAGACAAATGAACGGACATATTTCGGTGTCGTTTCTCAAAACGGTTGTATTTCTTGATGAAGTGCAGGTAATCTCTTCTGATAACAACAGTCCTCTGCATCTTCATCTTAATCACCACTCCTCGCAATATACGCCCTCTGATGGCAACATTGCCAGTAAATGGACACTTCTTGTCAATATAAGAACCTTCGATGGCCTGATATAACAAAAATATAGACATTTTATAATTGCAATCAAATCTTTTCACTTTACTTCTCGTGGAGTTTTGAATCCGAGGCCAACATTACGGATGTATCTCAAAGTCTTTCTGACTTTTTGTTTGCCGATCACTGGTTTTCTCACCAAATTGATGGTCGGCTGTCTTTGAAAAGCCCTTTCGGTCTGAAATTAATGTATAGATATATAAATATAAGTCATTAATCATTTATATAACCACTTAATCATCTCTTACCTGATCTGCCATTGATTACAGAAGTATCACCTAATGATAATCAAAGACCTCTTAATAACAATTAATTGTAATAACAGTTAAAAAATGTTGAAAACATACCAAAGGTTTTGTCAAAAAGGAAAAGGATATCAAAATCACTTCAACGCTATTCATAAACAACGTTACAATTATAATCATTAGACAATATTATAACTATTTATATAATATTTTCATTCATTTATTAAATAGTTTTCGTTTAAAATAACAATAACTTTCAAAATTAATGACACAATTACTAAATCTGACAATTTGTTTGTCACATATTTGTCATAATTTTTAGTATTTGCTTTCTGTAATTAAAACTCATTAAATGGTTTAAACTGTATCATAGGTTATAGTATACCAAACATCTAAAAACATTAATGCTTTGAAAGTTTATGCATTGAAATCTAGTTATAGGTATACATAAAATTGAATATATTTTATTAAAAATAGAGTGATTAACAAATGTTTTCAGTTATAGTGGAATAATATTTAAATATTTATTTAATTAAATGAATAATTAGTTAGACTATAGTGTTAAACAATATGTTGTATTGTACTGTACTGTACTGTATATACTGTATACTAAATCATATGTAATTGTATTGTAATAATAGTGTTATTGACTGTAGTGTTGTGTGGCGTACGTGAGTCTAAAGTAGTCTATAATATCATATGTATTGATATGAATGAGTGTTAAATCAATGTTATTGTATTGAAAACAGTTGAGACATATAGTGTGCAAAATGGCTGTCTATTACTCTATTACTCTATTACTTGAATTGTGTTTAATTGCAATCAATTTACATATGATTTAAACCATTCAACTATAACTACAATCACTTAAACTAATCAATCAATTAATTAATGAATTATCAAACTATTGTTATATCAGTTATTGATTGAATAGTATATCAATTGAATGATTGAGTGATTAAATAATTGTCTTGTTTTGCCACTCAAAGACATTTATCACTTAATTTTCTTTACTATTATCTTAAATGTTGTCAATTATTATGAATTTCTTGACATGTCTTGCAATTAAAGAGACCTTTTGGTAGCATTTTAATTGACTTTTGAATCATTTTTCAACCATAAGTTGTGACATATTTTGTTGAAATACTTGACTTATAATAACAATGGGTTTAACCGATAACTCGACGGCAATACCAAGGATTATGGTGTTTAGGCCAACCATTGAAGAAATGAAGGACTTCTCGAAGTACTTGGAGTATATGGAGAGTCAGGGCGCACACAAAGCTGGTCTCGCAAAGGTTACATCAATCAAACAAACAAAAACAAATGAATTAATTTATTAATTTGTTTTTTATATCATTTTATAGATCATACCTCCAGCCGAATGGAAACCACGAAAGAAAGGTTACGAAAACATTGATCTCATGATAAAAGCTCCGATTCAACAGGTGGTGACCGGAGGACAGGGACTCTATCAACAATACAATATTCAGAAGAAAGCTATGTCTGTAAAAGAGTTCAAAAAATTGGCCAATAGTTCCAAATATCAGACGCCTTCTTATTTTGATTACGAAGATTTGGAGCGCAAGTATTGGAAGAACGTTACATTCAATCCGGCCATATATGGAGCCGATGTTTCGGGAACACTAACCGACGAGGATTGCAAAGAGTTTAACATTAATAACTTGAATACATGTCTTGATATGATTAACGAGAGTTATGGCATTAAGATAATGGGCGTCAATACGGCATATCTTTATTTCGGAATGTGGAAGTCGGCCTTTGCCTGGCATACGGAGGATATGGATCTCTATTCTATTAATTTCTTGCATTTTGGTGCTCCCAAGTCATGGTATTCAATACCTCCAGAACACGGCAAAAGAGTGGAACGACTGGCCAATGGTTTTTTCCCCAATAGTTACAAACAATGTCCAGCTTTTTTGCGCCACAAAATGACTTTGATATCACCACAAGTATTGAAGAAGTACTCGATTCCATTCAATAAAATTACTCAAGAAGAGGGAGAGATTATGATAACATTTCCCTATTCATATCACGCCGGATATAACCATGGATTCAATTGTGCAGAATCTACCAATTTTGCACTTCCGCGTTGGGTTGAGTTTGGTAAACGGGCTCTTAGAGTACGTGTTTTTAATTTACCGCTACTTTTATATTTGTATTTATTTACTAAAATATTTGTATTTTTACAGTGTGTTTGTCGATCAGATTCAGTTCAAATAAGTATGGAAGCATTTGTCAAGAAGTATCAACCCGATAGGTATGAGCTATGGCTTCAAGGAAAGGATATTGGACCCGATCCTAAAGATTTGACTCATATATGTGCAGCACCGGCACCTTCCAAATATGAAAAAGACATTATGTCTAAATTGTATGCAAATCAATGTTTTAAATAACTTTGTTTTTAAATTTAATATTATTTTATAGTAATAAACACAAAAGACATCCGACTCATAAAAAGGATTATTCTTCAGATACGGAAGAGGACAGTGATTGTTGTGATGAGTTATTACAAGACTGTGCACTTCCTACAAAAGCCGCCCGAAAAATGTTTGAAAACGGCACCGAAAGTGATGTCATGAACTTAGAAATAGCAGCACCTAATATACCATCAATCAGTTCCGATACAATCTCATCAATGCCTAAACCTCCGACTATTTCAGAGACAATTCATAGATTACACCAGAATCTAAATTCTTCTAAAGAGAAAAAAGATAAGAAACGCAAAAAGACTTCACACGAATCAACAGTTCCGCCACATTTGTTGACGCATTCATATGCAAAATCTTGTGTCTCGTCGTGTACTCAACCAAAAACACAACCCAACAGTGAATTTAATCAATATTTACAAAATGATTCAAATGTTTCACAAATTACTAAATCATTTACAAATATAAAATCTGAAAGCAGTAATACTTCTTCAAACTTTCATTCATATACCAGTAGTTATAATACAGTTTTGTCACCATTAATAAGCCCACAAATTAATGGAGTTATTGAAGATAAAATGCAAACAAATACAAAGGGAAGCGAATTAATGATCAACTTATCCAATCAACAGATGATATATCAACCGCCACCACAAATAAAGCCCTATTATGAAGAATGTTTAGCCGATGATCACAAACCTTCAGCACAGCCACCAATACTTAAAGCACCCGATTTGTATGATAATAACAATAAAACATATTTATTGAATAATGATTTGAATGGCTTGAAATTGCCAAACGGGTCAGTCATATGTAACGGTGCGCTCAATAATATGGTTGAGGCCAGCACTTCAACTGATGATCTCGAGATTGCTTTTGATGCTAACTCTTCATTGCAAACAAGTTCAACAAATAATGTAAGTTTGAGAGTATTTAAATTAATTAAAATAGTTAAACAATAATTATTTCATGAAATTATTGTTTATATGACTTGATTGTCAATACTAATATAATCTTTATTATAATTATTATTAAAGGAAAATTGTTTTATAATTAATTTGCTCTGAATTGTAAATCATTGTCTTTATATATTTATAAAAATATATATATTTATTACCATATAATTTATCATATAAATCAAAAATAATGAGTTATAAAATTGTTTATAAAATAAGCTTAAGTTATTAAAATAATTGTTTCTCTTTTTATGATTGTTCTAAATGTTAATAATTATATAAATATATAATATATGATAAGTTCATGACTTAAAGATTATTAAAGAATCAATTCATTACAAATATGTTCAAATCATTTCATATTTTGAATTTATTATCTGTTTATTGATTAATTGGTGTCTAATTGGTTATTGGGATAAACATATCGATTCAGTCAAAGTGCTGTTAATTCAGTTGAAAACTACATAAAAGCATTTTTAATAATTGTTTACTTTTTTACTTTTCAATTTGATTAATCAACTTATGTATCCACAAATTATATCTAAAATTAATTGCATTCGTAAATATGGTTTTTATGCAGTGAGTAATAACTTAAATTATTTCTTTATTTTTATATCATTTAATTTATTAATTATTAAAGGAAATTGTTTATTTTCATACTTTTTTTATAATTTTTGATAGTATGTAAAAGAGCATACTATCAAATTAGTTTAAAATTTAATTTTATAGATAATTATATTAAGTATAACTTTTATATTAATATAGATTTAATTACTAGTTTAGTCTAAAACGGCATCAATTATCTTAATTACATTTATTTGCTACTTTCAAAATTGCAGATTATGTAAACAGAAGCCGTAGTAAATAATGGTTAGCAATTTAATTAAAAATGCATTTATGTTTATTAACATTTTTACGAAATCGATGCATACAAATAGTTATAACTTTCAATTTTGTTTAGAAATTATATATAAATTAAAATATACAAACAACAAATACATTTTTAATTAATTTCAATTACCGGTAGTAATTATTTATTTGATTAATTTTAATATATGTTATATTTTAACTTCAATGTACACTTCAGACCATTTGTATATTCAATTTAACAGTTAATAGTGAAAGTCTATAAATGTTTGTTATATAATTTAAAAATCTTTTTGAGTCATATAAAAATAATGTGATATTAAATTTATCTATTGATTGACATTATAATATGTTTATTTAATTTTATAACTTAATTAAACAGAAAAATACCGTATTAGACAACTTAATACAGAATAACTATCAATATATTCCATTAATTGCTGGTACAATACCCCAGGGCTTTATCGATGAAATTAAGTTCAATGTCTGTATGTCAACATTAAGTCCCTACTGTGCCATTTGTACACTACTAAAGCCGTATGAAAATGATTCAAAATATAACCTCTCGGAGCTGGAGTGTTGGTATCCACCAAAAACAAGTCAAATATTAATACCAAGTATTGCTTTCACATCAAAAGTTAAAGATGAGACCACTTTTTTGGAAACCAGGGAAACTTCGCCACTAATCGTTTGTATGGATTGCAGAGTGTGTGTACACTCGGGTACAGTATTTTTATTTATTTATTTTTTAATTAATTTATAAATATATTAATAATTTGTTTTTAATTACACAGTATGTTATGGTGTTTCCGATCTGTTGTTTGATGGAAGTGAACGCAACTGGAAGTGCGATAGATGTATGCAAAAACAGTATTTTGCTTTTTGCTCTTTATGTCCATTAAGAGGTGGTCCACTAAAAGAAACTATTGAAGTATCGTCTGAAAAGAAATGGGTGCACATCTCATGTGCATTACTTGTACCGGATGTCAAGTTTATAAACGGAATCGCGAAGAAACCAATCGATTTATCAGATATTAAAATAACAAGAAGAACAGATAAAATGGTATTTAAATTGAGTTTAATATTGTTTATGTTTTACTTATAATTTTAATTAATAATTTTATAAAGGGTTGTGTTTATTGTCGTAAAGTAAATCCCGATAATAAAATGGTTGAATATTTTAATGGTTATTGTGTTCAATGCGTAAAGTGTTTTACCTCATTTCACGTGACATGTGGTCATCGACATAGAGTAACCTATGAAGCGGGTGATTGGCCGACACCTATTGTCATCAAATGCAGAAAGTGTTCCGATTCGACAAATAATAAAAAAAGAAAATCTTTAGATCGACTATTAAGTGATGTAAATATTAATGAAATAGTGATTGCAAAACACAAGAATCATCGGTTTTATAGAGGAAAAGTATTGGACAAAGTGGAACAGGTGTTGCACCATGTTCATTTTGTTGATAACTCATTCACCAATTATGTTAAACCATCAGATATTTTGGTAAAACTAACGATTAAAACAATTGTTTTCAAACTATATTTAGTGATTATCTTTTATATAGAACAGGGACTGTGAGAGGGATCCTCCAGATATAGGCGATCCAATTGAAGTGATTTGGAATAGAGAACAACTTCACGGCAAATATACTGGAAATCATAGTTGTCTTATGTATGTCATTGCTTTTGATGACGAATCACGTATTAAAACTAAAAGAGAAGACTTTTATTTATTGACTGAAGATCTACCGAAACGGGTTAAAGACAAATTGGTGACACATTTTGTTTTTTTTAATTTAATAAATTTGTACATTAATTGATTAAATCTAATTTCTCTATTATTTATAGTCTGAAGCAACGCAAGCAACTCATAGACAATATATTCAAAGTGAAGAAAGCAATTCACTTGATTAGAGACTATTTAATAAATTTTACTTTTATTTAAAGTTTTTAAAGTATTTTCAAACATATTAACTATTTTTTCAAGAAATCATAATTTCATCATTCATTAAATTTTAGTACATTTATATACTGTATAAATTTATATTACTTTAAAATATAATTAGAGTAATGTTTTGTTATTTATTATTAATTCCATATAAAGTTTCATTAAATTTGTTGAAAATTATTTCATAAAAATAAATTACTATTGATATAAACAATGGATATATCATTGATTATGTAATCAATAAAATAAAAACTAATAATTATTTTATTTATTATCTATAAACTGTTCATTTATTAAATCTAAATAATATTCACATTTTGGGTATCGAATGAAGAAAACAAATCTAGTGCTCAGTTATTGGTGTATTTAAACAACTGGTATCACAAACTTAATCCAAGTTAGGTATGCTTTACATAATCACAAATACTGAGAATGCGTGGGACAGACCAACGCCCGCACCATAATTGGTGTCAAACAGACAAACACTTGTGTAATACTATATCCTGAGGACTTGTTTTCTACATAAGTGATGATATAATAATACTTATTGTTCATCACTAACTTTAAATGTATAATAAACAATAAAATAGTAAATATACTCTAATTATAAGTTATTTTTTACAATCTATTTGTTTATATGTTTTTCATAGTTTAGTATCAAATTTTACAAATTTGTCAAATATTCTAAAATATAAACACTTTATGTTTAAATAAATTTATGAATTATTATTATCACTAAATTTTACTATTATTATAGCAATAGTTACAGTATGTTTGCATTGAAGTAAAAATAATTTATATATAAAAATTTAGAGCAATACTCGAAATAATTGGCAAACATTTAATTTTTTTAGAAATCTCAATGTTTTAAAAAGTTAGACAAACATAAGTCTTGTATTATTTTTAATTCTATAGTAATTATAATTAAGACAAGAAACAAACAAAAAATAAACCTTAAAAATAATTCATACACAATAAATATTTATTAAATAGATAATTTAAAAAAAAATAATGTGAAACAAATTTGATTTAGTAAAAAAAAATTGATCGTCACATACATTATATAATATAAATAATACAACATATTTTACTAATTTATTTTTCTATTTATTTAATTATTTAACAATATAACTAACTCAAACTACAAACGATTTCAATATACTGTATATATATATATATACTGTATATTTTAATATAAAAATTTTATTATTACATCAAATTAAATTGTGATATAATTTACAAAACTATTACTAATAAAATTATTGTGAATAAAGTGATAAACAAAAGTATATAAGTTATATAATAGTAGGGATTGTGTGGTCTCTTAATGTTTGAAGACAAGTCTCGAGTGATGTTTTGTTACGTCAGAGGAATGAAAGACGCCTTTAATGCCATTTGAGGCAAAACTTGTCATTCAATTGAAAGTCTTGTTTCACAACAAATGCTTTCATTGAAAATGTTGTTATTTTGAAATCCTGTCAAAAATTTTGATTAAATTTAATTAATATATAACATAATTACCATTACAAGTGACCACACAATTATCACAATCACCATAAATGCCAGCCTTTCACACCAAAACCATCGAAAGCATCTTAGAGCCGGTCGCACAACAGGTCTGTTATCTCATACATCTATTACTCATACATATCATACATACCTGTCCTCTATTTCGGTCTCAGAGATGACTATAACTAAATTTAATAAATATGTACAGTATATTAAAATTTATAAGTAAAATGAGCATGTTGCATTTACCATCATCATGTCATAATTGTCATATACAGTATAATTGACCATTGATTGACCATTGATTGACCATTGATTGACCATTGATTAACCATTGATTAACCATTGATTAACCATTGATTAACCATTGATTAACCATTGATTAACCATTGATTAACCATTGATTAACCATTGATTAACCATTGATTAACCATTGATTAACCATTGATTAACCATTGATTAACCATTGATTAACCATTGATTAACCATTGATTAACCATTGATTAACCATTGATTAACCATTGATTAACCATTGATTAACCATTGATTAACCATTGATTAACCATTGATTAACCATTGATTAACCATTGATTATTTATATCATAATAATATATAATAATTTATATATACCATTATACTGTACTTTAATGTACAGTATTTAATATATTACTTTATTTTTGTTATTTAAATATTTAATAATAAACAAAACTTAAACTTCATTTGATAACAAATGATAGGTCTCTCGGCTCGTAATTCTTCACGAAGAGGCTGAAGATGGCAATGCTATGCCAGACCTGGAAAAGCCGGTGCAAGCGGTTAGTAGGGCTGTGACCAACTTAGTTAAAGTTGGCAAAGAAACCATCAATAGTAGTGATGACAGTATCCTTAAGCAAGATATGCCGGCATCCCTTCAACGCGTCGAAAGGGCGTCCAAACTGCTAGAAGAAGCTTCTGCTTTGCTTAAAGTGGATCCTTATTCACAACCGGCCAGAAAAAAGTTGATTGAAGGCGCCAGAGGTTTGTTTGACTAATTTAATTGAATCAATAATAATTAGATCTATTTTTATAGGTATACTTCAGGGAACTTCATCTCTATTATTATGTTTTGATGAGTCGGAAGTGAGAAAAATAATTAAAGAATGTAAGAAAGTGTTGGACTATTTGGCCGTTTCCGAAGTCATCGAAACTATGGAAGATTTGGTTCAATTTGTGAAAGTATTATTTTAAATAATAATTATTACTATCAATAATACACTTTTGTATTTTTGTTTCAATTTTTCATAATAGGACTTAAGTCCTGGCCTTACAAAAGTGTCGCGTGATGTGGACAGTCGTGAAAAGGAGTTGACCCATCAGGTGCACCGGGAGATATTGATTCGTTCACTAGATTCAGTCAAAACATTGGCTCCGGTTCTCATATGTGCTATGAAAATATACGTCCAATTATTAGCCCAGGGTTTGTGACTTTCATTTTTTTTTGTTCAATCCATTTATAAGTGATGTTTAGGTAAGAAGACGGAAGAAGCGGCAGAAAATCGTAATTATTTGACACAACGAATGACAGATGAAATCAATGAAATTATTAGAGTTCTTCAACTGACCACTTATGATGAGGACGAATGGGAAGCCGACAACTTGACTGGTATGAAGAAAGCTCAGGTATTGATAATTATTGTGATTTTAATAATAATATTCTTGTGGTAACTTATATATTGATATATGATTTTGTAATATACTTTATGTCTATATATCAGAACGCAATCATAGGTAAACTCCGTGCGGCTCACGACTGGCTCGAAGATCCCACAGCTGTTGTCGGAGGTATTGGAGAGAAATCATTGCGCGCTATATTAGATTATGCCTTAAAAGTTGCCGAAAGAGCTCTTCCTTCAGATAGAGAGGCTATCAGAAAAATGGTGGGCGATCTCACTGCTACTACCAATGCTTTATGTGAATTAAGATCTGAAGGAAAAGGTGGTACACCTCAAGCTCAGTCACTCGCAAGAGGTATCGATCAAAAATTAAAAGAATTGAATGCATTGGTTGGACGTGCCATTCAAAATGTTGAACGAAGTGGTGTTCAACAACCAGCACATACCGTCTTTGGTAGAGTAGATCAGGCGCTCAAATGGTTGGATAATCCCGGTTTTGATGACAAAGGTTTAGGATCTCAAGCAATACAAGCAATTGTAGACGAAGGCCGTCGATTAGCTCAGTCATGTTTACCCGCTCAACGTCAAGATATCTTAGGCTTATGTAATGAAGTCGAGTCACTTAGTCGTCAATTGAATGATTTGTGTCGTCGAGGACAAGGAAACACACCACAAGCTCTTGAGATCGCTAAGATCTTATCAAACAAACTTCAAGAACTTAAAAAACAAATTGAAAGAGCTTTAGTTACAAGAGTTGTTGAAGATTTTATTGATATAACGACTCCACTCAAACAATTCACTGAAGCCGTGTTAGCACCAGAAGGAACACCTAATCGTGAAACTAATTTTCAAGACAAAGCTATTAATTTGACTAACTTTTCACAACGTGCCGCACAAACGGCCCGAAATGTGGCCTCTGGAAGTGCTCCCAACAAACGTCTTGCTGAAAGTTTGATGACATCAGCCAATCATATCGATAGTTTAACCCCACAATTAGTTAGTGCCGGTCGTATTAGACTTACTCATCCCGACAACAAAGCAGCCGACGAGCACTTCGAGAATTTGAGAAAACAGTATTTAGATATTATTCAAAACATGAGGAATATGGTCGACGAAGCCGTTGACACAGTTTCCTTCATTAAGGCTTCTGGTATTTACTTAGATTTTATTTGACTGTCTATTACTAAGTCTTATACTTTAATTTATATTTCAGAGGACTCTATACTAAAGTTTACGGCTTTATGTGAGAATGCAATAGTCAACCGACAACAGCAAAGTATGGTCGACAATACGTCAAATATTGCACGACTGGCCAATCGGGTGTTAATGGTGGCCAAATCAGAATCAGATAACTCAGAAGATCCAAATTTTATCAGTCGAGTCAATAGAGCTGCAGATGAGTTACAATCGAGTATATGTCTTAAAATACTATTTATAAAATACTGATATACAATATTATTATAATTTAATTTTATACAAACTCTTTTGGTAACTACAGTATAATTGTGTTGTATTTGTCAATATAGGTGTTCCAGTGATGGTCCAGGATGCCAAGAATGTTGCCATTAATATAACTGATCCAAAAGCTATATCTCGATGGAGGGATTCTAACAGAGCTGTAATATTAACTAATTAATTATATAATATTTATAAAAATTTATTATCAATTGTTTAGTTAATCAATGCTGTCGGGGATGTAAAGAAAGCAGTTACTGTTGAACCACCACCTGATTTGTCGTCTCTTTATATTAACGGTAATAACTTTTTTTGTATTTAATTATTATTATCCATTTTAGTTTAAAATAATAGTTACAAAACTTGATAACTTTTATAAGTTATGACAAAATAATAAATATAATTTGAACAAAAAAACCAAATTCAGTCCAACCGTCAGCTCCCGAACCCGTTAAGGAGTTGACATTTGAAGCGGATTTCAATGATATATTTTCTTCTTTGGATGATTTTATACCTCAAAATCAGAGTCGTATTGATATTCAAAGTACTCAAAGACAAGTGACTCAATTACAAGCTCAGCCCCAAAGACCAGTCGTTACATTTAATGAACAGACAGGTAGACTCATGAGTGACTTACCATAAATGAGTATTTCTACACTCGGTTGGCTCAATGGCTGTATATCTTAACGGACGCATATATTTGTTGTTTGCCTCCAATTTAGTCTATGATCGCATGTCTTTTACTTATTGTTTTGTATGGCATGTTATATATAATAAATAGGACTCAGTTAGCTATTTTCTAGTGCCGGCATTGCTATTATGTATAATTGCATGGCGTATTTGGGGTTTAAATTAAATGCATGGATTAGTTGAGTATTGAAATATTAAATTAGTTACTTTCCAATTATAGACTATGCACCTCCTCGTCCACCTCCACCAATGACGGACTCTGCACCTCCCAGACCTCCACCACCAGAAACAGACGATGAATTTGAAATTCAATTTCCTGTTTTACAGCCAAACCAACCAATTATGGTATCATAACTTAAAATTTTAGTGTAACAATAATATTAATAAAAATATCCATTTTATATAATATGTCAGATGGCGGCCCATGATTTGCATCTGGAAGTGAAGCAATGGTCGAGTAAAGAAAACGAGATCATAGCGGCCGCTAAAAAGATGGCACTTTTAATGGCAAGACTTAGTCAGCTATGTGGAGGAGAGGGCGGAACCAAAAAAGATTTGATTGCTTGCGCTAAAGCTATTGCTGAAGCATCTGAAGAAGTGACACGACTGGCCAAAGATCAGGCAAAACTCTGTACCGATAAACGGATGAGAACTGTTGAGTAACATTAAGTTATCTTAAATTTATATGACATTTTAAATTCATTTTTAACAGAATATTCTTCAAGTTTGTGAAAGAATTCCAACAATTGGAACTCAATTAAGAATATTATCTACAGTTAAGGCAACGATGTTAGGCGCTCAGGGTTGGCATGAATTTTATTTTTAATTATTGTTATTATTCTTTAATAAAAATTGCAAAATATAACATAGGATCTGAAGAGGACCAGGAGGCAACTGAGATGTTGGTCGGAAATGCTCAGAATCTTATGCAATCTGTTAAGGAAACAGTGCGCGCGTGTGAGTCCGCGTCCATCAAAATACGTACTGACAGTGGTTTGCGAGTGCGTTGGGTTCGTAAGCAGCCCTGGTATCAGTATTAGACATATTTTATATCATAATTAAAGTTAGTTAAAGTAATGTTATTAATCAATACTATTTAACTAACACAAGTCCAGTGGGTTCACTGCCATCGATACATGTTTTAATGTATAGATTACTTTGTAATCTTCTTTAGAAATGAATTATATTTAAATATCAACATTTTGTTCAAATACTTATAATTATTTAATTATGTTTTGATTGTTTTAATTTAACCTAAGTTTAAGTAATTTTTGTGCCAAAGGTTTTATTCACTATAAAACCAATACATAAAATAACATAAATTTAGTATTGTTTTATAAACATAATACACTGTATATGATATAATTAAATAAATTTAAGCAATTACTTACATATAATATATACGCCAAAACTAATTCTTTATATAGCTTTATAAATGTAACTTATTTTCTTAAATATTTAAATAAATTCTAAAATTGCTAATTTATATACAGTAGAAATTGGTGTAATTTCAATATATTATACATTAAGTTATTATACATTAATACAACAATATCATAAATTACATTAAATTACATGTTATAATATTATAGATTAAATATGTGTTGTAATTGATTTTACTAACACTCGTTAATATTATATTTATATAAAAATTGTTTTATTAAGATAATTAATTTTAAAATTTATTGTATTGTAATCGTTTTTGCAAAATGTAACTATAAATATTTTTGCAATTTGATTATAAGAATATTAAATGTTGACACATTTTTATATACTAATTGTAATTTAATAATTTATATACTAATTATAGATTTACACATTTATACAACAGATTGTTTGTAATCACTACTTAGTTAAATAAATAATTTGAAATTATTTTACTAAAAACAAAATTTATTACAATAAATTGTTAAATAATGTAAAATCAGACAATTATTACTATTAAGATATTACAAGTAAATTAAATACTAAAACATTTTAACTCTATATTAGAAACACATTATTTAATGATTGAAATGCGAGAATATACGGTATATAATTCATACAAACAATATTAATATAGAGATCAATGTTAGAAAACAACATTTTATCTATAGATGGGACCAGAATTAGAATAGTCGATGAAAAATGTTTTAATTTGTTTATTTGATTCTTAACTATTAATACTGTATCAACAAATTATTGATTTTAAAAATCTTGTTTAAGATTATTATTGTATGCATTCATTTGAATTCCCATATAATAAAAGTTTCAAAATGAAAGCTGATCTAAAATTAATATGTGATTTATATAACAACTTATATAGTATTAAATAACTTATAAAAACTTAGTGGTGTAAGTTGAGATTAAAATCCCGTTATGTATTATAAAAAAACTTGTCTTATCCCGTCTTGTCCCGTCTTGTCCCGTCTTGTCCCGTCTTGTCCCGTCTTGTCCCGTCTTGTCCCGTCTTGTCCCGTCTTGTCCCGTCTTGTCCCGTCTTGTCCCGTCTTGTCCCGTCTTGTCCCGTCTTGTCCCGTCTTGTCCCGTCTTGTCCCGTCTTGTCCCGTCTTGTCCCGTCTTGTCCCGCAAGATCTGTTAAATGTTATCAGTTTTTATAACGTCTAATATACAACAGTAAAGCTCATGAATGCTATTAATATAACTTTAAAACTATTAATATATTATATAAGCACAAAATCATTTACAAACAAACAAAAAATTAATACATTTTATTATACGATTGCTTTTATACTATTTATTATATGATGAAACAATCGTATAATAAACTGTACTAATTTTTTGTTTGTTTGTAAATGATTTTGTGCTTATATTCACGAATTCCTGAAAGGAATACGTATATGCATTCTAAAAGTCTGTCCGTCTGTCCGTCTGTCTGTCTGTCCCACGAGGACATAGGTTCGAATCCAGGCTCAGCTACAAAATTTTTTTTGATTTTTTTTTTGGTTTTTTTCTTTTTTAAGTTAAGGAGATCGTATGAGAATGCTTTTGAAGCATTCTCAACTTGTTTTTTTATTTTTTAAATTTTTTTCCTTTTTAAGTTAAGGAATTCGTGTGGAAATGCTTTTAAAGCATTCTCAGCTGGTTTTATAATAAATTTTTAGTCAACTTTTTTAAGTAGTTTAGATTTAACATTTTAAATTAATAGATACTATTTATTGAGTTGTATTATAAACTTAATTTTACATTAAAATAGATCATAAAAATAGTTATAAAAGTGTTGTTATAAAAGTTATATTTCTTCCCTAACCCTTTAGAAAGAAATAAATATATTATATTTTTACAAAAAAATAATAATACCAAAAATTAACCCATTATTTAACTATATTTAAAAAAATACAAAATTAAAAAAATTTGTTCACATTTTTTACATCTACTGTATGTAAAAAATATGACATCTTTATCCGTATTATATATTTTTATGCGTTATATAAATATAAATCAGAATTTTAATTTAAAAAACAAAGATTTTGAAATATAGTAAAAAAGTATGTAATTAACGTATGTATGTATAAAAATAAGGAATGCTTTATAACAATATAAACTTAGAACTATTTGTAAATAAATAATAAATGTTTTATAACAAATTGAATAACAATTAGTAATAATAAGTTTTAAGTTAATTAATTCTTTAATAATTTTAATTCTTTGTATATTTTTAACATTATTTTTTATACCAATTGTTCAAAACCAATTCAATAGTCATAAATAAATAGATTAGATCTAATTTGAAATATTTGTCTGAAAATTGTTTTTTTATTTAAATACTAAATGTTAAAATTGTTAATTTTAAATTAAATTTTAATTTTACAAATAAATCTAGATAAATTATAAAATATTATTTAATTCACAAATAGGGGAAGTGAATTTATAAAATAAAAATAGCATTAAAATTTGTCAGGTAGTTTTCGAGATATTAATAGTTTTATCTTGATACTTAGATATAAAATTAATATACCTGTATACAGTATATATAACAAAATTATTAATAATTAGTATTTAATTTTCTTTCATTTAAATTGACCATGTGCATTTTTATTTATAAATATATTACATCAATATATAAATTTATATAATTTATGTTATATATACGTAATACGTATATAAAGCTTAGGTGAGCACCGGTATATGCGATATCTTTAAAAAATTATCAAAATTTTAAAATATAAACAAAAACAAAATTTATTCAACATATGCATTGATATAAAATATACTACATTATATAAATTGCTTTATTATTTCATGTTTCTCATAAAATTTAAATTTAAGTAGCTCAATTACTTACTAAAATATTTACTTAAAAACCAGTCACCTTTTTGTAAACTAATTTACATATACTGTATAAATAAGATGTTTTTAAATAAAACATTAATAACAAATACAATTGATCTATAGATACATTTAAAGTATTGTTTGTTTTATTGAATATAAATAAAATATATACATTTTTAGAGATGTTAGTTATTATAATGTTTTGTATCACTATAAGTAAAAGCAAAGATTTAACAATAAAATTGATAACTTTTTAAAAGAAGGAGTGGTTTATGCCTAACAAACATATCTGGAGGGGTGGGCGACAAATGTGGAACGGGTTGACTGCATATAACTCCCATACATATCCTGTTATGCAGTCATTTGATTAATAAAAGCATCTGATTTTATACAGTATTTTATTATTGAAACAAATTATTTATAATTTGTATTTAAATTTATAATACATCTATAAATAAAAATAAATAAATGTCAACAGTTATGAAAACTTGTTATTTTTTGTGAAGTTTTAAAATATTTAATTAAAATATTTGCAATGTCTGTTATACAGGTATTGCATACAATGTAAATTACATATTATTTTATTTATAAATTTTAATACATGTATGTATGTATTATTATATTACTGTATATTTATATACATTATTATAACTATACTTATTATACAATGTATTTATGCGATCCAAAGTTGCGTAAACAAGTGTTTCAACATAACAGACATTTACAAACTTTAAAAACATTCACTATTTACTTAAATTTACAATTTTTGGTATTTATTTCAATGAAGTGAAGCTCATGTCAAATGACCTTTTATTTTGATATTTGTTTTATTAATTACAATCATATCCTAGATGTCAATGTGTGGGTCACTGAAAAACAAGAAATTTATTAAACGTGATGTAGTTTTACGCTTTCATACAATTTTAAGCTTTTAGTTAATTATTTTTTTAATTTATAAAAATAATCATTTGATTTTAAGTGTTATTTTATATTAACATTATTAATAAATAAAATTAATTTTGGATCATATATAATTATTTTTTAATATTGTTGTTATATTCAATAATAAATTTTATAATTTCATATGATAATAATTACATAATGTATTATTTAAATTTGAATTTATTTATGAAATGTCTAGATTTATGGATTACACGAAACTTATAATATGCAAATTACAATGAATATAAATAATTTATTTTATTATAAAATAATGAATATAAATTAGCCAGTTACTTTTTACAGTTTAACTGAATTAACAATTATTTGGTTTAATTATCTATTTCATAATTTACAAAACAAATTATAAATCAAATAGATATGAATAATCATTTTATTAAAATTATATAAATATAAATTCATAAATTAATTAATGTTAAATATTATTTCATTATAATATTATATCGTTTGATAAAAATATTATGTAAATATAGTTTAAATTATTGTTTGGAATAAAAATTTAATTTAATATTTTAATGTGTTTTTAGTATAAATATTTTCAGAATTAATATATATTTATTTGAACATTATATAGATTATAAATATTAAGTTATGGACACATAAACAAGTATTTTCAGTTGACTTTTATATTAAATCAAAATTTATTATATTTTATACTTCAATATTAAGTAGTTGTAAAACATTTAAATATTATGACTTATGATAACCTACAAAATATTAGTTATTAATCATATTTATACATTTTACACATATTTTGAAATATTATATAATATAATAATTTTGTATATCTATAATATAAAAATAACATAAAATTATTTAAATGCTGACAAAAGGATTGAGAGGTCACATAATTAGAGTGAAGTTATAGTTAAACTAATACTATATTTATTAGTATAAGCTATCAGTGATAGAAATTGAAACAAATTGAAACATTTTATGTCTTTGGAAAATAATTCAATGAATCGGCAGTAAGGAGTGCAAGTGTGTGTGTGTGTGTGTGTGTGTGTGTGTGTGTGTGTGTGTGTGTGTGTGTTAAATAATTATGATGTGAAGCCGTAATGGCCATCCATTTGGTAATCCAGTGGCGCAATAACCCGATAAAATGAAATGATTGATCGATATATTATATGTTAAAATGGATGTTAAAGGATTGTACTGTCCTTGACCTGCCTGTGCGCGTCAGTCATATTAATAGTGTTAAGGTTAACGACCGAATCTCAATGCGGAAGGTTTGCAATGTTTGCCAGTATTTTCAGAGGTCTTTATTTTGGGTGCCCTTAGGCAACAAAAACGGGTCAGCGATGCTATATTGATGAATATATGAAATGGTCGGTCAAGGCTGAGGTGATGCTGTCGTGATGCCAGTGCTTGGGCTCAAACTCATCTATTGCTGCATTTATATACAGTTATCCAGAGTTTACCCGCAATTATTGCTGTAATACAACTTAAAGACCCACTTGTTTTGCTAACAACCAGTACTGAGAACAACATAACAAACTACAGAATTAGGTGACGTCCGATCCCTGAGGCCTCTCAAGGGTTGTCTCATCCGAGTTCTTCTTAAAAAAAGTTTGCAATTTATATTTAAGTTAATGTCGACATCCGTATCAAACATATTATACAAGAAACTCCCTGTTTGGCCGACAGCCCTCCCAACATATATGGCACTTCCAATCAACTAAATTAGTATACATCGACTACTATCGTAGTCTTATGTCGACCAGACTAACGATTCTTTTAGTTATATAATAGTTTGATCATTGAGTCAACTCAATACTAAATATAGTAAACGCCTTTAGACTGTGAGTCCGTATTTAACGCTAAGACACTTCTTTAACCGGAATCAGAATCAATTTGATTGTCACTCATCTGTGCAGCACTTTATGATTGTCGACAAAACATCCAATTAACAAGTGGTGCCAATTAACACATATTTTTAATCACAAGGTATGACACAAACCATAAGTTTAATATTTTCTTAAAACACAAGTTATTATTCAAGATTTATTTGGATTATATTGTTTGTGAAAATTAATTGTTAAAACAATTATTACAGTAATCATCACCTAATCATCCGTATAATAAAACATCAATAGCTCAAAATGTATAAAATTTTAGTGTTATTAACGGTCATAACAGTTGCACCGGCAGCTGTTAAACGTGAAGAATATGTAGCACCAGTTGGAAGTGGCAGTGGAAGTCCCTCATCAGCAAACAGTCAACCCGTGTACTCGCCATCAGCTTCTTCAGGAAGCTATAGTTCTGGTGGTTCGAGCGCTTACAATACAAATGCCTATTCATCGCGAGATAGTTATTCTGCCAATTCTGGTGCCAATCAATATACTTCAGATCACAGTCCCTCTGCATCATCTTCCAGTGCAAGCTATCAGTCCCAACCATCATCTCAGGGAAATTTATACTATTACTACTATCCAGTGCAGGAAAAGCCAAAGGAACCGACATATCACGCCAGCTCATCAAATCAATACCCAAGTGCTGTCAATCCTAACTTTGCCGGCAGTGCCTCTGGAAGTCAACCTTCAAGCGAAGGAAGCGCTCACACAGGACTTGATTCGGCCGCTTCGGGGCAAGACTTGAGCTATAGTGCACAGGATTTGAGTTATAGCGCACAAGGATTAGGAAACGATTATAATTCACAAAACGGTGCCTCTTATGACCAACAATTAAGTAGTTTGGCCTCACAATTGTCACAATACGGCTTTGGCTCTAATCCTTCATCATTTAGTGGTGCCTCTCAGGGCTCATATGCGGGCAATAATTATGATTCTTCTTCAGCTTCCAGTCCGACAGCAAGTTTTGGATCACAAGGAGAAGCACTTCATTCTGCTTCATCTCATCCAAGCTATACATCTGCTTCTTCTTCATCATTTGGATCACAAAATGGTAATCAAATCCCATATAATGGTCAGTCAAATGGATACAACTATGCCAACGGTCAGCCATCATATGGTAACTATGCTTCTGCCAGTGGATCGCAACCCACTTATGAAACCTCTTCGAGTGGTTTCCGAAAATACGGTCTCTCGTCAATCTTGATGCCAATGCTTGCACTGGCAGGTCTTAGTTTATTGATTCCTACTGTTACTAGTTTGGGATCAACTGGTAGAAGAAGACGAGCTATAGAAGACAACTTAAAAGACTCAACAATGAATGGATATATCGATAGATTAGAGAAATATTACTCAATATATAGGACTGCCGTCGAAAAGGAAGAATGCATGAATCGTATCATTTGTGAACTCGGGTTAGGTTTCAAATATAAGTTTATATTTTTAACAATTTTTTATAACAAATATTTTATAATTAATATAGAGATGCTATGAGTGGAGTTCGTGGCAAAAGTACTGTTCTCACGTAAGTCATATTATAACATATATTAAATTATATTAAATAACTAAACAAAATCTATGAAAACATTTTGTAAATTAATTGACTAATCAATTGACTATTAGGGTAATGGAGAAGTTAGTTCCCCAATGGATGGTCACCAAAATGGGAGTCTTTAAGAATGCGGCCCTTTCTGGAGAGTCGGCTAAATGCAAGAAATATATTTGTTGAGACATTTGACATTTACATCACTTATTATAAGTGTCATCTCATCTCACGTTTCAATTCACACCTTTTATATCATGTGTTTGTTACTTAAACTACAAGTTATAACCATTACGTCAAGTCATTGTAAACTAATTATTATTGAAGAAAACTTGATAATAACACAAACTACTAATATGTCTTATGTATTAATGGTTTAAATTAACATAACATTTAAGTTTTATGAAATATATATATATATATATACAGTATATATATAATACTAATTATATAAATGCTGCTAAAACCGGAACTTTTTAAACAGATAACACACAAAACTTGATAGTTATGTTGTTTTTTAACTGAACTCGTATTTAGTAATTGTCTTTTGTTTTTAATGTTTCATTAATTTAATGGTTATCTTAATTGATAACATTTGGAGTTATAAGTTATTATTTATTCATTTTGTTTCTATTTAAGTTTTCAATTTAATATAATAATTATAATTTAATAAATTTAATTAAATTAATATAATAGTTAATATTATATTTAATAATTTATAAATGACACCTTATTTAATATAAATATAATATAATATTGAAATTTACAGATGAAAATATTCATAAATTTTATAGTTATAGTTAGAGTGTTATAAATTGTTTACATAATGTAACAGTGTTTCATCGATACATTTTTAAATATAAAACTTTATTTAATTATATACATTTGTTTTAAATTATTTTATAAAAATCATAATAAAAATATATTTATTGAAATTTTTAATTTTAATTTAATATATTTATCATTTTTGTAATTTATTTGCAAAGTTTTATAATATAAATTACTTAATAAAACATTTTTTTGTGAGAAATTATTTATTATAATTTTTTATTTAATAATATTGTATTTTTATTAATTTAATCTATTTTAGAGTAATTGTATTTTTTAATATTAATTTGTAAGTTAATTGTATGTATGATTAATTATTTAAATTAACTTACATTATATGTATTAAATAAATTATAAAGATTTCATGTTTAAAGTTAATTCATCTGTTGAATACTACATTTTATAATAATTATTTAATAGTAATATTCATAATATAATAATAGTTTTTAAATTATTGTAATTATTTGTTAATTTATAACTGTAATTTATAACTTATAAATCTTAGTTAAAAATACAACAAATAAAGTAAATTATATTTATCTTACATTACTGTAATATTATTAGGAAAAATAAATTTAATATTTAAACTCTATTAATAATATTCCGATTATTTGGTTACTATTAATCCGAAATTGAATGTCATTTGTCTACACTTTAAACCAGTGTTTAAATATGAAAGGGCTTACCATTACTTCAGAGTTTTGGACAAAATTGAAAAATTATCACTTACTGTAACAACGATGAGAAATTGACCTAAAATTATAATTAATATTTGTTAATTAACTATTTTTTATGTTTTTATAACTTACTTCCATAAAATTTTTAAGTAAAATAATTATAATTAAATTAAAATTAATCTGAATTTTAATAAAAATATGTAAATAAAATCTTAAAAATTAACTATATGTTTAAAAAATAATTATTTTATTGGTAAATTGATATTATTTAAAATAATTTATATAATTATAATAAATTATACTAAAAAGATTAATGTTCTTCAGATTAAAAATTTTATAAATTTAATGTTAATTAATTTTTTTATCCTACTATTATAACTTAATATATGTAATTGAGTTATTAGATAAAAATGAGTTTAAATATTTAAATTAAAGTTAAAAATGATTTATTTGTTTAGATTTATTAATTTTAATTTAAATAGAATATGATTTTTTAGTAAATCAAAAGTTAATTAATGTATTAATACTTATTAATAATTACTAAATTTGTCATTATTTATCTTTAAAATTTAGTTAACTTTAAATAAATTTAGAAATTTTAGAAATTTGCCTATAATAATGAAATTTATTGGGAATATTTTCCTATTTTCCTGGGAATTTTCTCTCATTTACATGGGAATTTTTGGGAAAGTTTTCTCATGAACCGATTGATTCTCAAATTTTGAAAAATAGCATTTAAAAGTCCAATCAGTACCAAGATTTTTCGAGGTTTTGGTCAATTACTCCAGTATCCCCCCCTCTAAACCAAAAAAAAAAAAAACCTGCGCAACAATTATTTAAATATGAAAAATATATTCATTTAGAATTTATAAATATAGTAATTTTATAATACTAAAAAAATTAGTTAAAAAGTTGTTTTATTGATATACAGTATATAATATTTAATAAAATTAAAAACTCAATAGCAATAGATTAAAAATAGACATTTTAACTAATTTTTTAATTAATAATTATTTAATATTTAATATAAAAACATGCATAAATCAAGTATAAATCTAAAATCAATTATTTGTATCATAAATTTATGTCATTTAAAAGTTATAAATTACTATAAATTTATATTTTATGTTATAGTGTTTCTTTCCGTTACAATAGAAGTACTTTTTATGTCAATTTAATTCTCTAATTAAGTTTAAAATAAATTGTAATTTTAATTAAAATTAGGAATAATTTAAAAAAAAATCTTTTAACTATATTATATTTATGAGATACTTGTGTTAATTTAGATATTTTCTGTTATTAATAAATTTAAATAATATTATTTATACAAATCAATTAAAAAATATTTTAATTCTTTTATATTAATTTTTATACTATTATTTAATATTTTTTGTATAATACGATACAATATGATCTTACAATATATTTCATAACATTATACTGTATATTGGTTAAAGTTATGAAAAGTAATTTATTATTATTATTTATTATTATATAAAATTTTATGTTTAGTAAAAATTAATTAAAAGTTATACTAATACTGCTAACATATATTCTTTATTAACAGTCTATAAACAATCTCTTATTATTATTATAATACATTAATTTAATAAATTATTTAATATAAATATAATAAATTACATAATTTAAAGCACTTTAACAAATAGTTTATTGTAAATAAAATATTTATATAAATATAATATATTTATATATATATAATATCTTTTCAATAATAAATAAAAATAAAATGATATTTAAGTGAAAAATACCCTCTTTTCCAAAAAAATATAATTAATTCTAAAAATTACTTCTAAGTCTAAATTATTTTTGTTATATACAATTATATGAAACAATCAAACGATGATTTAATATTTATAAATGATGTCAAATGATTTAAATAAATAATTATAAAATTGAACGGTTCATCAATTTTTTTTATAATAATATTAGTAATAATAGTTATGAATTATTTTAAATAATCATTTTATGATACATAAAATTCGTTTAACATAACATTTTGTAAAAAGCTTCCAAACAATAAATAAATTCATTAGAAATAATTGTTTAATAAATGTATTTTAAGTGAATAAATGAACAAATGATTGTAATGATAATAACTTAAAATTGATGGAAACTAAATGAGTGATAAATTTAAGTGTCGGCAGAGCGACAATGTCTTCGGGAATGATCTCTATTGCGACTGTTTGGCCGACTATTGCCGCTGTAATTGAAATCTCTTTCAATATAAGGCGCGTGAACTTCGACTTTAAGCTTTGCAGTGGCCATCACTTTGGTGGTCACCGTATGCTGTGATTGTAATTGACTTAAACCTTGAGGAGGTAGTGATGTTTTGGTACCACAACTATTATCACTCATTGAAGAGGTTCCGCTACTTTCACTCATAGCAGGACTCTCGCGATCTGTCGATGGCGTGGGACTCTCAGATGCGGTCGTCTGCAATAATAATAGAAAATAAAATTTAATTTATTTAATATATTTTATTTCATTTTTCACTTTTGACAACATTACCTCATTACAAGAAGTGGGCGTAACTGATGCTGAGGTAGTTTGAGATTGTGTACAACCATTCACGGGATTAGTTATGGTAGTGGTCTCGACAACAAATTCTGGTTGAACAACAATTTCATGAGATGAATGGTATGATTGTTGCTCTTCTGATATCGTCGACAGAGATATTTCTGACTGAACTCTTGGATATGAACGACGTGTAAAATATGTGCCGTTCATTGAGCGTAACTTTTTGCGACTGACAGTCGGTGAAGAAACCGGAGATGGAGTTGGGATGCGGTCTTCGTAATCAAATGGCATTAGTTCGGGTGGAGGACCTATTATTGACAGCAAAACTGGCAGTAATAGCAATCCATTGAGAGCTCCCAACACTACAACACCGACCAACACATAAAAGAAATATCTGTGCAAAATATATACAATATATACCATAAGATTATCAATGACTACTATTAATGTAATAGTAATAAAATACAAACCTTATGATGAAATCAAATTCAGAAAAGGCCAGCATTAGGATACCAAACAATGTTGAGATAATACCATGAGTTACGGGTGTCATCATATGCTGTAATGCCATTTGCATCCTATGGTTTCGGCTACCAATACTCATCAAAAAACTCTGTAATTATTTCAAAATACAAATTTAATAGTTTTATTCAACATTTTATTTAAATACTTATTCAAAATAATACGTACTAATGTTAAATGCGAAACAAAGTCAACACCGATACCAACTGAAACAATTAGGATTACTGCGGGAACAGCACTTAGTTTAATACCGAGAAGACCCATCAAACCAAACAACTCAATGACAATCATGATTAGCATAACAACAATTAATGTTGCGGTCCATGGATTGAGCAGAAAAGCACTGATCACTACAAATATTGCGGCCAATACGACAACTAGTGATGAAAATAAATAAAACCGAAGTCTAACGTATTGTTCCCAATATATGAAAGGAATTCCTGTCGGAAAGTTTGGCAGTCCTTTGTCTTCAAATTTTTGACAAATGGCACGAATTTCTTGAATAGTTTCTGTTATTTCAGTTGTTGTCCGCATATTATTTAAGTAAAATGGCATTTGTGCGTAAATTAATGGTTGACATTTCGGTATCTTTAACTCAACATCTTGAGCCACATGTATCCACTGTCGGGGTTCGGGTCGAAAGCTGGCCTGGGATGCAGAATAAGCTAATGCATCATTTGATACCCAAGCAGTTAAATAGTTATAAAAGGCTTTTGGATTAATCATTCCCATATCATCAACTAATCGCATAGTTAATACCTATTAAAAAACAACAATATAAAAACTGAATAATTGAAACCAATAAAAATATATATTAATTATACCAATGATTTATCAACAGGATTGTCAACTCTTCCAGTTTGAACTAATAGTTTATAAGCGAGTATTCCTTCATCGGATGCATTTGGAAACCAATTTTCACGAGTAATACAGCCATTCTTCCAGTCCCTATCAAAGGCTTCTTGTAGAGCCAACAACCAGTCCCTAAACATAGTCAGCCAGAACTCAGGGAGACCTCCGTCGTCATTCTTAATGATGGGTCCGACTCTAGTAAACGATTGATGATATTCATGAAGAAGTTTCTGGTTATTTGGGTACTCAAAGTTCCCCTGAGTTACGGCAAACATATTAAAAAAACTAAAATATCTTCTTTGAAAATTTAAAAATCTATATTCAATAGTATTTCGCGGAACTATATCTGTTAGATCGAGACCATCATCGACTCTAATCACACCTGAAATACTAACTATAAGTATAGCTAAAAACAAGAACACGACACACACTTTCACAGGTTTTTTTTGCAGAAGAGGTCCATAAAAATTGTCCGCAAAATAAGCTAAAGTGTATTTGTGACCATTTTTGCACAGTTGACTCACTTTTTCATCATTGATAGCACATTGTTCTCGCACTTGACTGTCATTTGCAGTACATTTACATATATTGTCATTTATTTTAGGAAGAAAAGGCTGTTTAGAACTCTTATCGGACGCTATGATAGTGACCACATGTGATCGGTCGGGTGGCGGCGCCTGAACTATACTCTTCTTAATATTAGATGATTTGTTATTTAATAACAGTTTTCTGTGACTCGATTTCAGTTGATTAGCACTGGATTTGCTGTCACTCTTTGAGACACTACTATAAAGACATTTATCTCTTCTATTAGCTCGACATCTTTTCATGTCAATGGTGGCCACCGCTGGGATCAGAAATATAACAGACACTGATATGAAGGCAATTAGTATCGCAGCCTGAAGTGCAAAACAACGGAGAGCTGGAATAGGAATGATAGCTGCGGCCAAAAAGGCACAGATATTGCCAAATGATGTCAACAATATACTGGATCCGATCTGTTTAAGACATTCACCACTCTTATTCTGTAATTAACAATATATATATATATATATATATATCAATTTACAATTAAAAATATTATAGTATAGTAAAATTATACCTTAAACGGTGTTTTTAAATTTTGTGAATAAGTGTGCGCTAATAGAAACATATTATCAACACCAATGCCAAGTGCCAGAAATGGTATTATCTAAATTGTTAATTGTAAGCAATTATATCAAATTTAAAATCATATTATCGTACAAAAAAACATTTAAATATTATTCAAAATAAATACTTGAGTTGTAGAGGCATTGAATGATAAGCCAATTAAGGCACAGAAGCCAAGTCCAGCGGCAACTGATAGACCGATGATTATGACACCAGTTATACCTAATATACTAAACGATTCGTTATCGTTATTCCACTTGGACAGGGAATAGCTGGCATAGAGTAACATCAAGACATATCCGATGGCAACTCTCATGAAATTGACATCTGAAAAGTTTCTCATTATATCCATCAATGAAGTACTCGTAAAAAGATGAATATCTTGATGTTTGAGGTTATGGTCATTACTTGTAAACTTTTGGACCTCCTGTTAATTATAATAACAAATTTAGTTAATAAAAGATGAATTAAATAGTGAAGTATAGACTCACTTCTGAGAATTTTCTCTGCCAGGCCTCTAATATCATACGGGCCTTATCGACACTCCAGTCCAAGTTATGCACTTTATATGTGTGCTGATAAAAGTCATACATTTCTTGTTCGGCCATCAATTGAATAATTGATTGTAAAGCTTTGGCTTTAACTATATGTCCCGTTTTGTTTTTCTTAACTCCGCCAACAATTAAGTCTTCGGGCCAATGCATAAATTTGGTGGCAAATCCATAGCACCCACCTGTCAATTCAGCGCCAATGTCTACTATTTGACCCGACTGTTTATTAGGTGCTGTTGAGGGACAGTTGGCATCTGTCGGATCTAAACACGGTTTCTTCTGATACGCTGATGTAATGCCCGCTCTTTTCATGAATTTAATTAATGTTGAAAATGGGAAACTATTTGGTTGACCTTCAGATGCTCGCATTGATGTCATCATTGTATCGATAAGTAATTCAGGATTCAAATTAGTCCACTGAACGCTTATGCCGAGACCACTAATCAACAATCAATTAGTAAAATAAATCATAAAATTATATTATATTAACTAACGGAATGGGAACTGGAAATTCAGGACCCAATAGTTTTGCCCCCTCCCAGAAACAGTCCAACGGTGTGATTATAGCACAGGGAAATATATTTTCAAGCATCTAATTAATTATAATTATAAAAATTATTAATATATTCGCATAACATTTATATTTTTAGATAACTTACAGAATCGATATAATGAGTATCAAAACTGGGAATACTTGGAGAATAGCAAATGTCTTTTAGTCTCCAAGTGCTATAATAATCATATCATATTAACAATTATTAATTTTACTAATAATTTCAATTTGACGACAAATAACATACAGTAAACTAAATGTTTAAACTTAATTTATAACAATACTTACACTTCAAACATATCAACTGTTACTTTAGTGGCCACTTTCATGGCCTGCAAATGTAGTAGAAGTGCACTTTCATGAAGAACGCTGGCTCCGGTACTCTTAGGTGTTTGGATGACAATTTGATTGGTACTACCGAAGCCATCGCCTAATGTGGTTCTTATGTATTTCATTTCTTTTTCGAGTCTTCCGCCCTCTAAAATCATGAGTTGATTTTATATATAAATTATGAAAAAATAAAAATGATAAATATTTTTAATAATTGTTACCCTCAACCCATAATCTTTCGACATTAGTTTCAATTACGGCTGACTTGAGTCCAACACAGAAGGTAATGAGCACCAGAAGACCCACAAACAGTACTTTTCCGGCATTTCTTTGTATGAAATGTCCCAAATCATAGAGATATGTCTGGAGTTTAGCTCTGAGCCAAAGTGCCGAAGCATTTCCCGATGCCTTTCCCTAAATTAATTAATATAAAAATATTGTTTAATAAATCATAAAACATGAGTTTATGTATACCTTATGGATCTGAGCTAAAGCAGTGCTCGCGTCGACCCAAGAAGTCCGGGTGAGAAGGCTGTCATTGATTTGATTGTCTATGTGGTCACTCGGATCAGACAATTGACATTTATAACAACTTTCAAAGTCTTTCTTTGTCGTAATCATTATTATCATAAAGACATGACTTGGATGGCGTCCATCTCTGTTTGGGACCTCTTGTAAAACACAAATGGCACGAATTGTTACTCATTTAAGAACTAATTGGTTCACATGTGACCAAATGGTTATAATGGTTAGCATTGGCGATAAAATGCAAGAAATGCTACCAAAAGTGGTTAAGTTGTTGATTCAATATTTGATACAATGGTGTGAATAGTTGTGAGACGGACTCCACAAGTGCTGTGATGAGAGAAGAGCTCAATAGTGTATAGCTATGAGTGCTCTCTCTCTCTCTCTTTCTCCCTCTCCTTCTGTATGTTTGTCTTCGAGGTATTGGAGGTTCACTTGAGTTTGAGTTATAAGTTGTGCTTAACTTTTCTCTCTTCTCTCACTCTCTAAACTTAAGCTTAAGTTAAGCTAAAACTCAATACGAGTTTATGTTCACCGCTTTACTACTTATTAAACGTTATGTCAAAACTTGCAGTCTTTGGGGTAGTTTTGGTAGTGTTTGTAGCGCTGGTAATGTTGGTTGTGGTGCCTGAGCTGCTGATGAAGTTATAAAGGAAGGCTAATATAATTGTGACCACCAGTCCGTGTTGTGACCATTGACTCGCCCTAACTTTGGTTATGTCTATCCTATCACTGGTTGCCTTCATTTCACGGAAGATTGATTACTCTGATAATGTCTTTCCATTGGTTAAACCATCTCAAGCATTGACTGTAGTTCTTAGTCTCGCAACAAGTTTAAGAGTGAAAGGGACCACACAAGAGGTGTGGGGGATCACAGGGGGGTCACATGGGGATCACAGGGGCACTCAAACTACTCTTAGGAGGCAATCCTATGCCTATGATATTCAAATGCATTGGCATAGCCTAAGCACAGGCAGAGCACAGGCGGCACAGTCTGTGTTCAAATGCTAGCGTATTATAAAAACTTAAAATATAGATCTCTGTGTGCTCTGTGTGTGGCGGATGAGGTCATGAACGCCAGATTCACATATCAAGAGAGTGTCCATCAAGACTACACCAATATAACTATACAACCATTCAATCTATAACTATAAGACCAGGAGAGGAGCCCTACTCTGACTGTGTTGTTAAGCCAATGCTATTGACTGGTATGGTATATAGTATATACATATATATCTCATATAACCGAGTAGTATATGTAGGTAAATCCTTGGGTGGTCCCATTAAATCATTCCCTAAACGCACAATACATCCAATCCAGTCTCCAATGGACGCCACCTAACGATCCCTTCAATGCCTCCAACGGGTAATCATAAGATTCATATTATTTGCTTTTTATTTATATTCATTCAATTATTAATACCGATGAATATGAATATCAATCTTTAATCTCCAAAAATTGTTTGCATTACAACCATTGCAATCAAAACAATTACAAACATAAAATCCAATTAATATAATTTTATAGTTAGTTTTAAACAACAAATATTCAAATAATTTTTTATTACTCTTTATTCACTTAAAAAATTATGTCCTTTAAGTAATCAGTAAATTGTAGTATAAATGTAAATCATATGATAGGACACACAAGAGTTTAAAACAACAAAAATAAACAAAATATTTAATGTAAAATCTATTGATAATTAGATTGAAATAATATTTAAATAATAGATTGTTTGTTATGTTTAATGTATTATTACAATCACTTTTTAGTCGTAAACATTATTTTATATTTTTATATTTGATATCTAATTGAATTGTAAAGAAAAGTATATTTCATTTGAAAGGTTATAAATAAAGTTAGAAAATCTGATTATTGGTTACACTATGTGGTGGTCTCTGACTTGTATTGAAAAGAATCGATTAGTTATAGACAAGTATTAGCTATCAATTCAACTGAAAAATAAGTTTCGCTCTTCTCTTGTCTGTCGGCTTTCCGTTGCCTTTCTGTCCGCCAAAAACTACTTGTCTTACAATTTCACAAATATCTCCATTAATACCATTTTTAGTCAAATAATTATTTAAATTATTTTTCATCAAATTTCACTTAATTTGTGTAAAATATTTATAAAAACAAATTTCAATTCTATTAAAATGAAACTTTATATATAATTTACTGTATATACAGTATATATACAGTATATATCATATACAGTTGATGCCAAAATTTTAACCGACTCTTTGAGGGTTAATAGCTCGATAACCTAATAACAAAATATGTTAAATTTTTATATAACAAAAATAATCTCCCTATAAATATATCCTTAAATTTTCTAAAAATGATCTTGAAAAGTTTTTAAATTATAAAAAATTATATAATAATTACAATCAATAACTTATGTGATCATCTGAATGGCACTTAAAAGGACTCCATTAGTCTCAACATTAATTTAACTTAAATCATATTCCAATCAATGTTGAGATCAATGGAGTTTGTTTATGTGTCAGTTATTGATTGTAATTAATTTGTAATTTTTCATTTAAATTTCTATAATTTAAAAATTATTCAAGATAATTTTATTGTATATTATTGGAAATTATTTTCATTATATCAAAATTTTACAAATATTTATCTAGAAATAAACTCACAAAGAGTATGATATCAATTTGTCCTCAACTGTATATTAATGAAAATTCAAATTAAGTGTCACTTAAAATATGTATAGAGAGTAGAGTACATGTTTGCTATTATAGATAGTATTTACCGGTAAATTTATACTATACTATAGCTTAGTTTCCTAAATGTTTTAAACGACACTAAAATTACAATAGTTTACCGGTAATTAATATTAAAAATACAGTCAAACATACTTAAAGTTACATTTCTTAAATTTCATAAACTATATTAATAATACATATATAATACACATTTTTATTAAATGATATTTATATATAATTGTAAATCTTGAAAATATTAATTTAATTAATTATAATCACTTAATTTTATATAAAATATATTGAATCAACTTATAAAATAAAAATAATTTACACAAACCTTTATTAATCTCATTAAATATTAAATTATCGGTAATACTAACTTACAAAATACCTGTACTAAAAATAACACATAATTTGGGATCAAATAATAAGTCTTATATTAAGTAAAAGATTTACAATAAAAAATAATTTTTATAAACTTATTTAAAATAAAAATAATATTATAATGAAATATTATAATGAATTTTCACTTTATTAGTGATCTGATTAAAAGTTAGATCATCTGATCTGTTGTGAACATCGTGTGACAAGTGGTGAATCATTCAATATATTATTAATGTATTATAAATTACCACATATTATATCCGTCATCGTCTTTATCAAAAGCAATAAAAAATCCTAATATTGTTAAAAATACGACTGTATTTCCAAACAATACTAAAATACAGGCCCCGGTCTCGATCTGCAAATAACAAATAATAATTGTCAATATATACTGTATATACACTAAATATTCAATAGAAAACAATAATATATTTAAATAACAAAAAATATCTGTAATTTATCAAAACAATTGAATAAAAATAAAACACTATTATCAAATATATTATATTAATAAAATGATAATAAAAACGTAAATTAAATGATGTGACAAATAGTGTAATACTAACAACAGATGTTGGAGTAATCGGTGATCGACTTAAGACAATTGGCAATCCATATGCAGATATGACAATACCGGCCGTCAAGAAGAGAGCCAACTCTTTGCAAGCATTACTCGAGCCGACGTCGTCCTGATATCTTCGGGCTATTATTGTAGGCAATGGAGCCAAAACATAGAAGATCACCACAAAGAATGGCCACCAAGAACTACAAATAATTATATATAATCATTATATATATAAATATATATATATCACTCACTTATATGATGGCAGAGCACATCCCAACACTACTAATGTCATACCAACTGATCCGAGAAAAGCCAATAAAACCAAACTAAAAGACAAACAAATTATATCTTAATAACAATTGTTTTGAAGTGTTGTTTGAAAACTTCATATTTTACTTACGCTATAATTGGATAACAAAAGTCAAATAATTCATCAAATTTCGAGATATCACATGAAATGACATATTATTTGGCATTAATATCAATGAAAATCAAGTGACCATCGATTGTGACAAACCTTTAATTCCGGCCATAATTTGAAGCAATGATTATAAATGTGTGACAAATATTGACAAACAATCAAATGTCAAATCAATACTCTTTTCATACTATAGTCACTTAATTAGTCATTTAATCGCAAAAATATTATTAATATTAATATCAATAATCTTATCATTCATTGCTTTATTACATTAATACTGTTGTGTTGTATGTGTTGTATGTGTTGTCTGTGAAAGTAAACAATAATCCAAAACACAAATGACGACTAAGAAGTGGATCAACTGTTGGATCAATTTATCAATTATTATACATATATTGTATATATTATTAATATAAAAGTAAATCAATGTTTAATACAAATAATATGTTACTAATAGAGTGGAGTTTATTCACTTGATTTCATAGCATTTCATAAAAAAGTTTAATTAATTGATAACTTTTTCAAACTTTAATTATTTGATTAAATACACTGTAATTACAAATAGTTTTAAGTATAAGCATAACATTTAAACAGTTAATTGCGAGTCATTTTGATTTAATAAATTAATATATATTTTTAAACAATTTATAAATAATAGTTAAATTTGTTAAATATTTGTTAAACTAATAGTTTTTTATTGAATCAAAATTGAATGTATGATTCATACGATTCATATATAGAATACGTTTAACAATAACGAGAAGTCAGTGTACAGTATGTGAGCGCAGACTCTAATCATATGAGTAGTCATTGATATTATAAGTGAATAAATGTATTATTAGTATAGACTTTGAGTGACTCAACAATAATTCAGTCAATTCTAGACATTACTCGTCATTAAACCGACACTTGTTTTGTACATCACTTGTGGTCACTATTAGTATCATCTTTGGTGAGGATCTGTTTAAAGTTAAGACTAAAGCATTGAAAGTGAAGTAATGAGTGATAAAAAGGCAAAGTATGTTATTAATGACTGATTGCCGGTCGTCTTCAAAGACAAACAATTGATAGTTTAATTAATTGTCATTTTTCCTCTTTAGTCCCGAAGATTTAGCGACTGCTATATTGAAGACGAAACAGAAGCCAAATCGGCTTTTGGTTGAAGAAGCGGCCAATGATGACAACTCTGTGGTGGCCTTATCTCAGGTAATATAATAAACTAATTGTATTAATTGTCATTAGTTATGAAAATATGATTGGATGTGATTGTAGTCAAAGATGGATGAATTGCAACTCTTTAGAGGGGATACCGTACTCTTAAAGGGTAAGAAACGGCGGGAAACAGTATGTATAGTGTTGTCGGACGACTCGTGTCCTAATGAGAAGATCCGAATGAATCGATGCATTCGTAATAATCTTCGCGTCCGTTTGGGAGATGTTGTAAGTGTTCAGCCGTGTCCTGACGTTAAGTACGGCAAACGCATTCATGTCCTTCCAATCGACGACACGGTTGAAGGCCTTACCGGCAGTATATTTGATGTCTATTTAAGGCCATATTTTCTTGAAGCTTATCGACCCATACATAAAGGCGATCTCTTTATAGTAAGAGGAGGCATGAGAGCTATCGAGTTTAAGGTGGTAGAGACTGATCCGTCACCATTTTGTATTGTGGCTCCCGATACTGTAATTCATTGTGAGGGTGAGCCTATCAAACGAGAGGAAGAAGAGGATTCACTTAATTCTGTTGGATACGATGACATCGGTGGTTGTCGTAAGCAATTGGCACAAATCAAGGAAATGGTTGAATTACCACTTCGTCATCCGAGTCTATTTAAAGCTATTGGTGTAAAGCCTCCCCGGGGTATTTTATTATATGGACCACCCGGTACTGGCAAAACATTGATTGCCAGAGCTGTGGCCAATGAGACGGGTGCTTTCTTTTTTCTGATCAATGGTCCCGAAATTATGTCTAAATTGGCCGGAGAGTCGGAAAGCAATTTACGAAAAGCTTTTGAAGAAGCAGAAAAGAATTCACCGGCAATTATATTCATCGACGAATTGGATGCAATCGCACCAAAACGAGAGAAGACTCACGGAGAAGTTGAGAGACGTATTGTTTCTCAACTGTTAACACTTATGGACGGACTTAAACAAAGATCGCATGTTATAGTTATGGCGGCCACCAATCGACCAAATAGTATCGATGCGGCCTTACGAAGATTCGGTCGTTTTGATCGTGAAGTCGATATAGGAATACCTGACGCAACCGGAAGACTAGAGATATTACGTATTCACACAAAGAACATGAAACTCGCAGATGACGTGGATTTGGAGCGAATGGCTGCTGAAACTCATGGCTTTGTTGGCGCAGATTTAGCTGCTCTTTGTTCTGAAGCGGCTTTGCAACAGATTCGCGAAAAAATGGATTTAATAGATTTAGAAGACGACCAAATCGATGCAGAAGTTCTTAACTCTTTGGCCGTTACAATGGATAACTTCCGTTGGGCTCTTGGAAAGAGTAGTCCATCTGCTTTAAGAGAAACTGTTGTAGAAGTACCGAACGTGACCTGGGAAGACATCGGTGGTCTCCTTAATGTCAAGAAAGAACTACAAGAGATGATTCAATATCCCGTGGAATATCCCGACAAATTCCTAAAGTTTGGAATGACTCCATCAAGAGGTGTACTATTTTATGGTCCGCCTGGTTGTGGTAAAACACTTTTGGCTAAAGCAATTGCAAATGAATGCCAAGCGAACTTCATATCAATCAAAGGCCCGGAACTGTTGACAATGTGGTTTGGAGAGAGTGAAGCCAATGTTCGCGATGTTTTTGATAAGGTATGAATGATATATTTTATACTTACGGTAATATATTTGTTTAATTTTTGTTTAATCTCAGGCACGAGCAGCTGCTCCCTGTGTGTTGTTCTTCGATGAGTTGGACTCAATAGCCAAAGCTCGAGGAGGAAGTGTTGGAGACGCCGGTGGAGCTGCCGATCGAGTTATTAATCAAATTCTTACTGAAATGGATGGTATGAGTAGTAAGAAGAATGTCTTCATTATTGGAGCAACCAATAGGCCAGATATCATTGATCCCGCAATTTTAAGACCCGGACGTTTGGATCAATTGATATATATTCCTCTTCCCGATGAGGCCTCAAGAGAATCAATTCTTAAGGCGAACCTTCGTAAGTCTCCATTGGCTAATGACGTGGATTTGCAGTATATGGCCAAAGTGTCGCATGGATTCAGTGGCGCTGATCTAACAGAGATTTGTCAGCGCGCCTGCAAACTGGCTATTAGAGAGTCTATTGAATTGGAAATTAAGAGAGAGAAGGAAAGGGCTGACAAACCCGATGCGGCCGCTATGGTATAGATTTATAGGAAATATTTAAAAATATGACTAATTGTTTTGTTTATAGGAAGTGGAAGAGACAGATCCAGTTCCCGAAATCACTCGCAATCACTTTGAAGAGTCTATGAAGTTTGCTCGTCGTTCCGTCAGTGATGCAGACATCAGAAAATATGAAATGTTTTCTCAAACTCTGCAACAAAGTCGAGGATTTGGAACTAATTTCAGGTATTATTTTGAATTTGTAATCAAGTTTTATGGCTAATTAAATGACTTATTGTTTAACAGATTCCCTCAATCGGGTTCTGCTAATCCTTCCAATGAGTTCGCACCCGAAGGTGATGACGACGATCTCTACAGTTAAACCTAACCGTTAGACTTAGATTTTAGTGACAATGTTTTTATTCATATGATTGGAAACAAATTCACTGTTCATTTAATTATTAATTTTTTATATAAACTTCTTTATAATTAATACTATATTCAAAATCGTACCATTCAAGTGTCACTATATATATATATATTAAATTAATAATATATTAATAATAAAAATTAATGCTATTTTGAATATATTTAGCAGTTGTCTTATTACAGATATAAAATAAATTTTCACAAAGTTATTATTTATTTATAAATTACAATATATTTACAAATTCATATAATATAGTATATATATATATTTATAATGTATATAATGTACAAAATTTAATGGTAAGACTAGTTTCACTAAAAATTGTCATTTAATTGTTGCTGTAATGAGTAGTGGCGCTCAATAATACTGTCAAACGTCGAGTGCAATCAAATGTAAAAGATTGACAAAAAATGATTGGTTTGCTGTCAATATTTCACTTGAATACTAAAACTTATTATCACAACCATTGATCAAATACCACCAAAATTATTGTTGTCTACTTGTTATATAAATGTCAATAGTAATTGACTTATTGCCAATTGATTACTATATTCACGATTAATAGTTGCCATTATTAGCCAATACTTGCAATACTGTAATATTATCACTAATATTAAACTGAAGGTCCAATCAACACATGATTTATAGAGTGACCAACAAGTAGTGTGTTGTCAATAAAAACATAGTTTTAACCACAATTGCTATGTTATTGATATGCCGTTTGTGTGCATAGGATCTCACTTGATTGCACATACCTATCAAGTATTTTAAATTTCAATTTTAATAAATATTCAATAATTTTTATAACATTAATACATAATAAATCTCTGAGCGTAATAATTAATTTTGCTTATATAAGTATATTTAATTAGAATTTGATTATTTAATAATTACATTAAGCGCACAATGAAAACAACACTAAAAAATAATATGACTGTCTATGTGTTACAAATTATATGATGTAATCCATCGTATAATAAACTATACAATTGTTGTTTTCAAAGTGTTGGTTTCATTGTGCGCTTAATGTTAATACAATAATGTTTGGTTTATGTTAAATCCAAAACATAACAAAATATATTGTATAATTTAATTTATTTAAAAGTTTGTTTGATAATGTTTTTATGTAATAAAAGAGTGAATCGTTTTATTTAAATATTGTAATATAAACTAAATTCCTTTTATATAATTAAAAAATATTAGAATTTTAAATAACTATTAGCAGTCAAATAATATTTTTTTCCAGAAAAAATATGCAAAACTTTTAAATCATTATAAAATTATTTGCTAAAAATATCTAGAAAATCAAAATCTTAAGTAAAATTCATAAATTATTTTATTGAATGAGACAATCAATTTTGTATTGAAACAAATTGGTTTATATGGTTTATATAGTTAATGTCTATCGATATAATAATTTTAATAATACACTTAAAAATATTTTGAAAAATTAATAATTTGGTTAAAATATAAGTGATATTATACTGAAAAACTAAATTAGAATATTTATAAAAGTTATTAAATATTTTCAAAATACCTGTTATCTGACAAATAGAATTAAGTCTATAATAATTGCTTGTATTAACAAAATATCGATTAATTAGTTAATCAATTGAAATAAACAGTAAAATGACATTTCTATTGATCACAAACTCCTGACTACGTATATCTCCATTCTATAAGTCTGTCTGTCCGGTGTCCCACATATAGGTCAGTGGTTCGAAACCACGCTCTGCTACACATTTTTTTTAAATTTTTCTTTCTTAAGTTTATTTTATCAGGAACATAGAGAAAATGGTGTCCAAAACTTTTTTTAAATATTTTTTTTTAATTTTTAAGTTTAAATTTGTGTAAATAATCGAAAATAAACATTACATAAAGTATAAGTGATCTGCATTTAAATTTTTATCTCTAAGAACTTTAAGAAAATGTTAACTAATTAAGAATAAGAAATGTTAACTCTCTAAAAATTTAGGTTTAAATATTTAATTTGGTTAAGGAGTTCGTATGGAAATGCTTTCTAGAATTCTTAACTGCTTTTATATTAAAAACTATTTTCCGATTAATTTTATGTTGAATTTCTGAAAAAGTTTTACGATATGTTTTGTGTGTATTAAAATGTATTAATATATTAAGTGATTGAAATAAATTTCCATTACAATACTACTGTATAAATATTATAGTAATAAGCAATAAATTAACTTTTTAAACTTTTTTTAATTCACAATTTAAATATCTATACTTAAAGTTACGTCAATTTGAATCTTATAATTATAAAAATATACAGTATTTATTGTGAAAAAGTATATAATTTTTTGCTTGTAATGTTTACCACTACTGTAAATGTATTAATATTTATATAAATCAATGTAACACTAATTTTAGTAGTTTTATAAATCATAAAACTATAGATGACTTCTGATCAAACATGAAATTAGAAAATATGTAATAAAATTAAAATGTATACACAGTATCCAATAATAATTATTGTATATGTTTTATATGCTTTAAACAATTTTATATGTGATTATTAAAACTACAGTATATCTAAACTTTTTAAAACTAATTGATAAATTTTGATACAATTATAATACAGTATATGTAGATTAACTTATATTCAGTTATATAAACATATACCGATAATTATACAAGTGATAGAACAAGTATTATTTAGACTTTATTTGTCTAAATTACAGGTAATTAAAATTAATATTTATAAATAAAAATAGTAAATAATTCATACCTTTATTAATAAGACTGAGTGCTAAGTGACTGTCCCTGAAAGTGGCAAAGTTAGTGTTTCGCCTAAAACAAGTGTCACTACTGATAGTCATTTTGAGGTCGTGTCCGCTCTGATCGTAAGCAAAACAGTATTGTCGTATTCCTTCTTCATTTGAAGAGGCAATCAAAAAGTTGGTTCCGTTTTCACTCCAACCCCCTCGACATCTAAAATCTATTAAATATTTATCAATAATTACGGTAATATATAATTAATATTTAATCTTAAAATACACATTTTATATCTTACTTCTAATATTTTCATTAAAAGCGCATTTGGACTGGAGTTGTATGTGATCATTGGAATTGCACCGGGAGTTCAACAATGAATGTCCAGTACATAATAACAGTGATTTCTCATTGGAGGGAATCAATTGTCGATCATTTACATTATTATAGATACCTCCATCAGGAACATTGACTGCATATATGCCTTCAAAAGGACAGTCATATGTGTCGGGAGACATAGCTATTTAAAGTAAAGTTAAAAACAATAAATACAAAATTATCATAAATTTTACTAAAAAATTTTCTCAAATAATTAAACAATTTACGGTAGTAAACATTTTTTTATTACTGTAATTGTATTTAGATTTTGTAAATTATATTACTCACTGGTAAGTGTTAAGTATTTGGTGTGAAATGGTTTGAAATGATGTTGAGAACAGGCATCCGATGCCTGTTTGGCTGAATTTCCGTATTGTAATTCAATTATATGATTCGTACGTTTAAATATTCTTAAACATATATAACCACTTTTGCTGTAAAAATGATTAAATAATTAGTAATTAGAAAACTATTAGAATAAATATACGGAAGTCATACCATCCAGAAGTAAAGTGCACAACATATTGACTGACATCAAAGGCATCACTGGAGACACTGGTCGTGACATTCTCTCTGTTTATACAAAGGCTCTGACGAATGACTTCTCCAATATTTGTAACATTATATACAATGAATGAGTTGTTATTGCGATTGAAGTCATAAACATGAGAGCCATCCAATGACTTCCAATGTCTATGTAAGGTAAGCCACTTTGGGAATTGACATCTGGGTATTACACCGATTGTCTTATATATTTTCATTGTGCGGGAACCATCTTTCGGTGAAAGAAGGCCATCACAAGTGGCGTCACCAGATTGGGCGATCTCATAACCTTCTGGAGCGTCCTTTATCTTGTCGAAGACAAAACATCTGAACTTATCTTCATCAGTCTTAGCGGAATCATAATGTAGTTTTCCGACTAAATAACGATATGAACCTTCTTTCCAATCGGCAAAACACTCCAACTCTTCAACTGTAGTAATAAATATAATATTTGTAGTAAAATAATAATAAATAATTTCTATCAGATTTACCTCTGCTTTCTGATCCGTGAACATCAGCACAAGCTTTGAATCGGAAAAGAAGATGTTTGTCATCAGTACACGAATCGATTTGAGAGATCGGGTCTTTACATTCACCCGACCCTCGACTGTAGCTAAAAGTAAACGGTCCTTGAAATGGGCACTGGACTGAAGGTATGTCCACTGTTGTTGAATATTGTAAAATATAATTATATCATTTATACTGTATGTTAGTTTCAATTGTATAACTATATCTTACATTTAAAAAGTGAATATAACGGTGCGTCGCCATTGATCTCCGAACAAACACTTTCTATAGATAATCGACCGTCAATTGGATGACAACTGAATGCTAATTATCAATAAATTAATAATAACTGTTAGGGAACTAAATCTGATGATAGCATTAATATTGTATAACTGTTTTTATGTTTGAAAATTTGATAAAAATTTTCATTTAAGACAAACACTTACTTTCTTTATATTGAAGTAAATTTGGATGTCTTTCGTTAATTACAAGACAACGAACACACTTCTCATTGCTAAAGAATAAAGAAATTATAATAAAAAACATACGATATTTTGGTGTTATTTGTGATCAATAGTTACCGGTTCTCAATGAGAAACTTTTCTCCATTACTTTGTCGACAAATGCCTTTTTCAGAGATACTTGAATTGAATATTTTGATAGAGTCTGGAACTCCTTTCTGGAACCAATTGCCGGTCCAATTGTGAGGAAATTGACACTCTGTATACATCATATGTTAGATATTAGGTCACTATAAATGACATATTAATTACAACAATACCTGTCATAACTGATCCAATACATGTCAACATTAATAATAAATACAAATTTAAATGAAAAGTCCCATTAATTGATCTACACTTTGGTTTAAACCAATTTGCAAACAAATTTGTCAAAGAGTTGGTCACACAATGTAACCGATGGACGTCTTGATGACATCTCATTTTATCCACATTTTTTGCATACATCGAGTGAATGTCGACGAATGGACACCAAGAAGTAGTGTTGTTGTCATCAAGTGTTGGTATGTGTGTGGGATGTCTTGTGGTACTCGACATGTCAAACATCTTTAGACAAGTAAATAGACAACGAATCATATATTAATATGTCTTGTAATGAGTGATCCAGTGATTGCCATCCTAGTGGTCATTGGTATTGATTGATTGGTTTGGACATCAAATGGTCATAATATTTGATGAAATGGTCTTCACATCAATTGTTACAATCAATCCATAGTTTAGTCAATCGATTCAATACATAATCAATGAGTCAAACACTCAATCCATTCATTTATCATTCAATAGTAATAGCATTGCATTCCATTCACATCACTATTATATACAATGATTACTCGTCAGTCAGTATACTGTATATACTATAGTCTATACTCTATATCACTAATATATGTATAATAGCGCTAACATAACATATATTACATAACAAACTCTATATACTATATATACTATACAGTATTGAATACACTGTATACACATAATACCAGTTATAAACTGAGCCATTTTCATCACGTAAACTTCCCGTAAACTTCCCGTAAGTTTTCTCTAATTATATTATTTCAAATACCTATAGTATTAAACAAAGCTACTACTACTGTACAGTATATATACTTTTGTAGATTTAATTATTAATTGGTTTCTATTCTAATTGTTTGAATATAAAACTAGTTTATTATTTGTAAAATATTGATTAACATAGTTATAGTAACAATAGTTAATAAAGTTACTGTAAATTGCTGTAATGTTTGTCTGGTATTTGGGAACATTATGATAGCTATAGTATTGGTTATTCCACCCAACAATATGGTTGACATATAATTATAGAGTAGTAGTAGTAATACAACAATACATTACTATTGGACATCATGTGAATGCCGTCCCCTAAGACCCTCTCTATTATCAATTGAACGGCTATTTTGCTGTTCATTACATAAATTTGAAGCCAAACTAACATTAAATGTTTTTTATTGTTATATATACTAAACTAAAACACAATACTTATCACAAACATATGTATTACTAAAGTTTTTCAGATAAAAATGTATTGCAATTGATATTAATATAGCAATCATTGCAAGCGATTAACACTAAAATAATTCATTAAACATAAGTCACGTCTCACTACTAGTGTATAGTTTTTGCATATAATTTATATTTAATTAGATTTTATTTTAATCTCAATTAAAATATCGATTAATTTATTCATTAATATCTATAAAAATCCATTAATTGATTTATAATATCATCTAAATATGATTCACATTCATCTCACCTAACATTTCATGTAATTATCTTTTAAAACACGATTCTTATAGTTTTGAATTATTTTTACAAATGTTAAAATGAAATGTTAATATTGATCAACAATAGTCATTATGATTCATCATATTATGTATAAGTACTGTATTTATATATCGTATATATAGTATTATTGCAAATTTTGTCAATAATTTTGTTTAACAATACTTCTATAAATTTATTAGATAAACAAATATAATTTTTTATATTTTAAAAACTATGCCATCAAATTACAAAATAAATAAAATGCATGAATCTATTGAATATAATATTATTAATAATATACAATACTATATGATATATTTCAAGTAATTTGATGCAAAAATGTTTTGACAAATTTGAGAAATAAAAGTAATTTAATTGAATAGAAAATGTGATTAAATTGTATTAACTATTTATATCGAAACCATTTTTTAATGATAATATAGTTTTATAATTAAAGCATAAAATTTCAATAATAGTTGAATTCAAAGAAATTATTAGAAATAAAAGAAACCATTTATAGCTAACTCATCACAAATTCCTATCTCTATCTCCGGGTGTTTAAGAGTGTCAGTGTTTGCAAGTGTTTGTTCATAACATATATATATATATATCGGATCCGATTTCTTTGAATTTCAAAACAAAACATGATTTCAAATAATGAAAACATTTGTAAGAAAAGAAAGAATAAATTGATATCATTATATGTTTTGTATTTTTTATGTTACATCTAAACAATAATTATAGTGAGAGTCGTGAAAATAATTGAAGATAATATATTTTATAACATATATTTAATAATCTGTTATTTTATTTTTTTGCATTCAAATTATTAAAAAATCAAATGTGATTCTTTATATATCATAAATATTATTATCATAATAAAAATATTTTCATTTCCTATTATTAATTTTACTATAATAAGTTACGATATGCTATTTATAATAGTTTGACTATATTATTGAAGTAGTTAAATAATATTTTGTTAGTATTGAATTACATTATATATTGCAATAATAGACTTTTTTAAACCCTTACAATTTATTATTATATTAAAACTGTTAAATAATAAATAAAGTATATTATAAATTATAATTTATAATATTTTAATGCTTGTGTAAATTTACGTATGCTAAATTACACTAAGGTAATAATAATAATAAAATATAAATAACGGTTTATATACCAATCATCTAATATAATATTATAATTTAAATTATTTAAGTATTTATTTATATACAGTAACAATTTTAATATAATATAATATGTCTAATAATGTAATAATTTACTATATTATATAATAATCAGATAATAATAAATAATATTAATAAACTTTAACATTAACTCAACAATTCTGTTGCAACTGATGTTTGAAATGAAACAAAACTTTCTCTCAATTTTTCTGTAAATCAAATACATATTTCTATAACAATTTTATACTATAATTATAATGTATATTTTTTTATTTGAATCAACATGTTATGATTAATAATAAAGATTATTATTATTATTTAAAAAAAATTGATGAAAACATTTGTATCTAAATCAGCTACAAAATATCCCAGTTCTAAATTGCCGGGTATTCTAAAATAATTAATCAACAATAATATTTAAAAATACAAAATTTTAATAAAACAAATAATTTACATAATTTCATAATTGTTATTTATTTAAAAATAATTTATTAGGATATTAGGATACTAATTTGTTTTAGAAAAGGTTAATTATTGATTCAATTTTTGTAAATATAAAAAACAATAGATGCAACACACAAATCACAAAAACTATTATATCTATATAATACAAAACAAATTATAATTAAATAAATTTTAAATCCATCTTTAATTTAAAATAATTAAATGTGAAAATATTACTTTTTAGTGTTAAATTAGTAAAAATTAAATCGAAAGTGTTTATTACAAATAATTATTAAAATGCAGTTAAAGTAATGACATATTTAATATATTAATATACAGTACATACTATATATACAAATATGTATATATGAATTTTGAAAACATCTAAAATTTTATTAAAAGTATAAATTAATTGAGTTTATTCACAAATTAAAAGTTTATATATGATATAAGCAGTAAATAAAATGGTTGAAATCAGTAATTTATATATTAATTTTTATTAGAAACAAATTTATGAATAATTAATAATAATTAGAGCATACAAATCAACTTTTTTATAAATATTGGAAAATACCATTTACTTAAAGCAGAAAAAAACTTTTTGATAAAATTTTTATTTAGATTATAAATATCTTTCAATCGTTACAAAATTTTCATAACTATTTAAATTTTTTTATAGCAGTTATTATAAATTTAAGATTTTAATAAATAAATAATTATTATTATACAATTAAATTAATTATCATAAAATATAATTTTTTTAGTAATTTTTTGGTTAATTATACAGTAATTTATAATCGTATAAAAAACTATGAAATATATACAGTATTTATTTATTATAAATTTATTTCAAATAATGTTCAATAGTTTGTCGTAATTGATGTCCAATTGAAGGCGTATTCACTAAAACATTGAATGTTTTGATTGCAATTTAATTATATTTTTTTTAATTTACTTTTGATTTAGTTTTGATTTATTTTTAAAATCTATTTTTTTGTTTAGAATTTGTAAGTAATTTGTTAACAATTTTTCTATTAATTAAATGAATAATTAGTTATAATTTGATAAATAATTTAAGTATAGATTGAGTGTCAAAATGACGGCAATTGTGGGTCCGATAGTAATAACAGCCATTTGGGCCGTCGTTGGCATTGTTTTACCATTTCTGGTACCCAAAGGTCCAAATCAAGGGTATGTCATACTTACTAATGGTTGGCATTCATCACATTTAAACACATTTTTGGTTTATTATAAACAAATTAAAACTATTTTATCATATTATAAATCTAATGAAATAATTGCTAATAATTTTCTATTTAACGTTACGATCAAAGTTTGACATATTATAACATATGATATTATATATAGCTATAAATTTATAGTTTAATTGTCGTATAAAATGAAGTTTTCAACAATAATTGAATGTCAGACAAGTATTTGAATTTTTAGTGATTATATGTATATTGAATTGTAAATTAATAACTCATTAAATATTTAATAATTATAAAAATATCGGGAATCGGGTCCTTAGATCATGTTTTAGTGAATAGACTTTTATTTAACTTATAAGTGGCTAATCGGGAAAATATTTGTTTTAATGTAATGTATTTCTAGAGAACACTTAATAATTATGCATTAAATAAATATACGACATGTTTATTTCAATTGATTAAATTTATTACAGTATTATTATTATTATTATTATTATTAAATAAATGTAATGAATGCCAACAATTGATATTTAACTGTAAATTATATCCAAATATAATAATTATTGAAATCAATGATAGAATCACACGAACTGTATTAGTGACGACTGCCGTCTCTTGTTATGTACTGTAAGTGTTTTGATGACTATTTGAATGCATTGACTGAATGTTAAAATTGGTATTAATATTAATAATTATTAGATGGCTTTGCACTTTCATCGCACAATTAAACCCATTATTTGGACCTCAAGTGTCAAATATAACATTAAGTTTGATGTATTTGGATAAATTTTAATACACATTTTGGATCAATTTTAATACACATATTTCCACTTATTTATTATAATCAAGTTGTTATATAATTGTCAAGTTTACAAATAAATATTTATATTTAAACTAGATATATTTATTTAAAATTTAAATATTGTTAATACTTGAAGTGTTATTAATGTCTATTTTCAATATTATTTAATGTTTTTACCAAATCTGTTAAAATAAAACACAAATAAATAGAAGAATTTATACAAATATTTAGAATAGAATTTTTATAATATCTTTAGATAAAAAATGTCATTTAATTGTAAGACAAGAAAAATGTATTGATTATAACATTTCTATTTTTAATGTAACATAAATATTAAAATAATAATAATAAATTGATTTTATTTTATATATTTTAAAATTGTTTTTTATTTATTCACTCTTAAATAGAGTTAACGATTTTTAAACAATTATATTCCATAAATAGATTTTTACAAAGAAATCTAATTATATTACCGTAAAATACAAATTAAAATTTGTGAATATTAGTATATAATAATATGTAAATATTAAGATTTAAAAAATAATTATACAAAATTAATTTGATATGACTCATTTTAAATTATGATGTTTAGACAAATTAGAAACAACAATAAATAAATAGGCAATATATTAATTAAATTAATAAAATCATTTTTGTGTAAATGTATTAATGTTTTAACGTATAGTTATAATATATTAGTACATTACAAGTGTATTCATATACTATATATATAGTGTAGTTATATACTGTATATAAATTTATAAATTATATGTAATTATTAAATATTATATATTACATTGTAATATATGTATATTCCATACTGTTATTAATGTTAAGAGATATTGAATTTTATAGAAAAAGCTTTTAATTATTGAATTGTGTGATACGTTATGTAAATTGTTGTGTCAATCAATAGTCGGACCAATTAGACGATTATACAATTGTAATGTATTGGCAAATATATGCAGATTTCAAACCATTTGATTCATTGGTTTTAGTCTGTCCTTGACTTCTTCATAACACTGATTCCATAGCAACTCAATTGTGTTTCAAACATTACTTTCAAATCAAATAAAAATATATATGAATATTAGTTATATATATAAAGATAATTATGAATTTAGTTAAATATTTTCGAAAAATTAATTAAATTTTAGAAACACATGAATATGTTGTTATTGTTGGTGTTGTCCAACTAATTGTGATCAATGATTATCCATTTAGTTATTTTCATAAATTCCTATATTATTGTTAACATAGAAATTGTTGAATAAGTCTAATATTAGTATATTCTGTGATATATTGTGTTAATAAATATAAAAAAATTTCAATTGTATTATTTTCTATGGCTTCAGAAGCTGTTAAAGTGATAGTCCGGTGCCGACCATTAAATCAAAGAGAAAAAGATCTAAATTGCAAAGTATATTCAGTTTTAAATATTTATCAATTATTTATAAATAAAATATTATTAAATTTAAATTAATAGGCAATATTAGATATCGACCAGTCATGTGGTCAATGCTCTATCAATAATCCAAATGATTTAATAGGTCCACCAAAAACTTTTTCATATGACGGCGCCTATTATATAGAAGCAACTACTGAACAAATCTATAATGAAATTGCATTTCCTTTAGTTGAGGTTTCAAACTATTATATTATTTATATTATTTAAATTATTAAAAAATTAATTACAAATAATTTATATGATTATTATAAAGAGTGTAACCGAAGGATACAATGGGACAGTATTTGCTTACGGACAGACCGGTTGTGGCAAATCATTTACAATGCAAGGAATCAATAGCCCTTCCTCTCAAAAAGGCATTATTCCCAGGTTTGTCATATTTGTGTAACTCTTTTAATTTTTTAATAATTTAATTTTAATTAATAAATCGGACCTCAATGTCATCGATCAATTTTTTCAAACGAGCTTTCAGTTTTTCTCATATAATTATTAAGTTTTTTATATTTATTTTTAAATTAATAAATTTTTAAAAATCTTAAATCTAGTTCAATATTGTTATACATTTCACTTCTATAGTTTGATTAATCAAATTATTGATATAAAATATAATAACACAAATTGATTACACTATACTGTATATTGACTAATATTTAAAAATATTGTTTAAATTTTTATATAAAAATATAAGCAATTATTTATTAAATATTTTATTTATAGATTAAAACTGATAGGGTTATAATAATTTACAATTTTGAAAATTAACTTAAATAATATTGGTATTTAACAATCTATTATATATATATATTACAGTATATATAATAAAAATAATTATTAAATATATTGTAAACCAATTTTTTAGATCATTTGAGCATATATTTGAAGCGATAGCTACCGCTGAAAATACAAAGTTTTTAGTATTGGCGTCTTATCTTGAGATATATAATGAAGAAATACGTGATTTGTTAGGAAAAGACACTAAAAAGAAATTGGATCTCAAAGAGCATAACGACACCGGTGTTTATGTGACTAACCTATCAACGCATACCGTTAACGACGTCAAGAGTTGTGAACAAATAATGGACAGGGGGTGGAAAAATAGGTCAGTCGGCGCTACACTCATGAATGCCGACTCTTCAAGAAGTCACTCTATATTTACTATATATTTGGAAAGAATGGACATTGAATTGAGTGATGATAGTGATAGTAATATAAGAAAAGGTAAATTAAATTTAGTTGATTTGGCTGGAAGTGAAAGACAGGGTAAGACAGGAGCTACAGGTGATCGACTCAAAGAAGCGACTAAAATAAATCTATCACTTTCTGCTTTGGGAAATGTCATCTCAGCACTGGTTGACGGAAAAAGTAAACACATTCCTTATAGAGACTCAAAACTTACACGACTTCTTCAGGATAGTCTCGGAGGAAATACAAAGACTTTAATGGTTGCCTGTCTTTCACCAGCAGATAATAATTATGACGAAACACTTAGCACTTTAAGGTATGCAAATAGAGCTAAGAATATTAAAAACAAACCTAAGATTAATGAAGACCCAAAAGATGCTCTTCTGAGAGAATATCAACAGGAAATCATTCGTCTTAAAAGTCTGATCAATGGTCAGATACCCGACGATAATCGTAAGTTAATACTAATTAATTTATTTTATAATTAATACAATATAAACAATTTTGTTTAGATATAAGTCCAGTGAGTTATAACATTGATATCGAAAAAATTAAAGAAGAGTATGACTTAAAAATGAAAGATTTGGCCGCAAAATATAAAGAAGAAATGGAAAGCAACGCAAAACTTAAAGAAGATATGAATAAATTAAAGTCTAATTATGAACAAAAAATTACTGAAGAAAAACCACAATTAGGTGTGACTTTAGATCACAATCATAACGACAACATTGAGAATACAAACATTATTGAAATGCAAGCGCAGGCTATGGAAAGATTACAAGCAATTAAAGGCCAAATGGTTGGCGGAGAAAAAGCTAATGATATCGAGTTTATAGAAAAGAGAGACAAACGTAAAAAAATTGCGGAGAAAAAGATAAACGCTATCTCTGAGGCATTAACCAAATTAGATGACAATGACGACAGACTTTTACTTAAAGCTTATGGAGATATTACAGAAGATCTGAGAGTAAGAACTATTTTGTTAAAAAAAGCTAAGAAAAAGATACAGGCATTGGAACAGGAGGTCAATGATCTTCAAAGTGAATTTGAAACGGAACGCACAGGTAGTTTAGTATTTAGATTAAATGCAATATAGTGTTGAAATTAATTTTTTTAAATCAATTAAATTTTAGATTATTTGGAAACAATTCGTCGACAAGTCGGACAAATCAAATTGTTGTCACAAATCCTTGAAAAGGTTGAGCCTTGTCTTCGACGAGATTGTAATTATGCAAACATTGATAAAATTAAAATGGAAAGCGTTTGGGATGAAGATCTCCAGAAATGGCGATTACCTGATTTGGTTGTCTCTCAGACAAAATTACCGCCACCTCCTGGAGGTATGCAACAGGGAGTTAGAGAACAGGCACTGTCTAATAATTATCGACCAAACTATGATAACACGTCACCTAATGGTGTTACCATTAATGGAAATGAAGAAAATGGAAGTGATGGCAATCCTTCTGAAGACAGATTATTCTTAAAATTAGAAAAGGCTGCTCAAGAAGATATGGTTACCAATTATTTTAGACCAAAAAGAAGAGATCAGCTCTTAAGCAAAGTAAAGTTAAGTAAGTATACTATTAATTAATAGGTTATAAAATATCAATTATTAGGTTTTCCAGTAAACGAAACACTCAGGTGTTTTGAATTATCAGATCGACACAAGAAAATTATTAATAAACCCAATGATATCAAATCAACTTCTCATTTGAATGTAAAGATTGAAGACATTGATAACGGTTCCAATCGACACAAATTTAGTCAATCTGTGCCTTTAGTGCCAAACAATAAGTCAAATGATACGACATTAACAACAAGTAGTGGAGGATCTTTAAGTGCCGGCGAAAGTTTCCGAAGACAATTCCCACATCGACTCGATAGACTCGATATTATACCTCATTTTAATATAGGTTTGACTCAGTATATAATTTATATAATATATAAGATTACCGGTAATATATATATATATAATTTTATTCTTAACGAATAATTTTTTGTTAAGCCTTCAGGTACTAAAATATTAGGATAATATTACTATTGATTTTATATAATAAATATTTAAAAACGAATCATTTATAAGAATTACCAAGATAATTTAACATATTTTTATTTATTTAATATTTTTAAAAAACTATTATAGAGTAGTATGAATAACAACAGATAAACTTAATATTTATACACTAATCCCTAACAAAACCTAACAATTTTGATAATTAGTTTAAAAATTAATTTTACTAATCTGTTATTGCATAATACATTGCATATTACATTATTTGTATCATATTATTAAAAGAAAATTCATAATTATAAATAATTATTTTATTACCTAAAAAAATATGTATTTGTTGGTCAAAAATGATAAAAACGATTTGCAAATATTTACTAATTATCTAATTTGTAAATTAAAAACATGCTAAACTTTTATATTATATTAAATTACTTATTTGTAGTCTATTTTGTTACCCATTACAATATATTAATGCATTAATGCTAATAACTAAAACAAACGTTTTTATAGAAATATAGAATATCTGCAATAATACAATAATAAATGTTAATAATGTATATAAATAAAAATTATATTATAATAAATGCAATTCTCATTTACCTTATATTTTATTTTTAGAAAATTAATTCTTACCATAAAAATATTGTATTAGATATTAGATTTATATAACGTTTTACCTTAATTTATATTAAAATAGAAAAAAATATTTTTTTGAGATTTTTATATCTTGAATATTTAAAGAATAAAATTTGAATTAAATAATTTGCTTATATGTGAAATATACTCATTTAAATGTATTCATTCATATACTCAATTAAATTACAATTTTAATAAAGCATCAAATATACTATATATTAGTAAAAATTTATAATTACTTTATTTATCAATAGGTTCTCCTAGTGTTCGCATAGGAAATAATAATATTTCAAATACCGATTTAAGAAACAACATTAAAAACATGTTTAAAAATTGACCATGCTATATTATGATATTTTATTATAACATATACACTTAAATATTTATATTTATAAAATAAATTTTCGAAAATGTTAATTATATTATGATAAATTTTATTTATATATAATGTATATAAATATAATTTTATTTTTATTTTTAATATAAAAATCATCTATTTTATTAAACAATCAATATATGTATAAATATAATATGAGCATATTATGTACGGTATATCTATTTCAAACTTATTTTAAAAATTTAATATAAGCTATTATACAGTATATTTAAAAAATAACTTTTTAAAAAAATAAAATGTTTATAAATAAAACAATTGCAAACAATAATTACATTTTATTAGAAAAATAGTAATAAATGAAATTTAATATATACAGTATATATACCTATATCTGTATATTAAATATTAAATATTGAATTATATAGAGTATGATATAAATAGATAAGTGGTATAACCTGCGGGCCATATAAGATATAACACATGTATATACAGTATGTATGGCTTATATACTATATATATATATTTGGCTGAGTTTGCCATTGCTTTGTATTATTGAATGCCATTCCATGATTGGCTTCACTGATGGACTATTGGTTGAGTAGTCACTCACCCAAAACATCTCACATAACATAACTTCACCACTGGTTTGATGAATGTGTTTATCAACAAAACATATAATAAAATAACAAAAATGATAAAAATGACAAAAATTGGTCAATAATTTACACAACTTTCAAATTATGTGAATTTTATTGTATATTATTTCTAACAATTTGTTTAAATCATTTGATAAATAAATATATGAAAAAATAGTAAATTATGTATAAAAATAAGATAATTATAAATATTGATTGATATCAATGAAAGAATTAAGAGATTATGGAATTATGGACTAAACGGGGCATCAAATGGACTGCAAATACAATCACTCTTTTGGTTAGTTATTACATATTGTTATCAATTTATTAATCAATTTTACTAACAATATATGTATAATATTTTAGGTGATCTTCATTTGTTTGGAAGTATTTATTAAATGTTATGCAAAGACTACTTATTATAAGAGCACTAAATTGAAGGTATATATCATTTATATCATATGATTGATAGTATAGATTGTAATAATAATATAATAACAATAATATAATACATAAAATCAATTGATATGTAGAGTAATTGTAGAGCGAAGTCGTCTTTTCTTTGGTCAATCAAGAGAAGTGCATCACTTGAATCACTTGAAGAGAGTCCAGTTTCGTACTTCTTCGGCACCATTCATGTTCCTTATACTCGTGTTTGGGATTCAATCCCAAATCGGGCCAAAATAGCTTTCCAGACGAGTCATAATATATTCTTCGAGTTGGATCTATTGAATCCATTGACGGCCTCGACTTTATCCAAATGCCAAATGCTGCCAAAAGGTGTTAAACTTATAGATGTACTTCCAAGTGATCTTTATTTAAGACTAAGAAGACATTTAGATTATGTCAGACAGAAGTTGCCCTCTTGGATGACACCGGACCAGAGGGCGCGCGGATATTATGCACAATATCTTTATAACGCTATAACTCACAACTGGCAACTCAAAAGACCTGTTTGGGTGATGTTAATGATTAACTCATTGACTGAAAGTGATATCAAATCAAAAGATATTCCTGTACTTGACATGTATTTAGCACAAGAAGCACAACGACTTAATAAACAGATTGGATCTGTTGAAAGGGTAAATCAATTCATATAATTACCACATTTGATGCTCTGATGGTTTAACACTAGATATAAGAAGGCGGTCAATCAATCTTGAGCGGCGTATTTTTTGAATAACTTTTGAACGGTTATAGATAATTTAATTCTGTAAAATACATTTAAGAATATCATATCGACCACACTTAATATACACGAAATCATAAAACTAGGATGACCATATATACAAAATACCGGGACCAACGCAAGACACTATGCTACAGGTCAAACAACAACAGACTAATTTTTTATGACAATGTAAATTTGTAGTCAAGAAATAATAGTTTAATATAAAAAAAGAATCATCAAAATCGGATTGGTACTTTTATTTTTATACCTTGTTAAATTTGTCATAAATCACATTGTATAAAATTGTCTAGAATAAAATTGACGTTATTTGTAAATATTATATACTTATTAAATGAAGATTTTCATGTTATCACTAAATCTAAAAATAAAATTTTAATATGTCGACTAGTTTTCGAAATAATCGACTTTCAATATAAATTATAATATCAAATTACAATAGTGTGATTCATATTGAAAGTCGATTATTTCGAAAACTAGTCGGCATAATAAAATTTTGTTTTTAGAAATAATAATATAATTGAAAATTTAATCTTCTAAATATATAATAGTCATAAATAACGTCAATTTTATTTTAGACAATTTTATACAATGTGATTTATGACAAATTGAACAAGGTATAAAAATAAAAGTACCAATCCGATTTTGATGATTCTTTTTTTATATTAAACTATTATTTCTTGACTACATATTTACATTGTCATAAAAAATTAGTCTGTTGTAGTTTGACCTGTAGCATAGTGTCTTGCGTTGGTCCCGATATTTTGTATATATGGTCATCCTAGTTTTGTGATTGTGTGTATATTAAGTGTGGTCGATATGATATTCTTAAATGTATTTTACAGAATTAAATTATCTCTAACCGTTCAAAAGTTATTCAAAAAATACGCCGCTCAAGATCGATTGACCGCCTTCTTATATACATATATAGTAAATATGTTTAAAATGTTAGGTTGAGGAGCAATGTATACCATTAAATGGACTCAACTTCTCTCAAGTAGTGTTTGCATTGAACCAAACCCTATACCAACACGAAAGCATAAGACTCGGCATTTTAAGCTCAACCTTAACCACTGATGACCTCATCAAACATTATAATTGTGGTTATCTTAATGAACTCATCTTCAACTACGACACTTCTCAAGTATAATCTATACTATATTTTATGTAATTAATAAGTTAAGACTTAATATATATCATCAACTAATAGGTTCCTAAAATAATAAGAAATAAGAGAACTCAAGATATAGAGTTAGCCAAACAAATAGATAATTATTTTAAAAGTGAAATAATTATTAAAAGAAATAAAAGAATGAGTGAAAGAGTGGTTACAATATTGCAAACAAATCCAAATCAAAGTTTTTTCTTTGCTTTTGGTACAGGTATTACACTTATCACACAATTTATTATTGCATTTACCGGTAATTTTTATATTATCTATCATTTTAAGCTCATTTTTTAGGCAACTATTCAATCTTCAATTATATGAAAAATAGTGGTTTTGAGATCAATCAGGTAATTGACTCGCGACCCAAACCCAGGTAATTGCTATTAATTGTAAAATTAGTTTATTTTGCAATTTTCATTATTTTATATTAATAATTAATTTGAAAACAATATGATTATCATTTATAGACGCTGTAAATATCATTGTCGCACAAAAATCAAGAATTAATGAAATCATTTTACATTTTTGTATTTACTTTAATATTCCCAGTAATCAAATTTATATACTAAATAAAAATTAATATTTCATTTAAATCTGTGATTATTGCTTTTGGCTATTATTTTTAAAATAAACATTATTAACATTATTATTACTTAACAAAATGTTTGAAAAATTTTATAATGAATTTTGAAAGAATGAAAATAAAAAATACAATATATATTAAATGTTTGTATAAATTATTGGTGAATATAATAGCAAATAATTAGATTAAATAATTGATTGAATTAGTAGTAGTAGTAAAGTAATCAAACCATTCAAACCCATCAAACCCATGAAAACCCATTCAAACCCATCGTTTCCTATTTGATGAGTTTGGATGCTATTAATCATTAGTAGAGACGACTGCGCGATCACGTGTATTCTCAAGCAATAACAGCTTTAATTAATACCCGGCTCCGGGTGTAGTGTTATCGACTTGAAAGTACACCCGATTGCTCAGTACTTATAGCACCCAACTTTCATTTAGTCTATAATTAAATTACCCATATATACAACACTTATATTATATAACATTATATATTTATACATATACTTTATGCTTATGTATTCACTCACAAACACATCACTTGTTATATGAGTCTAATATTAATCATCAAACGTCAACATATGGTTAAACTTTTAGCAATTAGATAATGTATTATAAGTTTTATTATAGTTTTTGCTTTCAATACTTTTAATCAAATATCAAAATCACATATATTTATCATAAATTATATATACTATGTATATGATTAGTATTATATATATAAATATTTATATATATATATTAATGCATCGATTGATTGGTCACTCAATGCAACCAATATTTTGGTAAATCGGGAGAAATAACGAAAAAACGTTTATTTATTTATTTATTTGAAAAACACGACTAACTCTCACAACGTCTAAGTCTTAACTAAACCAAACTGAATGCGCAACTGAAGACCAAGTGATAGCTAAACCACTGTTTGCTATATAACAACAAATGTTAGAATAAAGTACTGTAAGTACAGTACAGTAAGGCATACAAAGTTGAGTCACAATTGACATGTCATGTCATGTCTACTAACTTTACTAAACTATAGCCGGCAAAGACATTGCGCAAGTTTTACTCAGGACTACGTCACTAACATATACATTGTTTTCAGTAAATTAAATAAAATTAATTTGAGTACAGAGTAGACCATAAACTATTATAACAAATAATATAAAATATAAATATTATAAATATATAACAAAACATTATTTAAAAATACAAATTAAAAAAATATTTATAGATTAAATGTTTAAGATAATTTTTAAATTATAAATAAAATAAAAATTAAATGTTTTATACTAAATTAGTTTTTAAAAATTAGAAATTAAATATAATTATTTAACTAATAAAAATATAAATAGACAAATCTTACTTAATGTTAAATAATTTAATAGTTTAATAAAAACTAAATTAAAAAACAATTTTAGTAATTTTTAAAAATAATTTAGTATAGATCATTAAATTAAAAAATTATTTTAAACATTTATTCTAAAAATGTCTTAAAGATTATTATTTTAAAATAAGGTTTTGTTATATAATTATAATTATATATTTTGCATTTTTTGTTACAATAGGTTATGGTCCACTCTGTATGGTTCAAAATCATTTTATTTATTTTACTGAAAACAATGTATGAGTATATGTTTGTGACTGAAGCCTTGCAGAACTTACAGCCTGTTGCGCACCTGTAGGTGCCATCGATACCGTGTGGTGTCGACAACTTTAATATAAGTAGTTGAACCTTATAGTGCACATCATTAACTATATAACATAAATTTAATATTAATATAATACCATTCAAATAGTATCGGTACTGATAATATACAGTACAAAATTATCAAATCAATGGTCAATCACTTGTACACCGAAATAAAACATTATATAACAAGTTTTTAAAAATATGGTATAAATTACATTTTAGTAATGTATTATATTTGCTGATAAATTATCAATTTTGCAAATATATTAGAATAATACCTTTTTATTAATACTGTGATATTTATATATTATATAATATATATATTAACAAAATACAATATAAAAAATTATTTACATTTTATTTTTTAAAACGTTTTGTTGCTTTTGCTTAACCACAAACAATATTAACTAAAATTTAAAGTATTTTGTAAATAAAAGACTGTTTAGTTTAAAATACAAATATATTACTTATTTGAGAAATGAGTGTTTAATACAATTAAAGGAAGGGTGGATTAAAGGAAGGGTGGATTAATTGGGTTACTTTCACATTTCAACAAATACTAACTAAAATCAACATTACATACAGTATACTCTATACTCATCTATACAATACATACGATATATTAATAATATTATACAATGTAATGCAAATATACCCTGTATAATATACATCTAAGTGTGGTATTACAGGTATAAATTGTATAAATTGTATATTTACTGTATATTAGATGTAAAAATCAGGAATAGTTTTTTATTGATTTCCACAAATTTCTAATTATTATTTTTACAATTATTGGACTTTCAATATATTGTTTTAATTTATTTTTGTCATAATTTTGATTTTATGTTATTCTCTCTAAAAAATATCACCCAACTATCCTAACCTAATCATTATAAATTTAATATCAGTTTTGAGCTCTACTGTTATCCTTATGGCATAATATTGTTTATTTATCTATTTGTTTAATATATTGGTTTGTTTTATTTATATATTTTATGGCATATCGGCACATATTAAATGTTTTTTAAATAAACAAATATTTTGCACTTTTTTTTGTTAATTTTATGTATCACTTGTTTTAATTATTAATTTGAGGCATATTTATAGAAAATTATACTGAGACCTTTATTGATTATGTGTTTAAACTTATAGCATAGTATTAAAATAATTAACTTATGTTGAGTTTTAATAATATTTTCCTTTGAGACAATAATATATTAAATATATGTTATATAACTACAGTATTGGTGTACTTAACTGGTATATATATATATATATATATATATATACAGTATATATGGTACTAAATTATATTTTGTTACAATGACCTTATTATAAACTTGTTGCTCTCATATATGTTTAATAAAATTATAATGAAAACAACAAAATCATTTGTTGGTTAAATCAATATATAAAAAGACAAAATGTTTTATTAAATGTTTATGTGGCAAACAAAACAACTAACAAACTGTTATTACAATCAAATACAACCCGTCGTATAAACTTAAATAATTCAAACACTTGTCGTTTAAAGCAAATACTCTATAATATACTGTAGTATAAAACATATTACAGTATATACATTACTATTACTTTCTTTCTTTCTTTCTTTCTTTCTTTCTCTCTCTCTCTCTCTCTCTCTCTCTCTCTTAGTATATATAAATATAAAATAATAGATGTATTACTATTATACACTATTGTAGTTAATGCATAAATACTGTATAACTTTTTATTTTTAACTCTGCATTATGTCTGACGTGCTATTTATTAAAAATTAATAAATAATTACCATGATCAATTGAGCATATGTTTACATTTCTTATTGTTATATAATATTAAAAACATATTATACCTATAAATCTATTATGCAAATGTACAATTTTATTATTTTATCCATTAATATTGATTTTAATGTTATTTTATACTCTTAAAGCATTAATGTATTAAAATTTCATAAAAGTGTCATTTGTTTGCTTAGGTTTGTCTAATATTTTTTGCTAGTTTTATGTAGTAATATAGTAGTGATAGAAAAATTGCTAAATTAATCTTTAAAACATAGTTAACATTCATTAACAAAATATTAAACAAACAAAATAACAGAAATAAATTATATTTATCTTATGTAATAATAATAATGATTATAATACTAATAATTTAATTTAATATTATAGTAAACTATATATTTTTAATTACAGTATAAAATTTGTTTTATATAATTTATAAAGTATATTATGCTTAAAGCAAAAGTTTATCTGAGTAAATATTATAAATTGTTTTAACAAAATAAATTATGCTTAAAATAACTTATATAACTATACATAACCTATTGATTTAGTAAATGTCTATATAAATATTTGAATATAAAACAAAAAAAAAGTTAGTATAAAGTAATGAAACACTAAAGAGGAATATAGTGGACAAATGAATTGCTATTTTCTCAGTTGGGGTTTGTGTCGGATCGACATTAATACCCTTCCCATGGATTTGCAACTCATATTGGATTCCAACCGCTCAGTCAATGAATAGATGGATAAATACATTGCCATTACATCTATATGTGTGTAAGCTTTGCATCAAAATGGCAGCTCTACTGTATCATTACTGGTAGTACTACTGCATCTAATTTTATTAATCACAGTATTATCATTTTAAATTAAATTTGTAAATTTAACTAAAATTAACATTATTTTTAGTTGTATCATTAATTTCTAATTAAGTAATATTTGTTTACAATATTATAGAATTTGAACTTTTAAACCCAAATTAAGGTTTAACTCTTATACTTTTTTAAAATACCAGCATTTAATTATTAAAATTTATATTAAAAATAATATATTACCAATTACAGTATATTTATAAATATTTTAATATATACTATAGTAAAATATATTTATTTTTTATATAAAACTGGTAACAAAAATCGTTTAAAAAAATTATTTGTATGAAAAAACAAATTGTAGCAAAACTTAATCTACATATAAATTAAATATAAATTTATTGTATAAGACTTTATCCCAATTTCACAATAATTGTAATTTAATTTGACAATTGATAAATCATTTTTAATTTAACTTTTAATACTCTTTATTGTCGATAAAATAGCAACTCTAA